TCACTTGCTCGGCACTGCTTCTGACTGGGGGATGATACGTGTGCCAGGGATTCGAGCCGGGTTGAAAGAGCGGTCGCAGTCAGCGTATGCCGCTCCAGCACCGAAACCTGTCGCCAGTGCGATTGGCCATGTTCGCCCTGCGCCAAAATTAGAGTATTCAGATACTTGGGGTGAGGATACAAATCCGAGAGACACGAACGGCGGAAGAGGATGACGGATGCCACGACGCCTGCGCCAAAGCCAATCCCGCTGCAGGGAAAAGTTAGCAAACTTGCAGTCAGAAAAGTACCTTATTACTCACGACTTCACCAATAGATCAGCCACTTCGAGAATGTTTCGTCAAACTTGAGCAAAACGCGTAGAGTTTAGTGAGACCTACGGCATCGGTCATACTGTGAATACCATCAGATAAGTGGTAGGAAATGGCACTATATCCATACCTTTTGTCCAATGATGTCTTCGCTCGACGTCGGCTTCTGCGTGGTAGACATTGTGGAAGGTTATGGTGGGTGTGTTGGTCAACGGGAGCAACCGCGACCACGATATTTGGTTCCGCGCTGGTTGCCAAACATAACATGCTAGCGGTAGCCGTAATCAGCAGCACTTTCGTCAGTACTGCGCTCTGGGATATCCCAGGCCCTATTTCTACCACGGACCACTCTTTCTTCCTCAATCATCGCTCGGAAGACGAATAGCATCTCAGACAGACAGGATGGCGCACCAATCGCCCATGATTTCGATCCCGAGGAAGACAACACAAGAAGTCGACTGGACAACCCCGATACGCAACCTCATCGCGCAGTCGTACGGCGAGAACCCAGATAATTACGCGGCGGAATGCCCGTCGCTTCAGCGATGTCGCCAGGATGCGGTGCGAGGCGCTGGGAGTGATCTCACAGGTGAGTTCACGGCTGGTGCAATTGTCATTGTACTAAGATTCAATAGCCCGCGATCTACTATATAAGTATTTCGGACAACTGGAACTGTTAGAGCTGCGGTTTTCAGAGATCAGAGTCAACTTCCCATGGCACGACGCGTTCACGAACAAGTTGATCACACAAACATCCATTGCCTATGAGAAGGCATCCATCCTCTTCCAGATCGCCAGCACACATTCTGCTATCGCCGCCTCGCAGAGTCGATCAGACCCAGAAGGGCTCAAGCGCGCTTTCTACTACTTCAGAGCATGTGCTGGCATGCTCACATATATCAACGAGAACTTCCTGCACGCACCATCGACAGACTTGAGCCGCGAAGTCGTCAAATTCCTCATAAACATCATCTTGGCACAGGCTACAGAGGTCTTTTTTGAGAAGTGCACAGATGAGAAGAAGAGCAATGCACTGGTGTCCAAGATAGCTTCACAAGCAGCATCTATGTACACATCATTGACGGAGGAGGTCAAGGAGTTTATGGGCAAGGGAATCTTTGACCGGAACTGGGTGACTCTCCTGCAGGTGCGTCACGTCGTGATCTCTGCTGTATGTATCTTATGGTTCTTCAGATTAAAGCCAAATACTTTTCTTCTCTCTCTCAATACTATCGTGGCCTCGCAGACAACACCTCGGGCAAGCACGGCGATGCCCTCGTCCGCTTCACCCAAGCCGAAACCCTGGCAAAGGACGCCTATCGCACAGCCTCCAGCTTCGGCGCGATGTTCGTTTCGAACATGTCTCCCAACCTCCCCCCAGACGCAGGTACTTCCATTTCCGAGCGTCTGAAAGCACACCAGGTCATCTGCGTCGACAAGAAGGCCGAGGCAACGCGCGAGAACGATCTAATCTACAACGCCATTTTGCCTGCATTTGAGAGTCTACCCAACATTGAGAAGACAGCCGTGGCGACTCCGGTACACATCCACGAGATATACGGGACGCCAGAGGTGCAGAAGACGATTGGACAAGACATTTTCATCCATCTAATCCCTCTGAGCGTGCACGAGAGCGCAAGTGTGTACTCCGAAGAGAAGGCAAAGCTCGTCCGCGGCGAAGTGGAGAAAGCTGAAGGTGCTGAGGGTGAGGCCCGCAGTGCCCTCGACGGGCTTGGCGTCAAGGCGGGGCTTGTCCGGTACAAAGCCATAGCCGAGGGCGACGTCGCGGGTGGAGACGAGGTACCGCTTGACGTGCGGCGCTGGAAGGAGGACATCACTGTCATCGAAGAGCGGGAAGGTGTCGAGGGCCTCATCCGCGATCTTGGGCGACTCAAGACCAGCGTTCAGCAGGAGCTCGAAGGTGTCTCGCGGGACCTTGAGACCGAAACGCGGGACTGTGAGGTTCTGCGCGTCAAGTACGAGCACCTGTGGACGCAGCCGCCCAGCGCGACGCTCACGAAGAGCCTGCGACAGGACCTCAAGTCGCACTTCGGTTCCCTGGAGGCTGCGGCGGTGTCGGATGGGCAGGTGGCGACTCTATGGGACTCGGTCAAGGCGGACATTGCTCTGCTCCTTAGTCCGCAGATTGAGCAGCTGTTTTCGGAGCGTGGCGGGTCGAAGCCTGAGAATCTACTTGATTTGGACGTCGGCAGCGAGACGGACGATGCCAAGGAGAGGGCGAAGATCAGGGAGTATGTGGACGAGATCGAGGAAAGGCTGAAGAGGTTGGATCTGATTTCAAAGGAGCGTGGCGAGGTTCTGAAGGACCTTAAGGATAAGGTTCGTATCTCTTTTTTCTTCCTTTTTCTTCCTGTTCTTATGAGTCTTTTACGCATAGATTCAATCAGACGATGTTTCGCACCTCCTGCTCCTCAATCGACGCAACACGGGCATCGAGCCCACCTTGTTTGCTGCTGAGCTGGAGAAGTTCCGGCCATACCAGCAACGACTGGCATCTACGGTTCATCATCAAGAGGTGGCCCTGCAGGAGGTCGGCACGCTGTGGAAGGGACTCAAAGATCTTGCAGGGCGGGGTGCAGGTGCACGGAAATGGGAAGAACGGGAAAAGAGGAAGAAGGATACGATACGAAGGTTCTCGCGGGCTCGCGATGGGTACATGGAGGTCCGAGATGGGCTGGCGTACGTCCTTCCTTTTCATCTGAATCGCTCCAACGTTCTCCGACGCAAATGGTTGTTTACAGAAAAGGCCTCCAGTTTTACACCGAACTGACTGACCTTGCATCCAGACTTCGCAGCAATGTTCGCTCCTTTGTCTCGGAGAGAACTGCGGAGCGCGAGGCGTTGGTGGCGAAGCTGGAGACGGAGAAGAGGCTGTCTGTATCTGCAGCATCTCTTCCGTTAGCCGCAAAGCCGCCTGTACCACCGCCCCCACAGCACCATTCAAGATTGTCTCTTGATAATGCTTTTGCATCGATGAACCTGAGAGATACGCCACAATCTCCTCCTCTTCCGCCCCAACAACATCAGCAGCAGCCATGGCAAGTTCAAGCTAGTTCACCGATCCCACCACCACCAGGTTCGAACCAGCACTACACACCTCCTGCCCCTTCGCCGTACGGTAGCCTGCAACAAAACCAATCTCCATATGCTTCTGCTCCACCACCTTCGCAACAATCGTCCCATTATCCTGGTGGTATTCAGACGTATGGCTCAGGGCAGTACACCAGTCCACCACCTCCGGCCCCGCAGCAGCAACAACAATCATCGTTCCTACCCCCTCCGCCTCCTCGACCACCAACCCACTCCTCCTCCTACCCATCCCCATCGGCTCCTGCTTCCGATCCGTACGCTAGCCTGGCCATGTTCAATCCCACTCCTTCCTCAGTTCCAAGCCAACCACTGGCACCCTCTCCACCTCAAACTGGGCCTGGCTACAACTACTACTCTCCCCGTTCGCAACAGCCTCCCCAGCCGCCACAGCAAAACGGGTACGAAGGCGGAGGGTCGATGCTACCACTTCCACCTCCACCCCCGCCTCAGCAGCACCAGTACCATTACCAGCAGCAACCTCAGCAACAGCAGACCACTGGGTATCCACCACCTGCCCCACAGCAGCAGCAGCAACCGCAGTATGGAGGTTATCAGGGCCAGCCATCGCCGAATTCTTACGCTCCTGCGGGGTATCAGAGTTATGGGCGGTAGGAGTGCTCAATGAAACGATGAATTACGTGTATAAATAGTCGTCTTGGATAGCTCTTTGTACTTGGTGCCGGGTGTTGCATGACTGTATAACTTATTCACGACGGATGGCTCAATCTCTAGTTGGGCAGTTGATTCTCTTTCCTCCCTTTTACAGATGACAGGGCATGCCGACAGGTTTCTTCCTCTTCGTTGGACTTCGTTAAGAGTGGTTGGTATCGTTGTGAGATCGCGATGAAAAGTGGACCTAAATCCTCCTCGTCTCTCCAGAAGTTTTTCAAAGGGTATTGGATACCAAGTTCCGAACATAATGGTATTTGTGCAATCATGACGAAGCGGCAGATGGCGTTGAAGATGAGGGTCGACTTCTCCCCTCCTCTGACGGCCCATAGAGCAAGCTCTTCCCCCATGCAACTGCGCTTTCATCGAGATTCTGGAACCCGGCGAAGAGGACAGCAACTTCATGGTTCCAACGCGACTTGATCTCGGTTGACAGAGGGTGGGGCTTAATCCTTGATGCTGCTGAGGGAGGCGCTTGCACTAGAGTGGGTGTTTCAACCAAGCGAACGCTTAAAGCATGTAGACTGAGGGTTTTCGAGATCGAGTTAGAATGCCGTTTCAAGGATAAACGGGTAGGTGTACAAACTCTTTCTTGTGCTGTTCAGTCCTGTGAAAGAGAATCAGCATAGAAGATAATGCTTGGAAATTCCACTCCCCAAAACAGACTGATGTGAAGTCGAAACTCGAACTATGAAGAAACCATAGCACATACCTCGTTTGCATGAGGTTGGAAAACCCATAGTAGACCTGATTATTGATTCATTCACCGATAAGAGAGAAAAAAAAATGAAATTTATGATAGAAATACGTACTCCACCTGCGACTAATGCGCCAGAAATCGGTCCTAACAAGAAGGACATGGCGCCAGCGTCGTAGATGATGGTTGAGAGCAAGAGTTTAACGGAAACTTCCGACCGGCCCGGATAGTAAGTATGTAGTCTCGTCACATGTATGGGACGCAACCCACAAGCGCCCACAACATGCATTCCTGGAGGTTTTTCGAGAGCCTTACGCAAAAGTTTGAGCAGACATAGACTTTCTGAGCATTCCATCTTGTGCGTGATGATACACATTCTGGAAAGAAAGGGGAAGGGAAGAGAGGGATAAATGGGATAATAAGGCCTCAATGAAGAACTTGTGAAGAACCGAAAACCAGCACTACTAAGTACCTGCATGATGATGATGTAGCAGATTGAACAATGTACTTATTTTCAAAAACAGTCCGTAAGATTTGTTGGGATAAGCCCAAGTAAGAATGCGAGAATCTACTAAACATCCCCGCTGTCGTCTCCACCGCCAGAACTGCTGTCGCTATTATCTCCAGTGGCGTCCGCAGAGCCATCGTTAGTAGTATCGGTAGAAGAAGGATCAGAGGCATCTATGCCGCCTGAGCTATCGCCCGAAGATGAGTCGATGTCGCTGCCGGTAGAGTCGCTGCCGCCGTCGGTGCTGTCGGTATTGCCTGCAACGCTGGAGTCGGCTCCATCTCCGGTAGCAGGAACGTCTGCAACAATCACAGAAGCCCCGTCTGTCGCTGTCGGGTCGGTGGCACTATCTGTCCCAGTTGCACTTGCATCGGTTGTGGTTGAGGCAGCGGCACTATCAGTTGCGGTGCCTGGGATCGAGGTGTCTGTGCTATCCGTCTCAGGAACACTTGGGTCTGTCACAATTGGGGCATCTGCGCTATCGATCGCGGTGGAAGAGACATCGAAGGCCGTGGCGCCGTCTGCGATGTATGTCGACGTCGAATCCGTGTCGTCACTGGAGGTAGCAGTTGCGTCTGAGGCCGTAGCTGTGTCGGTGCTCGCAGGGTCCGTCGGTAGAGAGGCGTCTGCCGTATCTGTGCTTGTGCTGGAGGCGTCTGTGTCACAGCCTGCGTCCGTAGCTGTCGGGGTTGCCGCATCTGAGGCTGCTGTCGCGTCTATCGAAGTCCCAGTAGCCGTAGGTGCTGAAAGAATGGCAGCGATAGATTAGTCTGGTAAACAGTGATCCAACGTGGAAACTACCGACCTGTAATAGGGGCAGATTGCGATTGAGGAGCGTTCTTTGCCGCGTCACATGCACTGACCATACCCTGGCCGACATTATTAGCTTGGGCGAGGAAATTTTTGGCAAGGGCGATCTGTTGCGCGATTGCAGCGTCGGTACTATCAGCAACATTCGTCAGTTACTCGCTCTGAGGCGGTGGGACAAGGGCCACTTACCTGTTGACGCTATTCAATGCATCGAGAGTGGAGCCCACGTTGGAGACAACGGCATCTGCTGAGGAGGAGCAGGCAATGTTCTCCAAGATGCCAGCTAAGGAACGTCGTTCGAGCGCGGAAGGTATAGAGGCGCTAGGAGAGGTCAGCGACAGGAGAGAGTGACATGAATGTAGGGTATGCTTACCAGCGAGAGTAGACTGCCAGAGAAAGACAGTGACAGCGGATGCCAGAAGAGAGTGTGAAGACCTCATTGTAGCTCGACTACCTGGTTTTGATCAAAAGAAGGAAAGAATGTGTAAAGTATAGGAAAGATACAAAGAAATAAAGGAAAGAGGAAAAGGGAGAACACAGACACCAGGTCCTAGAGGTATGAAAGGTAACCTGCTTCCGTCCTCGGGCCAGCTTTTTATACGTGTTGGGTCCCGAATCCACGGTCCAGGGTGGTCGACACCCTTGATACGTAGATCCACTGACAGTGGGGCCGCTACTATGTATGTGTCTGTGGTGCTAAAATTGAAATTGGCGACAAGGTCGACAAGGCCCTAAATATAACTGCATTAAAATAGACGGGAATATGGCGTAGAAGAAACTTCACTAGAGGCCGCTTGAGCGATGGTTGCAATACTCCAGCGACTATCGAACGAAAAGTGATCAATAAATGGAGCTTAAGATCGTGAAGCACACCTTTGAGCTTATGTCTCAAAAATCCTGGACTCTGTAGACATTGCACATCTGCCGGACTTTGATCAGGTCTCTCAATCAACGTTACACGAAAAACTCGCCTCTGCAATTTCTTCGAAAGTGAAAATGATACCCCTCCAACGTGATACATGGTCCCTGTTACCAGGATAGCCGACTGCTGCGCTAAATCTGCGATCCTTGATCTTCCTTAAGTATTTTCGGATTACAGGTTATTTGCAACCCAGAATCACATCAGCTCCAAGACGAACTGGAGCCACCTCTACTTGACTTCTACTTGTTCGCTGTGGACATTGAACCTTTGGAGAGGTTTCCAAGGAGATGTGGAGCGTTCTTTATGTTTGCTGTGGGGACCCGTCGACGAACGAGAGCTGCGGATGGAGAGGGATCATACAACGTGGATAGTAGCAATAATAGACCTTCACTGAGAGTCGGTGCTAAGAGGGTAGAGCCGACAGACAAGGGACTTGAAATTGAATGCGACTCATGGGGGTCTTCGAGGGAATAACCGCTGCTTAAAAATAATTGCAAGGCAAGGTACTTTTCAATAAAAATCCGCCATATCTATATTACACTGTCGACATCATAAGCAACAGAAAGAAAGCAAGAGACAAGAACGTTGATCGCACCCAGCCAATAATATTAAGTGCCTTCACGAGGCCGACACATATTACCGCCACCAGCACGAAGCCCATAAATAATTCAGAACCAGCGCGGCGTCGTGGAGTTCCCTTCTGGAACATCGCTGCCAGGAAGGGGGATGTCCGCGCCGATCTTGTCGACAACGTAATAGCTGAAGAAGATAACTTTGAAGGAGATGGCGACGCCAAGATGGATGGCTGCAAGGATGATGATAATCAGGCGGGTGGCTTTTGCCTCGGCCTTTTTGGTGTCAAATACAGTCAGCGAGGGCTTCAGGATTGGACATTGAATTGGACATACGGATGCGAGGATAGGGTAGACGTTTGCAGCGAGGAACCAACCTGAGAGACCGAAAGCTGCCGCAACGAGGACCCAGCGCATGATTGGCACTGGAATTACGCAGAGCACCTATTCAGATGTGTCAGTGGCGTCTCTGCAAGCTCAGAAGGCGGGCTCACCGCGACAGGTATCCATGCGAACTGGGCATATCCCCAGATTGCAATCGCCTCTACGACGCTCCATTCACCCACCCCAAGATACCGTAGTGCGACCCAGAGAAGGACAGGGATGCCTAGTCCATATGCATATACCAGTGTAACGGCGATGCTCAGAAGTTGGAAGTTGTAGTCATAGGGCTTCCCATCTGTTGACAAGTACTTTGCAATGGATGCTCCGAGGGAAGATGAAAGGAAAAGAGCGAAGATGAGTGTTGTAAGGGTCCAGAATGGACCGTAAAGGTCAGCTGGGTTGAGATGCGTGGAGATGTACGTTGGTGCTGCGGTCGGGATAAGAGTTGTGTAGCATCGTTTCAGCACCTGGAAGGAAAAAATGTGGGTAGAACTGAATGCCTGAAGACATATATGCGTACCGTTTGCGTGTCAACATCGAAGTACGGTTGGTAGTAATCCAACGTCCAGAATCCTCCACCGCCTTTCCGTTGATTTGCTTCATCCGCGAGATACCGTCGGTCAGCATTGCCGACACCTGCACTCCGCGGCGGGTTGGATGCATTCCGCGTTCCAGACGCATCCGCGCCAAGAAATGCTGATTCACGACTCTTCAGACTGTGAATATGCACATTAGAACAGTAAACGCACATTTGAATTGGAGGCCTTCTGGCCCTTCTTCGAGACGTTGCTAAAATTGACTCGCCAGTGAGCAGTCCTCCCAGTAAAATGACGGGATTTACTCACATCGTCGGCCTCTACCTGCACATAGGCCATGATTTCGTCGTGGTCGTTGTAGTCAACGCTCGATTGATGAGCTGGCCGTATTCGGCAGTCACGACCCCAGAGACCCACGCTTACTGCCGAGGGAAAGGACCCCGAAAGGCTCATCTAGAGAAGTAGACGCCCAAGAAAAACAGTCCAGGTCCTAGCGATTTCGGGCAAAATCTCCCATTTCGGCAAGCTTTCCCTCGCCATTCCACCCATTTTAGGGCGGCCATTTTTATCCGGGGAACGCATCAGGGATCTACTTTCGGGGGTCGAATCCCGTCAAAATTGTTCTTTCATTCATTCTCCAACCTTTCAGGCCCAGGCTACAAACATCGATGGCATCTCTTTACCATGCTCTAAAAGGAGCTGGAAGACCTCCCTTTCTGTCTACGACGCTAAAGGCCTCCCCATAATCTGCCGAGACTCCACGGATTTATCTGCATTTTCAACATCTGTCTTCTTCACGACCACCATCTTCGGGGCCTCTTACGATATTGTCACTCGCTTGGACTCGCTGCTTTTCTCGAAGCCTGGATGTCTCGCAATTCGACAGGCTCAAAGGAGTCGAGCCAAGAAGTCGTGGAACTTCAATGGATCGCTGTTGGGCCTCCCAGACACGACACAACGCGACGTGGTAAGCTTCAGTCTCGAAATCGCACATGTGAGACTCACATTTCCACAGATGACTCCTCGAACCCTCTGTCTTTTAGAGATTCCCAATTTGGGATCATTTTACGACGCCAACGCCAGCGACCAGCAGACAACTCTGGCGTAAAGCACTCTCCAGCAATTCCGTCTCGTTTCCTGAACCTTACGAACTCATTCGAATTTGCTGGTTGGGGTTCTATCACGCGTCTTAAGCTGAGCAGTGAAGACCTCAAGACTGGAGCCGCGCGTATCGACTACATGAAGAAGAGTAGGGTCCTCGGGCAGTTCACTGCGAGCGCATTGGCAGGAAACGCGGTCCTTGGAAGCGTCTTCTACGCGTTGCCGGCCGTAGTTGCTGTTGGAGGAATTTAGTGAGTCGCCTTCTTGTCCTGGACACGATGGAGGAGTAATCATAGCACGCCAGTTCTCCTATCTCCCTCTTCATCGCAACGATGATTTTATTCCTGTGGCGCCCCATTATGGAGGAACTGGCATCTGCCTTACCCATTAGTGGTGCTCCCTATACTTACATGTACGTTTGCCCCTTTCAACATTTACAGCATAGTCTTATATAATGCTTAAAGCCTGAATGTTTCTACAAAGTCCTTCGCGCTTATTGGTGCCGCTCTTCTGCTCCTCGACTTCGCATCTACCGCCATAGTTTCCGCTGCAACGGCGGCCAGCTACCTCGCAGGAGACGTCCCTTCACTCCCATTTCCTCCATGGGTCGGAGCTGTCATCGTGCTTGTTCTATTTACAATCATCAGCCTCATGGGTGTTCGAGAGAGTGCACGTCTGGCCCTGACCGTGCTCTTATTTCACGTGGGTCATCCTTGAAGCTTGACACCCTTTCCGAGTTAGCCTGCTCACGTTTCGCGCCCCTAGGTTCTAACTATGATCGTGCTTGTCATTGTGTCATTCGTGCACTGGGGTCATATCGGCAACTCTCAGCTCAAGGCCAACTGGCACCTAGGCAGGTCCCAGGAGTCGGGCTTCAGCTCCATGGCTCGCAAGATTTACTATGGTGTCTGCCTCGGGATGCTTGGGCTTACCGGTTTTGAATGTACGTCTATTCTTTCTCCCCTTAAGCTTATCCCAACACCGCAAGTCAGGCATCCCTTCATACATCTCGCGGATCAAACCAGGGAGGTTTCCTCAGGTCCTGCGGAACTTGCACGTCCCGGCCATCCTGCTAAACACGACCATGATGCTTCTCGTGCTTGCAATGGTGCCCCTAGATACAATTTTGGGTGGTGCGAACGTCCTGAGTGTTCTCGCTCAAGAAGTGAGTAAGGTCCAGTTTTCTACCTTGTCCGTCGTTTTTAACTCGCACTGGGCAGTCCGGCGGTGTCTGGCTTCGCATCTGGATCGTCGTCGACGCCATAATTGTCCTATGCGGTGGCGTCCTCACGGGCATCCTGAGCGCCTGCGAGTTACTCGACCAACTTGCATTGCATCGCGTTATCCCCCAGCTCTTCCTCAAACTTCTCCCCAAGACCGGCTCGCCATACGTCTCTGTGCTTTCCTTCGTCGCCTTTAGCGGCGTACTGTATGCTTCCTCCGGCGCGAGCCTCACGATTATTTCGCAGATGTTCTCGCTGGTGTGGTTGACCGTGATGGCGCTGTTCCCTGTTTCTCTGCTCCTCCTCAAGTTCAATCGAGGAAGACTTCGTAGAGCAAGCAGGACGAAGCTAGTTGTGCTAGGCCTTTCATTGGCGGCGGTACCAGCCGTGTGGGCCGGTAATGTGGCTTATGAGCCCAGGACTGTTGGGTAAGTACATCTGTTCGAATCTACCATTGCCAGCTCCCTGACGTCGCCACAGGTACTTTGCTATTTACTTCATCACCATCGTCTTGTTCTTCTTCACGACACAGAACAAAGTGCACCTCTTTCGATGTGTTTATTGGGTCTACGACCAATATCCCTCTCTACATAAATGGCGGGTGACGCAGGCTTGGGACCGCAAGTTGATCAACTTTATGACAAGCTTGAAGAGGCAGCCTGTTTGCATTCTCGTCAAAACAGATGAGGTATTTCCTATCCCTCGCAGTGTGCCTTTTCGTTGCTAACCTATATGCATAGATCAATAGCCTCTTCCATATGGTTTTATATGTCCACAAGAACGAAGAGACATCTTATTTAAAAATAATACATTTTTACGATCAAGAGAAGGAGGTTCCGTCAGAGTTGGAGGCTAATGCCAAAAGTACGTACCTATTCCTGATTGATTTAGGATGCATTTCTGACCCGACACCCGTCACAGTCTTGGACGAGGCATTCCCTGAGATTACAATAGATCTTGTGCGTTCCTTGCCCCATCTCGTTCGACCTGCTATTGAATCCGCCTGCTCCTTTCCTAGATTCTCGTGGATGGGACTTTTGATCCAGTCAACGTCGCAGCGCTCTCGCACAACCTAGGCGTCCCCCAGTCGCTTATGTTCATGACTTGCCCAGGACCACAGTTTGCTCATGTTTTCGCTGAATTTGGAACGAGGATTATCTCGCTTTAGATTGTGTATTGATCTATATCATCGTGCTAAAAATCTGGTAGGCTGATTGGAGTCATGACTCATTGGATGATCTAACTATTTAGATGCTCGAGTTGAAACGCACACTGTACCCTGTCAATCCCTTACGATCATGATTGCGACGACTTCGTTATGTTCTTACTGTATTTTTCGCGGGCAGTGTTATTTCTGTGTGTCCTTGGCGTTATAGTCGGGCCGAGATCAGCTCGGCAGTGGTTATTCATACGTGACCTCGATTCGATACAGATCTAATACCCGAGTAGTCTTCTAAATATCTTCAAACAAGTCCAACTGGGAGGATCGTATGAGAGAAACAGCTTCGGCAGACCGTGGCTCTATAATGCAAGGAAACGGAAGCGGATGACTACAGTTAAGGTTGTTAAACCAAAGCAGCAACATGGATGAAATTTCTTACCTTATAAAACCAGATGAGCACTCTCCTGACGGTATTATTGGGCTGCCATCGCCATCGAGGGTTTGCTTGATGTTGAAGGTGGCCAGAATCGAGGCGATAGTAATCCACATAGATTCCCGCGCTGTAGTCATTCCTGGACAGAAGCGACGCGCAAATCCGAATGCCTCAGTGGGATCTTTGACATTTGGGTTCAGTTTATTGACGTCTCCGTCTACCAGGAATCGTTCTGGCTTGAATATACAGGGCTCTGTGCCATAGGTCTGTTCTTCACGTAGCATCGCCCTTGTGAAGGTATTACTTGTTATCCACAAATAAAACTATGACTGAATATAGGGCTACTGACCATGCATTCACGTATATGGTAGACCCTTCAGGAATATGATACCCTTGGTAGACATCATCCTTCGTGGTGCAATATGGGACGCCTGGTACACTATAGGTTAGAAGACACGAATCGGCGGAAGAGCTAAAGCATACCAAGAGGAACCACCGGCAACCACCGGAGCACTTCTTTGACCAAGGCGTCTACATACGGGATTGTTCCGTAGTCCGAGAAATCCGGAAGGCGACGGCCACCAAGAACTCGGTCGACAGCAGCTTGCCCCTTGAGTTGAACGTCGGGATACATTGTCATGGCGAGAATGAAGGCCGTTATCGAAGAAACAGTCTTAGGCTACAATGAGCGAGGGAGGTGTTTTAGTTAAACTTCGCGCTCACCGTGTCTGACCCAGCTGGAGAAGGATCGGGCTTCAAAACTGAGAACATGTAATCGATATGATGTACATCACTCACCAGCGTACGCCGCGGCCAGAATGTTTCTAATAACCTCTGCGTCCTCCGACACAGCTGCGTCGTCGCTGAGCAAATCTCGAGCGATGGAAGGGCGAGCTGTTCCTTGACTCTAGATGATATTATTTGAGTCATGGATTTCCGTCATAGCATCAGAATCACTGATCTTACAATCCAGGATTTAACCAGTTCAAATGGCACGACGGCCATGTTCGTCACGGACTTATTCCACTCTCTGGACTCGACTTTGAAATAAGCGCCAGGGAACCACGAAGGGAGATATTTGAGCGAGGGAATGAAATCCACGAGATACCCATGTCCAGCCTGCGCCATTGCACTCATCCCTTTCTCTGCACGGACAATATGGGGATCCCGACTGTCCTTAACATCGATTCCGTACGATATCGATAGAATCAGGCTGCCGCTCAACCTATGAGTAAATAAATGAGATGGTAGTGTTCAAGATGGAATGACGAAGCCATACAAGCGGAGGTGACTGACGAAGTTTCTGGGTTCGTTCAAGAGATTCTGGAGAAGCCGTCTACTGACTGACACGGACGGAGATCGATATTTGAGCTGCTCAGAGGTCTGGAAATAACGATGAAGAAATTTTCGATGCTCTGTTTCAAGTTAGATGTGTAGGAGGCTACCAGGGTGACAGGATAATCCATACTTACCCCTCCACTTATTACCATAAGGCATAAACGCCACATGCCAACTAAAACCTGTGCTAAGGTCGAGATGAGCTGAGCTTACACCATATTGCAAGAACGGAAACTCACAAGTCATTCATCATCGGCATAGCAGGCCTAGAAATAGTCAGATTTCTCTATCAGCGAAAGATGCGCACAAGGCTAACCTGGAAGCATATGTCAAAGAGCGCCCATTGAGGAGCTCGTTAGCAGCCTTGTACGTGTTTATAACTATCGCAGGGGATCCAAGAATGTTAAGGTGAATGAGATCCGAGCCTAGCGCATCTTCAATATCATAGCACTTCCATGAGTCCGCTAGAATTTACTCACCGTATTGGTATGACCATGCGAGATATCTCTCCCAGTAGTTCACTTTGGGAATATCGAAAATATTGCCAAGTAAAGGTAAGCCAGGAGGTCCAGGAGGTAGGGGGAGTTGCCTTCGCTTCTTGTTTGTCCATTGAAAGAGGGCGAGCGCAGCGAACAGGACACTCAGGTCTAGAAGGGTAACAGATAGGCACATACTGGCAAGGGAAGTTACAGGTAATGGTCAACAGGTCACCTTTATAAACATTTCGGAAGAGCTATGTAGGTGCCGCCGCCGCCGCCATTTTCCGCTCAATGTGCCACCAGTACCCTCTCATCACGCGGCATGTCTTCTGGTTCCAGATAAGAGTCGATTCCTATTGCGATTGTATCGTAACCATTAAGTTAGGTTGGCCTTCCGTTGACGTTGTCTTGCTTCACATCGAGGCTGAGATCGCCGCACTCGCCAAAGGCAGGTGTCGTAAATCCAACAAAGAAAGAGAGTGCTCGTATTGAAGAGAAATTGTCATTACATTCATCAATCTCGCGATCGACATCGAACGTACGGAGGAAGAAATGATTTTATTCCGTTTCAGGGGCAGGAGGAGCGCTCTGAGCGACGTTCGCTTGATATTTCTTCTCACTGATTCCCATCTCCACCTTCAAGACCGTTCTGTTGAATGTGGCCATGGTCAAGCCAAACGGCTTCCTAGCACGAGACTCCCAGCCCTCTGGAAGTCGCTCCTCGACTAAAATAGTCTTGAGGTCATCTACTCGGCCTCCAAAGATAGTCAGAAGCGTAGATGAGCTTTTGAATTTGAGCTAAGATAAGGCGCACAATTCGTTATACTCGAAATAGAAGAGCACATACTTCGAGCTACCAAAGACCTTGTGGAAGAAGCTGAGTGAGAAGTTGGGATTTGACGCTCTCGCCTCGACTCGTCGCTTGGAGGAAAAGTCTGATAAGTCCTTAGGCGTGAGAAGCGCCTTTCCGTCGTTGTCTTTGCCTGAAGCCAAAGATAGAAGCTCTTCGATGAAAGGGACATGGGGTTTCGACTGGTCGGGAACGAGCGCACTATCCTCGCCTATTCAAATCATCGTCAATTCCCGCTCGACAAAATGACAGGCGGCATGGAACACGTACGCAAAAGGGATGCATCGTGTTCTATCCCATTATGAAGGTCAAGCTCAGCGAGATTAAAGGTGTCTTTCCCGTAGTTCCTCTTCAGCATCTTCGCAGCGAAGTTGGGGACGAAAAAGCAGAAAGTGGGGGCGAAGTTGTACGTTGCTCTGATCTTGGTACCGAACTCGTTGAATTTGATGTTTTTGCCATCGCGAGGGAGTATACCTACGTAAGATGAGAAGATCCAGTCAATAGTCAGAGAACTTCGTCTGCCATAGTCATCAAAAGGAGAACGTCGTACCATGGTTAGCCATAGCGTTGAGAGCTGGGCATGAGCAGCGACTATCTCCTTCCATCGGCGCAATGAATTCAGGCCATTTGCCTCCAAACCCTGGATGTCCTTCTGGCGTAACGTGTCCTATTTTGCGGCTGGGGGACACAAGGTTCGCGACTGTTAGCCCAATGTCCCAGGTAAAAACAAAGAGGTCTTGAAAAATCTTCAGAATTGGTGAGATAAGGAACATGATAGTCAATGGACCAGAGGGATTTAGGGTGCCTTCTTACCTTTATACTCATACCTAGTCTGTGCACACGTTCATTCCCGCGGCTCGAAGCGAATAATTTCAATAAAGCGTCGACGAGTGTATGTACCGATTCGGAGGAAGAGCCGGCCAATCAACATGTCAAACTGACGGCGCCCACAGTTACTTCGACATCGACAATGCTTCGAGTGCAAACCTGAAGTCAATGATTGGACGGAGGCTAAGTCTTAGTGAGAAGGGGAGCCGAAATGAAAGATCGATCTTGGCATGGAAGGATCTGTGTTTGAGATATGAATTGTACGTGAGGCATTGAGATAAGAAGTGAAGAAAAACTGATTGTTGGATTGATAGGGTATATTATCCACGACGACAGAGAGGAGAAAGAGAGCGACAGTCCGGTGTTTCGACGCTTTGAAGTCTTCACCATTTGTCATAATCAAACGAACCATGCAGGCGGTTGATTATTTTCATGAAATCGGGCTCGTTATCTGGGGTGATGCATCCCAGCCGAATAAACAGATCCAGGATTACTGAAAGTGCGGATGTGTTGAGACCATTGACGTCAGAGAGAAGAAACATACCTAGTCCACAGTTGGGCTTGAAAAGGCCGGCGCGAAGTTCCCTCAGCAGTTTATCGTGAGACATGAACTACAGCACCGGATTAGTCAGTCGGGATTTCGAGTCTGAAGAGAGAGAAACCTCGAAAGACTCGACTTCTCCATCGAGAGGACGAGGTGTAAAGGGAGCGGGGTCAACAGCAGGGGGGATCACAATGTCATAGACATATCTGCGAGTGGTCAGGCAGGTCGAAGGAAAATACGGAGAAGCTCACTCGATCTCTGGTTGTAGCCAACCTTTGGTCGTTCTGAAGAAGTAGCTGATAGAACCCACCGCTCGGGTATGTTTGCGCACAACATCGGGCTCGATACTTGCTTCCTCCATGCATTCCTTGACAAGAGATTCGAACATGGACATCCCGCTCGGGATTCCCCCAGCTACTGTGTTGTCCAGATGTCCAGGGAAGCTGCTGGCGATTCGTCACAATTTCCTCACCAGGCAAAGGTAGGGACTGACGTAGGTTTGGTAAACGCACGGGTCGGGACCCAGACACGTAGGCTACGTTGACCATCCTCTTGGGCGATCTCGTCGTAGATGCTCATATGCACACCATATGTCACCAGTCCAAAGAGAGCACACGCGGATCGCTCCATCTCGAATGCATAATTGAGACCAGCATCGTGCCCAGCAATGAGCGGGTGATCATGGAGTCCGAAAGGATCAGCGTAGATGGGATACATCTCTGATCTCCACTTTGTCGGTCCACAAACATCAGAGAAAAGGCCCGTATCCCTCCACCTCTCGCACAACTCCTGCATGGCCGCTGTTCTCTTCGCTGGTGTGTCCAACCAAGCCTTGAAGCTGACACTCGGTCCGACAGTGCCATTTTTCAGTGGTACGAAATCCGAAGGCTCCAGTCGCAACGACCATAGTTCCTGCAAGCCTTCCTGTACACTCCTCATGTTCTCCAGCTTCAATTGTTCCACGATGATAGGTCGCAGGAGTCCAATCACCGCGGTATCAGTGGATTCCGAGAGGTAAAGCGGCACCAGAACTTCGGAACCATAAGAGACGTCGTACAGTCCTGTCCCATCGCGACGAATGTGAACATTGTCGCACATATCTACGATATCCAGGAAACTACGTTTTCGGGAGGAAGACATTATGGTGGTAATGGTGGAAGAGACAAATCATTGACCAATCAGCGTCAGCCTTTGTCACTCATTACCTCAGGCAATCATGTGAACGTGACAGGACGCGATGTCGACGCGACTTGGCATTCAACTACTTATACTTACTTCTATACACCGTTCAGCTACTTGATTGGTTCAGTTCAGCTGTTTCACAACCTCCATCAAACGCATTAAAGATTCATGCTTTTCTTTTTCTCTCTCTCGAGCGGCTTCTGCGTCCCTTCGTCGATCCTCCTCTTCCAGCTCAAGTTGGCGTATTTTGAATTTCGTATCGAGGGCCTCGTTTTCGAGCTTTTGGCGTTTGAGAGAGATCTCTGCAAGCTTTATCTGTTCAGATGGTTCTGTCCGCTGGATCTGGGTGTTAAAGACAGCCACATCTGGGTGATCTGGGGACTCGACCGGTTCTTCGGCATCAAGTACGCGTTTGTGACTTGTTTTGACGATTCTGTGAGTCTTGTCATCAGGTCAACAGTCACGATATAAAGTGTACGATTGAATTACCCTGCAATACCCAGCACAGGTCTGAACTTTTTGGGCAGGCCGATTGACTTTGACGTTGGGGCATCTCTGGTGGAGCACTGTCCGGTGTGATCGCCCGATTTTTGCACCTAGGCACAATGGTCGCTCAGGAACTTGTGAAAATATTAGATAAAACTTACAGGAAATCTCTGCTCAGTTGGGCCCTCTTCGTCTCGCTGATGGCTGTCCGTTGACAGGCCTTGCTCACGATTCTGGTCTGGGGACAATTCCTCTAATTCCGTTGCTCAGTAGTACGATACCTTGCGCCATTGATTTCACCGCTCGGTTGGGGTGACCACTTATCATCGAGAAAGAACTGGTTGAAGGCAGGATTGGTACGCCAATGCACATGAAGTCTCTTCCACAACGGAAAACGTCCTAGCATCGCACCTGTGATTCACGAGTCAGAACCTACTTGGGATACGCGATCTATTGCGCCTACCAAGTGTTTTATGTGCCTTGCTCCCTTCTTTGATTTCCTCGTGAGGCAGTCGAGCCGCAGTCGGGCCAATTGCTTGGTTGACCTTCTGGTAATTACTCTTCAAACTTTGCCAGCATCCGATATCAGAAAGCTATTCAAAACACCGAGACAGATGGGGCACGCACTTGTGGAAGTGACAGAGCACCGCATGGCCAAAAGATCTCGGATTTTTGGCAACATCCTTCCTTAAATTTGGGTCCTCGTCGATGGCGAATATCTCTTTTGCCGCCTGTGTGCAGAATTCGGTCCTGTTCCCTTCTACAACTTTGAATATGATGTCTCTCGGATGGGGATTCCTGTCGATCCAGTCAAGCAGTCGCCTGTCTCTTTCTCGGTTATTTCTCCAGTGGATGGATGCCCCTAAAGTCGCCTGGGCGCCCCCGTCAAAGCCGTCGTCGCCTTCGATGAGGTATATAAATATATTGTCAGAATCTCGCTCTCTTGAGGTCGAGGCTTCAGTCAACAACCTACCACCCATACTTCACTGCTGATAAAATATGTAGCCCCTTGCTTTAGTGAGCGCTTTTTGAACGAGGAAACTTAGGGTTAGGGTTAAAAGGAGGTCGTAAGGACGAAGAGGGCTGGCCCGCGAATTTAAATGCTCTCTGCAAGGTGTACGTAAGCCACGATTGCCAACCAAAATCATGCCGACCGACGCCTTCGTATATTATCATCCTTCCATAAAAAAACATTGCGTTGGAATGGCTTTTAAGAAATAATTATCCTTCCCTAATGAGCTGCCAGCGTCAATCGGGCTTCGGCGCTTATTTGCCCTCATGCACCATGTGCTGATCCTATAATGGGACAGACAGTAGTTACTTGTCTAATGTGCATTGCCTCCAAAGCCTTTGACAACTTCAAGCAAATGCAACAAGGCTTCATGCTTCTCTTTCTCCCTCTCTCGACTAGCGTCAGCATCCCTACGCCTACTTTCCTCCTCCAGCTCCAATTCTCGTATCTTGAGCTTGGTTTCAAGACCCTCATTCTCGAGTTTTTGACGCTTAAGGGAAATCTCGGCGAGGCGTATTTCATGGTCCTGAATACTTTGAGTGGATTGGCCCACTTTTATACCTTCAAAGCTGGCCAATTTTGCTTCTGCGAGTTCTACTTGTACTTCGGCATCCTTGGCGCGTTTTTGGCCGGATCTGATACCAGAAATTGATAACCCTATCCTGGAGAGCCCTGTTAATATAAGGACGCACTGAGTGAAATCAATTGAACGGTGGTCTTACCCAACGGACCCCTTTACAGGCTTAAATTTCTTCGAGCGGGTGACCGAATTTGACCTGTTTGATATCTCTGCGGTGCGGCTTTCTTGCAGCGAGTTAGTATCTATCTGAGGGTGTACCTGAGCTTGATGAATCCAACCGGATACCAAGGGCATGCCAGCAACATTGGCGTCAACATCATGTCTTCCGTCCTCGGGAATCAACGCGGTTTCAATTTGAGTTCCTTCTGTTCCGTCCCTCAGGTTTAACTGGTTGGGCGGGCCAAGAGATTCGCTCTGCAGTCGACTCGTTTTTAATGCACTCTTCGTACCGCTAGTAGAAGATGTCGCAGGTTCGGGTGAATCATTTTTCTTTGAGTCGTGCGGGTCGTTCAATTCCTGAGTAGACTCTACTGAATCTGTCTCGTCTTTCCAGAACTGGTTGAAATAGGGATTTGTTCACCAGTGGACATGGAGTCGCTTCCACATAGGAAAACGTTGCAGCATCATAACTGCAAGCGCTAAGTTCTGACGCTTTAATCGTGATAAGTTTTGTCTACTCACAGAGAGTTTTATACGCCCTGCTTTCGGTATCTATCTCTTCGAAAGGAAGTCGAGCGGCGGTCGCGCCGATCGCTTTGTTGACCTTCTGATAGTTGGCTTTCAAGCTTTCAGGAAAAACCGAGATTGAACGAAAGTAGTAAGAGGAATGGTCTTCCAAAACACTCACCTATTGAAATGAACAAGCACTAAGATTCCAAACCCTTTAGGATCCTTCGCCACTTCTTTCCGTATCTGCAGATCCTTGTCGAGGGACAAAATATCTTGGGCTGCTCGGCTGCAGCACTGAGTCCTGTGCCCATCACGTCGTTTGAAGATTACATCTCGTTCGCACTCGTTCTTGTCGATCCAGTCAAGGAGGCGAGCATCTCGTTTCGGGTGATTCTTCCAGTGTATGGATGCTCCCATGGTTGTCTGGAAAGTACCTTCAAGTTCGTCATTCTGATTCCCTTCTAATGGTGCATTGTCAGTCGAGTGAGTCTGGTTGACCTTCGTGAGGACTCTTACCTTCCATAGCACGTTAGCTACAGGTAAAGTGATCGCTCTTCCGGTAGTATCACAAGTCGATAGCGGAAGTACGCGCCAGCGAGTTTGGGAAGTGGGCAAGGAATTTGACGGACGAAGAATTGCAAGTGACCTAAATACTATTTGCCCCAGGCTGTACGTAAGAAACCACAATGGGTATTCTACATTCCAATAGGCACGACGTGATGGAGCCTTAAGTAATTGCCATAGTACCGTCTGTAAGCAGTCCAAGCAAATGACTCAAAGCGAATTATCTTATCAAAAAATTAGAAGCTTGATCCGGGCGCTTATTCAACTGCACAGCCACTTCAATGCATCAACCTCTTAAGAAGCAAAAATTAAAGACAATACAACGGATTCATCAAAGCGACCAAAGAATTACAGCGATAGCGGTAAGGAAAAAAAAACAATCCACTTCATTAAATAAACAATTCCACTGCCCTCTAAGAACCCTCTCCTTCGGTGTCCTGGTTGGGTTTCTTCACCATACCAGTTGCCATTTCCATCAAACGCATCATGAACTCGTGTTGTTCCTTCTCGCGTTGACGTTTATCTTCAGCAGCCCGACGACGCTCCTCCGACTCGAGCTCTAGGCGACGAGTCTCAATGGCAGTCTTTTTCTCAAGAGCCTCGTTTTCGAGCTTTTGGCGCTTGACGGCGAGTTCGGTCAGACTGCGTTCGTGTTCTCGGATAGCGACCATGTCGTCGTTTTGACGCGCGGAGTTATCAGAAGGTGCCGGCTCTTCTTCCAGCTCTTGCTCGCGTCTGCGCTTTCGCTGTCGTTTCCGCCTGTTTGATAAATTTAGAGGAGCATCTTGCGATCCCTGTGATGATTACCAACCTGGTACAATTGTCGGCAACTTCTTCCTCTGGTTTTACAGCGACGTCGTTCTGTGAGAATATCGTACCTTCTAGGTCTTCGACGATTATCGCGTCTCCCTGGTTCTGAAACATCGAGCTAGCCGAACGACAAAATGAGATATAGAAGTTACCCGATGTTGTCCCCCTGGTGTCCCATTACTAACCACATTCTCTAGGGACTCTTGAAGGCCGACCACTTGAGAACGATTTACGTGCCCGCCGTTCGGTTCAGCAGGGTGCTGCGTGCTGGACTGCGATGAGTCGGCGGAATGCTGTCCATAGAGGTGATTAAACGCCGGGATCCTTCTCCAATGTACGTGGAGGCGTTTCCAAAGCGGAAACCATTCCAGCAACTCGTCTAGGCTCAAGTATAAGCATGGAAGGGCGTCTAGGCAGAAGAAAACGACTCGCCGACTTTTTTGTAGCCCTCGCTGCCAACTTCCAAATCTGTATAGGGTATATTCGCGTAATGTGGCCCTGGTTCTTCGTTGAACTGTTGATAGGTAGTCTTCATGCTGTTTCGAGATTGAATTGAATTTAATAGCACCTAGTACCATGGTACTCACTGGAGGATATGGGAATAGGTAGCGCCCGCAAAGTGTTGTGGATCCTTTACAACATCCTGTCGGATTGAAGGGTCTGTATCCACGGAAAATATGTCCTTGGCTGCTTGCATGCAGCATTGGATTTTGCTCATTTTTGCACCAGGTTTCCGCGAACCCCGACCACGCCCTCTGCCAGGGTTGGAGAATATTATTTCTCTCTGGAGTGGGTGTTGATCGAGCCAGTCCATGAGTCGAAGATCGCGGTTAGGATCCTTTTTCCAGCTTATACGACCCCTCTCCTCATAGCCGTCGTCAAGACCTTCATTTCCTGTGACAGCTGGTCAATCTCAAAATGAAGGCTGCTGAAACTGGGCAACATACGAGACATGACTTGGCCGTTTGACAAGAGATCCTGAGGTTTGAAACTCGAATCGTCTGAATCCCCGAGAAGGTGAGATGAAGGTTTCGACGAAAAGATGACGCGTCCTATGGTCACCATTGTGTGAGAACCAAATGCCATCGGGAGTCTCCATCGCAGCAAAGACTAGAATTCAATGGATGTTTTTGCATCACCAAGTGACGGCATGCCGATTATCTGTCCCCTGAGTCCTTGGAATCACGAAAGCCCCTTGAAAGCCTGTCGGTGCGACCTGCCCATTGAATTTTCTAAGTTTTATTCGAGAAACCCATGAGAGGCGAGGATTCGTTGCGTTCGGAATCGAGGGTAAGCTTGACCCGCTCCGTGTCGTTGTTCGGAAGGTCTGGTAGACTCTGTTTCGTAGGCACGTTTCGAAGGTGCATACTAGGATGATGTCCCACCATGTTCGGATCGTGTTCGCGAAATAGATGGATTGTTTGGGATTATCGAGCCTGAGACTACATAGTTCAAGTTGAAGCTTTTAAGGTCGAAGGAGAAAGTGCACAGCCACCAGTAGCTGACGCATCCGCCATCCAGTGACCTAGTCATTGTCAAGCTTCCATTTCTACTCTTTCCGTATTTTACAGTGTACACGCAAAGGCAGCAGCAACACGCGCAGCGGGGAGATAATGCAGCTGACACCGGAACAAGAGCAGCAAGAACGAGAGAACAGCAATCTATTGGCGTCAATCGGGAATGTCGACGCGCAGATCGCGAGGCGCGTTCTGCGCAAGCACAGGGGCGACATGGATAAAGCAGCAGACGCCATACTTGCGGGAGACAGAGGGGCGGAGGCCTGGGAGACGCAACATCGGACGACGCCTGAGCCCATGTACACCGACGGCACAACACCAGTGCACCAAATCACACAGCTGCCCTCGACCTCGGTGATCGACCTGACGGCGGACGACGACGAAACAATGGCCCAGGCGATGAAGATGTCCTTGATGGATCAGTCGAGCCAGAGCAGCGTGCACTTTGGGCCAACCGACCGGGCACCCCACCCAGAGTGGCAGATGGTGCCATCGAACGTATGTGCGTCTCGCTCTGGCTAAAGACATGCTTATGGGACGATAGGCGCCAGTGGGGGGTGTATCAGCGGAGGACAGGGGTCTGGACGATGCTATTCAAGCTAGCCTTCAGGACTTCCACAAGGAGGAGGAAGACACGACGCCTCTGGAACCAGTCCTCAGAGAGGGAAACCGGTCAGTGCTGAGCTCTTTAGAGCTGCGCCTATGCTTATGTTCTCCAGCCCTACGGTTCTGCGCCATGAAAGTCCATCTCTGGCCTACGCTGCATTGGTGAGCTCTTCCGCATCTGCTTCGATAACTTGCTGAACGACGTATCAGCTCCTCCAAGCCATATACTACATCCCGCAAGCACGTTCTATCATATCGACTATGCGTCTCCCAGATATCCAAGAGAGCTTGCCTCTCGATCATGAAGGTGCGCCCCCATTTCACCACATACTCTGCCAGGTTGACCTACTCCTCTAGATCGCGCTCTCTGGAATTTAATCGAACTATTCACCAACATGGATCTGGCCCAGCTGTCCCTTCTCATGGATGTCTCCGTCATCCCATCCTTGCGTATTCCCCCTTTCGATGGTACGCGTGAGCTCAGCCTCCAAACGGCAGAGGTTGTCAGGGAGATCAGCATCTTGATTCAAGAGCACTTAGGTGCACAGGTTCAGACAAGTGGTCTTCAGGAAGAACCGGAGTAAGTCTTTTTTTCTCTCTCTCGTCACTCTTTCCTCAACCACTAGTAGCCGTCTTTTCTCTTTCACACACGGGCGTGTGACGCTCGCCCACAACCGCTCGAGCAAGTTGGATCGCAGCCGCGATATCGGTGTTACAGTCCCCGTAACCTGTGGAGGGGATAGCACCCACAACGATCTCGTTTCATGTTTGACCGACATGCTCATCACAATGGCGGAAGGTGGAGGCTGGAACCACGACGTCATTATCACCCCTTCGGAGGCCCTTGCCTTCGAGATTCGACGTCTGCCTAATGCTCCAGGGAAGGCCTCGCCCGATCCTTTAATCTATCCCAAAACACTATACCTGGATAGGTTCTTGTTTGATAATGTCAGCCTCGTAAACGAAAAGCGGTCAACAGAACGCAAGACGTTGAGAAGGATCAGGGAGCTGAGTGAGTATAAAGAGAAACTCACGCGTCACAATGTAAGCCTTTTCGAATGCGTTGTCTTAAGAGTATTTTCTAACTATTTTTCAGGGCCGGGACACGCTGCAAGACCTGCGAGCAAGCATTCATTACTATGAGCATGTCGCAGATCGAGGAAACGACCCCGTCCGGCAGCGTACCCTTGAACGTACTGCTGCCCACCTCAAGGACGTGATGACCATGATCCTCGGCAAAGTTGAAGGTTCGAGTCGACCCGTCCTTTGTAGGAACCATTGACTAAAATTCCTGGTAGACATCGATCATCAGGTTGAGCTACTTCAAACCGAGGTGGCTGCAATCTACGATTGTCCAGAACTGCAACAATTCGACTACGACCTTCGTTCAGTTCTTGTACACACTGGCCTTCCTGGACGAAAGCAGATATACTCGTATGTCCAAGATGTCGAGGGCACCTGGTGGAAGACGGTCGACTGTGAAGTTACGGAGGTCAGAGACGATTGCGTTTCATCGATCATCCATGCGCTGACCTGGTGCTTGGCCCTCCTGCTACTAGGTCCCAGAAGAGACGGTTCTATCAGACCCCACTGGCTTGCACATGGGAGCAGGGCCGTACATGCTATTCTACAGCCGACACCTGTCAGACGAGCAGTTGCACGAACCTCTGGTGTGGCCGAACATATTCTCTGTTAGTTCATCTTTTGACCCTCAAGGCATTCTCGATATCTGATTCCTGTTTTCCTCCAGAGCGCCGTTGAAGAAAACAACAAGCAGTTCTTGGCCATGGTGCATCCAGAACTAGGGATCTTCGCAAAGGCGTCTGTACCCGAGCCCCCTCAAAACCCGCGACCTACGACACCTCGAGAGCTGCCTTCTATACCCACTCGGCCAGTTGTGAGAGAGCATTCACGGAGTATAACTGCTGATGAGAGGTCGCCGCAACTTCGTTAATGTTTTTCGGGTTTCTGTTATATCACTACATACTACTGTATCAATACTTGCCCATTGTTGTATTCTATGCACCTGACTGCTAGTGTTATTAAGATTCTCGTAGCTTGATTGTTTGAGCGAGTCTTTGTTCGAGTTGAAGTGACTTTAAATTGTGCCAAATGCGGTCAAACATCCATAGTTCTTGTCTCCGACCACCATCACCGTCCACCCTAAGCCACCTTTTCTCAGAGGCTTCCACATATCACGAGTTCTTTGATCGAATATCTCTGCTCAAGAATTCTCGTAATGGTCTCGGCCGATAACTTAAACCTCGACGTCCTTGAGCTCATTTGCAGCTACTTGTCTGGCAATGATTTACCGTCCGTCGCGCTCGTCAGCAAGTCTTTTCTTGCCGGAGTCATCCCAAGACTGTATCACACCATATCGTATCGGATACGACAGCAGAAAGGGTACGAAACAGTGAGTTTGTCGTACTAGATGCCCATGGCCTGCTTGAACGTTGAAACAGGGAGAAACCATGTCCCCATTCGCCTCTGTAATCACCCATCCCCATCTCGCTGTCCACGTCCGCAACATAGGTGCATCGGGAGCTCTTTTTTTGTCTGAGATGAGCAACGCATGTTAAGCTTCATTCGCAGAGATCCGCGTCGTGCCAATCGTGAAGTCATGCCTCCACCCGGTCTTTGTGCGTGAATGCCGAGAAGCACTCAAGATATGCAAGAATCTGCAAGTGTTTAAGTGCACGGTGGCCAATGCGGTAGCGATTCTCCTTCCCTCACTCGCCCACAAGACACGACTGCAAGAAGCGACGTTGTACGCGAACCTCACGACCGACCAAGCAGCAATGCTACACAAGCTGGAGAAGCTGGAGAGCCTGACTATCGAATTTGCGTCATGGAACGTTGTGGACATAATGCCTGCATGGACGGGATCATTGACTAAGACTCTGACCTCTCTCGCGCTCTATGTGAGTACGGTCCTGCCACTCTGATCCGTGTTGCATTTCTGACCCTCTTGCAGATGATTAATGAACTACACGAGGACATTTTGAAGTCGATTTTGACAAATTTGCCGAATCTGCGGGGATTGCATGTAGTTGGTTGCCCTAAAGCCGACCATACCGTCATTTTTCGACAAATTGTGCATACACCGTTGGTAGAGACACTATCATTAACCACTTCGGTGAGTCTGAACCGCTTCATGGCCTTCGGCCACTGACACTCAACATGCTGCAGGAAAACACCGCCCCGTTGACATTTCCGTCCCCTCCAATGCGCCATTTGAAACATCTTGCTTTTGATACACGATACAGCATGCAACCTTCTCCCTCTCCAGCGATCCTTGGATCCATCTTGGCACACATTCGTTTATCTGCACCCCCTCTGCAATCGTTCACCATCAAACTTCCAGAACGGAAAGTTGTTGTTGGCGACCCCTTCATCTCGCAATTGGTGGAACACTATGGTTCTACCTTGCGAAGATTATCCTTCCTCGACTGTGGTGTTAGCCAGGAATCGATAGCCGAAATCTGCAAGAATTGTGTCAATTTGCAACGACTCGATGTATCAATTCCAATGAAAGAATTGGTAAGCATATACGTTTTGTGGAAATTTTATCGCTAACATTAGGGTTTAGCTACCTTTTACCCGAAACCTTTCCCTCTCAAAAACGCTACACACGATTGTCGACGTCGACAACCACGTTGATCATGGCATGCGTCCAACCCTGAAGCAAGAGAACGTCCGCTACATGATGTCAGTGGGTAGCAACCTGAGAAAGGTCGTGTCTAACCATCGCATCTGGACGGTGAGATTCATCTTTCCCTCTGGCTGTCATGTCATCGCTAAAGGTTATTTCTCAGGGTCGATTAGATCCGGTCCAGGGCGTGGTGGTAACGCTTGAGAAGCGCCGGTCTCATTCGTATGGATCTCTGTGGTTCATGCCTCGGGATTAAGGATGTTCGTACACTGATTGCGACCTCCGATAGGTATGTGTATTCCATCACCGGTAGACTGGGACTGACGCCATTCAGGGCAGAGTTTGGCATGAGGGCTGGTTAAGCGACATTTTTCTTGCTACCAATATCAATACAACCGTATGGTATCTATCAAGGTCTACTGGTGATACAGATGGGTATGCGGTGCATGTGTCTCCCGAGAGAAAAGGAAAGCGGAATCAAGCGAAGAAGGAACGCAGTCGTAGGCTGCTCCTTGAAGAATTCGTCCTCATCACGATCTTTCGTCGTCTATTGCCAGTGTGGCACAGCCCACCGTCCCCGCTACGCCGAGCGCGAGGAGGTATTTGGTGGAATGGCCCTGAAACATCAGAAAATCAGGATTATTCTTGTCGATAGGGAAAAGACTCCTCTGACCTCTTTTTCGCCCGAAGGCTGGTGGTGATAGCGGGTTATTTTGGCAGGGCCTTCGAATACCTGGACGAGAGGCTCTGAAGAACTGAACGTCCTGGAAGTCCCCGATGTCGTTCGCTGCCTTACTGGTGGAGCTGCGTAAGGCCAGCTTGACGCAGACGGCTTTGGAGAGCAAAGGCCGCATTTCTCGGACGAGCTGGCCCGTCGAACGTGATAGGTGGTGGTAAAGCTACGGGCGTTGGTCTGGTGTGGGGTGTGGCAAATGCTGACGAACTTTCAACGGTCTTCATTGTCGATGAGGATTTGTATTTGTCGCGAATAAATTCGCTGGATTCAGCAAGCCGTGTTGGGGCGTCGAAGATATCAAAGATTGGTTGGAGGGTGATTTCTTCGACCTCATGGCCTGTCGAGGCTGAGGCAGAGAGGGATGACGAAGAGTGGACGAGTCTGTTCGCTCGAGCGCGGCAAACTGAGGTAATGGCACGTCGATTGGCAGTGAGTGCGGTCATGTCTGGACTTTGAACAGTTGGCGCTGACAATTGCAAACCGCAGAGGTATCGCTCGAGTATCTTTTGCTGACCCTATATATAATTTCACTGAGGAATCGCTAAACTATTCAAGGATGTATGTCTGCTGATAGAAACTGCGCTTAGGGCGACGGATGGGGAATTTTAGGACAAAGACGGACACTGACCCCATCGCTGTCGTTGACACGAAATCATTTAACCACAACCCCACGTTCTTGCGAGAGCATCTGGACGGGAGGCAAAGAGAGGCAGAAATAATAATAACAGCGAAGCGCCCGATATAGCGTTACGAGCAACCTATTGACTCGCATGAACACACACATCTTGGGTAATCGTTGGCGTTTCCTTCTTCGGTTCGCACAGTCTGCATTATTTGCGGACATGGAACGGAATTAGGGACGAGTCAGGGTGAAAGGGCCATTGGAATCATAAAAGATGCCACGAGCAATTTCTTGAGAAACATAGATCTTCTCCTTTAGCGGTTGGGTCGCACTCGTAGCAGCTTGTCAGGCACCAGCTGGGACGCAGTGGCCAAAAACCTATGGATGAAAATTTGGTTCGCCCTGAAGGAAAGTGCAAAAGTTCTTGCTTAAATTAGAGAAACGCAGTCGCTGGCAGAGGTTCCGCATAAACCCCACTCTAGAGAACAATGCTGGGCGTCCTTGCAAGTTGCCTAAAGATATGAAAACTACCTCACCCTCTTGATCATTGATAGACGTAATTATCGACCGAAGAGAATAGAGGGAATGCATCCAAGACGGGGTCAGAAACACCGGCTAGGATCTCACGCAAGTCGACAACTAGCTGGCGTCGTCAAGCGGAGGCCGATTCAAAAATGCAGCTTAGCGAGGCCTACGTCGGGTCAATAAGAAGAGCTAAACGCGAAAAGTGGCCCCTCAAGATCATATATTCCAGACGACTGTTAAGGAGGTCCAAGGGTTCCAGCTGGGAGCCTGAATGAGGGGATAAGATACGAAAGAAGGAGAAAAGAAAGCAGCAATCGGCCATGAGAGGCGCAGCACTATTCCGCGTTCCATTCTTGAAGTAAAGCAAGGTATTATACGACCTCCGAGGAAATAACAACCGGAGAATCACACTGTGAGTCCTCGACTGCGTCGCTCTGAGTCGAAAACGCAGGGTAAGTTGAGAAATCGGCAGATCCTTTGTTCTAGAATGCCGACTAGCATAGCAAGAAAATATCACCAAGAATAGATTCAGGTACCGTGGTTTGGCCAGTCATTGCACTAACGAGTGTTAAAGCTGTTCTTGACCGTCACAGTGGCTGTTTGGGCGGAAGGAGCGTCTGCTGTTTGTGCTTGTTGAATGAACCATTTTCGTTCTTACCCGGAAAGGAGATTGCGACTTCACCAACACTACTTCGACCGTCAACTTTCGCGCCAGTATTAAGCTGTCTTCCTTGGGTGTTGAATATGCAGCCTATACCGATGCAATTGTTGCCTCTCGTTCATAGACGGTACATAACCTTATCATTTTGAGTTCTTCGACTTTTTCTGATAATCTGACGACAAATAGTTGCCTACGCAGCCCTCGAACTCCAGGGTATAGTCTGACCAGAAACCTCCGGGTTACCTCGCTAGTAGGGTGAAGAAAGCTTACCGGCCTTCTCCAGAACTCACCCGGCCATGCTGGAACCATGCTGCATCCACGTGTTGCATGACCTGTCCGAAAATGTTCTCCGAATGGGACTTGGGCAGGTAACATGTTTTTGTAACGGGGTCCTGCTGCGTGCACCCGTTTCCAATCCATGAGGACGATGTTCTGAACCCTCAAATACACACGACTCCTCATCTGCGCCTTTTCCACACCTTTGTCCTCACCACCACCATGTCCTCTCCCGACGCAGAGCGCCGCTCCTCCTTGCCGCAGTGCGGCTTCGGAACGGAAACCGACTTCGATAAGCTCATCGTTCAAAATCACTTTCTCTTCCGCGTATACACTCCAAAGGAACGGTCTCCCTTCGACGATGAGACAGATCCTTTCTTCATCGCTCCGCGGTTCAATGAGCTGGTCGCTCGGTCGCCGCTAGATCTTCCAGATATCAAGTTTCCCGAAACGGCGGTTGGATCGTACGCTGATGTCGCGCGACATATGGATTGGACGACCAAGGCAACTTCACCATACATTTCAACGTCCTTTAGCTTCAGCTGGGCCATCTGGGAGGCTGTCCGTCGGTTTCATGTTGGAGTAAAGAAGGACGTAGAGATAGCTATTATCGACGCAAGTGCTCTTGGTGGTAGGGCAGCTACAGCCGTCCAATTGTTGAAGAAAAGTTCACTGAAACAGTACGTCTACTATATCCACTATTACTCCTATTGTTTCTCATCCGAACCTTAGGCGAGACGAACAGTTTTGGAAGTGGTATCGTTTTTCTAAGGACTCCCAAACTGTCCTCGTGTATGGCATGGTTCCACGACCGGCGGTCCTTGTATCAATTCCACTCCTCCAGATCCTCCGGAAGATGCCTTCGTACTTCCTACGCAAGGATATCCAAATTATCAACGACCGGAATCCCTTGGACCAAGCTGCCTGGGACTACAAGAGTCGTCGACTGAACTACCGCCAATTTTGCCAAGACATGACCACAATCTTCGCGAACCGTCCTGCTGATGTGCAGCTCCGAGACACGACCAGCGGGGCCGTCAGACTAGCTCTGGCGTTCCTACGACCCTTCTTCCATCGCGTTGTGCAAGATGACTTTGACATCGCCCTTTCTTATCTCCGCACCCTTGCGATCTCGATATCCGAATGGCCTAAGGCTGGCTGGGCGCAAGACCACCCAGAAGTCCGGCAGATTGTCGAGTCTATGGTGCTCGCGCTCGGAGAAGAGCTTCGGGAGAAATACGCTACTCAGGAGTGGGAGGAAGTGTCGCGTCTGCGGGTTGTTATCGATGGGTTGGAGCAGACAATCAAGGCACAGCACGTCGAGACGTCGACGCACCCTGCTGCGGCAGAGACATACGTAGACGTAGACGTGGATTCAGACGGCGACTTCGAAGTCGGATTATTGGAAGAGGCCGACGAACCTACGCTCGTCATGCAGGAGCCTCTCATGTCCAAGCGGCCGCCATCACTCCAGAAGATGTCGATCGCGGTGCTTCCGCGCGTACCAATCTCCTTTCAAACTCCCATCACCCCGCCAGACTCTCAGCGCAACTCGTGGTCTATCCCTACCACGACTATCACGGTCCCACTTGGCGAAATCATCTCGACCCACTTCTCCTTCAAGCCAGCTCCAGATTCTATCCAGGAAGCTCAGGGTCATAGTACTGACTCTGTAAAGTCTGTCAACTCACCTGCGTCACCTCCTCCCACACCTCCACCTCGTTCTCCTGTGTTTACGCCTCCACGGCTGTCTCCCGTTGGTGAAACACAAGTGAAGACCGATGACGCGATCCACGAGCAGATTTCGCAGGACGTGGTTGATGAGACATCAGTAGCCGAGATATCCGTTCCAAATACGGCGAAGGATAAACAACCTGCTGAAGAACCAGAGGTAGAGGACGCGTTGTTCGACAATGCTGCAGAGATGTCCTACGCTCCTGCTGAAGAAATCGAAGGCCAGGAGATCGACCACGAAGAAACCGACCACGAAGACAACGAACACTGCTTCCCATCTTGGGCCGCGATGAGCGCAGCTTCCACCCACTCCTCTCCTCGCTCCTCCATCTTCTCTCTTGACACCCTTTGCAACTCGCCCGACTTCCCTGCTAAGCGCCTGTCCATCAACCGAGCTGACTCGCTTGACTACTTCCACTTGCGCTTCTCGCCGCCAGGGTCGGTTGGCGGGCACTCGCGGACGGTGTCGTTCTCGGAGCCGCTGCCCAAGATTCCCTTTTCCGCCGTACCGCTGCCGGTGTGTGTCTCTGTGGTTGAGCCTTCTCAGCTGCCTTTGCCGCCTTCGCCCGAGTCGATGCTCGAGTCACTGCCTTCTACGCGACCAAACACCCCTTCCGTTTCCTCTCCAGTGTCTCTGTCGCCCTCGAGGTCGGCATCGCCCGCACCTTCTATTTCGGGCGCTTCGTCTACGTTGTCATCGCTTGACTCGCCTACGACGTACCGTATGAATATCGAACTTCCGCTGCCGATTGTCCCTGCCTCGACGATCATTCCGCCTAAGGGAAGAATCAGCCTGCTCTCGCCGCTTCCTGAGCCGGAAGAGGAAGAATCTGACAGGAACAGCCTTCGTTCGACCCGTGTTGGGGAAACAGCTTCCTATATTGTAACTGGGTTCCTTGTAGGCGCCTTCCTCACTCTTTTCCTTTTCTCAACGCAGCGCAGGACGCTGCTCTACGTGACATAGGTTACTCAGGTTTGATTTTTCTGTTTGCCATTTGTTCGTGGTCTGTACTTTCACTGGCCCATTTCACTGGCCTATTTATCACATTCGAAGCTGGTTCCTCCCATCCTATTTCTCTTCTTTGTTTTTATACATTTGGTTCTATATTTAGATACAAATTCCACCAGCATCTGTAGTTGTAGCATCCTAGATCCTTGTTGTACATTAGGTATGACCATATGCGATATGCACATTATGCTTCATTTCTCTTTTTATCCCGTTGTCGCTGAGTGCATCAACGAATGGTCTACTTGCGAAGTGCGTAGAGGAACCCGTCGTATCCCTTTTCGCCCACCGTGCTGATGGTGGTAGCCTCAATTTCTTCATCGCTTTGTATCGCCTTCAGCAACGCCCGGACCCCTTCGATGTCTTCGTTAGAAACATTTGGGTCTGACACACGTCCGTTTCGGACTACATTATCGACAATCTGCAAAATAAAATATGAAGTTAGCAACTTGAACAGCATATAGAGGTGCGACGGAAGGGAGATAAATCGACACTGACAATCACACCGCCTTTGCGTAAGAGTCGTTTGGATTCTTGGAAGTAGATGAGGTTGGACGGCTTGTCGGCGTCGATGAAGGCCAAATCAAAGGGCTCTTCGGGTTGCAGCTTTGGGAGCTCTTGTGCGGCGGCTCCTACGACGATCGAAACTTTCTCCGCTAAACCAGCTGCCTCGAGATTCTGGGACGCGATCTAGACGACACACGAGAATAATGCCTTAGAAGACCCAAAGGTATCTCTCGAGAAACGGAATTGTACCTTTGCGTGGCCCTCATCTATTTCGAAAGTCACTATCTTCCCGTCGGCGGGCAGTGCTTTCGCGAACCATATCGTGGAGTATCTATGAAAGAATGTATCAGTATCAATGAGTACAGCAATAAGAGAAACGCGGATAGTTACCCTCCCAAGGTTCCAACCTCGAGGACACGCTTCGCATTAATCGACTTCGCGAGGAGGTTCAGAAGCTTCCCCTGAGCAGCGGATACTCCAATGTCAGGGAGACCCTGCTCCTTGTTGTTCTTCAGTGCCTCCTCGAGTGTATCGTCCTTTGGCAATAGGAAAGAGTTGTGATACACATCCGACCGGGTCCAGTCTTCGATAGTGGTTGGGTGAGGAGCACGTCGACCTGGTGCTGCCATGGTCGAAGGAAGGCGTTCATCGAGGCTAGATGAGGGATTTTATACTCTCAGGATATGTCATAGACCCGATCTTTTTGGATGTTATCGCATGATGATGGCGCAATACATGTTCGGGTAAAAAGGGCCCAAGACACTGAATATGACTGAAAAGTGGGGGTTATCCTGGGTTATCTCTGACTCGAAGCCGAGGAGCACGCATTGAGGTGGTGGAGGTCAAATGAAAGTTGAATGTTCCCCGATGTGTCGGGCAAATACGACTGCGGTCAGATGGAGGCTTAAAATAATCTGATAAGATAATCGGAGCATCCACACTGCGATTCGGACATAAGTCAAAACCATTTCTCCCCAACAACGCGGATAGCAAGCATCTAATCTCTCCTATGACGCTCCCATACGAAGTCTACTTTCGTCCCGGAGGCCCCAAAACCTGCCAGATCGACGTAGAAACGCTGCATGACATTTGGATCCTGCTCTTGTGCCCAAGATTTGTTGTGGTATGTGATCTGTATCGATTCCAAGACCTGAAGCGTGTTCTGAGGCTGGTAGAGGGAGGGTTCGATTCGGGAGCGGAGCATAGAGATAAAGGTGTCGGTCTTGAATTCAATGTTTCCTATGTAAGAAAACGACTTCAAAGATGGTAGGCGTTGGTGGATGAGATGCTCGACAGACTCTCTCTGGCGCGGAAGGGTTAAGAATTGGGCCAGTATGTCAGAGAATATGAAACGTGGGTTTTCGTAAATATTAGTGCGGAGGATGAAATACTGGAGCCCAGGGAGTTCGCGAAGGAGAGAGAGAATTTCGTTTTCGGGAGGATATCCCGCTGAATTGATGGATAGCTTCTCCAGAGGAGATCTAGACCGAAGGAACATTTTAGTTAAAGAAGGAAGCCACTGTCCATTTTCTGAACATGTTTCGACGGTCAAACTTCGCAAGGCCGGCAGCGTCACTTGTCCAAAAAAGAGATCAAAGGTGCCAGCGATACCCCCTTCATCGCAGGAGAGGTCAACTTGAGTGAGGTGAGCCAGACAGTATATTGGTTGAGTGCCTGCGGGTCGGTTGATCAGACGTAACATTTCGAAACGTAGCCTCTTGAGGGATGAAGCCTTGCAAACAATGGTCCAGCAGTCTGAAATTTCTAGAACAGAGTAGATTTGGTGGACCGTACTCCAGTCGATGTCGAGCATTTGCGGCCTAATAAAGCCATCAAACTCGACTGTTTCCAGGCGTGGCGCGTGGCGGAAGGTCCAAAGTAATTCGGCATCCTTCCTTCCTTGGATATCGATGTGTTGAAGGTTGTCGAAATGGAGGATTCCAGATGCCAGCTCTTGGGAAAGTACTTGAAGGGAGTCACTGTTCAATAATGTGAATGATCTCCACCGTGATGCAACACCCAGAAGCAGGCGGATAGTTTCAATCGGCGGTTCCATGTCTTCACTTCCATAATATCGACAAAGGGTGATGTCCAATAGATGACTGGCAGATCTTTTAAGCCACTACTCGAGCAAAGCATGCTGGGCATGCTGCCGTCGCGCCGAAAAGGTTATCGAGAGAATGCTCCACAAGCGCGGTGTCGATTGTACGATCTTCCTCCATGATCTGCAGACACGCCCAAGGAAGAATGGACCCGGAATAGAGGTTATTTGCAACATGGAATATTCCAAAAAATCACCGCGCAAAACAGCCACGTTTTCGCGCACCACAAATGCCCCACCAGAGCCTCAACGCGGACCAGGGGCGAACTTGACCCACGACCATAGCCGGTTCGCTGATGCCTTCACCTCAATTTGGTCATCCTCACTGTCCGAGTTCAAGCTCAACGATCTCATTGACGTTGGTGACTGATGGCAGCCCAGTTGATCTACCACCAGAGTCGACCGGCCGCGTCGTAGAATGTCACTCGTGGCCGTGCACGGTTCTGGGTGCCATCTGTAGTATGTCTGATGTCAAAATCATACATATTCCTCTCTGTGAAAGTATTTCTCCAGTGCCGGTTGGTGGCTCGCGGTCGAAGTTCGGTGTCTTCGTTGGTCCAAGCCATTTGCCAGTGTTAGTCAAAATAGAATCAACACGATAAGAGACCCCCGAAGGCGAAGGCGAAGATGAAGCCAGCGCAACCACCAAACGCCGACAAATGGCACGCAACCCGACGCCCCAGCCATGACGTCTTTGGAATCGGTTCGTACCCACATTCCTATTATAGAGTACATCAGTGCAGGCTGGTCCAGCTGGAGCCATTGTGGAGCGAACCGATATTCTCCGAAAAACGTTACGTTTTCTCGCAACATTTTGAGATAACCCAACTGCAAATAACCTCTAATGCCTGCTTCCCATCTTTGACTCTTGAGCTTGGTGACGAGGAAGAAGACTTCGGTCAGCGTCTCCAAAGCCAGACGCGTCATGATTGGGGTTGTCGTGTTCAGTTCTTCCTTCAGGTCATAGATCCTGTTCTGCATGGCCTGGATCGCATTCTTCGACGCTAGAATATCCTCTTCGATCCTCCGACGCCTAACATCTTCTGTTGGAGCTCGTTTCTCGGTCATGTTACACGGGCAGACAGTGTGGTGAAAAGAAAAGACAAGTATATCTTGCGGAGAAAACTTAATCATGAGGTGAGAAACAACGAGATATGAAGCACGAACGTGTCTTTATGTCACCGTTATGCAATGAACGCTTCGAATTAGTTGAAAAGGTAGGTTGGATCTAGTGAAGTAGTTGAACCAAAGTTGAACGTTTGAACGTTGAACACGGAACAGGCAGAGAGGAACCGTGAATTTGTTGCGTTACGTAATCGTGGACAGGGGCCGCAGATGCTTCCCGGTCGACAGCTTGAACGGTCTGGTTGAACTCACCGAGAAAATAGTATGGCCATGTTATAGAGTAGTTAGCCTCATGTTGAATTCAAGTTGAATCCCAACAGGTAAGACCCGGCAGTGAATCTGTCCTGAAAAGTGGTTTGACGTTACGTGTTGGACGTTGTACATAAAATTCCAATTTCCACTGGCACTATTCAAGAAGATTATCCAACTATATACCGTACCTAGATCGAACCTTTCCTGCTATGATTTCACTTCAGGATCCCAAACAAGGTCCACTACAATCCCAGCAAAAACCATCTTCGCCAGGGCAAAATAAAAATGTTGCATCCTATTCGGGTTTTGTTCCTGAGCCCATGATTTGTTATGATAAATAAGCTTGAAGGATTCCAGTTTTTGAACCAAGGTGGTATGTTCGCCTTCCGGGCGTTGAGACCCAGTCCGAGACTGGATCATGGAAAGGATAGTTTCAGGATCGACTTCAACATTTCCGTTGTAGGAAAAGGATTTCAAGGAAGGGAGGTATTGGGAAATGGGGCGTTCATAGGGTTCCTGTTGCGGAACTGTTAGGAAATCCACTGTGGCATCAGTCAATGGGGTCCTGGAGCGACCAGTTAGCGTTGTACAGAGAGTTAGGTGCTCGAGAGAAGGGAGGAAGCGAAGGAAATCGAGAATTTCATCTTCGGAGGGGTTTCCCGCTGTAGTGATGCTGAGGTGAGTTAGCGTGCACTCGGATCGATCGATGGAATCAAGGAAGGAACTCCACCACTGTACACGTTGCGAGAATAGGGAGACTTCCACCGAAAGATTCTTCAAGGCAGGTAACAACACTTTGCCAAAAAGGGTGTCGAAGTTTTGCCCTTTGCACTCGGAGCGGACGGAGAGATCGGTGAGGAAAGCGAGATCTATGGGTTGGGCTTCTGGGTTGCATAAGAGAGTGTGCTCTTGTAAATGAGTATCTTCGGGTTCTTCATGCCTCATGTCGAACTTCAGTGTCTTGAGGGACAGAGCTTGAGGGAGGACGAACATGCAGTCTGTGATGCCGACAGTAGCATCGAGGTGATGGACAATCTTCCAATCGACGCAAAGATTAGACGCCCGACCCAGTCGATCAAAACGAACTGTTTTCAATCGGGGTGGGGAGTGGAAGTTCCAAAGCAGACATCCGTTGGCATGGCCATGAATGGCGACGCTTTGAAGATTGGGGAAGTGATGGAATTCGGATGCTAATTCGTCACGAAGTCCTTGGAAGGGTCCACCATCGAGTACTGTGAACGATTGCCACTGCGCCGATGATGCGAGTAGTAAGAGAATGGTTTCTTGTGGAGGCTCTCCACTTTCCGGGTCGGAAGTAGTAGATTTGGGCATTGGGCGGTATATTCTGACATCCAATGGGTAATTGGCTGACCTGGTGAGCCACTCCTTGAGCATGCGCCGCTGGCCTTCTTGTAATTCTGTCGAAAACGAGATGGAGATAGTGCTCCATAAGCGTGGTGTCGATTGTACCAACTTCCTCCAGGCTGTACAGACCTGGGCGAGGAGAAAGGGAGTTGGCATGGTCATCTTTGGCATCGTGTCCACAGACTCATTGATGAGAATGAAGATCCTGGCCAGCATCTCCCGAGTAAGACGTTTCATAATAGGAGTGTTTAAGTTCAGCATTGCCTTCAGCTGATACTTTTTCTTGCAGAAGACCTGTATGAGTTTCTCGACATTCTCTATCGCCTCCGTAATCTTATCATAGTCCGCCATTGGAGCACCATTCTTGTCCATTGAGTATTAGCTGACGCGACGAAGGGGCCCGGGGGTTGGGTTGACGTTGAACGCGACCTGTGGAAACTACAACATTCAACAGACATCTCTCCTTATGAGAAAGCCCATAAAATGAGAGAGATAAAACTTACGAGAATATACTCCGTTGCTCAAACTACGCCTCCCAACCCCGCGAGGGCCTGGCATCGGTGGGTAACTTCGATTATGGCTTTGTTTCTCACGCCCGGCCCGCGCCGATCGCTCGTCTGCACTGCAGGTCCCCTAACCCTAACCTTCTTCTTGGCCTTTGCGGATGCAACCACTGTCACACTCTCTCCGACCTATTGGGCCAATTCAAGACACCTTCCTTTCTATGGTGCGCTCCCGCGTCAAACCCTCCAAACATGAGTCTTGCGGCGCACTTCAAACCCTTGAATCCATCAAGAACATCTACCACAACAACTTGTGGGCCCAAGAGCAGGATCCAAACGTCGTGCAGCATTTCTATGTCAACCCGGCATTGGGCGCCTCTGGGCCGAAAGTGGACTTCACCTTCATATGGGAGCCCCACATGGAGGACTCGGATTAATATTAGGTCAGTTTATGTGGGATATCTGTACGGCATCGTGTCCACAAATAGGAAATAAACAACCGCCGCTGTGTGGCGGTGGCGGGCGCTTGATGTTCACTGCGGATGCTTTCGAGAAAGACCTCGGAATAATTCACTTGACAATTGCCTTCTATTGCCACCCTGCGACGCATGTGGACTGCGTGGCCGTCACTTCGACGTCAATAGCAAGGCAGTGCGATCAACATGCCTAGTCACTTGTATACGATGGGCTTTATTATGTCCTCCGTTTGGCACCTCGATTCTCCAATCATGAAAACCTGACCACATGCACCACTGGAATGACCCACAGGCTTGCAAAGGCATCGACTTAATGTCTCCTTATGGATCTATCGGCAACAACATTCGTGATGTTGTATACGGATACAATAGCCTCGGAAATAAGTATAGAAAAAATCAAGCAGTGGCCACCATCAGGGCGAGTCACTTGTTGTCGCCGCCGACTACGCCGCCTTGTGGGTCCACTCTGTATGCAGGTGACAATTGTTTGGAGGTACATAAGGAGCGCTGTGTCGCCACATCATAAATTACTTTTTCCCCTTTTCTCCTCCCAATCCAGAGTCAACCAAAGCTCGCAGCACGACTCTCTGATGGGCGAAGCAAAAGATTTTCACAGAGCCAATGATATCTCGACGATGTTTGGGATAGAACGGCAAGGCATTCAAAGCCAAATCGAAGCGAATGGCCGCAAGATCACCCTCCTTTATGTTGCGCTCAACAGCAAAACCCACATTATGCGACTGCCCATCGAGATGTTGACCGAAATATTTTCCCTCTGCAACGAGAGCCAAGGTCCAATCACAAAGCTTGGGGACTCGCTTCCAACGTCGCTGATAATTGCCCGCGTCTGTCACTCCTGGAGAGAAATCGCATTGGGAACCCATCGCCTCTGGTCTATCCTTACCATCAAATTCTCCAAGAAACGCTACTTGACTCAAGGGACACTCCTACGCGAATAGTTGGCTAGGTCCAAAGAATATCCACTTTCTATATGCTTGGACGATTCGTACTGCATCTACGTCCCGCTGGACGCCTGCTACAACGTCTTGGCCATCCATGCTGAACGGTGGTCTTTAAAGGGAATACGTTCTATTCCTTCCACTCATTCCTTTATGTGTGGCATAGTGGCACATGTAAATTGGATTTCCCCCTCTTGTCGAACGTTCGCATCCGTAGAGACGACCGATTTCCGATCGAGCGAACGAACTTTGATGGCTGGGCGCTTAATTCCCCGTTGGCACTACGTGAGCTACGCATCTTCGTCCCCACCCAGCCTCCGACCTCAGGAAATCAATGGAATATGCTGCAACATTTGTCCGCCTCTTTCGACGCCGCCGGCTTTCTCTCTGTGGCGTCCCTGCTTTTCTCACTCCAAACCCTCTCTCTTTTGATAAAGCCTCCGCTGGATGACTCGGAAACCTTTAACCTCCAGGCTTCTGCAGAAGCCAATCACCTGCCACAGCTCACAGAATTCAAGATATACGTCGATGACGCAGATGGTTTTATCGGCTTGTCGGATGTGTTTTCGAGCCTCTCCGTGCCGGTTCTGCGCCACTTTGAGTTCGACAGTGGCGACTTGAACGGCACCTGGTTTCGGGCCTTCATCTCTATGCTCCGTCGATCCGAGGGCTGCCAGCTCGAAAAGATTGTGCTAGTTAATGAGCAATCGGCACAGGAGGATTTGGCCCCCCTCTTTGACTTACCGGCCCTTTCATCGCTCACGCATCTCCATATCAACGCGAAAGACCGCCAGACCCAGGCATGTCCTCTTTCCGAGATGGAGCTAGAAGCATTGAACCCTCGTCTGACGAGGAACAGTGGCCGTCTGAGTGCCTGTTTGTTGAACCTGAAAGTCTTGTCTTGCAGTGGACATTTTGGCGTCGAGGATTTGGTCAATCTGATCTCCCTGGTCAAATCACGGGCACTATATGTCACGGAGCGTCAGGAGGAGCAACAGTCGATTCCAAAGGCTGGCGAGCTACTAGACATCCAACCTCTCCAAACTGTGAAAATCATTCATCTCGCACAGTCTAGGGCACTTCAGATAATTCAAGCGAATACTCTAGACGCACTGGAGGACCAAACTGGAACCAAGGTTATTCTGCAGTCAGAGGACAAGGCTGAAATCTGTTCGTCAAGGGTGTCGAGTTATTACTTTCACAACTACGACGCGTCACTCTTGGAAGACGCTTTGCTGGGGCGCCGATGGCCCGAATGTGAAAAGCAAGGAAGTCCGCAGTATTAGCTGAGGGAAGGGGAAAGGGATATCCGAGGTGGCGAATAGAAAGGACTTAAGTACAGAGGGCTTCCAAGTGGTAGTCGATTTCTTACTTCTTGTATTGAATTATTTGAAAAAAGGGTTGATCCCAGGGTATCTACACCAAACAAATTCGCTGTAACAACTTCCATTATAACTCAAAGCGGGCAGTTAGAGTTGCCTGGAGAGTGCAGTGACGGCATCCTTCTCAGCTTGGGTGGCGCCAACAGCGTTCTATATCACGAATGAATTTCGTCCGCAAAAGTCCAACGGAGAGCCAAGAAAACTAGCGCACCTTCAGAACCTTGCCCAGCTGGTGCTCGACGGTATCAGCGACGCCGAGCCTGACGCCTTGCGCCGTGCGCACACGGGCGATTTGGAACTGGAGGAAGAACTTGGCGCCCTTCAGCCTCCCAAGGATGTTCGAGTTGGTCGACTGTCCGTAGTAACCATATCAGCGGTGCAAGCGAACAGAGGGATCAAAGGGCCAAACGTACGCGAACGCCAACCTCCATCGCAAGGTAGACGTTAAGCTGGTTCTGCAGCGTCGCCAAATTCGCTGTGGCGGGGTCGGTGGGCGTCTTGAAGGTGTCACTACATGAGAAATCGGTCAGTTGTCGCACATAAAACCAGACGATGCCGTGTGTGCGACCCACAGAGCAAATCCGACAGGGCTCTTCCTGGACGACTGGAAGTCGATGCTCGAGTAGGAGATTCCTCCAGAAGTGACGTCGGGAACTCCTCCGGTGTTGGCGATAGTCCTCGGGCCGCAAGTTACCTGGCCTATATGGGAATAAGAATCCCAGGCGTGCGCCTTGCAAGATGGTTAATGGGGTCTTACTGGCAAGTACCGGGATACCGTTGGCGACTTCAGCTGGGAGAGCCGTCCGGCCAACAACAAAACACGCGGTTTGACGGCGCTCGAGGGTCGGAGCCGCGCCAGCTGATGAAGTCGTTCTTGCATTCAGCCTTTGAAGAACGTGGCACAGGAGTGTACACGCACCAAGGGTAGCTGCGACCGAGAGCGCAGCGACGATCTTAGCAAATCCAAACATTGCGATGAATTTAAGAGGCTTGAATGAAAGGGGTCCGGAGAAAGCAAATTTGCACTTGAGAACGGTATAGACGGCTTAAACCCTCGAGGTCTGCAGGTCTGAATGAATGACAAAGTTCGACTGAACGCAGTTGGGATGCCGGCCCAAAGAACGTGAGGGAGAAAGAGAGGGGAAGGGAGAAAACGAAAGGGATGGAAAACGCATGGTGCGTCGTGCTGGGTGCTTTTTATACAAGGAGCACCCGCGTGATTCGCGTTGGTCGATCAATCCCAGCCGAGGAAGGGGTTGGCATGGGCACTGTTCCTGCCTGCAGTGTTCCTCCGTGTTCCTCCCGGCCATCCGACGTGTGCATGAGATCATACGCAATTTGGAAAAGGGGCTGGAAGCAGTTTCGCAGAAACGGAAAGTCCCAGACTAGGACTCGCCAGGACTCGGCGCCAAATGATGTTCTTGTTGCTGAATTCGCTTGGACTCGTTCAACCACCCTTGTTGAAAACATCAACCACATGCACCAAGTTTACGCAGGAAACCCTTCACAATGTTCACATCACCCAGTCCCTCACCCTCCTCGCCTCTTCAGCTCTGCGTTGCACGATCTCGTTCACTCTCTCGCCCCACAGCTTCTCCGGCGTTGTATCCTCCTTCGCTGTCCCATCTGGTGCCCAACACTCCCTCACATGCTTCTCAGCATCGTTCAGCTCAAAAACGACACAGTTGTCGACACTCAGCGGGCGTCTTGGGTCCCATCGAACCAAGGTTGGACGAGTCGGAACGTCATGAGGAGGGACAATAGACCGGCCACGGTGAATGTCCTCGAATATCAACGCGATGTCGTCTTCGTCAATCGGCAGGCGGCTAGCAGCAACACATGAGACATGAAGAATTTAGGCGACGATCTAGAGAAAGGAACTCACTTTATCTGATGGCCTGCGATCTTTATTTCGCGGTGCAGCAGGTCCCTATAGAGCCTCTCATACAGCTTTCTTCTGTTCTTGATAGGCAAAGGGTTGCTAATGGGTCTATCTGCCAACTCGCACAGGATGTACGTGGCGATGTTCAGACCGAATATCGAGGGCAGCGGACCGAGCACTGGCAGGATGCGCACACGAAAATCGTCAAACGCGCCGAGCTCCTTCACCGGCCCCTTTTGGAACTCTTCTTCAGGTAGCGGCAGGAGCTTGACGTCACCCTGCACTTCAGTGGAGTAGACGACTGGAATGCCTGAGTCGACTCCAAGGAGCCGTAGTCGTCGTCGCACTGAGCGGGCGAGAGGGTCGTAGATAGTATAAGAGATGTCACTAATTTGTATTCGCGTAGGATCGCATTTTGCACCGGCTCCCATCGAGGAAAAAACCTGCTCAATACGCGTCAAAATACGAGGAAGATGAACGGAAAGGTATTGCGTACCTTGATATTGTTATCATGGCAATATTTTAGCAGGTCGACTTTGGTCTGAATATTGTCGATAGCATCTTGAAAAGAAAGTCAGTAAATGTGAATAGGGAGGACCAAACTTTACTCACCCACAACCCAGTCAGCACCCTCTAACAGATCTCCACCTTCATCCTTCCGCCATAACTCTATGCGCGAGTCGACCTCTACCCATTTTGCGATTTGCTTCAGTGCTTTCTCTATGCACTTGACCTTGGGTGTCCCCACATCTGCCAGACCCGCCGTAGCATGTCTATTGAGCGATGAAAGCGTCACGTAGTCAAAATCCACCAGCCGGATTTTCGAGATACCTCTGCACGAAAAATTCAATCCTTGGTCAACAGAAGAACAGCAAAACTCATGAGAACTCACGATCTTACAAGCATCACAGCAGCCCAGCTTCCAACGCCTCCACATCCAACGACTACAACCCTGCCAGACCGAATCTTTCGCATGCCCTCCTCGCCGAAAAAAGCGTAGTTTCGCGCCAGCTGTTCCCGAATCAACACTTCGTCATATTCCCCGCTGCGTCCTAGCCTCACAGCCTCCAGAGAGACCTTCGACTCCGTAGTGCTTTTCGCTTCCTCCAGCTCGGACGAATCTTGCGATGTGAAATCATGGGCAGAAATGGAGCGGTTGATTTCACGGGCGAGCTCTTTTCGCCTAAGACGCCTCGTATACGCGCTGTAGGCTTGCAAAAGACTCACAGTCGCCAAAGACGCTGCTGCTGCTGTTACGATTAGCTGTGTCTTGTGCGAGAGGTCGAGAGTGGTCATATTGCACCGTTAAGGACGTGATGGTCATCGACAACAAGTGTCAGCTTACACTAAAACGTTGTTCACACGGTTATTGACCAGTCAACCAATTCAAGTTCATTGTTGAAGAATTCAATCTAAAAAGTTGAATACCGACTTGGTGTAGTGACGAAAATAATAGTCCGAATCCTTCAACGCGTCCTCGGAGTCATCAGAATAGAGCTCCAGCTTCGTCCCTGCCTCCCTTGAAAGTTCTTCCAAACTAGAACTGTTTGCAATCGCGTCGAGCACCATCGTCATCTCAGTATCTTGGTAGTGATTGCTGTAAGATATACGAACGTGCTGTAGGCTCCTTGATCCCGTTTCCTGGTCCCTTCCGCATTCAGCAAGGTATTTCGCCCGCGACTTGATCAGTGAAACGACACCTGCAACGGAGTCGAAGTTGCACTCGCCAGCGTAAGACAAGACCTGTAGCTTGAGCAAGCATGCCTTCATTGAGGGCTCGTTGGCTGCAATGCGAGGGTTCAGCCTGTCGAGGACCTCGTTGACAAGGAGGATGCTTGAAGAAGTGACGGTGTCGATATGGATACGCGTCAGTGAGGCAAGATTGGGCAAGAGGAAGAGGGTGACGATGTCGTTTTTTGACAGCTGCTCGGTCACAAGGATGAGTGTGTCGATGTGAGAATCTGAACGAGTGATCATCGAGATGAAGGAGGACACCCAGGGATGCTCGGAGAGCCCGGTGTTGAATTCGACGTGGTGTAACAGGGGAACAGTGAGGTTAGATAAAATATCGGTGAAATGGTTATCTTCGTCCGAGTCCGTGAGGTATATACGAAGTTCTCTGAGTTCTGGTAGGGTGAGCGGTGAGCGTGGGTCTTCATGCTCTTCTGCATCGTACATAGGGTGAAGACGAAGCGAACAGGTCCGCAGTGAACAAGCTTCCTTCGCAACAAGTAAGAATCCGCGGACATCGAACGACCCCCGGTCAAGTGTTGGAGAATGCCCCAATTGACGTCGTACATTGAGGGAGTGGTCGGGATGAGAACTTGCAATTGATGCAGTGTTGGAGGACAATTCAAGGACAAGATCCAATTTGCAGACTCCTCGCTAAGATGACGCCTGCCTAGGATATGAATAGAAGTCAGAAGAGGGAAAACAAGGCCAGAGGCTCTTTTCTCCCTGGTATATTTGGAAAGAAAGGCTTGAAACGAATTCCCTTGAAACGCAAGGACCTTCCACCTGCAGCAATGTTCGATCAGCGCGCCGTAATATCCTTCGTCCATGAGCCCACAAGATTCTCCAGCGTCGAGGGTGATGCGAAGAGGATGATTTGCGGACCTTCGTAGCCATTCTTCCAACATTTTCATTCTTGCAGGGGATTTTCGGTCTGACAATAGAAGGTAGATGTCGCACCAGACGCGAGGCGTCGAATGTGTAATTGCCCTCCAGGAGTGACACACCCACCCTATCAGAAAAGGCATCGGACGAGAGGTGCGAGTAGCTCCTATTCTGCTGCAAAATGAGAACATTTCCGCCAACAGTTCGACCGGCAGACGCATGATATGTGTTTTGCTGTTCAGAACCGTGTAAAGACGAATGATTTTATGTTTCTGAGCCTCAATGTCGGATAGAACTTGCTTCCTAGCAACTAGCATATCTTCGTTGTACTTGTGGACGTAGTCCTGGCGTTCCATAAGACTTTAGACGAAAATGAATGGAAAGGGGAGAGACCAAGTTAGGATCGTGACTTTAGTCACACTTTCAGCCCCTATCCGTCACCAGTCACATACATTTCCAGTCTCCTCAATACAATCTCAATATCTCTTCCTTTTTGCTTCCTTTCTTTTTTGTATGTGGCATCGTATACTGTTAACCAGCGACGCATAAGCTGTAAATATGCAGCAGTTTGTACTGAGCTACGTAAAACTGTTAGAATATTGGGAGGCTGTGCGAGCGTGCGCAATGCACCCAACATAGGTACATTTCTCTTATCATTTTGGTTCTACATTCTCTGGAGCTGTGGGCTCCATTTTACATTTATCTCCTTTTATTTCGTAGACTACACTATAGTATATAAGTAGGATACTATGTACCATAGCTACTATCCGTTTGCCTCACGAGCTCACCGAGGTCAAACGGAAATCTCATCTTATCTCGATTTGGATTCCCGAGCTTATTTCAACAAAAACGTTTGGGGTCATTTTGTGCTGATATGACAGTTGCATCTCAGATTCGACTTTCATGGGTGACTGCCAACGACAATGCGGGATGCTGCAGCAGGCTTTTCACCAGCAAGAGGCCATACAGTATTGAAATGGCTTTGGTTGCGAACAATATTCAAGTCTTCCAGCAAAAGCTGGTTGTTCTGACTGAAAGATTAAACACAACCTCCCCAATCATGGTGCTCCTTCCATTGGAATTTGGAAGTGTTGGTTGAGATTTTTTGGTTCTTCATCAATTCGGACCCGGGTTACTTCGGCAAGCTATCAGCCCCATTCAAACTGGCATGGCGAAGGATTGTCTGGTCGATGCTGAACCTGTAGACATCCCTTGAAGTGGAGTTTTAACTTTTTGACAGCGAAGTGCCAAGTCCACCAACAATTACTGGAGGTTTGGATCACCAACTCAGTGGGCGGCCATATGGTTGACCATGCTGGACAAAAATACATGAAATTGGTTTTGTTTCACGAATGTGAGCGATCGGTTCCGATAGTGAGCGATTGGTGACAATCGTTGACAATTGTTAGCTATTATCCACTAGTTCTTACAAATACTCCCGATTCTTTGACATTTGGACCAAATAGTGATGAATGGCTGCAATTTGCCTCGATTCCGCTTTGTCACTTTTGGTCACCATTCGCAACTGTCTACTAGTAACAATAAGTTTCTATAAGTGTTGATGCTACCTACGATAATATTGTAATGGGCATCGCTATTCGTCACGATTTCTGATGCCACAACATTGAATTTTCATTTAGTATGGAGGGAAATTGTAAGAAAAGGGGGCTCATCATCACTATTCACTATGAATTGTAAAGCCATTCAAGCTGCTTCACAACCCATCATAGAAGTTTCTCATTATTTGTCACGATTCGGGGTTTAGACATTGTACTTTCATCAACAGTTAGACCCCACAGTCATTTCAACAATCCTGCTGTTGCAGCTAATAAGGGCTGGACCTGTGTCTGAGTCATGTGCTTGAGCATGTGGCATGATATCACAACAAGAGAGATGAGTACAGAATGTATATACAGTGCGAGTTAAATGAGTATTGTTTTACATGGACTAACACAAGGCAGATTAGCTCTGGAGGCATAGCAGGTGAGTTAAGAAATGGGACAAACACTGATGTGCCTATGGTAGGGTGATCATGCGAATAAGGAATGAATAACACACACCCAAAACACCATTATGAGTGGCTCTGAGGTGTGAGGAAAGGTTCCCAGTTGTGTGGGGGCATGTGCGACTCAAAGACAGATGGTGAATGTGGGCACTAAGCGTGGGAACAGGATGGCGATGACAGTGAGATCGAAAGACAGGGTGATGGTGGGTCAAGGCGGTGAGTTGAAACGAGGCTGAGACAAGAGACAAAGAGTACAAGGGGCAAGGACAAGAGACAAGTGCCCCGAGTGGGCAAATGAGATGAAAACTGTATGTTATTGGAAGAAAAAACTAATTACAGACCTTTTATACCTAAAACAAAAAGATTCCTAGGCATGATGGTAGCGAACGAGTGTACCAAGGATGTGAGCACAGTCTCGTGTCGTCCAGACACATTTTTGAGGAGTGGATCCTTGGCAGGTGACAGATACTTGGGAATGAAACACTTCCAGACATTTTGACTATTTGTGAAGGGCGGTAGTGGGGGGTGCAGCAGCGTCAATTGTTGAGATGTTTGTTGCTGCGGCAGATCATCGTGAACAATTGCTGTTGGGGAAATGAAAGGCTGAGAGTCAAAAATTTGACCACTGGGGTTGAGAAGGCATTTGAGGTGTTGATTCTCATCGTCTAGAGGGAGATAGGAGCAGAAAGTGGCCAAAATCTTTGATATAACAGAGTTGTTGAGGTTGGGAGTGTGGTCAGGATGGAGAGTGCAATAGGAGGGCTTGTACCTGTCAAAATTGGCAATGAATGCATCTGGTGGGCTGGGATATGGGCTAGAGGTAAGTGTGATGCTCGGAGGGGCTGAATAGAATGTATCGGCGGATTTCTCAGGCAGTGGTGCCTTCTTTGAGTGTGTTATCATTCAGGTGAGTCCCCTTGGTCGTATGGGATCACGTGGTGGTTGTTTTGGAGTTATGGGGTCAAATTTCAGCAAATAGGGATGGGAGCTCATACTGGATGATGGTGGGTGAAGTATTCGACAAAATGTCACAGTTGGCAGGCGCTAATTCAATGTCGTTTGCAAGTGGTAACATGAGATACACGGTGCCAAGTTTCTTGGGTGTTTCTTGCTTGAGTGCAGTGTTGACGGTCTTGTCTTGCAAGTAAACATAGATGGCATCTGGTGCTTCTCGAATAGTGCATTCTGGAGCGATATCTCGGTCAGCGGCAAGCACAGGGCATCAGGAAGCAGCAGTGAGGTGGGAGTAACTTCTCCTTCATCTTGGAAAGTGGTGCAAGGCATCTGAGCAAGCATTTGAGCAACAGCAGTGAAACTGGGGAGTTGTCGAGCATGGAGGTGAGATAACTCAGCTTTGACAGTGGCGATGTGATCCTTCTTTGATGTCTGCTGTGTAGATCAAATTTCGGAGGCAAAGAATCAATGGTGGTGGGTGGTGTCGTTGAGTTGAGAAGCATGCTGGTGGCAAGCTGGTTCGGATTTCGACAATGCCATTCATCAATGTGATCTTTGAGCAAATTGCCCAGAATATCCTTTGGAACAAATGCTCCTAATGGAAGGACAACTTTTCCTTTGACATTTCACCTACACTTGCCAGCGTGAGAGTACTCCATGACAAGTTCACAATCCTGCATAAAATGGGCTCTTCCACAAAATCCTGCAAGCTACTGGGGCTGGAGACAACAAAGAATGAGGCTGGCAAGGCTGGTTCGACTGCTGAAGGGCTCCAATGATCGTTTTGGTGAGTTCTGAGAAGATTGGGCCGAGCGCTTTGAGTTTGACAGAGTCTGGTGACGGAGAAGTTGTCAAAGTTGTTGCTGTGGGCAAGGGCGACGGAATATTGCTAGACAATCCATGAAGGGCAAAGTGTGCGGCATCCATAACGTTCTCTATGGTGTAGGGTGTGTCTGGGAAATGATCAGGGTCCTCGATCTCTAGGCATCATGAAACGAGAGACCATAAGTCAGGCTGGAATCCTCGGGTGAAAGGTTCTTGCTCCATTGTGGAAATGTGCCATTTGGTGATGAGAAAGGTGGTAATTGGCAAGATCACTGAGCAAAAGGATCCCAAAACTCATTGTAGGTAGCATCAACACTCAAGAATTTGGCAATGCACTCCCACAGGTCAGCAACATCAAGATCACACCATGCAAGCGCCAAATAGAGCAGGTTCCGCTTGGCTGCCACTCACCCAATCAGCATCCTTCCCAGCTTTGGGGCCTCAGCAGCTCAGCTGATCACACTTGATCTCGATCTGAGAAGCCTTCCCTGGTCAACGAGAGCTTTGATTGGGTCGCTTAATTCAGCAGACTCACCTATGACACAAGGGGTGGCTACGTCTTTCACAGATTGTGGGCAACCAGGGAGGGGCTGACATCATCGAGCCCAAGTCTGATTTATTAGCATATACAACCTTCTGAGCTTTATTATTGCTTTTCCAGGGATTCATGTGAGCCATGGTTAATAGGTCTATCTACTATATAGGTATTTGATGCCTGTGAGGTCCTTGTGGATGGAAAGAATTGTTGGAGAGAGCAAGGCCATCTCGCATCGACTGAACTTCAGGGCCGGTGCAGGCTGCTGGACACATGCCACCTGCTTAGGGTATTTCTTTCACACAGGCATGCAAGTACTTGCACAATCATGTGTATTATGTACGGATGACCATCAGTGACTATACAAATAAATTTATTGGCAGAATATCTGAGCGTCGAATAAAATCGTGAGGAATCGTGAGGAATTGCAAGGAGTCATGAGGAATCATGAGGAATCATGAGGAATCATGAGGAATCATGAGGAATCATGAGGAATCATGAGGAATCATGAGGAATTGTGAGGATCAGTAAGGAATTGTCGACTGCCTAGACAATAAAATCATGTGAGAGAAAAAGTATTCACCGCACATTGTCAAAAATTGGGTTGAATAGAGACTCATGATCCCTTTAAAATAGTCAGTTGTAGCCAAAGATTTTCAGATCTGGTGAAGGAATTTTTTTATCCTGGCTGGGCAGAAGGATTTCGACTCACATATTGTCAAATTGTGACTCTGTTAAAATCCAACTATAGCCTCACAAAAAGTTTCATGCGCTTGGTGAAAAATTGCGGTCTGTTGTTGCCGATTGTTAACGATTAGGGAAGAATCTCTGAAAAACGTGGCATAGAGACCAATCAGGAACGATTGAGGCCAATCGGGGCTGATTGCAGGAGAAAGTAGATTTCACAAGGGGTATAAAATGAAATAGGTGTATTTTTGTCCAGTACAGACAGTCATACAGCCAACCTCTTGATTTGAAACGTGCGTTGTGCAACAGTTTATGGGAACCCCTGGTTGACACTTATCACATCCTCCTTTCAGCAGTGTCAAGGTGGCGGCACTTCTCTGCATATAGTGATTTCCCTGAGCTTTGGCAAGAACTAGCGCGAGGTTTGTACTGCTTTGATTTTTTGCTTACCCTTCAATTTGAAGAAATTCCCTGGTCCTGAGCCAGCTCTGGAAGATCCAGCCCGACTGTTGCCATAATGCGTTGATGTTGCGAGTTCCTTGGGGCGAGATTCAGCACTTGAATGCAACATTTCATCCTCAGGATTGGTTGTCGGTATTGCGTTCTACATGTTATCTTATATTCTGCCAGCTCTTGCTATATCCGTCAACGACGCCCTGTCGTCAGCTTCGAAAACATGCCAATTGTCCTCAAAAATCTCTCTTATCTCTCAATCAAGCCAGAATTTGATGAGGAAGGAAGGGACCCAGACCTACAGCCATTAATTGATGGCATAACCTTACCTGCCCTGAAGGACCTTCAAGTAACACTGTTTGGTGAAGATATTGAATGTCCTCCACAGCTTCTTGACATGCTGCACCGCTCTTCATGCAAGCTTACGATCCTCACATCGGCCTCCAACCTCTTCAGTGGCACTGATGTTGTCTCCTTCCTCACCAACTGCCCCACCCTCATCAAATTTTCCCTTCAACCTGACACTAACATCCATTGTCCAACACTTTCAGATCCCTCTAAGGCACTCATGATGTCTATGTGTTCACCAAATTTGACGGCCTTCAAGCTTTCACAGACAATCAATTTCACGCCATCCACCATGGTCTCAAAGAGAGGGTGAAATGGGCCTAGAAATATGAGGTGCCTCTCAGAGGAATCCCTGTGATCGAAACGCCTCAGGCAAAGGAGAAAGATCCCAACGTGATCATGCAATTTCACTTACAATTCGCATCCAGCCAATGTTGTGATGGCCTGCAATGAAAGGATACGAGGAATGGAATGAGGACCCTTTCCGGAAGTTGGAGGGGAGGATCCAGTGGATGCCTCTTTACAGCTTTCTGAACTATGGCTTTCCACTTTCCAGTCTGTGTAGCAGATCGTAACATATGATCAAAATTTCTTATGACAACTCCAGGAAAAATCTGAGCTGAAGCCCCGCTGTTGGTCTTGTCGCCTTTCTCTGGAGCATGAACCCAAGACATGGTCCATTGCCATTCAAGGCTAAATCCAACATCACTACATTGATCAATGCTAATTTTGATGACCCAACAATGACCAGCCTTTTGTTTTCAATTTTGAAAAGACATGTACTTGTGATTGATGCGTAGTACTATCCCTTTCCAGCTGTTTGCGGATCCGGGGTGTCTGCGTTTTTGGTTTTGGGCTCCACTCATTTGTTGTATCATCCTGAAAAAAATCCAATAAATATGCAATGCTTATATTAAGAGGCTCATCCACTTTTTGAAGGGAAAGCTTGGAGTCTCATTCCAAAATCAAAGATATGAGTTTTCAATGACACCAAAATAGGGCAGTGTAACCAAATGTCGAGTGTGATGGCAGCACCTCAAGCTTGCCTGAAACTTAAAAACTTCATATTTCTCCAAACTAGTAGCATCCGAATTACCGTTAGAAATTTCAGAGGTAGAGCTGTCAGCCTTGCAAAGATAATTGACAATTGGTAGAAATGGTCATTTGAAGAGTGACATGTTGTGATTAATTCAATCTCCGCCTGCACGGCAGTGCACAAGCAGAATGAACCATGTGTGAACAGTGACTGTCTGATCCCTCCAATCCTCCTAGTCTTCGTGATATAAGGCAAAGTGAACCCCCAGAAGAAACCATGCAACGACTACGATGACTTTGACGTCCTCTTCCGGAGCCAAGCGTGTGTAGACGTCAATAATGGTGCAACCCTTGTCATTGCTACCCATGAGCATTTAAAGCGCTCATTTTCCTCAATAAGTGAAACAGCTTTCTCAAAAACATCAATTCGTTGCCCTGCGACAAGTATTCCTGACTCGACACTCGTCATGAGCTCTCTTGTGCCTGCGAAGCTTGGATGCCGATTTGCCGATGTCGAATATGAGGTGTGACCTGTGTGATGTTTCCCGCAAACTCCCAGAATTCACGATTCTACGTGATCGGGAAGCATCCGCTGGGCTCAATCCTTTGAATTTCCCAAACATTTTTACATCCTCCAGTAGCCAAGACAAAAGACTACACTCCCAGCAAGTTTGGTAATTTTTGAGAAAGCGAGAGGAAGGATACGGATCTATCAATCGAAAAACCCGCAAACAGCTGGAAAGGGATAGTAGCTCTCAGACGAATCGGGATTGGGGGACGAGCAGAAAACGGACCGGGCCGGACAAAGTCTTGGTGATGCCGAGAAAACGCCAAGAAAAGAAGTTCAAGTGCCTCTCACTGTCAGTGGACGTGCTCCGTAGAAATTTGTATCCCATCCAGGTTCCTTGACGTGTGGAGTATAAGTACTCTAAGTATTTCAAGAAAGTATCTGGTTCGTTGTAGGTGCGTACTGTCTCTCTTCTTTGCTGTTGACTCGCTCAAGAAACGGAACACGTCATTAGGCATTTGAACGGAACATTTTCAATCAACTCGCTCCAACCTTTCAAAATGCCAGAGAATGTCGTCCTTAGGCAGGAAGTAGAACGAGAAATAGCTGCTACAAAATCTCACATCGAAGATCTCCAAAAGAAGCTTTATGTCCTAGCAGGAAAGCTGAACATGACTTCGTCCATCATGTCGACGCTTCCACCAGACGTGTTAGCAGAGATATTCTTTTTGGCTGTACAGGAAGGCAGCTTCAACTCCGTACCCGTGCCTTATGTTCTCGGGGGAACCTGTAGAGCTTGGAGGAATATTGTGTGGTCGACTCCTCTCTTGTGGAGCTTTCTTATTGTGAAGTTGACGCAGAAGAACGAGCAGGCTCAGCGAACCCTGCTTGAAGACTGGATTAAAAGGTCTGCCAACTACCCTCTGCACGTGCATCTTACTGCTCCAGGGTACGAATCTTCTGATTCATACAGCATCTTGCTACGGAGCTGTGCCCAGTGGAGGTCGCTGATGGTCAACAGTTACAACAGCCACGGTCTTCGATACAAGATGTTAGACGGCCACCCGTTTCCTTTGCTTTCCCATATCTCCCTCTACATCAACCCCCTCGAGCGCTTCCCCTGGAACTTCAACTCTGCTCCCCAACTGCGTGCGCTAGAACTTTCCGGGCGTGGACGGCCTTCCCAGATTATATGTGACTGGGCCGTTGTCCAGGATTTGAAGGCGACATTTGATGTTAACGATTGGTTATCCATTCTTCGAAGTATGTCGTCCCTAAGAACATGCAAACTCATACTCGCGAAGCACCCTATTGACCCCGCGATTCATTTCAATGACCGAGGTGGACCACACAATATCCCAGCTCTCACCAAATTGTCGTTACAGTATATCGGGGCTGAGACCAACGACGAAATTATTTTTCTTCTCCGTAACGTCTCCGTTCCGGCCCTCGAACGTTTAGAAATTACAACGGACATCCCGGATTGGTTCACGGACCTCAAGGAAGTGCTCCTCCGCTCTCAATGTTCATTGACCGAGCTTACCATACGGATCATCGCCTCGCCCGACTCGACTTTCGAAGATGATCTCGTCGAGCTCCTCTCCAGCGTACCCTCTGTCATACACCTCAACCTCATCTCCAAGTCTGCTTTGTCCGACCGCCTCATCAATGCGCTCAACCCCGACTTGAGTCCGAATACAGAAGCCCAAGGCTGTTTACCTAACTTAACGACTTTCTCCTGCAACGGAGAAATCTTGTTCGGCCTCGACTCCATTCTTTCGATGTTGCGAGCAAGAGAGAAGACTATTACGCAAGAGTCGGTCGGCGCACAATCGGGAGCCCTCAAGGAACTAGAATCCTTTACGATTCGGTACAGGAATGCCGCGTGGGCGCAAACAAAAAATCCCAATGCCCTTCGTATGTTTTACTTCGAAATGGCGGCGTTCGGGACGAAGACGAATGTAATGTGGGATGAAGCGGCTTGATTTACGGCACTAGTTCGGTTTATGTCTTCCAATATTGCCAAATTCCTAGCAGAATAGAGCTTACTTTTGCCCTGCTCATGCAGCTCTCAGTCACAAGTGTGCTCGTCGACGAGCCCGAAGGCGCTGTCACATATGAAGGTGGTATTTCCGTAGGTTCCAGGTTGGGTTCTCGAGAGGAGACAAATGCCTTCAGGAGAGTAAATCTTTTATCGACGAATAGGCGGTTCCATCCGATTCAGAAAGTCTTACGCCAGAGCCATTACTGAGCTGAAAATCTATTCAGAAAGGGAACGAGAACGAAATTATCTTATTGAGTAGGCATTATAGCAATACATAGAAGTTCTGGAAATTCCGATAATCTGCTAGTGGAGAACGAGTGCCTTTGGATTTTGACACAGGCTTGGGGGGCGGTCCATAAGACTTCACGCCTAGAGACTGTTCATCTTCACAAATATTCAGGAGTGGACCTTTCTCCGTCTCGCAATCGGTTTCTGCACTACATCCCGGGCTAGAAAAAAATGCAATAGATCAATCAGTGACAACGCCAGAGACGATTGGAAGGAAATACGTACCAATTAACGAAGCATCCACCTGACAGCTCGGTAATATACCAATTGCAACGAACGCAACGTTGTTTGCGGAATTGGTATTTCTTCAACTTTATAGCCAGGTAAAGAATATTTCCGGGATGAACTAACTCTGCCCAGCTGTGCGACACCCTTGGTTGAAACTGAAAGTCCAGGAAGTATACCACATATCGATTTCTTTGGGTGTATCCCTCTGCTGGGCTGTCGCGGAAGAGGGGGTCCATCAGCTGGGTGAATTTCTATGATTTCCGTGAGCAACCCATTTCTCCTGTGCTTGCATAAAGAGACTTACTCCAATAGAACAAAGCTCCCATGGCACCGTAGAGCTTTGTCCAAAGGAGTTGACGATTTCTACTCCATTGTTTGGTGAATAACTAACAGGATGGGAAGGTGAATTTATTTCTGTTGGAACGATCATGCTTCAGACGCTGATAAGCACCTTCTCTTAAGACCTCAGAAAACACACCCACGTTATCAAAAGAAGACAGAGACAACTTTGGTTCGCTGTTATTGTGCGTCTGACAGTGGCGACATAATCTTGCTCAAAAAAGGTCCACCAAATCTTCCGGAAGATGATGCGCATGGAAAGCTTCGCTTGCTGGGATTCCCATCGTCGGAACTGCCGACCAACGAAGTGTGATACGGCTTCAAAGTATGCGTAAATTCATCCAATTTAATAGAGATCGGGGTTGAGAAATAACGTCCCCAATTGCCATACACGCTTGGGCGATCGTTTCATCTTGAGGGTCCGAGGCCTCGCCGACCAGCTCGGCGCAAGCACCTGTATTGCGAGAACAGAGCTTCTGGATGCGCTTTTCGACAATCGCGAGGGTATTCCCGAATAAAGTGAGTTAATTTGGGTGAGAGAGATGATGTCTCCCAGAGAGCCAGGTAGAAGGATCATCGAATCGAGCGGGCTGAAATGGAAGATTGGCGGGAGCGGAGAGTAGGCCGCGATAACGGTTCGCTTGACGGTGGTGCTGAATTAGAAGTAAGGGGGTCGTGTCGAGGTACGATGAGTACTGGGTAATTGACATGTCCTCCAGGCCAGTGCCTAGTCGAGCATAGCACTCGGGTCCGCATTGGCGGTGCATGCATTGCCCGCTACATAGAGTTGCTGTATTCGCGATTCTAGGCCAGCGTATACGTATGTAGAGATTGGGGTGAAGTTCGACGAAAGCTTGAAGCTACTCCATCCACTATATCATGATAATCTACTGAAGGCAATTCTTTTGTCGAAAACATATGACGCAAATCACCGAGAGTATGGATCGCCAGCACACGATTTGACTGTCTGTAGTGCCTGTTCTTGAATGCAAACGTTGAAGCTCAGCGACAAGTGGATAATGCAGAATGATTTAACTTGCATTATCATCATACTTTTTGGATAATTCCTTTCCGATAGAAGGAGAGAAAACAAGGCTAGAGTCGTGGATTAAAGACACTGGGTCAATGTCTGCTACGTTTGGCAGCGTGCTCGGCCTCCTCCTCCTCCTCCGCATTCTCTGTATCTAGGTCATACTCCGAGGTTTGAGATTTGCGTTTCCGACTGTCGGCTGGGGCCCTCTTGTCGTCCTGTTTGATGGGGTGACTCACCCATGCGTCATCAGCAGATTGCCACTCCTCGTCCTCCAACCCCTTTTTCAGTATGTCAAGCATCCAGTCGTGGGACTCAAGTTTCTCCAACTCTTTCCGAACGCGGTCCGAAGCTTGTCGCTTGGTGCCCTCCTTGTAGCGAGTCCCGAAGGCTCCAAACAGCGGGATCAAAACTTCGTTGACGCCGTTTTGATCGAGCTTCATGCCGTAGATGCCTTCTTCTCCCAGTCGCATGAGCATAGACTTGTGCTCCCCGTCTGGAGAATCGAAGGATTTTACGAAAGCGGTGCGTTCGGCGATGGACATGGTACCAGGCGCGTATCTCGCTGCAGTCCACACTAGCACATGAACGAACGACTCCAGGTCATCGCCGATGTTGTGTGGCAACTGGCCAGGACTCTTTAGTTGCCTGACCGATATGAACTGTATGGTGCCCTGTATAATGTAATGAGACACGGAAAGGATTAAACGAAAAGAAGCATTACGGTTTTCTCGTACGTCCTAGCCTGTTTTTCATCGAGGCGTTTGGATAGCTCCCAATCAATGAGAATACCACCGTCCGGGACGAGCACAATGTTTCCGACAGAGATGTCTCGATGAAGGATGCCCGCTGCCGTGACAGCTGCAGCATGTGCTGAGAAAGGGTTAAACCAAGCCGTCGGAATGAGAAGAGGAGCAGCTGACCTTGTACAGCACAGTACACCGCCTGCACCATCCCCCACGTCGAGTCGAAACGGGTGAGTGGGTCGCCAACTGTATCGAGGACGAGACGGTAATGAATGTGGACGCGATGCTTTCGTGGTTTTGGGAAAACATCGTGAGTTGCACCACATTCGGAGTTGCGACCTGGCACATCCCCCGCCGCCAAGAGGCCTGCGATGTGTGGAACTTTGTGTTTATGGAGCAGACGATACGTATCGCCCTCCTTGTCATATCCATCCACTCGCCAGGTGTCCTTGAGCAGTACGACTTTACCGGTCTGGCAATCGTACGCCTTGAAACAACGTGTGCCTCGGCCCAGTGGGTAGATGTGATGCTTCGTGAACGGTTCGCTAACAATGTAGCGCTGATTTTTCTTGGTGTAATCGTCGACGACGAGAACTTTGTACAGAGGAGCATCATCCTTCAAGCCAAGAGAAGAACGAGCTTTCGAAGCATCGGGAGCGTCAGCCGAGATAGGTGTGATGGTTGTGTCGATGCCGCGTTGTGCATCGTCCGCGTGCGAAAGACGCCAGAAGAAAACCGCCAGCCAGTCGACCTCGGTGTAGTCGAACGGCGCAGTGACGACGGCACCGCTCCGCGTGAATCGCATGAACCGACAACGCGCCTTGTTGATATAGACAGCGAATGCATGCGTCCGGAATTGCATTGCTTGAATAGCATTGGCGTAAACGGTAAGTTGTCCACGGGTGTCGCGAGCATTGTTGGCGGCCCGCTCGAACGGTCCGCCCATCCTCTTCGTGTCGAATGGTTCATCTACGTCGCGAACTTTGAGCTCGAGAAATGTAATCATGTCGCGCGCCCGGGTGATGCATGAGTCGGGAGGAGGTGTGCGGCCCTTCTTGTAGCAGGAAATGTCGGGCTTGATGGATCGATTCAACAGAGCACCAGATTCAGGATCTGACACGCCTGCTGTATTGACGAGAGAAATGCCTTGACAGAAGGGCGATAGTGCTTGTATCTGCAGTCTCATGAACTTGAACTTGAGGCTATCCAGATACTGCAAAGACTCACCAGTGGGTCGTACATGTCAGGCTCTTTCGAAAGTTTGGCCACAACTTGGAAGGATTGGCGATTCACTGGTGGCAAAGGTGGTGCTGAGCTCCCTGGCAGGTAGCGATCAAGGAAGTCGTCGACAGCGACTGGACCGACAAACTTTCCAGCCATCTGCAAGGCAGCTTGAGCGAAATCCGGTTGAACATGGACCGCGGTCGACGTGAACGGGGCTATGGACGATAGTCGGTCATGGTCGGGTGTTGTCGTGAGAATCGGTTCTTTGGGTCGTCTGGGAGTTTGGTGGGCCCGTTTCGTGGTGTCGCCGTAGAAGTGAGAAGAGGACACAGTCGCGTTCGCGTCTGTCATCGTGGTTGTAGTCGCGGTCGCTTGAGCTGCTTTGTCCTTTCTAGTTCGGCATCTCGGATCACGACAATGCAATCATATTCACACGCTTCGGTGAGGGCGCTACTAGTACTCGCTACACACAGCATTCATTCTGTCTACTAGTTTAAGACTAAGTTTATTAGGGATCCACATCCAACCTGTTGCAGATGACAATTCATAACAACATATGTTGAGGAATCCTCCGCGAAAACAAGATGGTGCAGTCGAGGGAGCGCTAAAAGACTGTCAGCACGCGCCGGTACTAGTAGAAGGTGCCAATAAGAAATAAAACGTACAAGGATAAGGCATCTTCGGTGTCGAGCTCCGAAAGTCCAGCATCACATAGTCTTTCAGGTAATTCTTCGAGATCCACGAATGATACGACCTTCCTGACGTGGATCGAGAATCATTCCCCTCTAGTCTGTCGCTGTCTTGAACAATTTCGATTCCCCATCCGTGTTGAGGGACAAGGAAGTCGATCCAACCTAGGCATGTGGTACCACTAGACGCCATGTATTCCGGCGTCACATGAAAAGCACCGTCGGCAACAACGCACATAACGCGGTAGAAACCTGTCCGCCAGACAGCTTCGCCAAATACTGCCGACTTGGAGGCTGCCGCAACCCTGCCACGAGCTCGAGAAGTTTCTCGTAGAGTTGACAGAGACATATTGGCGACGACAGCCTTACAGAACGTAAGTAAATCGCTCTCGAGGAACTAACTGGGAAGGGTCGAACGAGCTTGAAGGAAATAGGAGATCCAGGCTCCGAAAAGCGGTGAAGATGGCTGAACACACCGTTCGCACTCGATTGTTTCGATGGTTATCCAGCCTTTCTTGCTCATTTGAGCTAGCAGAGGCAGTCGGGTGTCCCAAAACGGGAGGGAAAAACGGCCGAGACGCAGATGTTCGTGAAGAATTTCGATTTCTTCGGACTGGACGGGGTCGCCGAGGAGGGAAAGACTGCGAGCCTGCGTACTGCAATGACGGACGTTGTCGAAGAACTCTTCGGGTATGAATGCTGTATAGAAATGCTCTAGCGAAATTTCCAAGGCGTCGATCTTCAGTCTTTTCTAGATGATCCTGTAAGACAATTTGCGCAAGAAGTTATCGCGTGCACTTACGTTGACGAGAGCGGTCAGAGCTAACATTGTCTGAACAGGACCAGGGTGTCCGGTAGTGACCAAAAAATATGTTCTGCGAGATCGGAAGCCGGAGGCGTCGTGTTGACTTTCTTTGAGGCGAAGGATTGGCGATAACATGCTAAATATGCGTTATATTCGTCTCTTGTATAACAGAGACCATGGGTGACATCGCTCGAAGGAAACAGACCGGCGAGACCTGGGTCTGGTACTATGATGGGCAGGCGATCCTCTCCTGGCGGCTCAGCAACGTTGTCTCCATATGCAGCAAAGCAGACGACGCGGGTATGCAGAGGCCGGTTTTTAAAGATGATCCAGAGGAAGACATCGCCATAGCAGAGCTGAGCTTCGTCGAGAAGTATCCATTTCCTGGAGGAAGACGAGCCTTCCAATCGAAACAACAAGAGCATCGCGTGGTTCCAACACGGCTACTTCTGAGAGTCGTCTGAGAGAAACACGATGTAGACAAAATTGCGCAACCTACCCTCAAATAGCAGTGCTTCAGCGGTGGCACTGGTTTCCCCCCGTATAAGACGAACTTGAGCATGTCGAACGAGTAAGACCAATCAGGCGAACGAACATGTGAAGACCAAAGGGTAGATATTCCTGGGTATTTGTGCGATATCGTCGATGTCATTATAGATGTCCCTGAGCGTGTCGGCTATGGTGTATGCACAACACTTGGCCTTGAGGTCCTCCACGGAGCTGAACAATGAATCGAGGTCGTCATTTGGTACCAGTTCTGTGGGTTCTAGTGGCTAGAATAGAAGGTTGAGACATAGATTTCGAGCTCATCCAGGAAGCCCACCTTGTAGACGAGCACTCTCTTATATGTTTCTTGGTAGACTGTTTCGTCGACAAAGTTTACCTCGAGGTTCACTGACTCCTTGACACCGTCTTTGATATCGATGAAGAGGACCCAAATACGCATGTTGGTGGGATTGAGAGAGAAGTGTCGGAGATCACGATTCATCTTGCCCCTAGGAATTCAACATCGATTAAGACGCATTTATGCATCATTTTCGGCTCATTTTCAACGTCCACACAATGGGTCATCGGGCCCGTTTCCGTCCGCAACATCACTGCTGTAGAGCAGGGTCCTCGTCGATATACGACTCTTGACGGTCTCGATAGGAGGTCGATACCGGACAATCACGGTCTCACTGGCCCCCTCGACTTCGGGCGCAATGGCTTGCTCAAGAAAATAGGTCTACTGCGGGTGTTTCAGTCAGTTGCTGTTCTCTTTCTGCCGCTATCACTCACCGCTGCTCAACTTCCGCAGTATCTGTTCTCCAGCTAGTTATTGCTCGCAAACCTCGAGGCTTAGCGCTCAGTGCCGAGCGAAGGAGAAACTTTTACGTGAAGCTGGGTGACAAACGGAACGAATTGTAACTGGTCAAATTGGGGCCGAACTTTTCCTCCATTCTGATCCCAACAACGGTCTAGTCAAACCCGAACCGCTCCTTTCTTCACACCACCCACCAGAAGCCAGCAGACGTATAGAGGTGCGGTTGACGTGCGTCGTGGAGAACAGTGAGGAAATCAACTTTGGAACGACTCCAGCGACGACGACGACGACGACAACACGAAATCTCTTCTCATGCCCTTCAGCTCACCCTTGCCATCTCCCATGGCCCTCAACAAGCCCCCACCGAGCCCTTCTATCTTCAAGAAGCGGTCTTCGAGTGCCCTGGGTGGTCCTATACCCTCTTCTGCCGCGTCGTACCTGACTGCGCTGTCGCAAGCTGACGCGCGAGCTCGTAACGCCAACGGTTCTCCCACCTCTACACCGGCCCTGTCGCTCTCGTCTTCCGTCACTTCGTCGTCCGAGGACACAGTGTTGCACGACTACGCAGACAATGATTCGAACGCAAACGGTTTGCTTCTCCCCGCACGACCGCCGACGTCGGAGCAAGTCTTCACAACTGTGCACACCGAATTCGGGCACTGTGCCAACGAGGAGTATCGTACGACCAGCCAGCACCCTCCAGGCACACCTCTACCTCCCCACGTTGAACAAGACCCTCCATATTACATTCTTCTGTCCACCTATATCAGCTACCTCATTCTCATTTGCCTGGGACACGTTCGGGATTTCGTTGGCAAGAGGTTGAGCCCCGCGAGTTACAGGCATCTGATGCCGAGGAATGTGAGTAACTTTTTCCTGCTGCGGTTCGCGTCTGTCGCGGTTTTTCTGTCTAGACGCGTCTCTTTTCACTATTTTCAACCGTTCTGTGCTTCTTTTCTCACACTGGCATGTTTGCAGGGATACGCGCCGCTGAACTCGGATTTCGACTCGTTCTACACACGTCGACTCAAGACCCGTATGGACGAGTGTTTCTCGCAGCCCGTTACAGGAGTTGCTGGTCGTACCATCCTCCTCCTTGACCGTATTTCCCCGGATTACAACCACACCCAGATTTTTACCGGCACACGCACACGCGCACTCAACATCTCGTCGTACAACTACCTCGGATTCGCCCAGGCCCGCGGGGGGTGTGCGGACGCGGTCGAAGAGTCTATCAAACGATATGGCATCAGTTCATTAGGCTCGCGGCTAGAAGGCGGCTCGACGGACCTGCACACAATCAGTGAAGCTCTCGTGGCCAATTTTGTGGGCATGGAGGACGCGCTGATTAGCTCTATGGGCTTTGCGACCAACTCGACGATTATACCTGCGCTTGTGGGCAAGGGCTCGCTCGTCATCTCGGACGAGCTGAACCACGCGTCGATCAGGTTTGGGACGAGGATCAGCGGCTCGCACGTACGCATGTTCAAGCATAACAACATGAAGAGCCTAGAGAACCTTCTGAAGGAGGTTATCAGCCAAGGTCAGCCAAAGACACACAGGCCATGGAAGAAGATTCTAGTTATCGTGGAGGGTCTGTATAGCATGGAGGGGACGCTAGTCAACTTGCCTGCGATTCTGGAGCTCAAGAAGAAGTACAAGGTGTGTTTGAATTTTCCTTAACGCGTTCCTCGTTAACCTTGTCGCAGTTCTACCTGTTCGTCGACGAGGCCCATTCCATTGGTGCACTCGGCCCGCACGGCCGAGGTGTTGCGGACTACTTTGGCGTCAACCCGAGGTCGATCGACATCCTCATGGGTACATTCACTAAGTCATTTGGTGCTGCCGGCGGCTACGTCTCGGGCAGCAAGGCACTCATTGACCGCCTGCGTGTGTATGGCCACTCCGGACCCTACGCGGAAGCGATGACGCCTTCGGTGCTGACGCAGGTTGTAGCAAGCATGGCGAGCATCATGGGTATTGCGCTGCCTCCAGAAATGGCCTCGTCGTCAAAGCTTGCCATCGAACAGGAGTACCACCACCCCGGACCTGCACCACCCTCGTCCCTGCCATCCTGGCTCTCGCTGCCCCCGAACCTCGCCTCGGGTGCTGAAGGCTCGTCGCGCCTGCGCCGACTCGCGTTCAACTCGCGTTACCTGCACAACGGGCTGATCAAGCTTGGTTTCATCACGTATGGTCACCCGTCCTCGCCGATCGTGCCGCTGCTCCTGTTCAACCCGGGCAAGATGAACATGTTCCATCGGCTGATGAAGGACAGGCAGACGCCGATCATCGTCGTGGTCGTTGCGTACCCGGCGACGCCGCTGGTGACGAGCCGTGTGCGGTTCTGTGTCAGCGCGGCGCACACGAAGGAGGACATCGATACGGTGTTGAAGGCGTGCGATGAGGTTGGCGATGTCCTGGACTTAAAGCATGGCCTTCCGAAGAGGCAGAGATGGACTGTGGAGGAGATTATGAAGAGGGCTGTTGAGCTCGGGACCATGGCCTGAGTTGGGGTCGCCTAGGTGGGTCGGGTCGGTTTCAAAGAGAGGCAGTAATTTTTTCTTTTATTTCCGCTTACTTTACTATTCCTCCACTTCTGCCTGCCTGCACTGACCTCGTCCCCTCTTCATTGTAATTCTGCATTTCTGGCGGTCCCAGCCAGACCTTCCTCTTTTCTTCTCCCCTTCCATTGCCTCCCTCTTGGGATATTGCATGCTTTTTTTATTTTATTTCTAATGTCAAGACCTGCTGGAACCCTTGAGCACCGTCGTACATACATTACTCACCTTGTTTTTGTCCGGGCATTTTCGTGATGAGAATAGATATCATGCATATAGAGAAAACGAAAAACCTTGAATTTAGATACAATAAACCCATTAGTGTGTGCAACCTGAAATTGTCCAGATTTCATTCATCTTAAAGGCAAATGGATGGTCCGAACGATGGCCGAGTAGAGTTATTGTAGGGTGGACATGTTAGTTTGTCCTTCAATTTTCTGGTATTGGTGGTCTTCTTATGCATTTCTCACCCGACTAACCTTGATCTTAGTGTTTCACTCAACATGCCGTCTTCTATCGATTCACTGACCGATGAGCAGGTGTACACTCTCATAGCCAACCGCACGTATGAACAAGCCATAGGAACCATGCCTAAAAATCTTGGCTCTTTCGCTGCCGCCTGGCGGATTACCCCCGACGCGGTTGTAAAGAGGTCCTGCTCCTCGAGCTCGTCTAAACATGAAGCATTTATAATGGACTATGTGCGGAAGCAGACCTCGGGTTCCGTCTACATCCCTCAGGTACGCAAGGTCTTGCCGACGCGCAAACCGCCAAAGTCATCAGGAAATCGGCTGGTGGCTACATAGGCCTATTGAGCCTACATAGCACCGGTTGTCTTTTAGGTACCCCCCTGATATATTGGGGGATATAGGCAAGGGCCCACCATGACGTTGCGCGGGTCACTGAGATCGTTGACAGAGGACGAGAGGGAATGACGAGTCGAATTTCGGGCAGTGAAAAATGCGACCATGCTCCCGATGTTCGAGAACTTGTTGGTAGTAGCGCTGGTGGTCCTACCATCGAGCCATTTCCTTCAAGTAAGAAGAGAACGGTCCGGCATCATCTTCCGTGAAATAGACACCTCAATTGACACTTCAAAGGGTTCCCTGTTTTCTCAACTTGAGCCAGGGCAATCGGGATAAGGAAGAGGGAGCTTCTGAAGCTGCTGAATGTAGCTGCGCAGAACGGATGCAACACGATGTTGTTCCATGGCGCCCATCTTATCCCATGCAGTGCGCAACGTCTCCCCGTCGATATAGTCCATGACGATACATACTCCGTTCATCTCGAAACCCTCGTGCGCATGCCCATCATTTTACAGACCACTGTAGCGGGGTTGCATACGCGCGGGGCAGGCCACGGTCATTGATCATCCGTGTAAAGAGGAGACGCCAATACGTTCGTGGCCGGTAATCCTCATGGGCAACTGCGCCGTCTCCAGTGTTTCCGGTAGCCCAAGGTCGTACGTGCCATCCCCTTGCGCCACAAGGAACAAATTCCTCCAATTCGTTCGTATCGACAGGCCCACCAGGTCCATCGTCCATTGTTGGAACATCCGGTAGCGTGACACAATGGCCTCTCCTTTACTTGAGAGGCGGAAACAAAGTTTTTACCACCACTTAAGATAACTGACGTGTTTCATTCGGGAGGCAACGCAGTTTCTCCAAAACGAATTCGGAAATCACCCAACTTTTCCTTGACCTCAGCAAGTTGGCGATACCATATTGATTGACAACAAAGGTGGACCAAGAGGCTTCGAGGAATGAATCAAAGCCCAAAGAACTTGAAAGAAACAGAGCACGGCAAAATTGAACGTGGGTTAGTCATCGTCCACCCAAACGATGTCGAGCTTCGTTCCTAACTGCTTCAAGGACACCAATTGCGTGTAAAAGGCTTGGAGGTCATTAGGGTCCTTCTTGCGACCCCAAGAGATGTTCGAATACTGAATTCGAAAAGTTTCCAGCCTCTGAAACGATGCGGGCGCTTGATTCGAAGCCCGCAGCCGCTCTCTGACCATCGAGAGCATGGATTGGAGGTTGAAGGTGATCTTGCCATTGAATTCCAGAGATGTCAGATTGGGAAGTGAAGCGTGCTTTGATAGCGACGGGTTGAGTACGTTTATGGTCTTGTCAGATATGATCACTCCTTGGCGCATGGCGAATGTCTTGAGAGAGGGGAGCAGGCGGAGGAGCTTGACGAGGTCCGCTTCTGCAAAGTTGTTGCCACTGTTATCGATGAGCAACGTCGTCAGCTGACAGGCGGAGCGCTTCGGCATGTTGAAGAACTGCGGGATCCAGTCCTGCTCTATATATTCGAGGCGGATGTCGAGGCTATCGAGGCGTGGCGCGGTGACGACGTCAAGAACCTGCGCAACGGCGGTGCGTTCTGACAAGTCTCCATCTATGGAGATGAGCAAAGCAACGAGACGCTGGAACGTCGTCAACTTGGCGGGGGGATGAGGTCTCGTGTGCTCTCTGTCGCTGGCCAACCTCAGCTTGCAGGTCCTGAGGGAGGGCATTCTCTCGAGGCCGAACACCCAATTGCTCGGGTCGAGATAGGCATCCATATGTTCAACATGAGAAAGAGAAACCTCCAGCAGGTCGAGAGTTGGACCATAATCGATTTTGAGAGTCTTGAGCCGATCTGCACCGGAAAACCGCCAAAGGATGCTGTCTGAGGCGAAGGAAATTTGTAGAGAGGACATCCGGTCGAATCGATACTGAGAGTCTTCCAACCGAGAACACAAGCTTTTGAACTTTCCACTCGCATAGAAGCTCTCCCAACGTCCTGACACAGCCAGAAGCGGTTCGTAAACTGTCGAAGGCGTCGGCCAATATGACTGGAGGTAGATATGCAACCCAAGCGAAGCAGACCTCTCCACCCAATCCTCGAGCAACTCCCGTTGAATCTCGTGCTTCTTCGAAGAGATGGTAATTGAAACTACCGTCCATAAACGCGGCATTGACCAAACGACCTTCCTCCATGCTCTGGAGACACTGCCAAGAATGAACGAAGGCGGAACGACTTTGTCGACATTGAACAGAGGTTTGCGCGTCTCGACGACCAGCGTGAATATTTCCGCTAAGACCTCCAATGGAAGGTAGGCCATAATGAGCGAGGTCTTATTGAGGCTTGCCTTAAGCTTGAGGAGCTGTTGTTGAATTTCCGTGAATTTTTCATTTGCGACGGAGACCTCGCGTTCAAGGGCTTCCCGCTGAACAATTCGATTGTGTCGATTGGCTGGGTTTTGAGCCATGATGCCTAACTCTCTCCTGAAAGCAAGAAGATCTAGAAGATAAACTCGGTCAGCATGTAGTCGGGGGCACAAAAAAGAGGAAGGAGGGAAGGACTGATGATCGGCTCCCACATGTATGTATAAGTACTGCTTGACGTCTAACCACCACCATCATTCACGATTGCAACTCGAACCGCGCCTTCCGCGAGGGCTTTCTGTGATCCAACACCCACTGAGAAGGTCAGAAAGAACTCCATTTTCCCTAATCTTCGGTTATCTCTTACATGTGTTCCAGATTACTTCATGCAGAGATGTCCTGAGCTCAGGAACCTACGCAAAGCACCGCGCTTTATCTCAATCTTGGTGAGCTTGAAACCTATTTTTTCTTTGTCCAAGCCTGCGCTGACCGCATACAAGTTGCGGCATCAGACACCTGGTTCTCCTGCGGTGGCAATTAATCCATTCAGTGCCGTTGATGTTCTCGACCCAACACATCCAGGGCTCAAGAGCCTCAAATACCTCCCCCATACTAGAGACAACGCAATTGGTGTGAAGATCTTCCCAATATCGCTCCTCAACAAGCCGCAGTTGGCGAACGGGCACCCCTTCGGTCGCAAATTTCTTACTTGGATAGAACGTGTACAGAAAGCGAAGGAGGCTGGAGTCAAGGTTGTCTATGTCGGCGGCAAACCCGCTTTGGCGTGGAAGTCGGGAGAGCTCGTGGGCGAGGACGAGCAGGTGTATCCGGAGCACGATCACAACACGTTGGACATACCTGATTGCAAGGCTACGCCGAAAGGACGTTTACTGGATATTGCACGGAAGAGGGCTATGCGACGCGTTCCGATGTCATATTTGACCGCAACGAGCAAGGCTCGCATGGGTGCAAAACGGTACACACGTTGCCAGATCACTCGACGTATGAAGGTCGCGTCGAACCTCATTGTGACGCGAGGCGCTTACTTTGGAGAACCTGCATTGAAAAATGAGGGCCCGGCGAAGGAGGATGTGAAGACCTTGGGTGTTGGGATTAAACCGAAGCGCGTCGTCATGCGATTTGACCAGGAAGAGGCGAAGTCGATGGGCAGGAAATGGATTATGCAGGGTAGGTGTCCACTTTCTGCGCAGTTTTCGAAGCTGAACCGTTTTCAGGATGGTCCTATGTTTGGTTCCCGACAATGGAAGTCTACCGAATGCCATATTCAGAACTCATCCCCCGCCTACGACAAAAGCTAACTTTCCTCAATAAACGGGCTAACGAACTCGAGAAATCATGGTTCATCAATGCTCTCAGGAATGATGGACGTCCTAGTAGATCCCTGAGCCGTATCAATGGGAAATACACTGTTCCACCACCGCAAACGAGTTCGGGACAAGGCCCACAGCAGCCTCAAGGCTCCAATGTCGAAGGACAACCTCCTCAGCCGCCTGAACTGTTGAAGGAGCCCGTCAAGCCGAAACTTCCAGTCTCAAAGCCCCAACCCATCCAGCCCGCTACCGCACCGAAGAAAGTTGTCACAACCTTCGATAACAACAAGTGGAAGAAAGAGCTGATGGATGGACTGGCCTTACTCCAAACATCACTGGCTGCTGCTGAACATCAAGCTCATCGAGGTCGAAAACCTGTCGGCACGAGACAAACATAGCTGCGGCCAGTGCCTTGCATAAGTAGGCAGGACCAAGTTTTGTAAACTCTGCTTTCGCACCAATGCAGTTCTTCCGATTCTACTTTAGAAGGCCCTTGGAAGTACACGAAGAACAGCCAGTTGTCCTGTTGTTTTCCCTCCATCGCGCAGAACTGGCAAATCCAAGCCGTTGACATAAGGGTACTTACTCTCGTGGATAGGCGGCCTTTGTTCAGTGTGAACTAGAGAACGAATGGAATCCTTGGAAGTACTCAGTGGGACGGATGTCGATTCTATCCTTGCTTCAAACAGGAGCCCGGAACTATGGGCCGGGGCACGTTGAAGTGGAAGCTTGAGCGTTGGCCAAACCCTGCCGAACCCCCTTCCGAATGCCTTTGTGAACGCATCGGGTGTGTATCCGCATTTGTACGTTTCATTTATTCCTGTGGTGTGTGGCGGGATTTCTGATTGTGTGTTGGTGGAATAGGATGTCCTTCCTTGGAGGAGGCCGGTTGTGCATTTAAGTCATACTCGGCCCCGCCTCAGTTTTGTATACCTGACCCATGAAATCAGTGGGTTCAACTCGAAATGAGTGCGTCCCATTCCCGTCTCCCGTACCCAAGAGCCCATCTCATCAATACGCTTCTTTCTGACTCCGTGAAGACATCGAGTTCTTTCTCAGTCCGAGAGAAATCCACCGGCACCTGCACGCCATCGTCACTCCCACTACGGATCGAGATAGTCTTTCACCTACCATGCCGCTGAAGATTCGCTCCGTTAGAAGTGGATCAAACTGAACACTGCTTGGATAACCACGGTGCCATCGTGTTCTCAGTCTCCATGCACCTGAATGTCAAATCAACATTGCTCTTCGCTCCTAGTAATACATTGTCTCCCTTTCCATTTGAACCCTATCGCAATCGCCACCAAACCAAAACACAATCGTCCCTCAATTCTTCGCAATGTCAGCCAGCTCGTACAAGTATGTGCCTAGCAGTTTGGATCCTTCGATGAAGTTGGACCTGTCGAGTTTCTCGTTGGTCGAGCTACAGACGGTAACATCAGTTTCATCTTCCATCCTATACTGGCAAATCCAACCCACTGTGCACCATCATCTCCTCGCCCCATTGGCAGCAACAACACATTGACTCCCAACGACTCCGCGAACGTCAGCGTCACGGGAATTGACCCACCTTCGCGTGTTAGGTCGGGGTCCTGCTTGTACACAGCCTAACATTTCATGAGATCAGCATTGGGCCGGGAAGAAACCGAGGAAACATGCCTTAGTGGCCTTCTTCGCGGCCTCGAAGTTCCAGTGTCGGTGATCAGCGACCCAAGGCTTGCCACCGTGCAGGTTCTCGACAGACAGCTTGTTCTTGCTGCCGAGCTTCGCAAACGCCTTTTCCAGATGGTCAATCACCAGCGGATCGATGGCTTCGGGTGTCTGAGGGGGTACCAGGCTGCCCAAAAAATATTTCATCCCGGATGAGAGCCATACAGGAGAAAGAGAGGCTTACCGAATGCTGAACTTCCCAGACACCTTGGCTGGGATAACAGTCTTCGCGCCAGCCCCGCTGAAAGCACCTTCGATGCCGTGGATCGACAGACTGGGTTCGCGCATGCGGCCCATAAGCACCGACACCTTATCTGCGGAAAGGGCGATCGATGCCCCGGCCGATTCTTCAACGTCAGCGATGCTATAGTCAAGCCCAGCATAGATGGCTCTGGAAAGAAACCCAATTTCAGCATTCTAACACTGGCTGCGAAAGAAAACCGTACTTCTCTTCCTCGTCGGCCCTTGGTACCATGTCGTCGACACCCTTTATCAGGATGTCGCCCTGTGGCGAGACGAGTGTACTTAGGAGGCTGATGAGGTCGGTCATGGGCTCATGCACCGTCCGGCCGAAGACGCCAGAGTGGAGGTCGCGTGCAGGGCCGGAGATGGTAACTTTGTAGTACGAGAGACCGCGCAGGCCGTATGTGAGGGCGGGGGTGCGTGTGTTGAGCCAGTAGTTGTCCGACTAAAAATCCTTCAGAGATATTTTCATGGCTAGGTTTGAGGACCCACAATGCAGACGCAATCGACTCCTTCAAAGCAACCTCCTTTCTTTGACTCGCGACGCACAAGGTCGTCGAGACCTTCACTCCCGCTCTCCTCCATGCCCTCGAAACAGAAGACAAGGTTTACAGGCAGAGGCAGCTTGCTCTCGTGGTGGTATTGCAGTACATTCAGCCAGCCGAGGATAGGACCTTTGTCATCCGAGCTACCACGTCCGATGAGACGTCCTGTCTTTTCATCCACGACCAAGGTGAATGGATCGGTATCCCAGCCGTCTGACTTGTTTGCCTATCTCTCATGGTGAGCCTAAGATCCAGCTGTCCGGTAAGATGTCTACACACCGGCTGTACGTCGAAATGTCCATATATCAATACCGTCTTCTTGCTACTATCGCTCCCAATCCGACCGAGGATCGCCGGGGGCAGAGGCAGGTCCTCGCCGTCCATCTTGTGTCTCCCGAGGTCCACAAGCTGGGTGTCGACGCCCAACTGCCTCAGCTGAGCATTCAGCCAGTCTGCCATCGCGAATACATCGTTTCGGTGCTTTGCATCTCCAGAGATTCTACTCCAGCATTAGTTTCGCCTTGGACCAATGATGAGTGCTGGATTTACGATGGGATCGCAACGGCGTCTGCGAGACGCTTGATGAAGATATCCGCTTTGGCGTCAATGTAGGTCAAAAATTCGGTTGGTGCTGGCATTGTGGGTGGTCGTCGTCGTCGCTGTTAGAGGAGATGAGAGCGATTACGAGTTAGATAAACTCAAGCTCCGGTTAGATAAAGCATGGTAACAGCCATGAAAGAGATGCTTATGTCATCACATCCTACTTTCTTCTCTTCACTAGTGAGTTGGTCAGTTACGCGATACAAGGAAAGCATTCAAGCCTTACTGACATCACTTTGTTTAGAACCCGAAAAATGTCCAGAAGTGCTGATGCTTGGGGCGATGAGCCTGTATGTTGCATTGGCTCTTGCCCGAATCTCAAGGACAAGGAATGACAGCCATCTTAGGTGCCTAATTCTGGTTCAATCGCGTCCACTTCCGGGTCTTCAGTCGCATTAAAAGTCAAAAAGCCAACAAAACCCGTCGTACGCGACGATTGGGAGGATGACGAGGAAGAGGAAGACGTTGGTCGGTCTGTAGACGCGCAGAACAAGAAGCTTTGGGAGGACGCGTAAGCTGCCTCACTTTCTCGCGTATCGCGTGTAGCTGAAATACTCCATGGTCACAGGAACTCGAGGGAATACAGACCAATGCCTGCAGTCATTATATCCGCTGGATCTTCGAGCAGCAGCTCTGCGCCTACACTCCCGCTCAACCAACCGCCGGCGATGAAGATCCTGAAGCGCCCATCACCATCTGTATCCCCCTCTCAGTCTTCCTCGAACGCGAACGCAGCCTCTGCCGAAACATTTCAAGATCGTGAGGCACGATATCAAGCCGCGCGCGAACGAATATTTGGCCCGTCCAGTGATAGCTCTCCTACTGAGGGCTCAGAGAAGAAGAAAAATCCGTCTTCCCAGAAATCTACATCCCCAACCTCCCCTCCTCCTCCTGCCAATAAGGTCGTTCGCGAACCGCGAGGTCCAAATTCTGGCGGGATTAGCGCCGGGAACCAGGGCTTCAATGAGCGCAAGGCCAGACCTCCACCCAATTCTTCTCCCATTTCACCTGCGCCGCCCTTGTCGGATGCCCCTGCACGCTAACTGGGAATGCAGCATCTTGTTACATGGACTTTTGACGGACTTTTGACGGACTCTTGTATTTTTTTTGGACTCAATGAATACTCACTTGCGACCGGTGAGCTTCATGTTGTCGATCGTGCAAGGACTCTCATGTTTTTGTAAATGGGGATTAGATTGCGTATCTATTGGTTATCGTATTGAATCCCGCATTCATCCGATGAAGTCCACGGAAAATTTAAAATTATATTATCTAAGGGTACACCGAAGACGGCTCGACCTAACGCACGAAAGCCCCTCCCGAAAGAACAGCGCTTGTTCTTTCGGGAGGGGCTCGCGTACGGCATGAGATGCAAGAAGAAATCTCACTCACTGCGCTGTCAACTTACTCGGAGTTTTCTTATCATTTTAAATTCTTTTTTCGACTTTATCTTCGTCCTCGTTGGAGGTACTTCCTTGCCGACCTCGTTGGAGGCTTTATTTATTTTTCAACTTCGCCTGATTGTCTTCACTTATCCCTCACTCCGTCCATTCTTGACGTGTCGCCAGGCTACGCCGCGAGGTATTCCCTGATATTCCCTCCTCTTCGCCCAGACACGATCTTCGAACAACACCGCACTTGTTAACATCGCAGCGGACCAACGGTGCCCCAGCCCGCGCCCATCAACCAACACTCACGCACCTCCGGCGAGCAGTCGATGTCATCCCTTGGTATTATGTCAAGGCTTGGACAGACTACCCCGGGCACGCCCTCGTCGGCCATCTGGATTAACCAGCGGACAGGTGGGGGTCTGTGGGCAGAGAGGTCTTGCTAGCGGCGGCGCCGTCACAGACGATGGCGGGTTTTCATTGGTAGCGAGGCGAGAGACAGCGACGGTCGGTGTGCTGTCTGCAGCCAGCCCCGGGTGTGTGCCCCCTGCGCCCGACCAATGTTTGCCAAGTCTCATGCTGGTTCCCTTGAGCCTATTTGACGTAACATTCGGCGGCAAGGGAGAGGCCGAGTGAGAAGGCGAGAATGTAGAGACGAGGGAAGGGAAGGGTATGGAGGAGATTTTAGGGAGAACTCGTCAGAATGGTGCCAGGAAAGTGTGCGTAGAATGTACCCACTTTTGATGATATTTCAAGTTATATCATATTTTTATGTTGCTGTGGGGAGCAACGCCGACACACACAGCGTCGACAATAATAAACAAGGAGGGGCATAAGAGAAAAAAAGGGGAGACGTACTTCTATATGTCTTCGCGTGGCTCGCACAGCGTGGTCGATAGGTCGATGATGTAGCAAGGAAAGAAGCGCGCAAGAGAGATACTAGAGCGAGAACGAAGCGACGAGATGCAACCATAATTGTAGAGAGGAAGTGGCCTACCTCGCAGACAATTGAGAGGGGATGGTGGTGGTTCATGAAGAAGGCGAGGCGAGGGGGGTGTCAAGTTTTTATACTCCAACAGCACAGCACACAGCGCGGATGGTCATGTTTGGCGCCCGTGCCCACGCGTGATCGGGTCGCATCATTAAAGTTATCGATTGCACAGCGCCAATCCACTGGCGTGCCCGTCAGACGTTCTAGGAAGGCACTGGAAGCACAACCCGGGCTTCCTAGCAGCACAGTCACAGCCTGGAGAGAGCTTGTTTGACAGACCGGCCCCAATAGAACCCGCGTGAGGGTCCCAAGAAGTGAAAACGGGCGAATGGGATGGACGCACAGCAAGCACGCAACGCGTGTTTGGACCGAAATAGGTCGATAGATCAGACATGAGGCCGGTAGGCGCCTTGGAAGGGTTCAAGAGGTGTTAAAATACCATATCGATGGGAATGGGGTGTGTTGTTCTGACTCCTACTGAATTGCTGTGGAGGGAGTCGGCTCAGCGCCCGTTCTAGTGTTGCTGCCTCTTTCTCTGCTCCTGAGACTTCGCGCGAAGACTAAGACCCGTATTAAGCACAGAAGTTCTAGGCATGAGCGGCTCTTTGAACAGGTATCATAGAGCGCGCCAGCTGCGAGCTGCTGCACAGCACGGAAGAACCATTGTTGCCGAGCAGTCAGCTTCTTGGCAGTCCAATTCTCCCGATGCGGAGTTTGACCGGCGAAGGATCTTTTGCGCTCAAAAATACTCCCCGTAAGCAGGTCAGGAAGTCGCAGAATGATGTAGTTGCCTCGTTCACAAGTGCGGCGCTGTGACATTTCGCCTCAATTACCCATTTTAGATGATGTTCACATGATGAGAACTCGGAGAGGGGCGTCTCAGCGTTGGTGTCCAGTAGATTCTTACATTGTGGAGGTTTGAGATACCCGTATACAACATAGGAGAATGAGTGATATTGTGATAGACCCAGGACACGAGAATTTCGGGAATTAAGAGGCAGTGTAGATAAGCAATGAACTTAGCAAATTAGCACAGCAGGAACTCTGCTTGCGGCCACTAGTAGTATGTAAAGTATCACATAGCAGTAAATCGCTTTCCCAAAACAAAATCGTAGATGTCCCATCCCAATCGCACAATCCTTTGAACAAGATCTGGGAATATCACGGTCACGTGCTGTACATTGACGCGTCGCATTTAGGTCACATGCGTCGAGGTGGATTGCGGAAGGTGGCACTGGTTGTGGTTGAGAAGGAAAAGTCACGGTCACGCGACGGACGCGTCGCGACACGAATTAGGAAATCCATCAGACGCGTCACAGGACGCGTTCTCGAGGCCCAATCGTGTTTGAGGGAACGCTGAAATGAAACAGATTCATTTCCTTGTAACAACTAATATTATTATGAGGCAGTTCAGGATTTTAATCGTCTGTGTATGGGGTCTAAAATACAACCGTCGAGACGGAAAGGAGCTTCAAGAAGAGTAAGCTCGTCAAAACTTGAATCGTCTATAGGCAAAAATCATTTCAAGAAAAAGGGCTAAATTGTAGCTAGGTAAGTAGGAAATATGTAGAGAGAACTGTCCTGAGGAATAATACAGAGTTGTGCATATTGGTCGGGATGGTTGTATATCAATTGCAACTGCCGTTCTCTGGTCAATTGAGAACTGGTAATCACCAAGGAAAATCGTCCATCTAGAGGGTGAGATAACCTCGTCTACGTCTAAGCCTCCGGGCGACGTCTGCGTTCCGGGTTAACAATCGGGACGGGTGAAGGCACTCCACCGCGCCCGTTCTGGCGTGCATAATCTATCATAAATAATTCCCATATCACCGTCAGCCCTCACTACCTCCAACACACACCACGAATAACAAACGACTTACTCGTCCTAGTCCCCCTCCTAACAGGCGGTGCGAGAGGCAAGCCTTCCGCCAGGCGACGTGCGTTAGTTAAATCGGCGATGGCGCGCGCCTCGAGTTCGCGCTCTGCTGCCGTCCTCTTATTCAAGCTCCTCCCAGACAACCCCGGGGACGGCGCGGGCACGGCACCGACGAGCTGGACGGCGTAGCCGAGGAAGAGGGCGGAGAAGAGGAGGGTGGTGGTTAGGAGCACGAGGATGCGATCGAACATCGTATATGACCCGGGAGCAAGTTAGTGCGGCGTTTTTGGGCTGTGGCGCTGTGCCCGAGAAGAGCTCAAGGTGAGGCGAGCGGAAAAGAAAGAGGGAAAACGCAAGGCGATGGTGGTGGAACGTTTTTGAAGAAAAAAAAGATAAGAGGGATCGAGAGGGAGTCGGACCTGAGGCGAGAGGGGTGTACCTGCCTCCTTCACTTCGAGCAACCCCTTTACTTAAATAGCACAACAAGGTAGCTAGCTATATTTGTGGCCGAGGAGGCGGACCTGATGAAGATTGACGGCTTCCGAAACGATTGTCACTGGGCCACTGGCGCGGGCTATACTCAGGGTCGCGGCTTGGGGATTGTAGGTCCTGATAAGCCGAGCTACGTTACATGTATTAAAAGGCAGTCCATAAAAAGAACTGGAACGCATGGAGCCCCAGTCAAGGTTTTGGAACCCAAGATATCCTACTGGCTATGCAGGCTCGAAAGCACCTAAGCTGACTCCACGCTAATGATAATAACACTTCCAACAATGATCGTCTTGAAGATATCGCGATGATCAGAGCGTACTAGGCCCTCCAATTGTCACCTATACTAGCCCAGTGCTACTATCAGATCTACAACTCATCCCTCGCTACCTCCGCGCAGCCTTCGCACCTGAAATAACGCGTCTTACGGGGTCTCCGAAACGCCATGTTATCGTGGAGCACATAGCCAATTAGTTGCCAATACACCGTCATTAACGTGCTATCTGTGCTAATTGTGTGCCGTAGACCACCGGTCGGAACAATCGGGTCCGTTCAGAGGAGGATAGGAGGATGCATGGTACATTGAGCGGGTTGCGCACCCCCTATCTGTGTTTATGCCTTACCTACCGGCCTCGGGTTAGTTAAAATGATAGTCAGAGTTAGAGTGGACACTAATGGCCGTTTTACAGCAGTTCTCTGCCGCAGAAACGTCCGCGATATCATCTCCATGGTGGTGTGCGACTGCATGAATAGTGAGGCAGAGCTTATAGCTTACTAGAACCAATCCTTCAGGGTATCCCGGGCCAAGAGTTCACCCAGAGCAACATGATGCGCTTCCGGTATTAATTCTTCCGAAGAAGGAAAGGAAGGTAAGTAAATCGCCAAAAATGGGTTGCACGACGCCACAGAGAGTATGAGGACGTTCCGTTATTCGAAAGTTCGACCCGTTTGAGCCGTTCGAGACGTGCGAGCCGTGCGAGACGTACGAGCCATAGGTGGCTGTGACCTCAACCCCTCAGGGCCATGCCAGTCAAGTGGCCCCAGCAGAAAGTAACTTGAGTAGAAAATAATAATTATGATTAGCTCGCTAGTTCCTGAGACTATATAATGCCAAAGGATAATCTGATACAAGCTCGACAGCCCACAAATTAAACTGGGTGGGCAGGGTTAGCAGACATTAACTGGCCTCGTCGATGACGGCGGACAACACGGAGTATTCACTGCTCCTTCGCAGAAGACCCCTCTCAACAATTCAAAACTGTCATCCTTCATAATTTAATGAACGTATATCTTCAATTTCTGGCATGTTAATCTAAGGTAGGCGAGCAAGCCAGAAAAGCAAACAATCTAGGGGGGGCTGACGTGAAGGCAGCACAACCGCCCGCCCAGCACTGTCACAGGCGTTCATCCCGCCATGTAAACTCGCCGAGGAACAATAACAGAAGAAATGCATTTAATTGCTATTTACAACGGCGGGATGAGGGTAGCTCTTGGCGGCAGCATGGCTCAGAGAGATGGCCACTACTAGTACTCCCCAGGTACTCCCCATACTATAACCATATTCCTTGGCGCCCTGTCCGTCATGCCAATCCTTGACGCCAACCTTCGCTCACTCGAGCTCCTCCTGCTCGTCCACTCAGAACGTATCGTACCGTTGATGTTCGTGTTCGTGGGCAGTCCAGTTGTGAGGATTCTGTTGTCGAGCGTGAGGTGGTAGTTGGGTTAGGTGTGGGGATGGCGGGACGGCATACGAGTAGGGTCGTACGAGGAGGGTAGAAAAGGACGAGGATGGGAGAGAAGGGCGAGGACGGCGTGGGCAAACGCGAAGGTCCGGATGCGCGCTGTCGCGGCTGCCCTCCTCCTGTCCCTTGTTGCACTCGCGGTGTCGTGTTCAAGCCCGCACGTCCAGGCCTCTCGAGCTGTTGCGTGTTGCCAAAGATCGGGTTGGCGGGGAAGATGATGGTAGGTATCTGTGGGTGCTGCATGCGAAGGGTGGAATGAAATGGGGAAGGCGCGGTCAGAGGGGTTGGCAAGCGGAGGGATTCGCACTCACCCTTGTCTTTCTCGCCCTCGCCTTCCTAGCCCCTCCTCTCCCTCTCCCGCTCCCTCCGTCCTTCAACTCGCCATGTCGTGCTCAACTTCGTGTCGTCACCGACCTCGTACTCACCCAGTGCTACTTCCTATGGCATGTTAGAGAGGGAAATATCCTGTGATTTGCTTCAGAGGGTGGAGGACACTGACGGTGAGGCCAAGGTGGGGTAGACAGCGGTGTCGAGTGGTTGGTCTCTGCGTTAGCTAAGCAGGCAGGCTCGTACGGCTCGAACGCTCGAACGGCTCGAACTTTCGAATCCCGGAACTTTCTGGAGAGTATAGTACAGAGTGTGGTAGAATCCAAAAATAAAAATACACTAACCAATCCTTAGTGAGTAGATGACGATGAGTAGATATTTTCCCGTTCACAGATTATGCCCCAGCTTGGTCCTCAGCACCCTCAGCTTATCCATGACCGCATCGCCCTCGATGTAGCACCCCTTCAGCCATCTCCGTGGCGCGTCATCTTCCTGCTTCGCTTTCCCGTTCCCGTTCCCGCAGCGATCTTTGAATGCAGTCCGGGCGTGCAGCACTCGTCGATTATCAAAAATCACCGCGTCGCCCTCCTCGAGCGTATACTCCAGCCTTGCCTCCTTGTCCTCGAGATACTTGACAAATTTCTTGAGCGCACCATAGAATTCCTTCGGGGTGTCGAGGGGGAGCGGTGCCTGGAAGGGCGGGGAGTAGTTGATGTATGCTATGCGCTTCTTGGGCTTCGCCCCGGGCGGGGTGGGGATGAGCGACTGGGAGGGCCCGGTCTGGATGGTCGGGTGTGTTTGGTGTAGGTGGTGCCCGTCGTTGATGTAGTGAAATGCGACGGGCGTCTTGGTGAGGAGGTCGAACTCGGCGGGGTACTTCCTACGCGTGCACGCGGCCGCGCGCAGGGAGTCGACGAAGATCGAGGTCCCGCCTACGACGCGGTTTCTTAGGCAGTGGAGAACCTGGTAGCGCGGTGGGTTCTCAAAGTACCTAAAGATAGACCAACGACGTGAGTCCCTCCGCATATAAGCGACGAGAAAGACAAAAGGCTAAACTCACAGCAAATCCTGGTGCAGTCCCAGGTCCAAGTCCGTATACGCGATGTTCTTGCTATCCCGCCGACTGACCACGTCCCACACCTTGCCATAGAATGTCTCCCTAATCTCCCCGAATTTTTCTGCGAGTGTCTTGAGCTCGCACTCCCCAGGGCCCGTGCGATCTCCCTCCACCGTGCCTTCCGTGGGTACGCCCTTAACAAAGACCAGACCATCCCTGACGAGCTGCGTGACCGCACGGAGCTTCCCCTCAGGCGTGTCCACGTCCTTGTACTGCACGAACAGATCCGGCGTCGTCGAGATGTCGAGCACATCGTCCCGGATCCACGCACGCCGTTTCAGCGCATCGTCGTGGTGGAACTTCTGCAGCGCCGCCTTCGACGCATACCTTTCCAAGAACTCCTTGGTGTACGTTGAGCGGTGGCCGTCGGTCCATGCGATCTCGATCCCGTCGAAGTCGTTCCCGCTCTCCTTCGCCACAAGCAGCACGCCCGCCTCGCCCCCAGGCCGGATCGCTTCGTCGACGTCGACGGTCTTGGTCAGCTTCTGCTTCGTGCTCGGGTGCACGGACTCGGGCGACTGGCAGGCGTCCCGCAGCCAGACGTACGGGAAGCTGGTGTCGTTGAGGGCATGCACCGTCAGGGCATCGGGGCCTTGTGTGAGCGTCGTCCAGGTCCGCTTCTGCTGCTGCTCGGTAGACTTGAAGCGGTGGCTGCGTCGAAGCGCTGCGCTCCCCGTCGTACTCGCAGCTGCGGAGCGCAAGATCGACGGCGTTCGAGAAGACAGTGTCGAAAGCATCTTCACTGCAGATGTAGACGTAGCTCGAGTAAAACGACGGTGAAAAAAAGGAGATTTGGCGACGAGTGCGGGGTAGTCTTGGGTGTGCGGGGTAATGAGGAGAAGGGCGCCGTCGAGACCCGCGGGGTTCGTCGAGCTTCTTAAAGTTCCAAGCTGAAGGAATAGAGATGTAGCGGTTCTCGGCCAGATTACACTGGATTTTATCGGCTATCAGTTACTGCACCACGGCCCGCTGTGCTACTTCCTCCGTCGTTCTCAAGTTACTCCGCCACGGCATGCTCCAGGTTAGAGATATTCCGCGCGTCGTTTGAGCAGGAGTTGGCGAAGATCTTAGAATTTCGTAGTCTTAATGAAGAGACTAGAAAAGCGTGACTGATCATGGACACGACCTTACAAACACAAGTTTAACCTTCAGAAGATCTTCGTGAATTATTCTCACTAATTTCAAGAGTCGATGAGCTCTATCTGTATCATTATTACTTAAAAACAAGTCCATAAGGTCTAAATGTGTCTACAGTATGTACGATGGTATGTATGATTTTCAATCGAAGATGAAGGAAGGGGGGTTATTAAAAGGCGTTCTAGTAGAGGTCGTGTGTAATGGCATGCACCGAGAGTTGTTGAGGATTTCCGATTCCATCTACTCCGAGAAAAGAAGCACGATACGAATGGAAACGGATTTAAGCCACAGCAGAGGGCCGTCCAATGGTCGTGACCCTGAAGCCGATCTTCCTCAACCTCTCCGCGTCGACGAGGAGGCGCCCGTCGAACACGAATGCAGGCTTGTTCATCCCCGCATACACCGCCTCCCAGTCGATGTCCTTGAACTCCTTCCACTCTGTGGCGATCACGACAGCCTCGGCATTCTTGCACGCCTCCAGGGCGGAGGAGCAGATCGACACCTGTTTCTTGACTAAAGAATTGGAGCACGTTAGAGCATGTTCACATGTCGACGACTATGCCTGGAAAACATACTCGTCTCAAGCGGCATGAGCGGGCTAGCCTCCTGGAGGTCCATCCAGATCTGCTCCGACTCCACCTGCGGATCATAAACGTTCACGAACGCCTTCTCCGATTGGAAGTCCTTGATGAGCGTGATGGCCGCAGACTCGCGTGTGTCGCCCGTGTCCGCCTTGAACGCGAAGCCTAGAACCGCGATACGCTGGACCGTGCAAGCAAGTTGAATACCACGATTCAAGTAAAAGTCACGGACGATGAACGTACCTTGCCCGTTATCGTGTTGAATAGCGTGTCCACAACCCTCTTTGAGAAGCGTCTCTTCTGATACTCGTTCATCTCGACCACCTGGCGCCAGTACGCCGCGACCTCGGGCAGGTGCAGGCTCTCGCTGAGGTACACCAGGTTGAGGATGTCCTTCTGGAAGCACGAGCCACCAAAGCCCACGCTGGCCCTGAGGAACTTGGGCCCAATGCGCGAATCGTAGCCGATAGCATTGGCGACTTCATCGATGTTCGCTCCCGTCGCCTCGCAGATCGCCGAGAGAGCATTGACAGACGAAATGCGCTGGGCGAGCATCGCATTCGCCGCCAACTTCGAGAGCTCGGAGGACCACAGGCCGACAGTCAGGATACGCTCTTGCCTGTTTATCCATTCCATTCATCAGCAAATTCACGAACCGAACACGAGATGGAGGCGCGGACGTACGGGACCCAGTTGGCGTACACCTCCTTGAGGCTCTCGCACGCGTCGATACCTTCCGGCGACTGCAACGAGCCGATGAGCACGCGGTCAGGGCTGAGCAGGTCGCTGATCGCCGTGCCCTCCGCAAGGAACTCGGGATTCGACAGGATGTCGAAGCGGCAGTTGGGCTTCGAGTTGGCCTCGAGGATCGTCCGCATCGACTCCGCTGTGCGGCACGGCACCGTACTCTTCTCAACCACGATCTTCGACGACCGGGCGACGGTCGCGATCCTGCGAGTGGCGAGCTCGACGTAGCTAAAGGTGGATTGGCGTAAGAAGAAAGAAAATGGGTATCAAAGGGGTACATACTTAAGATCAGCAGCGAATCCAGCACCGACACCGCTCTTCTTTGTAGGCGTGTTGACGCTGACGAAGATAAGGTCGGCCTCCTCGATACCCTTGTCGACGTCGGTGGAGAAGAAGAGGTTGCGGCCACGCGCCTGGCGGACGACGTCGACCAATCCTGGCTCGTAGATCGGCAGGCTGAAGTCTGGGCTGTTCCACGCATCGATACGCGCCTTGTTCAGGTCAACGATGGTGACCGTGATGTGGGGGCATTTGAGCGCGATAACGGCACACGTTGGGCCACCTGTGAGATAACGGCGTTGAGTGGGTTGATATGGGTAAAGGCGGGTGAAAGAAACGCGTGGGCGTCGTTGCTGGCGGGGTTCCAGGTCCCTCTGTGATACACACTGAGCCATCACATCAGGCTATTCGTGTCCCAGTCACCTAGCACACTGGGAGATAGGCCGCTCCGACACGACACGAACACTCTGAGCCCCACTAGCCCTCCTCGACGCGTATGCGCTGGCAGGAAAGCTCCTCACCGACATAGCCAGCACCAACTGTATCACGGCGAGATAGTCAGTATCCACGAAACCCCTGAAGGCAAGTTCGAATACTCACTGCAGCAAATCTTGGTCACTTTCACGGGGGCCATTGTGTGTCGTTAGGAGAAGGGGGAAGATGCGTGGCGGGGAAGATGAAGGTTAGAAAGTGAGTTGTTATACTACAAAAATGTTAGAGCTTTATATCACGATCATTCGGCGACTAATCCTTATCCGGAATCAATAATCGGCCGTCACCGAGGTCCCTGGACCTGCCCGCAGTGGAACCCGCCAATCCTTAATTCATCTTGAATGAGTTAAGTTTAAGTGTTGCAGGATCGCCAGGCAGTTGACGAAGGCCTGCAGGAGTCACGTTCGAGGGGCCGTTCACAAATTTTCTGAATGAAAAACCCCTCACCCGATAGACTTCAGATGAACATGGTACGACAAAAGAATACCTCTTACAAAATAAGCTCTGCCGTGCTAGATACGCATCACCCCTCAAATAGCACCTTTCAAGCATGCTCATCACAGTTGTTACAACGGAGACGACGAGAACATCGCGATGGTTCGGATGAAGAACAAGGAAATAGAGTGAAACCGGGCAGCCTGCAAAACGTCATAAGATTTTCTGTCATCAACGGAGGAACATGGCGAGATGCTGCGATGGTTCGAAAGTAAGCCGGAAGCATGTCCACGGGTCGTCCGCATCGAAGAAACGACTGAGCATTTCTGGAGCATTTACTGTATAGACACTGCTTTTGAAAAGTGCTGGTTGGGCAGCTATTTAAATGCCTCGCGTTAGCTCATGAATAACATTCCAGAGATGAAAAATAAGATGACATCTGAGAAAGTCGGATTTGACACCGCATCGCGGAGAGTGTCAGCCCCAGGATCTACTAGCATACACCCGGCAAAGAGGATGTTTCAGTCTATAAATCCAACCCAGAAGGCGAAGAAGCGTCTAGGCTCACCAGTTGGTCAGGTTTTTCCGCCCCAAGCCGGCGCACTATAATCGTAACGATAATAGAGTCGTCGTCGGTACTTCAAGCAACCTACGACCACGCCAAGCCAGGGCGTCCTACCTGAATTGACAATCACTTCATATATCTGGAGGATGAAAGGCCAAAGGTTGCTTGACCTGACTGGTCATAGGCTCCAGTTAGAGGAGTCCTGAGGATGCGGCGTTGTGTGCGACTGTGTTAGTCGAGGAGATAATCGAGTCGGAAAGTAGGATTGGTGCCTTTCGGAGTGTTGTCGTGGAGCAAGAAAGTAACTGTACGAGTTCCATAGTGTTGTTTTCGCTCGTAGAGGAAGGAGAAAGCAGAATATCGACCATCATGTAAGAAAGATGATATTCCTTCGTTCCCGTACTATGGTTCTCTGTTCCCGGACGGCTGGACGCCCTATGATGAAGTCCAAACCAGTGAAGAGTTCCAAGACTCAAGTTGCCAGAGAACGTGTGTTGGTTTAGACTTTGGAGTTAGCCGCCAGCATGAAAATGGGCCCATTATGTGTGGGAATCGACACCGACAAGATGTTTGTGCGAGTGCCCAGTGTTTGAAGGTGGAAGTTGCGCGGCTCAACCGTCTTTCTTGAGCAGAGCAGAAAAAAGCCGGCCCTAAACTCGACGCGACCTGTGACAGACGCGTGACATGGCGTGCCGTAAGTAGCCCCTGAGTTGCGTCGCGACGAGATCCCTCAGCTGCACAAACGCCAAAATAACAAGTATCATCCTGCATCCAGCATATAGAATCGACGTGACACATAACAAGAGAGATACTAACTTATTCCCAATGCTCTTGGCCCATCCTGTCCTCCATGTCGAGAGAGGTACGACCTCGACGGAAAGCCTGTCAGGCAGGCGCACAAAGCAAGGAAAAGGAGTGGGATAAGTGTTATTGATGAGGACGCAACGAGCCAGGCTTTTCGCTCCACTGACACTGAGGATAAAAACGTGGAAGAGGAGGACAAAGGCGAGCTAGCCAATGGCATGGGACGGATGGTCCATGCCACGCAGTAAAGTGCATCAAATATAACAGCGATGAAGGTCGAAGCAAGAACCGGGATGGTCTGAGAGGTTTCTGGGGGGGGCGCAAGCGTAGAAAGTCGGCAGATGCGTTGTTGAAAGGAAGGGCCATCTAGGAGGGCTGTCGTGTCCACCCACCATGTCGCTGAATGGGCGAAGGATGGAGGAAAATGGAGTATGGTGATCTTTACTTTTATATTCGAGAGGATGGTTGACTGGGGAAGTGCCTACGAAGTGAAATTCAGCGATATGACGTCATGAGCCTCTCAAGAAAGGACACGCTTTACCTTCTGAATCTTCCCCACATAAAACAACAGGAACGGGACACCTCACATCGAGCGGCTTATCCCACCAAAGCCAATACATCCCCATTCAAGCATGCGAACGCGAGCGTGAGGAGCTCCAGCTCGGCCACTCTCTTTCCCTGCGCCATGCGCATCAAGCACTTGCCTATAAAGAACGTGGTGCGGGAAAGCACGAGCGCTTTGGCAAGACCGCTGCCCTTGCTCTTATCCTCGATCTCTTGAAGCGGGGTTGACGGCCACTCGATCGTGTCTTGGGACGAGAGCCGCTCGAAGGAGGGCGGTGTGAGGGGCAGATTGGTGTACGATCGGGGTGGATGAGCATGAAGCCGCCCATTTGAAGGAAGTGGGCCTGTGTCGGCACCCAGCCTTTCTCTAATCCACGGCTTGGGCTTAGAAGTAATGTTGGGGTGCAGTGCCACCCATGTGCAGGCTATGATAATTCCGATGCATGTCCAAAGGATGCGGACAGGCGAACGTAAGGGGTCGGGACAGGGAGGCTCCGAAGGTGTTGATTCGTTTGCGACGGACAGACATAGGAAGTGCCTGGGCAGCGAAAGTGAATATAGAAGCCAAAAAAGTGAGACGGAGGGTGTTTGAGTTGTGCATTCTTTGCGTCCCTCGCTCACAGATCAACAGAAGGGGTGAAAAAAGGCATGAAAAGAACCCCTTATATGCGTCTCCTCCCAACGGCACTGTCGTTCCGTGGGATTTCCGGCGGTATTTGCGCGTTTCACAAGTTGGAATGTGCACCAACATGCCCGTTTGTCCGAAAACGTGTTTTGAAGGCATCTGGAGGAAGGAGAAAACGAGGTGGATCTCGACAGAAAGAACAGAAGTGGGGTGCAAGTGGAGTCGGGCCGAGAATTGGGGGAGTTACCAGTTACCTTTCCCATCGTCAGGAGGTCAGCCAGGAGGATGGTGATGAGCCGGACTGCTCCCTGACCCCGGTAAATCCCTTTTTTCGACCTTCATCATCACATTCTCGTCGTCCCCTCGATCCCCGACACCTTTCCCATTGAGCCATATGATTCCTCGACGCACCCGGAGACCCTCAGCCAGAACATCAGCAAGCCCCATGATCAGCCCACATGGTTCCAGTCGAAGTGAAGCCTCGACGCGCCACCCTTGCCATATCAAGACCATCAGCGCAGTCGTCCGTTGCGTCCCCTCGTCATTTGATTAATTTTTATCATTCTTATTTATTTCTGTGGAAGATTTTCTCTTATTCTTTATTCCTGCAGCCCGGTTCGGAGAAATACCTCACCGGTGCTCCTGTTTTTTGTAGATACAAAATGTCTGTACTTACTCTTTTCCCCCAATAACATACAGTTCCTCGTCTCATTTGCCCACTCGGGGCACTCATACCTCGCCCTCGTCTCTCGTACGCCTTCTCTCGTCGCTCTCAGCCTCGTTTCGACTCGCCATTTCGACCCACCGTTGCCCCGTCTTTCGATCTCGCCGCCATCGCCATTCTGATCCCACGCTTAGCGCCCACCGTCGTCCCCCGTTTGCTGGTCGCGCGTGCCCACTGGTTAGAGCCGCACAACTGGGAACCTGTCCTCGCACCTCAGAGCCACTCATTGCGGTGTTTTGGGTGTGTGATATTCATTCATTATTCGCACGATCACCCCACCGTAGGCACATCAATGGTCCACCTCTTTCTCTTGCACTGAGCTCACAAAAGAGCTTCCCTGTTGTCTGAAGTGGAGCTGTTCCTCGAACTGTGCGTTGTGTCGGAAAATTTGGAGATCCACAACAGTGGTAGCAGATCTGCAGGACGGCGTGAAGGCAGAGTCAGAGCAAAACACTATTCGCTCCAACGTGGTCACCTCCCATGATACGCTCCGTCCTTGCTTCGCAGACCAGTATACTCTCAATGGTCTCTTTCGCCATTTCGCTTTTTCTGGGGTCGCTATTTTCGGGATCCAAATGCAAGAGTGCCGCCCGTACGACGTCGGACCGCCGAAGGCGCGGTCCCCAGATGCTTCCGGTGTAGGCATCGACCAGATTGACTCTCTCGAGCTGCTCCATGCCTACATAGCGACACTTTCAGAGCATAGACTGGAGGCGTGAGACCGTGGCCTTACCTGGATCGAGGATCAGATTTGCGATCGTCACTGAGGGGAGAAACACGACTTGGCCCATGTACAGCAACTCGAGCGATGGAATGACAGGGAATCCCTCCTCTTCGAGAGCGTCGTCCACTTTGATGTTGGCTAAACGCAGCTCGGTCAGGTTGGTATACGTCGATAAGGCCTTGAAAAGATGAGGTATGGCATTTGGAACAATCTAACCATAGGTAGGAATAAGTACAAAAGTTGTTAACAAAAAGAAATTGGCGTACAGCGATTGAGAAATGGTGGGGAGGATCCGGACCTGTCCAGATAAACCGTCGAGGACTAGAAAATCCCTTGCATTCAGAATTGCATCTATACAAGTGCCACGTAACGCACTTGATCTGAGAGAGAGCACTATAGATTCTCTCGATCCCGGGATCGTACATATGGGAGTACAAGCGCAAGAGAAGAAGATCCAGAACGAGTCTTCCGTTCTGGTCTCTACTGACCTTGGGCCCGTAGCTAGCGCTCCAGAAGCACGTCGAAACCAGTGTAGAAAAGTCGGAGAAGACGATATTTGAGAAGTCGTCGTTCGTGATATGGACCGCTATTGCACGAGGAGCATAAGGAACAGGAGTCCGACAGTAAGTCATAGTGAAGGAACGAAGCTGAGCACGAGATGTGAAGGTTATTCCGGCGTAGAGAATCTGCTGGACGATGTCCCGAAAAGCTGAGCAGGAGGTCAGGAGTGCCATGGGGGATCTAGAAGATAGGAGTGACATTTCGACTATCTCTTGCACTATCTCAGGAGGCAGTAAGGCCATAGCAACAAGTTTCCCCGACTTGATGTAGACAGAAGTTGAGATTCAGAGGAAAGCGATATGTACTCTATAGTTGGTTTGTACGGCTTCACGGATCAAATCAGGGCGGGCCGGCACTTCTTCCACGTTCTGCGGCAGTATTCACGGGCTTTGTTGCGGAATTTGCTGAGCTCACAAGAATATGTAGCGCCATACTGGACAAAAAATGCATATTTACATTTTTTTCTCATAAGTCCGTCTCCAATCTGTCAGATTCAGGTGGAATTCGTCCAATACGGTCCCAATCCGCAAGAAACACACCGATTAGACCCATTTCGGTTGCCACCCAAAGAAAAAACCAAAACCCCTCCCGATCTGCAACACATCGCCCCGATTCTGACCGATTCTGACCGAAGCCATAATTTTTTTTTAGGTCGCAAGGTCCCAAACGGTCGGATTCGGGACAAATCTGACCACACACGAGAAATCTGCAGAACGATGTGGTCGGATTCGGGACGAGGCCTGATTCCACCTGTATCGGAACGACCGGTCATTAAAAAAAAGGAGAGTCGATCTGGCCGAATCGAGCAGAGACGGTACGAAGACGGCGGATCCGGGAGGATAGCATCGGTTTCGGGACGAAACGGGCAGATTTGGTCAGGTTTCGGCCTAAATTAGGCCTTCTCATAAAAAAAACTTCGATCATGTATTTTTGTCCAGAACGGACCGTCATACAAGAAACACAATTCAAACGTATTTTATAGGCATAACGAAGTAAGGGTATGTTTCGGTATGTACGACAAACGTACCAATATATTTTGGTCGCGCCCAACTCAGACTCATCTTCACCATTTCTCATAATCAGCCGAACCATGCAATCGATTCATCACCTTTAAAAGATTCGGCTCGTTATCAGGTGTAACATAACCCAATCGAATAAACAGATCCAGAATTACTGTAAGAACCAATTTATTGAGTCGTCGAAACTACGAAATGGAAAACGTACCTAGACCACAATTGGGTTTGAAACGGCCAGCGCGAAGCTGCTCAAGGATTTTTTCATGTGGCATGAACTGCAGGACTTGGTAAGTCGAGCTGAAGCCTCAGTCAACGGTTCGACAAACCTCGAATGACTCGACCTCTCCATCAAGAGGACAGGGAGTGAACGGGGCACGGTTAACACCTGGGGGAATGGCAAGGTCATAAACATATCTGTCAACCTTAGTTAGGCCTACAATCGGCTGGGATGAGCCACAGAATTTACCCAACCTCTGGCTGTAGCCAGCCCTCTTCGTTCCTGTAGAAGTAGCTGATAGAACTGACGGCTCGAGCGTGCTTTCGCAGGATGTGGGATTCAATGTTGGCTTCCTCCATGCACTCCTTGATAACAGCCTCGAAAATGGGTATTCCACTCGGGATCCCACCTGCTGCCGTGTTATCTAGGAATCCCGGAAAGCTGAAAAATATCAGACACTGATTAGGGCATGCTAGACCTCAACAAGAAGGCACTCACGTAGGTCTGTTAGACTCTCGAGTTGGAATCCACACGCGGACGCTACGCTGCCCATCCTCCAGAATTCTCTCCTCATAAATGTTCATGTGCACCCCGTATGCCACCAGACCAAAGAGAGGGCAGACAGAACGCTCCACCTCAAAGGCATAATTGAGGCCATCTTCGCGTCCGGCGGTGAGTGGATGATCATGGATTCCATAGGGGTCCGCGTAGATGGGGTACATCTCCGATCTCCACTTCGCCGGACCGCAAATGTCGGCGAAGAGTCCAGTATCCCTCCACCTCTCGCATAGCTCCTTCAGGGCCGCTGATCTTTTGGTTGGTGTGTCCAACCAAGCTCTGAAGCTGACGCTGGGCCCGATGGCACCATTCTTCAGAGGGACGAAGTGCAAGGGTTCGAGTCGCAAGCACCATATTTCCTGTAGGTCTTCTTTAGCCCTCCTCGCGTTCTCGAGTTTCAGTTGCTCGACCAAAATGGGTCGAAGTAGTCCAATAACGCCGCTACCGACATTTTCAGAGAGGTAGAACGGCACCAGAGCTTCAGAGCCGTAGGAGACATCGTAGAGTCCTGTCGCGTCGCGGCGCAGGTGAACATTGTTGCAGATATTAACGACGTCAAGGAAGGTGAGAGGCATTCTGAAGACAATGACTAAACGTAGAATACAAAGGGAAGTTATGTGCCGTTGAGGGTAAGTACGTGGTGTCAGCGTGGCTGCCGTGGCGAAAGGTGAACAAAATCTTGTAACTTGTTGTGAACAACAGAACACGTCGCTCAAATCGTTCACGGATCAGGCAGGCAGATCGGCAGCATCCATGGCGACTGTTCGTGTGTCTAGGCTTAGTCGACGGTGAACGTTCTTGAGTGAATGCGTTGGTAAACGACACTGTCGCAGTCTTCGTCGATTTTTGAAGCAAAGACAGCATCTCTAGAGAGATCGCCTTCAAGCAAATGAGGGGCTTCTCCAACCTTCTGTCCGTTTCTGCAAGCCCGGAACTGTGTCATAACCCGTCGTGTTGAATCTTCATACGCTCCGACACAACAGACACCCAGGAAATCAAAGGCTAGCTTCCCGAAATCGAACAGCAGATCTTCACGTAGCAGCCACATTGCCATCGACGCCCGGAAGAAGCATCTTTCCAGGTGTAGTGTTCAGGTTTGTGGCAATTGGGGTCTCAAACTTGATCGCCCACGTCGGCGCACCCGTAGTTCCCCTAGCGAAAGGAGATCTAGTCGTAGGAAGCAAGCCGAGGAAGGACCAATGCAAGCTACGAGGCCAACTGTCTGATGTCGGCGGGCGTAGAATCGATCCATACTATAACACTTTAAAAATTGAGAGTCAGAGCATGGTCGGAGAGGTATTATGAGGAAAGGTGGGGCAAATGGTAGTACGTACTGCAAGTCCCATGGATGATGCTCAACAGAGCCTGGACGAGCCACTCTGCCAGCCGATGACGGACTCCAAAATCTAGCATATGTTCATGTCAGCATGAGTAAATTTTGGAGAGAAAATAAACGAACTTACCCTTCGCCTCGTAACGCCTGCCGCGTAACTGACCAAATCACCTTGGTATCCACTTTCGACCTGTTCCAGCTGATAAGCCTGAATCACATATTTTGAGGAAAACAACATGGCTAATCGAGGGAGGGCTGAAAGTTCGTCAGGACTCAAGTAAATCCACTAGGTGACGATAGAGAATGCGGCATGCTAGGATGAGGTGTCTTCGGTGTCGACCTCCGGAAGTCCAACATCTTTTTTCAGGAATTTCCTCGACATCTACGGATGGTGTGCCCTCCTGGCCTGAATCGGAATCCATATTCTTTCGATCTATCGCCATCTCGCACATGCAGGGCGATAGGTTCGTGTCTGCTAGAAATCTTCAACGAATTGTTGTATTCGGAGGACGCGACCTGAGAATGACGAGTCTCCCGTAGGGCTTATAGCGAGATGCTGTTGACGACAGTTTTTCAGAACGAGAAGGGATCACATCCGAGGAGCCTACTGGGTAGGGTCGAACGAGTTTGCAGAAAACAGGGAATCCAGGATCTGAAATAAAAATAGTGATGATGGCTCAACGTTCAATACTAAGTCCAACTGTGTCGGTTTTTGTACAGGATCGTCGTGTGGAAGGGAGATATGGCCGCGAGTCAAATTTTTGTGGAGAGTCCCAACTTCTTCAGGTTGGATGGGATAATCGTTGAAGGGAAGGGCGCAAGCGCACAAGCTGCCTCGGACGTTGGTCAAGAGCTGTTCCGGTGTAAACGCTGCTTAATTTTTTTTCTAGCGAGACTTTCGAGAGGCTAATGTCCAGTCTTTTCTATATGTCCTATTAGACAAGTCGCGCAAAAACCTTTACACTCACACTTAAGTCTTACATTGATGAGGTCCGTCACGGCTAGATTCAACATTGTGGCAACAGCGCCAGGATAATGTTGGTGATTGCAGAGACGTGATCTGCTCGTTCGCCGACAGAGGCTTTGACGGCCAATATGACTCCCTAGAATTCCATTCGATGAAAAGGAGCCAAGCGAGCATATGCATGCATACTGGCCGAGAGTAGAAGACAGAGCCCCAGCGGATCCAACTCTATTTTCCTTATGTAAAGTATCTGTCATCAGCAAGCATCCTGCCAGTATGCCCAAAGTCCCCTTGCATGAGGGCTTCCCACTGCACCAACCAAACCTGTGTACGCAGGGAAAAAAGGCGCCAGAGGCATGAAGATCGATAGCATTGATAATACATAGAACAGCGCTAAATAAGATAAGAACTGCACGAAGACCCGAGAAAAAGAGTTGAAAAAAGAGTCGTGAATTAATCCATCCACAGAAAAATAGGAAGTTGTCAGAGGTTAGAAGTTCCGCGTAAGGTACCTAGGTCTGAGAGGAGAAGGGGTTGCAAGGAAGTCAAACTATGGTCGGGTGGAGGACAGGAGAGCAAAGACCCAAAGGAGGCTTAACCTTAGGACTTCACATTGCACCCCATTGCTGCCCACCAACCTGTGTCGGGTATCCGTTCTGTCCGAACATCTGCCCATACATGGCGTTCTGGCCAGCCATAGTCTGGGGTTGTGAAGGCGTAAACATATTTTGGCTGAATTGTGGCTGCTGCTGCTGCTGCTGTGCCAGTAACTGTTGCTGTTGCTGTTGCTGTTGCTGCTGTAGTAGTAGTTGCTGTTGCTGTTGTTGCTGCTGCATGAGAAGCTGCTGTTGCTGCATTTGCATCGTCGTCATTCCTAGGAACGGGGGTTGGGAAGACACAGGGGTCTGGGACATGAACTGAGCCTGCATAGCTGTTTGCGGCTGCTGCAACGGTAGTTGTGGGTGCGGGCTGCTGTTGAACTGCTGGGAAGGGCTTGGAGTGAGGAAGTTAGATTGAGAAGGCGGCGCGGACATGAAAGGTTGGCTCGGTGACGGCGACAGGAAACTTGAGGTTGTCGGAACCTGGACCTGCAGAGACGAAGCTTGCGGCTGGAAGAAGGAAGGGGTGGCAGTCGGTTGGGACATCATGGGTGTTGTTGGCTGCATGGACGCTCCGCTAAAATATTGCTGTCCAAATGACGTAGGTTGCGTCTGGCTGAAGGACGAAGCCATATTAGGAGGTGCAGAGAAAGGAGACGTAGATGCGAACGGCGACTGGGATTGCTGTTGAGAGAAGGGATTCGTCCCTAGGGACATCTGTTGAGGTTGGAACGGGTTCACGCCCATCCCAAGTGATGTTACACCGACAGGATATCCATTAGCACCAATAGTACCTGTAGCAGGCTGAGGCGCGTACTGCAGGGGCAATGAAGAATTTTGGCCCCCACTTGCCAGAGAACTTATATCGTCCCAGACAGATGGCGATATTCCGGCGGATACAGATCTCGCTTGGTTCTGAGGCATAGGGCATGGCGGCGGCGGTTTAGGTTGAATAATCGACTTCGGAGGGTTGGGTGCAATTGGAGATGATGCCGCTACATCCGTCGCGGTGACGATTGGGCTCGAAGAACTCGCAGGCACTTGCGTAGTGGGCAAGGACACTGAATGTGCGCTCACCATAGTCGCTGATCGCGAAGGCCCTAGCTTGGAGGCCACGAGCGCTGATCTGTCAATGAACTTGCGATACTCGTATTTGGCTGACTCATTTGAATGAGAAAAGCTGGGTAAGAAAGCAAGCCTGAATGACACATACCCCGGATATATTGCTCGATTTCGCTGTCTCGCTCAGTGTCTTCGAGGTTGGGTGGAGGAGGATGCTTCAGCTCGTTCGGGTTGTATATAGAGTTCGATTTGATATTTCCCATTGATTTCATATGCTGTGGGCGGTGAAAGTTCTGATTAGCTTTGATGGACTAGATAACTTGAGTTAGTGCACACCTCGACCTGATCCTTTGTCCAGTCGTCCATCGTCAAGCTCTTTCTGTTCCAACGGGATGTAAAAAGTCGGTTCCTCCAATACGCCTTCAAAAGCAACATACACTTTCGTAATGTGGGTTCCGATCTTCCTGTGGATGCTCGCACAGTTTACGCTGCATGCTCTAATTGAGCTAAGGGTGACATGCCAGAAACTCAGAATTCTTCACCAAATGAAAATGCCCAGATTTTGCGACGCCCATCTTGGTAACCTTGCCTTGCAATCTGCACATATGTCTAGAAGCACAGAATCGTTGATCTCGGCGTTCTGCTCCTAAACTCGACGAGGAACTCACTATTTCCGGGCTGAGCAGCAAGTTCAAGAAGAGTCTTCTGGTTTCGCTCCTTCTGGAGCTTTGAGGCAGCGGCGGACATGTGGGTCCTTGCCGTCAACGAAGGCAGTCGTGAGGGTGTTCAAGGTGATGAGGTGTAGGAAGCAGCGAAGTTGCTGGGCACTGAGGCCAAGTGCTTGGCTAGAGAGTGTGCACCAAACAAAGCGGCCCGCATACCAGGCGCCTATTCTGGCGCTCTCAGCCCGTGTGTTTGCTATCGGCCGTCTGGCCGAAAGAGTTATAGCAAAAAATTACACACATACAGTGTTGTTTTCCCCTGTTCCTCTCAGAGGCCGAGACTTGAGGTTTTTCGATCCAGAAATAAAGCGCGTTTCTTCACTGCTGGTGGCCGATGTTCTAAAAGCCCAGGAATCCTGGTGAAATTGCCATGGCCACTACCCCTTCCAGACGCCGGAGAAGAGAAATAAATAGACGTCACAGTAGAACCCCAGTTGAGAGAGGGTCAAATTGAAACCACAAAATAACATCACTTACCCTATCACGCATCATGGCTCAAAGAATCAATGAGGACCTTTAAGATTAAAGTACCAATAACTTACCTAGCTAATGATTGGTTGGTCTCGTCTCTGAATTGCTACTTCGTGAGCTTTTGAACAGTAGTTGCGCGATTTTGATAGGACGTCATGCCGTTGTTTCAAAGCGTCAAGCGAAAAGTGGTGGGGAACTAATTGTAGACAAGACGATAACTTGAGTCGTAGTTCCTTAAGTCCTGACTTGAGAGTTTGAATAGGCATTCCAAGGTCAACTCGGAATTTCATTCATATTGGAGAACAACTTGATCGATGATTGGTATCCATGTCTGGCAGATAAAAATGTCCAGAGAAGTTCGCATATTAGAGTGGATCTGTACCTATTTAGATAATAATCCCCCCTTCCACCTACTCCTTTCCCTCGCCCTCGCCTCCAGCGTTAACAAATGGCTCCCGACGCTTGAGACCCTCTGACGATGCTGCCGATAGAACTTCCAATTGGGGTGACGCCTCGGGCGTTGCAGCGACAGGCGCAGGCGCCGGTGCTGGTGCAGTGGCGGTAATCTCGGGGACAGCGTGTTGCTCAGCAGCCTGACTTGCAGCGAGCTGATGATTTACATCGGCATTCATGGCAGTCACGAACTGAACAAGCAACGAGAAGAGGAGCCTGCCTAAGGGGACAATCCCTATCCAAGCGCTTCGCACGAGCGGTGCTGCCGCACGCGCAGCTTTGAACGTCATCGCGCAATAAAGGACGATTTGATCCCAGAGAGGCTGCTGAGCTGGATCGGTTTGACTTCTGGCGATCGAGACTCTGTGACGGATCTTTTCGACGGCGATGTGGAAGGACGCGTTGAAAAACACACATGAAGCCGTCACACACCCAGCGATAAGGATTGTGACCAGAGCGGCGACAAAGAGATTGAAAGTGACTGTGAATGTATGAGATGATGACCAAAGGCTGAGAAGAAAGGCGTACGGGAAATCAACTGAACCAAGATCAGGAAGAACGCGCCGCCGATGATTGAGACGGCGCTCCAAAGAACGAGGATGGCGGCTGAAAGAGAGAAGATGCCTCCTGCGAGCGACAACCCGATCAAAAGAGGGGTGGAAAGAATTGCCTGCAACAGCGCAATTGTCAAAGTCGATCACAGAAACACTGGCCTGGGACAAGCGTACCTCGAAACGGGGGTCGGCGTCGAAATACCTGAACGAAGACGCGATAGCAGGCTTCAAGACATCCTCGGTCGCCCTTGCGGAGTGTGTTAGAAGACACCGACGCATGTACAGCATACTGACTGCTCACCTCACAAGGCGGTCTTTAATAAAAGCGATACCGTCCATGAAGGGCTGACCTAGAGGGCTACTCGGTTGCACTGGCGGCGTGGCCTGCACATCGCCCTTATCACTGGCTGGTGATGAAGCTTCGATGTTCGCCATGGTCATGAAAGATATGTTGAGATTGGTGGGAATGTCCAACAAATACGAACTTCAGTCCATATAATATAAGCCGGGAAGATATGCTTAGCACGTACGCTCCGCAGTACCTCCACGTAACGCCTGAAGCCAGAGCGCAGCGTTGACAAGATCGTCAAATCAATAGAGTCATGGGTCGCAAAGCAGGGGTGCCGCTCAACAACATGATCGAAGCTGTGTACCGCAGCAACAGGAGGGCGAGGTTCTGATACGAGACCAACTTCGTGCCATCATCTTGTGGACTTATTTCTGCGGGTATATATATGCAGCATATATCACAGTAGGGCAATCGATGGTTCGGAATAGCCTTTCCGGATGCTAGAATAGGAGGCCTACATATGTAGTAAAGAGCGGGGTTTTGAGCAAGAGGAAACTTGAAGACGCGAAAATAACGGAAACAACCAGTTAACCATAATTGCTTATTCACTCGACATACCACCGCAGTTGAGAGTTAAGAGGAAGGAATATTCAAGTCCTTTCCGCATAAGAGCCGCCCCTAAAGCATCTACAACCAATGACTGCCAAGAAGAGGCTGTACTGCTCGTTCCGAATCCACCATCATGTCATCTCAGAACGACAACGGGAACACGCAGATCAACAGACAGGACGTTTTAGATACCTACGGAAACTTTCCATTTGATAGCGATGAATCTTACCAGGTGGGTAGCTATCTTAGTTCCTGAGACACCATTTGTTTAACAACGGGACCGTTCTTGCAAGCAAGGCCTAGCTAGCATACTCGCAGGCTATGCACCGCCAGAAGTGCGAGAGGAGATGACACGCCACGTTCGGGTTTTTTATTTCAACAAGTGAATCTCATTCGTGGATCGCACCTCGTTCAGTCCTAATGCCAGGCAGGACAAGTGGTCATTCAATCACAATCGACGAAGCTCGCGAATATGAGCAATCAAGGGTGTCTGTCGCGTCTGCTTCGATGGCCTCTACGACCTACGCACCGATGGAAGTGGATGAGGAGACTCGTGTCCTGACGCTTGCCGAGCTGAAGGAGCTGATCGAGTCGGGAAAGGTGGATCAAATCCCCAATAACAAGGTCATCCCAGAGGCAATAAACGTGAGTCTTTGAAAATACACTCATTTGCGTAATATATAACGATGTCTGAATATAGGATGCCCCTCCGAGCCAGTCGACCGCGGGGGTACGGAAGAAGCCATGGGAGTTGGCAGATTCGCAATCCTAGGTGAAAACCAGATATAACTGAGAACAAAACCGATTGTATCGTTATCATACCTTCAACAAACGAAGGGTCCATCCTATTTATTTTTTCTGATTCAACAACGCGCAATCACGGGAAGGTGCCTTGCCGCCTACGGGAATGAGACGAGGCATATACGACCTCATATGCCGCTACCCGTTTAAGTGTCCAAGAAACGACAGTGAACGTAGATAGAGAGGGAAAAAATCTTTGAGGAACGAGGAGACGGAGAACGGAAGATGTTACAACAAATACAGAAACTAGCGATCAGAACAGAAAATCGAGTTCGAAGCGAGGAATTGCAAAGACTCGAGAGGCATAAAGAATATCAGCCTACAACAAATTGCATTCAGCGGATCATTTCGAATCCGCGTTTGGTGGCGAAAAAGGTCTTCTATACGACCTCTAGAGCAGGCATCAATGGACTTCTTGACTCTGCAAAGAATTCTGGGGGGTTGCACTCCCCATTCCAACACAGAGGAAGGCCAACCCATTTGGGCGACGCCAGCCAGGACTTTGTTCGACGCCAGGTGCTCGGGATCGTTGAGAATGTCCGCCCAGCTATAAATCCCACTGAAGATGACGAAAGCATTCTTTCAATTTGGCTTATCCGGTATTGCCCCACACTTGCGGCATAGCAGCAGGAGGCGGCATATAACTCTGCTGACCAAGGCGGGGGTCATGAATCGAGAGGTGTCTCGTATGGTAACCTGCACCTGGATTCGTCGTGGTATAATATTGCGCCTGGGAACTCGAAAACCCTCCGACAGTAGGGCTATGGCCCACGGTAGAGCTCAAATAGCTTGACGAAAGCGAGAGAGGAGGCTCTGGTCTATGAATTGGAGGTTGCTGGATGGGGGTTGAGTAGGCGAAGGGGTCATGCTGTATCTGAGCGTGAGTTGGGAAGAGCTGAGCCGCGACAGAGGCAGAAGGGTTTCGCCGGTGGTGGCCATGAGCCAGACCGCTGCCGATGATGGACTGCGGTGGTTGGGCGAAGGGTGCCGAGGGAAGAGCACCGACGAGGTTATGCTGTGAATTCTGGGACGACTGGCTTGGATACGACGAGGACCATATCGACGGCTGCGACAGGTCCTGAGAACCCAGGCCTCCGGTGATTTGGTGATTCGATGTCTGGTATATATGCCCTATGGCGCTGGGAGTGGCGACAGGACCACCAACGGCGTCAAAACTAGCTCCGTTGCGAGCGGGTAGAGACAAAGGTTGCTCATCGCGAGACGCAGACCATATAGATTGAGTAGGACGATGGGATAGCTCGTTACCGAACAAGAATTTCGGTTGCGGGGCGGTGGACTCTGTTGTCACGGGCACGGGCAGATGGGTAGCACCAGTCCTGCTGAGACCCATCACGCCTTTGAGCAGGTCTTCAGCGGTTGTGACTGGTGGTGGTGGGGCTGCAGCTGGGAGGTTAAACGGTGGGATTTTGACGGGCTGATAATGAGTCGGTGATCTTGGAGAAACGTTCTTCGGGCTGAGCATGGGCTTGACAGGAGTGACAGGCGTCGCATGAAGCATTGGAGACAGGCTAGGAGAAAGACTCGAGAAACTTGACCTGGACAGTAAGGGTGTCAAAGTGTAACAGACGATGGAGAAGCTCAATAACCCACCTCATATATACTATTTCATCTTCCTCGACCTCGTCGTCGTCGATGAGGTTCTCAGCCTTGTTCAAGTGATCGAAGGCAGCACGGACGGGATCGTCTTCCGTACGGCTGGTAAGCTCTGTCATGTCGTCGCCATCAGGATCGCGATTGGGATGCAAATTCAGGCTGTTGTCTCTAATGTTGGCCAGCAACTGTTGCTGGCGGATTGGTACGGCGTTATCACCGGCATTCTGTGTCATTTCTGGATGAGATGGCGGGCGGACGTCTTCGACGATTCCGAACTTAAACGTGATAACGTTGTTCATGATCGATATAGGGGAATTCTGAAGAGAAAATGTTGAACACGAGGAACTGATGATACAGCAGAGACGTACGAACCTCCATCTCAGCCAATGTTCTTGCGTCGTCCAACAAATCAGAGATCCGCATGAGCTGTTCGACATTGGGATGGACCTGTTCTCTTGCATGGTCATCTGCTAGACTCTTCTCAGCGTCCTTCTTTTCTCCCATCAAGTTTCTTAAGGGCAAGAAACCCCGCATCTCAATATCTTCCTCCAACGGAGCATCAAACTTGGGCAACTTCTGAGCAGGGAAAGCTCTCGACAGCGAGCGCATAAAATCGGCGTAGGTTTCCCAGAAACGCTTAGTTTTGGTCGAGTATCCGCTGATCTTCTCCGATGACCGTTTGCTTATTTCAAGCCCTTTGGCCCTTTCTTTCTCCTGGAAGGCAACAAACTCCTGATCTTGGGCGACGTATTTGAAGTTCGCGTTAAGCCACTTGCTCGCAATTCTGAGTGCCGGAAGAGTTCGTCGGAACGTGGCGCTGATCCTCTGTGCCAGATCGTCAACGGCCTCCATCGGAGGCGGATCTTTGAGCTCCTCTTTGCCGACTTCTAATAAGGCAAAATGGAGGTCAAGAAGATGGTCAAGAAGACTCCATTCGATGATGGACGCAGTTCCGGGGGCTGGTGGAACAGCTTCGGTCTTTCTATGATGAGAGGACGTGGTCGTGTCGCGAATCATACGATGCTTCCACAACGCGCCATGAGACAGGACTATTGTGTTGGAGATCATGTCAATAGGGAGGTGGCGGTCAGAGACGAGGCCGTAGAAATCATGAGAGACCTTCTCGTTGTGCTTCGGAGAGATCGACCGCATCCTAGACTTCATGAGCAGGGTGACAGGTTTGTGACAGGCTTTACGCACTTTTCAAGACCCTTTTCCATTCCAACGCGCCATAGTGCATGCAGAACCACGACCCTCTCTTTAAACAGCTCGACTCTCGCCCTTGGTGGAAGCGACGAATCGTTCGCCCCACTCTTGTCACGCTCTCGCCTCATTCGTTGTCGCCATACTTCCAGAGCCTTCGTGAGCACGGTGTTTAAATTTTCAGCGGCCGTGTCATACGGCTGTCGCACACACAGGGCCCGATAATAATGGATAAGAGACGCAAACGAATCCTTTTGATAAGATGCGAGAATGGCGAGCTGGTGTGATGGGTTTCCTTCGTATGGTACAAGTAAACGGGCTTGCTCATAGCACTGCTGAGCCTTGTCATAATTCCTGGGTCGAATTGGAAGCTCGGGTGCACCTCCGCGTTTGTTCCTCCCTCTTCTGGGCGTAGTCATGTCGTCATGCCCAACCCGAGGTCGGCCGTTGCTCTCGTTATACAGTTCTCGATAACGCGCTATATCGCCCAGGCAGATGAGTGCTTTGCTGAGAGTCGCCAGCCGATCCTCCCTCTCGCTTTGCGTCGCAGGGATGACAGACACCATGGCATCCTCCGGAGGGAACTGGAAGTGATTACGCCCGTGCATCATTGCATCACGGGTTTCAGTGGTGTCGGTGGACGTGACACCACCCACAGAGTCATCCGTCTGACTCAACAGTCCAAGGGCAATGAGTGCCGGCTGTGCTTCGTTGAGGTTGAATAGACGAAGCAAGCGCAGCACCAACTGCGTCCAGAATTTTTCTTCATCGGCGAGGAACTGCCGAAAGCGCTGGATAAGCTTGCGGTGCTCGACGACTCCATGATGGAACTGCTTCCCAGGCGGACTCTGCTGGGCCTGCTGTTGCAGGTGGTTGCGCTGGTTGATATGCATGGCGCGATCGAGAGCAGTGATACGCTGCTTGTACGATGCTATGAATGCATAGGATGTTTGCATCCAAAGGTGGTTCTCGACATCTTTCGACTCTTTCGCGGTTGGGTGGACAAGTAACAAGTTCAGATAACGTCTTCTAAGGCTAATGAGAACAGAGATAAGCGTACACGCACGATGAGAGATGGGCCACAGGACTCACTTCTTCCTCTGGAAATCGACCTCTTTATCGAAGGGTTCCTTCGTCTTCAGTAATTCTTTCAAGGCTTGGTGTATGCTTTTCGCCTCACTGGATATCGTGCGGGGGTGCATTGGATGAAGAGAGTAACGCCGCAGAATGCGATTGTCAGCACATTATATAGATTCGGGCCACCAAAAAAAGACAACTGCCTGCTTACCGGGCAACAGATGCAGGCTGTTCGGTCATTTGTAATCTTCAAGCCTTGTTCGTTAGATACAGGCCATTGTCTCCGCAGATCCGTCAGGCGAAATCCTCTGAGGGTGCTAGATGAGAAGTTTCTGGATGGTTGTGGTGTGAGATCAACTTGGCAGGCGCCTTGAAAACCCACTTAGTAAAATGGGCGTGGGAAATGTGCACTACTTATTCTGTTGAAAACGTCGCAAAACCCACACACCGACGTTTACGACGAGACAAGGAATCAAGATGGATCAGATACATGAGGATGACTATGTATAACGAAGGATAGGGCATGTGGTATCAGAAAATGTGCTCCAGAGATAGGCTACAAGGTAGATATGACAAAGAAGACGGCAAGAAGTCTACGCGTCCCGGAATCAATATTCAATCGTCATCCTCGTCTTCGTCCCTTCCTCCCGGTCGGAAAAGAGCCAGGAGGTCGTCCATGCCGAGGCGCATATTCTTGATCTTGTCCCCGCTTAGAGCGGCAGCAGCTAAAGCGCGTTTCTTCTCCTGCAACTATATTCGTACGCCGCACTTGAGTTCGGAGCTTAGTAGAGTAGTCGGCCGAAAAACTCACGATGAGGATGCGGTCTTCGACAGTTCCATCTATCTTGAGCTTAAAGATATTGACATCTCGCTTCTGCCCGAAGCGGTGAGCACGGTCGAACGCTTGATCCTAACAGACGTTGAAAGTCAGAACCTCCTATTATATCAAATTTCAATAGAAATTTACCTCAAGGGCAGGATTCCACCAGAGGTCGACAAGAATCACGTTGTTGCAAGCAGTCAGATTGAGACCTTTGAAGTCGTGGATCAGAACCAGCTTGCTGTGGGTACGATGCTTACTCACCAGTGCTACCAGCTTTGAAGGAGATCAGAATGACTCGAGTCGAATCGTGAGTTTTGATCTTGTCTAAGGCGGCCTCGCGGTCCTTCGGAGCCATTGAGCCATCATCTGCAACAAATCAAGTCACTATTTGCTGCTGCCGACAAATTATCTGTATCACTCACATCGCACGTATCTGATACCTTGCTCTGACAGGAATGGCTCGAGCAGATCAAGCATACTTGTGAACTGAGAGAAGATGATGGTCTTTTCAGATGAGCCCGACCGCTTGTCAACCTGTCGCAGGAGTTTCAGGACCATTCTGATCTTCGCAGACGAGGGCCTTTCTCTTTCCGCCCTCTCGGCTTGAATAGCGAGAGGAACGCAGTCACGGCAATGTGTGTTCCAGGGCTCTTCGCCTGTGTTGCTTGAATGAAGCCTGCAGGAAAACACGCTTTCAGTATTGACTCTGAAAGCCTGACAAAAAACACGCACTCGATGGTGCACATTGCACACTTCTTTACGACACCCATCTGCCCGAAGGCAGCGATAAGGTCATCAGCATCTAGGTCATGGTCATCCTTGCCCTTCTCCACGGCTTTGGGCTCCAAGGCGTCGGAGTCGTTCTTGTAGTCCTTCGTAACCAATATAGGATGATTGCAGGCTGCAGGGGATCAAGGTCAAGGTGGCGATCACTACAAGGCTGGATAAAACCTACCCTGACGAAGCCTCAGCAAGAGGGTAAGTACACCGATGTAGCTGCTGCCGCCCTTTGAATTGGCCATGAGCTTCTCGATCACACTCTCCATCTTCGTCTCCAGAGCATCGTAGAACTCCTTCTCAGAGGGATCAAACTCGCATGAGACGACTTCAACCTGTCGCTTCGGCAGCTCAATGAGAACCTTCCCATTGAGGGTCTGGTCCTTCCGCCGACGAAGCATGATCTGCTTAAGGACGACTTGCAGACGCTTCATGGCACGGCCTGCCCCTCTGCCGTTGCTGACAGGCTTTGCGATTTGCATGTTGAATGTTTCCCAGTTAGACAACGGCTTGATGCGGAGGAACTTGATAAGAGAGTAGAGTTCCGCAACGTTGTTCTGCCTACGGTAAGTCAGCAAAAAAAATCTTACCGCGAAATTTGTGCTTACATTGGCGTACCAGTAAGACACCACCGGAACTTGCTTTGGAGCTCGCAGCACGCAATAGCACCCTTCGTCTTGACATTCTTGATGTTATGTGCCTCGTCCAGAACAGTGCGCCACCATTTGACACCATAAAGTGCACACTTCTTCACTGGGGCTTTGGCCTTTCCCTTCTTCGCGACTGTACGTCCAAAGGTCTCCGCTTCAGAAGAATCGTCATCCGAATCGTCTTTTTTCTTCTTGGCCGATGACTTGGATGACTTGGACTCGTCCTTCGCAGATGGACTAAAGGCCTCATATTCTGACTTGACGGTGTCATACGTGGTAACGACGATATGGTTCCTTTGTAGCACAGCGGGATCGGTGGTTCGGCTGGTGCCTTGGTGCTTCAAAACTCTCAAGCCGGTCATCTTCTGTACTTCATCGGCCCATTGGCCAACCAAGGCAAGAGGGCACACAACACTATTCATAGTCAGTAAGTATATGCTTTAGTAGGAGAAACGATCACATACAGAGTCGACCCACTCCAACCTTCAGCCTTGTCAGTTTTCCGTGGTTTACCTTCGACGATACGTGTCAAGGTCTGAATCGTCTTGCCCAATCTATCAAAAAATGAATTATACCGTGAATTTGAACAGGAAAGCTAGACGAACCCCATGTCATCAGCCAGAATACCTCCCGTCCTCTTCTTCGTCAAATCTTCGCGATCTCGCATCCATGCGCGTCCTAAGATCTGATGGGGGAGCAACTTAGTCCCTTCCTTGAATCCTTCGACGATGCCTTCAGTCTCGTCGATTTCTATCGTGTCGTCAAGCTCTTGGTTCATGCCACCGCCCATGAGGTCCCGGAGTGCCTTCTCTGCTTCGTCGCGACTCATCCAGGTGTTATCGTCCCGGAAATCTGGAACATTGACCTCTTCGCCATCACCAGGAACTTCAGCTGTCCGAGCTGGCTGTGGGACGAAGCCATGGCCATATAGGTCACGATTTGAAGGAATGTGAATTGGGACCGCAGGCTTGGTAGGTTGAGACGGTTTGGAAGGCTGGGCTGGTTTTGTAACGAAGTTGTAGTCGGGCTGCGGTCGAGATGCAGAAGGCGGCTGGGGTTGAGGTTGTTGTGCCATATTCTGCGTACGAGGTTGGAGTGGCGCGGAGGGTGGTTGGGTCGCAGGCTTGTTCACCGGCTTTCTGGTTAAATAGAATTTAAAGATCAAGAAAAATCTTCCGTCACAACGCGCCACGAGGATGTTACGTACGGTGCCGATACCTCGACAACGTCGTTGTCCGAATCATCGCTGAGCTCGTCTTCTTCATCTGAGGAGATGATAACCGTGCTGCGCTTCTCGACGGATTTTTTCGCTGGTGGAACAGAGCGAGAAGAGCTGGTTGAGCCAGTAGACGCGACTGACTGCACAGGGTGTTAGATGGAGCTCCTGACATGTGTTAGCAGAACTCACGATAGGGTTCGACGCGCGCTGCCTCGCGAATTCAGGGTAGACGTTGGCGTCTTCTATGAAACGCTTCCGACTGCAGAGATAAGCGATGTCCATTCCAAATACCGTCAAGACTTACATTTGCTCCATAGGCATTGTGAAGGACAAAAAGTCTTTCAAGAAATACTTAGGAAGATGAACAAGGACTCGAGCGCGTTTAAAAGCGGTCACGTGGATGGTTCAACTTTCCGCTTTCGTAAATGAGTAGTATGACGTAAGCAACTTGTTCAAGCTTCAAGGTTACAAGTTTGCGCGTACACTGTACAGAGCATGAAAAAGTAACCTAGGTACGTTTTACAAGGGTCTTTCATATTAGATATAAACTTGCCCTAACATATCTACCTTTCAAGAAGGGTTTTATCGCCTCCCTAAAGGTGGAAGGAGCGTTGTGTACCGCTTTGATCGTTTCGTAAGCCTCAAGCAAAACTTTAGAGTCTCCCGGTCCTTCCGATAACGAAATCGGCCACTACGCAGAACTTGAGCGTATTCAATCGACAATATACGCAGAGGAACCAAAGTTCAAAGTCTTAGAAATGATTGGCACCATACGTGATTGGTATGTCTTCGGTCATTCAAATTGACAGGATTTGCGAGCTATGTCAAACCCACCAGGTTCCAGAAAAACCCGCTTTCACGAGAATCTCCGCCACTCTCTGAGGTGTGCCAATCCACGCGGGAGGCGTCCCAGATCATAAATGGCCTCAACCAGTTTCCAGCTGAAGTCCTCATCAACATCTTCGCGCACTTTTGCATCCAACCGTATACCGAATCCGAGCGATATACGTACGGAACAGTGCCTCATTTTCTCCTTGGACGAATTTGCCGGTCGTGGAGAAAGATAGCATGGGGTGCATCAGAGTTGTGGGCAAATCTCGAAACCAACATATCCTGGAGACACTATGATGCGCAGCTCAAGCTCGCGGAAGAATGGCTCCAACGGTCAAACGACCGACCACTATCCGTTGTTGTCCGTTTCTCTCCGGATATGGGAGGTGCGACATCGTTGCTCAGCCTACTCGTGGAACATTGCCAGCGTTGGACGATCCTTGAGCTTCGGTGGAACACCGTTCACGAGATTGAGACGAAAGTAGTCGATGCCCTGGGCAAGGCATCCGGGAATACACCCCTCCTCGAACGTGTTCTCATTGACAGCATCAAGAGTCATGAAATAGGGTTTCTTCAGCCCGGCGCGAGCCCAGCCCTTCGGGAGCTCTTTTGGAGGGGGTATCTCCAAGGGTGGCGGCCCTTTTCCTTCAAGAAGAACGGAGCACCGTGGGCATTGCTTGTCAAGCTTACTGTACACAGACTATCCACGAGTGATTTCATCCTCATTCTCAAACGCTGCCCGAATGTCGAAGAATGCAGGGTTTCCTCGTTCACGACCCACAACGACTTCCAGCCTAGCAGCGACGACGGAGAGTTCACCTCCTTCCCGTCAATCACACTCCTAGAAATCCAAGAGTTTGGAGACATTTCAGTACTCAGATACATCCGTGCCCCGTCACTGCGGCACTTGTCAATTGCACAGGGTCCGAGTTCGTTGAGGCTTCTTCCCCACCTATATCCCCTTGACTGTCTCATCATCTTCAGTCACATCTCGGAGTTCAAGCTCGACTATTTCGGCCTGTCGGTGCATGAGGAATTCCATATTCAGCGCTTGAAGCGTCTCTTGTCGTGCATAGGTACAGTTACATCTGTATACCTTGAAACCTGTGGCGCTGTCGACTATGATACATGGCAGCGCGTCATCCCGAACATCCTCAATCCCTCGAAGGTCTTGCCATCGGAGACGGTCCTCCTTCCCAACATCCAAACATTGCAGTACTTCACAGACATGCCAGAGCGGGCAATGCAGCCGATGGCCGCTATGGTGAGACAGCGGTGGAATATAAGCCAGTCTACTCTCCCTCCGAAGTGCGCGAAGTTAAAGACGCTGAGATTGAACAAGAAGTCGAAGAGGGCACTGTCATCCCTCCTGACTAGAGAGTGCGAAGAAGGGTTTGAGTTGATTTACGATCTACAGTATCAAGGACATCCTTACGTTGGTTTCAACGCCGCTGAGATGCCACTATGACGTTAGGTTCGTCGTTTTCTCGTTTTTTGTCCTCTTGTCGTAGTATATAGACCCTCCACTTTGCCTGGCACTATTCTGAACTGACCTTTCTTCATCATCAATTGGCAAGATGTCGAAAAGATCACGGCCGTTTGAACTATAGCTCTCGCCAGCATACTCAGCCATTGATCTTTGCTGTAGTGGGTTTTCTTCATCCACTTCAAATGACGATGAAAGAAAAAAGTCCTCGCCCGTGTCCGCCTTCGGGTTCCAGCTGTCCGACGCTCCGGCCCTTGCCAAAACGGAGAACTGAGGCAGTCAACATGGGTTCATCAAGCTTAGACCTCACAACTGCTGCCGTCGACCTGTTCCTCCAAGCCCGGCCACTGCCATTTGCTGTATCAACCAGTCATTTAGACCAATTGGGCAGAAATGGTGTGCTGTACGCTCAGAATTTCAATTCTCCTGGCAGTGCACGTACCATGACATAAGTATGCTATTTCGCCGTCCTGTTTCCGACAGCCTGGCTCCCAGTGGTTCCTCTAACAGCTCCTCGAGAAACTCACAAATCCGGACTTCACTCTTAAATACTGCGAGACCCCCTCTACAACACATAATCATAAATGGTGGGAACAGCATCGAGTCAGAAACCGTCATTGCACTCCCATGAACCATCGATAACGAAAAATTCTAACCCCGCTCCATCACAAGGCGCTGCCCATGTCATCAGCCTCGTGTCTTTCCTTACATGGCATTTTCTCCCTTTTTTGATCAGATCTCCATTCCGCCACTAATTTTGGTTGCTTTTAGCACTCAGCATCAGCACCTGACTGGGTGTCAGCCACGGTACGCCCACAAGTCAGCCGCTTAGAGGTCTGTTTCTGATTGTCCCGGACCAACAGACACGGCGGGTTTGCGTTTGCAAGAGAGGGGATCTAGTCCAGTTCGCAATGGGAGAGAGCGGCTGACGTGGACGGTGGACATGCTGTGCAATCGATAAGTCCGATCGGTGTGCGGCAAACAGCAAACATAGGCATCGTGTGTGGGTATATAAGGACGCCGCGCTATTGTGCGCTCTTTCTTCACAACTTCCACCTCCCGCCTTTCATCTTCGCCTCTTTTCTCGACACGCTCTTCGACGATTCGCCATATGCCGTGGTGGTCGCCATGCTCTTGTCCCCGCTCTCTCGCCTTCATGCGCCTTTTCTGTATGCACGCGTCTCTCGCCTCCGACGCCGCTATCTGATATTGGCGCTGTGCTGTGCTGTTGACCGCCATATCGTACGTCGGCAATGGCTCGCTTAGTAGTGCTTCGGGTGCTGACTTCGATGTCAGGACACTCAACGGTGTTCGCCATTGTCCTCACCCGTGGTGGGTGTGCAGTGTGCAGTGCTCACTGCTCATTGTATTCTTTAGACGCCACACTTCAAAACCACCAACCCCACCAAGGATAGAAAACGGTAGGCTTACCCGCCCTTATCTCTCGATTCCCATGCTCATCGCCCTTGGACTTCTCTACCCTCAGCCGCCTCGACAGCCAGCCGACTTCACTTCGCCCGCTAATCCAACAGATCAAGATTAACACTCGAACTCCAGACAACACCAAGCAACGCAAGGTGCAGAACATCAAGGCCTGGAAGAAGACCCCGCCTCGGCGGTTAGCTCGCCCAGAGCTGTGACGCTTGCCGAGGCGGTCGCGCATTGGGATCAAGAGTAGCCGTATTTTTCCTTTACAGGCCTCAAGACGACCAAGACGACCTCAAGACCAGAAGACGCAAGGACGAAGACGCCGCCTCAGCAGCTAGCCCTATCGGAGCTGTGACGTTCGCTGAGGCGGTTGGACTGGGCCATGGGTTTCGCTCTGAGCAGGGTGTGATTGTGAGCGTGTGTGAGCATGCGTGAGGTGTGACTGCGTGAGACGGACAATAAGCTCGCGTCTCCTTTATCTGTGAGCCAGGAACACGTCAACAAGGGAGAGTGGGCGGTTGGGTGGCACCATAAGTTTTGAGTAATCGACTGACATTCGAGATTGACGTTCGACGACAAACCTGGCGATTTTCGTTTTTAGGACTATGAGCGCGAGGATTAGAGTACTTAGAAGATAAAGGAAGACTGAGTAGAGTACTGCCATGCGAGGCCGACGCAACCCCCTCCCGAAAGAGCAAGAGCGTGCGCGGCGCTCTTGCTCTTTCGGGAGGGGGTTGCGTGCGTTAGGTTGGTGGAGGTACTGAAGCTCGGCGGGATGTTCATACAATAATCTATTGCCCTTCTTGCTATGACAGCTCCAAGTTGTAGATTCAACGCGCGAAGAGGATTTGCGACGCGAGTCTATTTTTAGCACATACGCGGGACACCCTCTCTGCAGCAGCATTCATCACAGTTGCTCAGCACCCAAAGCAGTGATGCATTCAAATCTCGTATTTCCAGGATCTTGTTTCTGAAGCGTAGGTCAAAATAAAGGCTTGGTTGGAGCCGAGAAAGAGATAATCACAAGTATGTAGTAACACCTAAAGTGATTGTGAAAAGCGAGGGGGACGAAGCTGAGGCTCTGGTTCGGTAGAGGGGCGGGGGTCGACTGGGTGTGCATGAGTGGGGCGACAACGTGCGGCCAAGAAGTTTCAGCTAGGTGCCCGTGGCAGCAGTTTAGGCAGGAGGACGGGACACGGTAGCTGCAGTCTGCCGACGCTGGTCTCGTTCGCGATTGAGCTCAAGCAGATATTGTCCGTTGGCCAATTCTTTAATTGAGTTCATCGTCTGCTTGTATTCCGTCTCCAGACGCATACGAGCCTCCGCATTGAAAGGCCCCTTCCCCAACTCGGCTTGCTGCCTCTCCTCTACATATTGCACCATGGGTTCAAGAGCATCCTCGATCCTCTTCTTCAACTGAGCCTTCCACTCTTTGTCTGGCTCGAAGTCGGCGACGCATGGTTTGCGCGAAGAGGCAGATGATGATACCTGTTCGTGTCCAGACAGGTTTGCATTAGCACTGGCATCGCTGGAGGAAGGGAGAGTCGCGGCCCGCCGACGCTGATCTCGTTCACGGTTGAGTTCATGCTGATACTGTTCGGTAGCCAATTCTTTGATGTTCGTCATCGCCTACTTGTATTCCGCCTCCAGGCGCAAGCGGGTCTCTACAGTGATATGCCTCTTGGTCTTGTCTGGCATCCTAGCCTTCGCATCTTGCACCATGGATTGAAGACCACCCTCGATCCTCTTCTTCAGTTGAGCCTTCCACTCTTCATCTGGCTCGAAATCAGTGGTATCAGGTTTGTGTTGGGAGGCAAGTGATGATGCCTGTTCGTCATTAGACGGGTTTGCATCGTTGTGTCGGATGAAAGGCATAGTTGCAGTCAGCCGGCGCTGGTCTCGTTCACGATTGATCTCATACTGATACTGTTCCGTGGCCAATTCCTTGACGGTCGTCATCTCCTGCCTGTATTCCGCCTCCACACGTGTGCGAGCCTCCGCACTGATAGATCCCTTCCTGATCCTGGCCTGATAGTTATCCTTTGCGTCTCGCACCATGGATTGAAAACTTCCCTCGATCCTCTTCTTCAATTGAGCCTTCCACTTTTCATCTAGCTCGAAATCGGCGCCATCCGGTTTGCGCGAGGAGAAAGGTAACGACGGAGCATGAGGGTGGTTTGACATCGAAACAAGGCCGTACGCAGAGTGATGGAAATGATCAAGTCGTCGTGGTGTCCAGAGAAGGGCAGGTGCCGGTGGTAGAAGGGGGAGGGGGTTTTGGGAGGTTTTAATTGGGGTCACCCAATATGAGCGACCGCAATGCAATCGGAACCATTCACGGGGAAGCCCAGATGTTGCTATTTTCCGATCTCTGGAAATCTCAAGTTGTCCAAGCCAGGACCGTCAGCTGTTTCCGTTCTCATGAGTGTGGGGGAAAAACTGAACAAAAAAGTGTCGCTTACGAGGTACAATGGTTAGCTCAGAAAAGGTCATATCTAGAATTGTCTTGATGCTGTTCAAGCCTTGCTAGATGACGGATTGATGAAAGGGTTGTGGTGAGCAGCGAGGAAAATCGCAGGTGTTCGTCTTCTGGTTCAAAGCTACAGCCTTCTTCAGCAACATGTGAGTTGGAGATATCGACGGCAGCCTCCAAGGAGTATATATTCAGCCGTGTTTATTGCTTGAATCAAGAGGAGTTCGGTTCTGCCCGTTGCTGTCGGCCACTGAAGACGCGAACATAGCGCGTCAAAATCTGCCAGATTTGAACTATGAGCAAGAAGAGAGCCCGGAAGGAACCCTTACGAACATTGGAGATTATGCCCTGAAGTGCAAGTGTGAGCATGATTTGACGAATGTCGCAAGAGCCAACGACTAATACGCGGGCTTCGGGCAGTCGAACTGGGCGAAGAATCCTCAGATGTTGAGCGGAAGGAAAGGTTGCCGGTGCCCCGGACGTGCGTGATTTCGTATTTATACCCCGCTTGCGCTTGAACCGGTACCCCACATTCGCCTTTCTCCAACTCCTCCCCATCCTCGCCGTTTCAACCACAAAATGCCCGCAGATCTTTCTCAAGTCGTCGGCTTCACTCTTGAGGACAAGCCTGTACGTTAGGCGCAGCTTAGTTTCAAAACATTCTCTCAATGTTTCCCTAGGTTGCTTGGAACAAGCGCGACCTCCTCACGTACGCTGTGGGCGTTGGGGCGAAGAATGATGACTTTCAGTTCGTCTATGGTCCGTATCATCTCTTTATTCGTCTGAGAAGGGTCTAACCTCGGTGTTTCTTCTCTAGAACTCGGTACGATCCACACCTTCGTTTCTGGGACACCCTTTCACCTGGGACACCTCTTCTAGATCCCAATTTCTCCGCCATCCCCACCTATCCTGTTGTTCTGTTCCTCAAGGGCGAAGGCCAAGATGTGAACCTGTTCAGCGAGACCGTGAAGGGCCGGCCCGTACCCACCATGCCTCCTATTGACCCCAACCGTGTCGTGCGTTGTTTTTGGGGTATCTCGTCATATCTAAACTTAACCTCTCCCAGGTGCACGCTACGCAGTCAATTGAGATTATTAAACCTCTTCCGTTGGTCAGTGGTGAAGGATGGAAGTGGAAGACACGGTACACGGGTGTTGTGGAGAACAGTGCGTTATGTATTCCTGAGACATCGTCTTGACAAACCAACACCGCGTCAGAGAGCGGCATCATCCTGACCGCTGAAAACTCCCTTGTTGACCCCAAGGGCGTCGTATACGCCAAACTCTTCGTGAGTTTACTCTCACTTCATTTTTCTATCCCGGCTCATTCTTCACCTCACAGTCCTCATCATTCAACCTCGGAGCCAAAGCCACTGGCGAAAAGTTCTCCAAGGTCATTGCAGGCCCTCCTCAGGGTAAGCCTATCCCCAAGGACCGCAAGGCGGACTGGGTCGTGGGCGACCAGACCACGCCCGAGCAGGCCACTATCTTCCGCCTCAGCGGCGACTACAACCCGCTCCATATCGACCCGCGCATCGGCAAGGCCGCGGGTTTCGGTGGAGTAATTCTGCACGGGCTGTCGACATTCGGCTTCGCTGCCCGGGCGGTCATCAAGAGCGCGGGCGGAAATGACCCCAACTCGCTCAAGTTCTTTGGTGTGAGGTTCACATCGCCGGTGAAGCCGGGCGATGCGCTCGAGACGAGCGTTTGGGAGGTAGGCAAGGGCCCGAACGGAACGGTTGAGGTGGCGTTTGAGACGAAGAATTTGACGAGTGGGAAGGTTGTGCTTGGTGGTGGGATTGCGTATGTTGTGAAGACTGCTGCAAAGTTGTAAATTCGTCCCTGGCTCGTGTATTTTTAGCTAATCTATGCAGTCTTGTGCTCAAGCTAACAATACCAATAGTGGAAAAAAGGAGGAATGTCTGAATATCAAATCTTTGCATCGACAATCTCTGCTATCAGTTTTGATATCATTCATCACGTAGAATGTTGAAGTATTTAATGCCGACAACAAAATGCAACAAGGAAATAGTGACTTTATCGTCCCAGAAGTCTCTGCAATCCTCTGTTCTGGTGAGAAAGCCTCGGTCGACCCGAATTGGAAAGGAGGATGCCTAATCCGGACATTGTCAGCCGTTCAATCAGTGTCAGTCTCCTGGTCACGCTCGCCGATAGATTTAGAACGGAGAAAATAAACAAGTGCAACCCGTCCAGGAGTATAAGAAGAATGCGCCCTTCAACTCAGCCTCCCATCGCCTCTTGACTTTTCCCCCTCACCATCACCCGCTCTTTCAAGGAGCCCTCACGGTGACCTTCGATACTCACTAGAGGCGGCACATAATATCCCTCGTGAGCATTGCTTGAACACCTCCCTCAATTACGACGCTGACCTCGCTCAAGGTGCTCCCTCATCGAGAATGCCGACCACCCGTCATTCCCCCACCTCACCGGGGTAACTTTCTACGACCTCGCCTAGGTTTCATGTCAGTAATTCGTCATAATTTATGTTACGTCAACTTACGGACACCCTAGGGTCGCCTGCTCTCTGTCATTCTCCATACATCCTCCGCGGCGAGGTCCTCGACGCTCGTTCACCGCCCCGCCCTTACCCAAAGTTCTCCACGGCGAGTCCTCAGTCAACCCCTCAACGCAGGCGTCCATCAAGCCCACCCACATACGTCATGCACACTATCCACCGCATCCTGCCTGGTCTGGCAAAGCCAGGTAGTCACACCGCGGTACGACTGGCCGCCAACTACCTTCTGTTATCGTTGGTAGGGAAGCGGCTCGTCTGGACTGGGTACGCAGGGTCAGAGCCACTCGTCCACAAGAGCCACGGCCAGGTGGTGTGGATGTGGTGCACTCCATCCGTGCCCCCGGTCTGGAAGTGCACGCCCTGGAGGTAGTATGCTGGATTGCATGCCATCGTCGCTTTCCATAAGTCAGAACCCACAGGGCGTGAAGTATGGTGTTGGGTGGGGAGTATGTCGGGCCTGCATAAGGCGAGTGGTCGTTAATTCACGGCGAGACCCTAAGGAACTAATGGTGTTCGCGGTCGTCTGCAGTGGGCTCGGGCGGGCACTGGCCTTCCGTATTTTCTGCTGTATGAATCGTCCTCTGTGACCCGGTGATCATTGAACAACTATCGCGACGCTGAAGATTATTCCATCGGACGATCTTCCAGTTTCCCATTCCACCGAGAAGCTCGACGTTTATGGCATGCTTTTTCCTAGACGTTCATTCTCTTCTCATTCCCAATAACTTTCGCAGAAACCCTCTGGGCCTCCTACCGAACGCATTCACCGGATTGACAAACCCATATGTCATGCAAACATCATATACGGTAGTCATTCAAATTGCTGTCTCTCGCGCCCCGGACTTCGATTTTTTCTTCTTGTGAGTTATACTATATCTGACCACATATCCGGCAGGTCAGGTAACTCGGCGGTCACATACTCGCTGCCATCAAAAGTGATTTCGGCCATTATTTTGGCCACAGCTCAGGACTTTGTCAGCATGCTTCAAGTATTATTTTATATTCTTAACATACTCATAGGCTACACTTTCAAGGTGCTTAAAGATTAGCAAAACCTTGTTGAGATCATTAAAAACAACATTTTCACCAAAATGCATGAAGCACAGCACCTGAGGAAAAAATCCTCTGACCCTCATTATTTTATGAGGGGTACTTCTAAGTCACCAATCATCCAAACAAGTTTAATTGTGTTCAATTGTCAAGTCGTTCCTAAGATATAAATACTAAAACATGGCCATTTTCCGCATTTTTAGGGGTTTTCACACGAATTACCTCAACTTGCTGGCCTCATATCCCCTTAACCATGTCTTTGATCTTTCTCATTTTAGCTTTTATATACTCTCCCTAAGTATATCTACATATACATGCATCTTATAGATTTTTTACGACCTTCCTTGAAGATGTGAAAAAATTGCTCAAGCATAAATTTCGCATTTTCTCACCTCTGGGATGGACATCCTGCATTCTGAGAGCACTATTATACTAGCCTAGTACATTTGAGATATGGAGAATATTTTCATGATCCAGTGCTAACCGGAACCCTGAGAACCCCAGGCCGAAATCACTTTTGGTGGCAGTGAGTATTTTGGCGGGGAATTCGTGACTTTGCGTGACTTCGCTCAAATCCCCTCATTCCTCTCTCGTTCATTCAATTTCTCTTCCTTCTCCACCAAAATTTGTAGGTGAATCAAGAGGGCCTATATGACCCATAGTCTGCAATTTTGAAGGAAAAAAAGTTCCGTCAAGAGGAGAGGTTTCATTATTCCAACCCAGACCGCCGACATATGGGACCTGCCGGATATGTGGTCAGATATAGTACGCCGAACTTGGTGGAATGTTGAAATGATTTACAATTGTCTCCAGTTCCTTTCTGTCATCGCTTTCTCTGCAAGTAATTATTATAACTATTACTTAGCCACACTGTATCCTCTCTTCTTTTTTCCTACTTAACCAATGATAAATAAAGCAAATTCAAGGCGCCCATTAAAACGACGTGCCCACCTACGGAAATAATTAGGACCCATACCGTTTGTTCTCTCGTCATGGCTTTGTTGAACGCTTCATTGAACTGCGTCGTTGGTCTGTTGCCCTCGGTGCCTTTGGCCCCTAAAAATATTGCTGCGGGAAAGTGTCGGTGATAGCCGATATCCCCGGATCCGACGCGACGCGACTTGTTTTCAGTCATTGAGGTTGCAAGTTGCCACCACCAGCGATGTCATACCACGACGACGACGACGAGCGCAGCCAGCCGCCACCAACAAACAATATCCGTGATGGACGTAAGTCGCTTGCTTTCTCTCGTCGCCTAAGTCTGACAACTCCGCACGAAAGTCCAGGAAGACACGATTCGTATACTCCTTGCAACAGACAACCACATTGGCTACATGGAAAGAGACCCGATACGAGGACAAGACTCTATCAATACGTTCAAGGAGATCTTACAGCTGGCTGTGAAGCATGACGTGCGTACGTGTTCTTTCAACGAGCATTGGTGGTTTTTGACGCTGGTGTTAGGTTGACTTCATTCTGCTTGCTGGAGACCTTTTCCACGAGAACAAACCCTCAAGAGAATGCATCTACAAGGTCACTGCTCTTCTGCGAGAGTATACACTGGGGGACAAGCCTGTGGCGATTGAGTTGCTGAGCGACCCACTGGAGGGCAAGGCAGACGGGTTCTCGTACGTAATTTTCCAGGTCCTCGTTCTTTTCTGATGGCTTGCAGGTTCCCTGCGGTCAATTACGAGGACCCCAATCTCAACGTCGGCATACCCGTCTTCTCGATACACGGAAACCATGATGACCCTCAAGGCGCCGGTGCAGTGAGTCGTGCCATGGTCCCTGATATTCCGCACTCACTTCGCGTAGGCTGGCGCTCTTTGCGCTCTCGACATTCTTTCAGTCTCTGGTCTCGTCAATTATATGGGCAAAATCGACCTACCACTTACTGAGGCCCAGGCTCCAACCTCTGGTATCGCTGTCCGACCTGTTCTCATTCGCAAGGGCAACACATACCTTGGAATGTACGGCATTGGGAATGTGAAAGACCAGAGGATGCACTTCGAGCTGCGGAGCAATCGCGTCAGGATGTTCATGCCGAAGGACAAAGACAAGTGGTTCAATTTACTGCTTCTGCATCAAAACAGGTGCTTTTTTAAAACCAAGTCAAAGGGCACCAGAAGCTGATTATGTGTTAGAGTAAAGCATGGACCACAGGAATTCGTACCTGAAGGAATGTTCGACGACAGCATCAACTTGGTCATCTGGGGTCATGAGCACGATTGCCGCATCGTGCCCGAGCCCGTCGCTGGAAAGAATTATTATATCACGCAGCCTGGATCGTCCGTGGCGACGTCACTGTCGGAGGGAGAGGCAAGGGAAAAGTACGTCTACTCACAGATATCAGCTTACACCTCGAACTCATATTTGACAGGCATGTAGCACTCCTCGAGATTCAAGAAAAAGAATTTAAACTGACGCCGCTCCCCCTTCGGACTGTGCGGCCATTCATTATTGATGAAGTCACCTTGAGCGACGCGGCCGAGGAAGAGGGTTTTGACCTCAATGACCAGATGGAGATCACGAAGTACCTCAAAAAGAAGGCGAGCCTCTTTTTTTTAATACGTCGTATTGAAGGTTGTTCTCACCTCGAAACAGGTGAACGAGCTGATTGAAAAAGCGAAGGAGCTTTGGGAAGAACGGAATGCGCAAGCTGTGCAAGATGGCGACCCCGAACTGCCTGAGATGCTACCGCTCATTCGACTTAAGGTTGGCAATATTTCTCTCCCAACGAATTGCCTTTTCATGCTTCGTAGGTCGATACAACGGGTGTAACAGAGACTTCAAACCCTATCCGGTTCGGTCAAGAATTCCAAGGCCGTGTAGCTAACCCCCGTGATCTGCTCATCTACCACCGGTCCAAGAAGACCTCTTCCCGCACGGCGAAGGTGGCAATCGACCAGCCTGAGCTGAGTATCGACGACCCAGACCTCAGCATATCGGAGAAGCTAGCCAAGGTGCGCGTGGGGACGCTGGTGAAGGAGTATCTGGCCGCACAGGAGCTGCAGCTTCTGGGAGAAGGAGGCATGTCAGATGCGATTTTAATGTTCGTAGAGAAGGATGACACCCATGCGATCCAGACGCATGTGAGCAAGGCTCTGAAGGTGTTGATGAAGAACGTTCAACCCACGGATGATGTAGAAGTACCAGAGGATGAACTAGAGGACATGGTCGGTGTCTGTTCCTTCTATTGGATTTGACAAGGCTAAGTAGTTCGGATAGTTGGCGAAGGCGAAGGAGCAGCAAGACAAGGAGTACGCGGAGAATGCTAGAGCGGCCAAGTCGTCCAAGGCCAAGGTAAGGCCTCATCAGATTGGCTCCTTGTATTCCTCGTTTGAACCTCGCATGTAGGGCAAGGTGAAGGCCGATGAGAACGACGAGTCCGAGGATTCAATGATGATGGATATAGATACTGGCGGTGCTGCTGGTGAGTCCGACTTTGAAGAGCTGGACTCAGACGAGGCGCCACCTCCACCCAAGAAAAGAGCTACCGCGGCAAAGGGAAAGGCCACCACAGCCGCGAAGAAGAAAGCCCCCGCAAAGGCAGTGGCGAAGAAGGCACCTGCAAAAGGCAAAGGGAAGAAGGTAGTTGAAGAGAGCGATGACGACGACGCGATAGAACTGGATGAAGACGACGATGATGAAGAGGAAGAGGCCCCGAAGCCGGCGAAAAGAACCAACCGGGCTGCTGTGCTGAGGTGCGTGTCCATTGTGATCCGTTTCGGTTTAGTTGGATAGTTCAACTGCGCTTCTTCTGTATAGTCAACCAGCGCCGGCGAAGAAGGCACCTGCGAAGAAGAAAGCGCCTGCGCCGAAGCAGTCGCAGCTGACGTTTACACCTGCAGGGCGCTCCTCCAGAGCTGCGGCCACAAAGGCTAGGGGTCGGATGGTGGTAAGCCCTATCTTTCGTCTTGATTCCCCTGTCCGAACTTCACTGCATTGCACTGCCTGATGACAAAAATAAGTAAATATTAACGCCCTTGTATTTGGTCTTGACAGGTGGATGATGATGACGATGACGACGATTGACCCGAACGATGTTACAACACCTGTTTATCACTCATCGTGCGCATATATCATTGTTTTCATTGCTTTCTATTGTATTGCCTCGGAATACCGTCCGACTACCTTCAGAAAGTAGGCTTATTCTTAGGTGAAGAAGGGCTTTGAACCCTGGTCACCACAGCACCAGGATCAACTGCGCACGGTTTCATTGTTGGAGAATGCATGTTCATGAGTCGAAGCGCTCGTCGTGGAAGCCATATACTTCGGTGTCTTTGCTCTTAGCTATTGTTGTCTCCTATTCTCGTGGCGCCCTTGTCGATCCTCAAGTTCGCGGTAAGCTCGTCTTCTTCTAGACCAACTAAGTTGACTGCCTTACTATTTCAGATTGATTATTGGTGGCCTTTACCACGAGATGCGTGAAATGATCATTGGAGTGCAGTGCGCCACACCTAAATTTGGTGTCTCTTTCGTTTTCATCTCCATGGCAACCACTGTCAACCATAGCCTCAATCCTGACGTCAAACCTTGAGCTATGTAGGCAACCACGGCCCTGTAAGGCCATTCTTGTTAATCAGGACAACAGATTTAGCCGTCGAATATGGCGTTCTCTCATGCCCGCCTTCGATTCCGTCCTCGAGGCAGATACAGTATGTTTTCCTGCCTTGTCGAGCTGAAGGCTGCCACTTCGTGAACTGGAAAATAAGGTGCGTTGTCTTTAATATCTTTGAAGGTCGCGGCCGTTACTATGCCTTGTCTCTCACGTCTATAAGAACGACCCCACAAAGGGACTTCCAACTTTAAACCAACCTTTACACGACCTTCGTAAGTTTGTTCTCTTCTGGGGCGCGCACAATCGCTGACCGTCTTTTCCAGACGCCACTCCTTGATTCTGTAAAATATCTTTCCTTTTCAAGATGCCGACCTCCTATCTTCACCCCATGAATAAGAGCAAGCTGGAGTTCGCCCTAACAAGGCGGGGATTAGGGTCCTCTTACGGCTATATCCCTATCATCCAAGAGCAAGGCGTCATCGACGTCGATATCCGTTTCAGAGACGGGCGCATGCATCCCTCATGGCAAGACGTCGTGGGTCATTTGGAAATGTGGCCGCACGCCGACCTGAACGTCGCCATCTGGAGATGGAATGACGACGGAAGGGACGCAGAGACTAGTCTACTGACCAACTCGCGTTTAGTACCGAACTACTGGGAGTATCTCGTCAACCTCTCAGGATACATGCACAAATGGCGGTCCCTCCGCGTCCATGCGACGTTGTTTAGTATGTTGGCGGAAGCTTGCATCAAGCAGCAGATCTTCCCACCCGCGCCAGTCAAGCTGCAAAGTCTTGCCATCCAGGACGTCGGGATCGTCAAGAACCAAGACCCCATTGCATTGTACCTCCGCCAGATTTCCGAACACGCCCCTTTGCTTCACGAATTCCACCTCAAAGATGAAGCTTCGTATCAACTTCCCCTCTCTCATACCCTCATGCACTTCCGATTCGGCCATATCCAGGATATCAGGATTGACTGCTCTGCTGGCGCCTTGGATATTTATACCGTCATGCGAAGCACGCCGCGCCTCCGGAAAGCTGTCTTCACCCAGGTCTCCATCCCTGCGGCTCGCGATCTCCCTCCCATAACTTGCAGCGCACTTGAGACGCTCAAAATCGTCGCCGAGCAACACGACTTCTGCGCTGGCCTCCACTACAACGTCGTATGGATGCTTTTAGGTTGTCTCACCACTCCGCGGCTCAGGAAGCTGCGGATCGGGTTCGAAACGAGGCGCCTGGTCAAGTGCTTCCATGATTTTCTAGCACGCTCGCGGCCCCCGCTGAACATCCTGGAGCTGATCAAAGTCGATTTAGCGCCGAAGGATTTCAAGCTAATTTTGCAGGCCTGTCCTTACGTCACCGAGCTCGCTTTGGTTTCTTTGGAGGACAAACTAACGTTTAGCAATGAATTGATCAAGGCCCTCGAGGAAACCGTCGGGATTCTCCCGGTACGGTCCGTTTTGCTCTGTCCGAACCTTCATACCATCTCGTTCAACGGATACGGCATCGAAAGTTTCACAAGGTTGAGGCGGATGCTACGCCATCGGATAGAGGAGAAGAGCCCTCTCCAAACCATACGACTTGTTTGCCCGATATCCAGAGGTTCCACACCCGACGAAAATTCGTCCGGACTGCATCCCGAAGAAATAGCGGAACTCAAGTACTTTATTACCACCCATCGGCTGGGGCTTGTTCTCATGGACGGAGATAAGTTTGAATATTCTTAATAGCTTTTCTTGGCTGTAACACTCACTCCTTCACGACGTGTACACGCACCGCACGAGCCACTTATTGTATGTATTTGTAGACACATCTCCACTGACCCTCACGGACAAGGTAACGGTATTTATGCATTGGATCTAGCTTTGGACTTTGTACTTTTTGACAGTGTTTGATAACTAGTGTAGCAGCTTGGGACAATCTGTATTGCATATATATAGCTGGCATGGACAAATTTGACAATGACTAGTACAGTTGCGCTTTGTATTCAGAACCATAATGGAAAGAAGAGATATTGTCTATATTATTGGTAGACGGCTTACAAGTAAAATAGACTGGTCAGAGCTTGGATAGACGCAGTTATATGTCAGGCAATGGCCGACAAAGGACGCGTATTGGATAGAGACCTATGGAGACCGTTCTGCGACTGGATCGGAAACCGCAAGACCGTAGTGTAAGAAGGGAGACTATGGCAGAGAAGTGAACCCGACAGCGTCGCCCGGTCGTTGTACGACAGTGCCATCTGCTATCAGGCTTGCAAAGTTTCCCTTGCAAAGTTCTTCCCGGAAGCTTGTGCTACAAACATCCAAATTTGAAGGTCACACATTTGTCTTTTCTATACACCGTGGGTGGCTAAACCAACATTCTGAGTACCTTTTCCTTCGCTGTGGCGAACGCTGGATAGATGCCTTTTTTAGACTAGATTGACGACAGCCACCTCCGAAGGTTATCCATCGTGCTTACGCACAAAGGGTCCGCTCGGGGCCCACGGCTTCGAAGAACTTGCGAGCCTCGCGTGATCTGCACTGATTCCTTTCAATACCAGTCTAGTGACATCTGCGCCGCACACACTTCAGCGTGCACCCATGATGAAGCCACATCACACGGGGTGGAAGACACTGGAAGGCAGGATCTGCCCAGTGCATAATTGTTCAAGACAGAAGTATCGGAAGCGCGTCTGTCGGACAGGCGACGGTATATAAAGAAGATCGGTGCGCGTGGCGGGGACTAACTTCAGCGCTGAACGTAACTATGTTCCCTTCAGCCGCCTGCCTTCTTTTTGTTTCTTTGATTGCTTCAGTGTTCGCTGACGAGCCTATCGTCACTCTCAGCTATGGGTCTTTCCAGGGTAAGACGATAAACGATGTCCTCGAATTCCTGGGAATACCTTTTGCTGTTCCTCCGTGAGTTTTTCCTTCCATCTCGTCGATGGGCTTCCTCACTGATGTCTTCTCAAGGGTTGGCAAGCTGAGGTTTGCCCCGCCGCAGAATCCTTCGAAGATTAAGGGAGTTCAACAGGCCACTGCTTACGGTCCATTATGCCCATATCTTCCTCCGGAGGGCAATGCACCTGGCGGTGGAGGAACCCCCTCACCAATGTCCGAAGATTGTGCGGCGCGTGTTTCCCTACATCTCATAGTCCCTAATCCAAATTTCCAGGTCTTCATATCAATGTGGTTAGACCCGCCAGCATTCCCTATGGCAAGAAACTGCCTGTGGTCTTCGTGAGTCCCCTTCGTCTGCCACGGCCCTCCCGCCAGGCTGATCTTGCTCAATTTATCTCAGTGGATATACGGAGGCAAGTCTATCCTCCTGCGCCATCAAACATCGTATTCACCGTCTCGTAGGTGCTTTCCAGGTGGGCGACACCTCCCAATATCCCCTCGGCTCCAACATCGTCCGTCGTTCGCTCGCCCTCAACGAGCCCGTGATTTTCGTCTCTGCGAATTATCGGATTAATGGTGCGTTCTCTTGCCTTCGTGGCCGAGATCAATATCGTTGACGTGAATGGGTTCTGCTGTTGTAGCCTTCGGATTCCTTGGTGGGCAAGAGGTTAAGGATGCCAAGATTGCCAATGCTGGTTTGCGCGATCGTGAGTAACAAGCGCCGTACGCATCAGAATAGGTCCTGATCGTTTTCGCAGAGCGCTTCGCTCTGGAGTGGGTCCAGAAATACATTGGCTCGTTCGGTGGCGATCGCAAGAAAGTGACGCTGTAAGTACAGGGCACGTCCTTCTTTCCCCCATCCAACTGAATTGGCTAGCTGGGGAGAATCCGCTGGCGCTATTTCCGTTGGTCTGCAATATCTGTTGGACGATGGCAATGGTTATCACCTCTTCCGCGGTGGCTTCATGGTACGCCTTTTTCGTCAAGTCCGGCGCCCTCTTGACACTCACGCTCTGATGCATAACAGCAATCAGGCGTGCCTATTGTTCTCCCTGATATTTCGCGCCACCAGAGGTTCTTCGACCAGCTGGTCAGGGAGACTAACTGCACGGAGTCCACCGACAAGATTACCTGCTTGCGCGCAGCCTCTTTCGACGATCTCCAGGCCGCTATTGGAACCCTGCCTGGCCTTTTCTCTTTCCAGAGTCTTGAGTTGAACTTCCAGCCAAACGTCGACGGTGATTTGATCAAACGCGATCCCCTCACTTCAATTATCCAAGGACAATATGCCAAGGTGCGTTCTCTACGTGATAATTCTGAAGAAAGCTGTTGTTCACGTCTATCCTAGCTTCCTTTTGTTACTGGAAACTGCGAAGATGAGGGAACGCGAGTCTGCTCATCCCTACCTCAGCATCTCCATTGAGTAATTTGTATTCCAGGCTGTTCTCGCTTTCTACCCTGAACCTCACGTACGCGTCTCCTATTCGCCATCTATCCAAGCTCACGCCCAATATTTTTCGCATTTCAGGACGAGTGATCAATACATCGACTTCATCCATTCGCGGTAAGATAGATTAACCGGACGGCTGAGCAGGTGTGCTCATTTCTTGGACAACCAGCTAGTTCGAGAGGGCCACTGATGCCCAAATCGCCGCTCTCGCGAACGCCTACCCTGATGATGTCACCCAGGTAAGCGCTTCGAATTACCAGCGCTTGATAGAAATCTGTATTCTGAGGCCACTTGTGACGTGAACAGGGCTCTCCTTTCAACACTGGCACCGCGAATGCTCTTACGTTCGTTCTGTCGTTCCTTGCACAAACTCTGATCTCATCTAATAAATTCACTGCAGTCCCCAGTTCAAGCGCTTCGCAGCCATCCAAGGAGACATCGCCTTCCAAGCCCCACGTCGCTTCTTCTCCAAGTTCGCCGCTAGGACTCAGCCCGCTTGGGAGTTTCGTGCGTCTTTTCTCTTGATCTACCCTGACATGACCTTGGGCGCTTATTTCTTGACAACGCGAGGGCAGGCTTCATGGCTCGTGCCAATCCTCCTCTCGGTTTCTTCCACGGCTCGGACGTAGGTGAATTCTTCGGCGCCGTCCAGAGCACGAAATTCATCGGACTTGACGCTCTCAGTGCGTACCTCTCCCTTCCTCCCGCTTAGGTGGCTGACTTGTGATTCCTACACTATAGTTCACTTCGTCAACTATTTGAACCCCAACGCGCCGGCCAATTCAATCAGCGCTACGCGTAACTTCACCTGGCCGCGTTGGACACCTTGGACACCCACCCAGTCCCTCTTCACCATCATTGATGCTGAACCAGGCTTCATTCTCACTGAGGACACCTACCGCAAGGAGGCGATGGAGCTGTTGAATGAGCTCACGATCAACGAGATTGGCAATGGAATTTAAGTGACACCGGGACCGTTGACATTAGTTATATCCTGATCGAACACTTGCCCTCCCCCCGCGTTCACGTTTCTCTAACTCGACTATCTCTAGCTTTGATTAGGTACAACTTCTCCGTCCTTTGTCTCAACTAATACGCTCTTTCGTATCTGTTATAAATATCACTAATTATGCATTGTGTCTAAACTATGGGCGATATAGTATGCAAAAATTAAAATTGAACTGTAAGTCGGCATTTGACCTAAACTCTGCGTTGGTAGGACATTACAGCGCGTGGACCTAATTTCAATTGATCGATCAATTGGTACTTGCGTAATGCCACGCCCGTAGTATCGATGAAGACTCCCACTAGCTCCCAGACTACCACACCCAGTGTCTTTCTGTTCACGCAAACGACTGTTTGCCTCGAAGCCGAGAGGGTTCCATGAGTGCTGTCCGTTCAGGAACGTCATAACGGGGATCACTGTCAAGCAGCCTTTGTACTGACCTTCCATTCCTTATGGAAGACTTCAACATTAGCCCAATGCCATGCACTGTATATTTCTGTCGAACCGGTGCTCGGTCCATAGCCCAATCCGACGACCATACTTAGGCATTTGTGATTTGAGAAATTCTATGTGCGAACTCACCAGAAACCCTCTTAGCAGATCAAAGTTTACTTCGAAGTTGTGACTGGCCGAATTGGACTGGCAATATGATCCCCATAGAATACGTTAGGTCTTCTTACATAAATCGTGTCCACACTCATGTTCATGGCTTTTCGTGGGATTGACACAATGTCATCTACTGTCCAGGCTGCACGTACGTCAATTCTCTAGCTTTGTCGTCGTCCTGCCTGAAGTCCCTTAAACTTCCGGGGCGGGGGGGAGTTCGTCGTGTTTAGATAACCGCGGGGGGAAGGGTCGGATCCTATTGGACATGATTAGAAAACAAGTATACGGTGCTTTTGAAGACGCATTTTTGCTACCGGCCCACCGGGCCTGCTGTTTTTGATAAGGGATCGTGGGCCTGTTATTAACACTGTTAATTATTAATGAAATTACACTTGTAACCTAATATCTCATCCCGTAATTGCTCCACAAGCGCCCAGATTTCTGAGGTTCATGACAACTAACCTCATAATGATTATGAGATTAGCTGGAAGGAGGGGTTCAAGCAATATGGGACTTCGTAAATACATTTCCTCTGATCATGTTCGCTCCGTTGAACTGACAACCTCCTGCCATATATAAATTTATGGGGTTCCGAGCTGACCAACAGCGACAAATCGATGGTATGGCCTTCATATGTTCGCTCCGATGAGAAGTTTTGTAACTAGTGTCTGGTCTCCGTGCTTCGTGACCTGGTATGACAGGCACATGGAAGGACAGGCCGCCCCAATATTAGATCTGAAAAATTATACACCAGGTAAGGTTGTAAACAGTTCAGCCGGTGTATCGGGGTTCGACGCCTTTTCGTTGAAGGGACCTCCGCAGACAGGGACGCATCACGCAATGCTTACATCGGGTTATTGAAGTCCTGTTAGCCTTTCGCCTTCGGTGTGTCATGTGGTAACTTGTTTTGACGTCCCGATGCGAGCTACAGAAACAGAAAGGACGAAAATGTTAATCGATATTTCCATCGAATCCTTTCTACCAAAGTTCGTGAGGGCCCCGGGGCTTCATTAAAAATATTGCGTTCATGTCTTCCACAAACACAGCGGGGTTGCATCTAACGATAGTCGCAAAGGATGACTGCCTTTTACCCTAATAGAAGTAGCGGTTCCAAATCATGGGAGTGAGGCCTCAAGGTCGAGCTTCTGACGTAAAGCTTGTGGTGTTCACAGCCGTCCATATATATCACCCAATAGCATAAATTTGGACATACCGTCCACCCTTGCTATGCAAGTTTACCGGTCGCTCAAGGGCCCCGAGTATTCATGATCCCCTTTTACAGGCGTTGTTCTTGAGTACGCCACAGAAGCCAAGTCCAAGATAGGATTAGTCCTCAAAGTAGAGTTTGACCCATTTGGAAGTTGGAACAGAGCTTCCATAAATCCTGTTCTTCTATACGATTCGGGGACTGGGCCCCGCTAAGGAACCGTTTCAAGTTTGGATAGAATCTTGAGCCTGAGTACATATCCGAGTCAACGCTAATGGCTATAAAAGCACTAGAGATCGTCTGGTGGTACTCAGTCTTAGCTTCACCCTCTGACCACATCCCTCCTGCATACGAGCCCTGGGCCTCGAAGGTGCTGTCGCCCATTCCTTCATTGTAAATTCTCTTGCTCACCCGATCGCCCCTGGCTTCTCGTAATATTAGTACCATCATGGTCGTCTACGCATATGTCGAGACTTTCTACGACGTCAATCCTCCTCCTCAAGGTTGGCAAGGAGGCGCATATACTCCTTTCAACAGACGTCCAAACCATACTCAGCTCGCTCAATGGGCGGGTGGTGCCCTTCAATGGTCGCGAACGAATTCACAGCAAGCACTTGCAAATGAGCGGCCCCCGCGCGCCTATGATCACCGCAGATGGAGGCAGGCGAACCCAGTGATACGAGATACGATACCTCCCAACACGCCTAGATACGCGCCTAGGGCTGAGGCGTTCTCTGAAATTCTCGAAGCGTCGGAAGAAGGGGAGGAGGATCTGGTAGTCATTGATAACGAAGGCGAGGAAGTTTAGCACCGAAAATTGATATGGTAAGCATTACCACTACGATTAGTGCTGGATTGAAAGGACCTGTTCACAGCTTTATTTGGTAGTCTTTTGCCGCGTTACTCCGCTATTGCAAATGTATTGGCACTGATTTCGGGTCTGTGGAAGTCCAATATTCACTTTAAAGCATATCCTCGCGATGAGAACCCACCCACCCGACGAGGGGGGAACCCTCATCACCTTGCTGGACACCCGAGAGCAACACAAGTTATGAGCCGCGAGACAAACGGCTGTACAAAAAAGTTGCTTTGGGTGCTATTCTGGCCAGAAATCGTCCATGATGTCGTCCTCAACCTCCATCCAAGTTGCTTGGCAGCAATTGTTGATGGCCAGTATGCAGTCTACGTGCATGTAGGTTCTTCCGATTCACAAGGTCGGGGGGTTGAAATAGGCAAAGCGTGACAAGTTGCTAGAGTCATCGAGGGGAAGCCAGTTGAGCTTGAAGAGGTCAATTGAGGGGGGTTTTCGCGCTGTTGTTGATCTGACAAATGTGAGACTCTTGCGAGGCTTCTCGAGTTCTCGAGGATGTAATCGCGCAAACACCGCGCCAGGTTGTTTATGTAAAGAGGGTGTCGTTGAACATTCAGATTCAGATTTTCAAGGAGACAGCTTGCATGGTGCCATATCGTCCTGCTACTTCGGTTTGACTTGGTCAGTCTACAATAAGGACTTAGGGACGCAACACACCTTCCTCGGTCTCCATTTTCGTACAGAGAGCGGGTAGAGCTACGATGAGTCCCCGCCGCGCTGTAGGGTGGAAAGAGCTGACGTACAGTCTTACCGGCGGTCTACAGAATGGTAGTCCTATAGACACTCAACGGCATCTTTTTGGGCGAATAAAAACTTACCAATGTTGTGATCTAAGTCTCCTGGATCGCGCACTCCCAGATCTCCCAAGTATAACCGAAATCCACCAACGAAGAGCGGCATTGGCAACAGTGGTATGGTAAAGCTTTGCGAACGGCGCCGGCACACTTTGGAATGGGACTTCGCAAATGCCGCTTTCGGCCCATCAGGCATCTTGAAAGACGAGGTTGAGACAAGGTCGTAGAGCTCTTCACCTCAGTGATCAATCCTCTTCCTACGCCTGGTAGAGCTGGAGTGCATGATAGGTTGAAATGGGCACGCCGGGTCGGGCAATAGGGCGATGACTTACTCACATGTTGATTGGGCTGTCCATACCACCCATTGTGCTCAAGAGGGACTAAGCGGCTAGGAGGAGGCGGGCGGAGATACCACAACGGGTGAAACTCAAGATATTCACTCGAAATTTCACTAAGTCCCGTGTGGCAAGTCCCTTAAAACCCGATCCGTCGCTCCCGTTTTAGTCTCGAATCCAGCCGTCTCGGTGAAGCAAATTTTTGAGGGAGGGAGTCCGTCCCTCACAAAAAAAATTGCGCGCCTGTAGGCTGGCTTCGAGTCTACTCCGGTCTTTGAGGATCACTCTTTCGGTTGACCCAACCCGAAAAGACATTGCATGTGTATATTATTATGTAGGAAATAGCGTTGAATATTTCTTGATTGTAGCTACTAGTGGGAATGGATTGTGGGCGAAGGCACGCAGTGCCTTTCGACCGGGGGTGAGGTCTTCATTTATCCCTGGTCCGAGACGAGATCGCGACGGGCGGGTGGGAACCAAGTGAGTCGATGAAGATGAAGGACTTTACTTGCGAGGTTTCCTGAAGACTTCATCACCGATCCTGCTTTATTTCTAGGGAGCGGAGGGCGGGTGAAATTTGAGGAATTTGTCCGTTGGACTTTCCAGAACTTCGATGGATGAGTGGTGGCACGAGAGAGAAAAAGGCACGTGCCACCTCATCCGTTCGCTCAAAGACTATGTTCTACCGCTTCGCTTATTCTTCGCTTCACTTCTAGAACCGCAATTTCTTGAACAAGCATAGCGGAGTTTGAAAAGAAACGGCTGGTCACATCTTTCGGTACCATTAGTGCCGGTGCCGTGCAACTGACTGTCCTTTCCCCTCGACATGAAAGTGCAGTCACTCAAATATGATGCAACAATGGCGACGATGGCACAAAAATCTATAGCACATAGAGATATAAATTACAGATATACAAGATTTGCGATGTCCGAAGTTTTTAACTTCAGAGAGAATGCATCACTGGTCGTGCGTCGTTTGAGGCTGAATTGACGCCCTTCCAGACCTCTCCAGATTGCCGTCTTTCAGCTCATAAGCAGGCAAATATCGTGACACCGGGTTTCCGTTGCATTTCGTTTTCGTGTCAACGATTATGCTCTTTCGCGCGTGCCCAGTGACAGAATCAGGTGCAACACCGTTTGGCTTCGTGTGCGTTTTCGAAATGTAGGACGAGAGCACACCCGTTGGCGACATAGGGTCGCCTTCTGGGGACTCAGGTTCAGAATGTGTGTTGGCCATTACATGCGCAAGGACGGCTGAGGGAGTGATGACGGAGGACGCGGTTAGTGGGGTTTGGATTTCGGTTGATGGTGAAGGCGGCGAGCACATTAGGAGGGCCGGGTTAGGGAAGGTGTTGAAAGTTGATCCAAGAGAAGTGTATCTTCCAAAAATAAAAACGAGTAAGTGGCGCGAGTTGCTTGGACACCAAGAAACGCACCCTTCGTCATATAAACGACAGTACGGCACACTCAGCCTTCTCAAGAACGACCATACATCCCCATACGACCAGTTGATAATCGGGTTGACGCGTTCGAAGGCTGGCCAACCATTATCGGTCATGTTTCGGTGCGATAGTTTTGCTGTGGAACCGGTTGAGAAAAAATAGAAGACGTGTAAGAATCCGGAATGCTTACCGCCATGTGGGTCGGTCCGGCGCGTTCCTATCAATATGGCTGTGATATGTGGGAAGTGGTCCTTGTATGTCTGCAGTGCTTGTCGCATACCCTCTCCGCCCTTAGCTTTGCCGACTGGCGCTGGGGCGCTGACGTAGTCCTTTCCGTTCTGGCGGGGTATAGGTGTTGATACGCTCTCCACCTGGGGCGCCGAGGGTCGACATGAGAATAAGTCCAAGTTATATGACTCCATCGCTTGGTCGATGAAATGTTCCAGCTCTGCGAACGGCGAAGGTACAGGAATGTAGATTGCGTGGATGGGTTTCATGGACTCGGATGGTTGTAGTCTGCGTGCGAGGGCCCCAGCGTACAGGTGCAGTAGGACAGTGCCTATTTTTGAGATAGGAGATTGAGCAAAAACCTCATAACAAGGCAATCGACGTACTCACAGTCCTTCCCTCCGTTAAAACTGAGCGAAACGTTGTCTGGTCTTCGCGAAGAGTATCACATAACAGCTCAAACATAGTTTTGTGGTAGAGGACCCACCCATGGGTGTCCAAACAGCAGTCTATGACCTCTAGCGCCTCTTTCACCAACGGTGTCAATGAATCTGATGTTCCAGCGTCCGCAAGGTTGTAGACCTGGTCGGCAATCCTCCTGCAGTCCATTGTCCTCTAACCAGATTCTATGGCAGTATGCGGTCGCTCTGTGCTGTCCTACGAGCTGGCAACCGAAGACGATAGTAGATCAGAGCAAGTCAGAGAATGCTCCGTTGGTGCTCCCCGACGGTGGGTAATCATGAACAAATCACGTGTCGTGACGTAAATAATCTAATCAGATTTCCAAATTTGGACTGGATCACAAATTCAACGGGACAGGCGTTCATACGCGACTTTATTCACGAACCACCATCATCTCGCCTTTTCATTTTGGTTTATCGAGGTAAAATGGCTGTACCATGCCATATCTCACAATACTCACGAATGTCTATTTGGAAGCATGTCCGTCATCCTTGTAACTGGAGGATCAGGTCTCGTCGGAAAAGCCATCGAGCATGTTATCAACACCGAGTCCGAAGGCTCGAGGTTCGGAAAGAGGGCTGGAGAGACATGGATATTCGCTAGGTCCTCTGAAGGGGACTTGAGGTGTGTGCTCTCGAAGCTAGTCGAAGGCATCGTTCGTCACTGATCATGACCCAGAGACCCCGAACAGACGCGTAAATTGTACGAGAAGTACAAGCCTACTCATGTTATCCATCTCGCAGCACTAGGTAAGTTACCTTGACGCGCACCGTAAACTTTATTTTCCATTGATGTCATTCTTACAGTCGGCGGTCTCTTCAAGAACATGAAGTATAAGGTACACACTAATTATCTCGCCTCGCCTTTATCGATTAAGAGTAATGCATTTGTTGTAGTTGACCTTCCTCCGGGACAACATCCTCATTAACGACAACGTCCTACATGCATCATACGAACACAAAACCCAAAAAGTGATCTCCTGTCTCTCTACATGTGTCTTCCCCGACAAAGTCGAATATCCGTTGGACGAGACGAAGATCCATAGTGGGCCTCCTCATGAGAGTAACTTTGGGTATGCGCACGCAAAACGGATGGTGGATGTTCAGAACCAGTATGTCCCGATTCATCTGCTCTCAAATAGATAACATCGCTGATATGGGTGGAATGACTTCAGTGCATACAAGGAGGAGTTTGGGTGTAACTTCACTTCCGCCATCCCTACGAACGTGTTTGGGCCGCACGATAACTTGTCAGTCTCCATTACCCCCTCTTTTCATCCTTAATGACCTAAAACTTCTCGACACTGGCAGCGATCTTGAAGATTCGCATGTCATTCCCGGCTTGATTCACAAATGCTATCTCGCGAAGAGTCAGTTGTTAGTCAAATCGACTTAATACGAATGCTCAATAAGATTTCAGAGAACGGCACACCGTTTGTCGTCTCCGGAACCGGGAAACCCCTCCGACAATTCATCTTCTCTTACGATCTCGCCAAGCTCTTCATCTGGATGTTGCGAGAGTACGACGACGTGGAGCCCGTCATCCTGTCTGGTAATGCCTTTCAATTTGATTTCATCTAAAAACACGTCTAACGCTTTTCATGTCAGTCGGCGAAGACGAGGAAGTCAGCATCAAGGAGGTTGCAGACGCCATTGTCAAGGCCGTCGGCTTCCAGGGTGATTACAGCGTAAGTCTGCGCCTTGATCCCTCCCTCGATACACCTGCACTTTCTTTGCCCATCTTTCCCCGATCTCATAAATCACCCATAGTTCGACACCACCCGTGCAGACGGCCAATTCCGCAAACCCGCGTCGAACAAGAAGCTACTCTCCTTGACAGGCGGATTCCAGTTCACGCCGTTCGACCAAGGTTCGTCTTCTTCTCTCCACGTTCACTCGTTTCCTTGTTGAAGCCGAGATACTTGGTCAGCGCTCGACCTTACTGTCAAGTGGTTCCTCGAAAACTACAGCAACGCCCGCATCGGCAATGTCAAAGCGTAGAGGGACGACTCCTCGAGCATTCTCGCTGGCATATTTTTTGTTTGTTTTTGCACAATGCATAGATTCCGTTTGTTATCGGATGGATGAATGAAGGTGGTCTGCTCCTACTTATCGGTGCCTGCACCACGCTTTTGCCCGATAATCAGGTTTTCGGGTCTCGCGGAGTTCGTATGCCGCTCTTCTGACCTCGTTTTATCCTCGTGTTGGGGTAGAAGGAGCACCCTGATGGTCAGCGTATTGTTCGCATTTTTAACCTCATACACAGGACGAAAGTTTGAATGGAATGGAATTAGTAAATGTGAAACCGAAGAAAAGAAAAGATGATGAAGGTCCGGGTCGTCCAATGAATCCTGAGAGTGTATATGGAAGATTGCTACATGGCTGGAAGGAGGGAGGACAGAGCGTTTTGTATAGAAATCGGCAACGATTTTGTTAATCAACCATATCCTGAGGTGCGTCCGAAGGCGTCTAGTTCTGATCCTCAACGAGGCTGGCAGCAGCTTTAAGGTCTGCTGCAACCATCTCTTTAACGAGCGAGTCGAAGTCGACGCGACGCTTCCAGCCGAGGAGGCGTTCTGCCTTGGCAGGGTTGCCCAATAGGAGGCTTGAGAGTTCCATCGTCAGCCGGATCAAAGGAGATAAGAAATCAAGATGCACGTACTCGACTTCAGCAGGACGGAAGTATCGAGGGTCGACTTTGACGACGGCCTTGCCGGTCTGGACGTCGACGGCTTGTTCGTCGACACCGCTGCCCTCCCACCTAAGTTGAATGTTGACGGCAGCGAACGCCTTGTCAACGAACTCGCGGACAGGGTGCGTCTCTCCAGTGGCGAGGACAAAGTCCTCGGGAGTCGGCTGTTGGAGCATCTTCCACATGCCCTCAACATAATCGCGGGCTAGGACGATCCAAGTCATTCGTAGGGAAAAACAGGAGGCAAGCAAACTCACCATGGCCCCAATCACGACGAGCGTCAATATTTCCGAGGTACAGACACGACTGCTTGCCGAGCGAGATATCCGCAGCCGCACGCGAGATTTTGCGTGTCACGAACGTGCGGCCCCGTCGCGGGCTCTCGTGGTTGAACAGAATGCCGTTGCACGCGAACATGCCGTACGACTCGCGGTAGTTGACCACGATCCAGTACGCATAGAGCTTAGCGCAGCCGTACGGCGAGCGGGGGTAGAAGGGCGTCGTCTCGCTCTGGGGCGTCTCGACGACCTTGCCGTAGAGCTCAGATGTGGACGCCTGGTAGAACTTGACGTGCTTCTCGAGGCCACAGGTCCGGATCGCGTCGAGCAGGCGGAGGGTACCGAGGCCGTCGACGTCGCCTGTGTACTCGGCCATCTCGAACGAGACCTTGACGTGCGATTGCGCGCCGAGGTTGTACACTTCGGTAGGTTGAACCTGGGCGAGGATGTACACGAGATTGGTGCTGTCGCTGAGATCGCCGTAGTGCAGCTTGAATTTGTTGGGCCCTGGAGAACGATCGCATCGCATCGATCATCATAGACAGCAAAAGAGAGACACGCACGCTCATGCTGATCCTCATACAGATGGTGCAGGCGTCCAGTATTGAAGCTGGACGAGCGACGTATGATACCATGCACCTGGTAGCCTTTCTCCAACAGCAGTTCCGTCCTGCGACCTGTTTTAGCGTTGCAACCTTTGCTGGCCACGCGACTCACAGATAGGAACCATCCTGGCCAGTAATGCCTGCAACATTCGAGTTAATGCACCATCCACACGATCGCAAGGAACATATACCTGAAATAAGCGCTACTTTGCGCTTTTGGTACTCCTCTACGGAGGGAAGGTTGAGCTGGGCAAAGGACGGGGCGATATCAGACATGGTGGCAGTGGAGGATCAAGATGTTCGTAGAAAATGAGGCGATGTCAACTTTTGATCTCAGACACTTTCGCATTTTTGCCGATCTTTATTACGTCCAGCGGCGATGGAAAACCGTACCCGTTCTAACTTCTAAATACTCTACGTGCATACGTGCATAGACGTCTGGTAGGTAGGCAAGCACGATGCATAGTGCCTGAAGGAAAGTTTCTCTGAAGTCTCTAAAAATATCTCCTACATCATGCGTTCAAGCGCAGCGAGGATAACCCATTCCATTACTCGCACCCAATAAATAAATTACAGCTTGCAAATAGTACTCTATAACTAAGGCGGGACCTCGTCTATCAACACTTACTCACATTCTAACCAATGTTTCGATAAATTACGACATGCGGGACTTGCAGCACGTTACGGTCATCGAGTTCCATTGATAGCGACAGGGCATTAAGCGGGTTCATGGTCGTGGTGGAAGCGACGGGATTACTTCGGGTGCTCGCCCTTCTCCATGTCGTCCATCTTGACGCGCTCGTACAAGCCATGGCGTGTCGAGGTCGTGTCCTTGTCTTTTGAAGCGGGCTGCGACTCTCGATGCTTGACCCAAGTGTAGAGGATCGACCCGAAGAGGATGGTGGCGATAGACGACGCTCGGCCACTAAGCGCCGTGTCAAACACGTCAGTCTCTTAATGTGGAGAGAAATAAAAATACGCACGTCGTGATGATATCATGGAAGAGCCACATCCCGAGGAGAGACGCAGCAACACCGCGCACCGCAGACGATACCATGTGCGTAATCGGTGAAGTGACCTTGATGGACAGCAAGCTTGCAATGCTCATCATGAAGCCCAGGATACCCTATCGCAAATTAGAAATGTTGGCATACTAACGGGGATGACTTACCGTGATCATTGAACCCCAGAGGAACGTCCTCAACGGGGACATGGTGCCTGCTTTCACCAGGAGCTCGTCGATGCCAAACAGGAGCTTCAACACATCCGGGCCTTCACCTGCGAGGATGAGCAGGGGAAGGATGACAGCGGCGCTCAGGAGGTTCGTGTACCAGGACAGCGACAGAGCACTGCCACCTACGACCTGTAGGCTCTGCTTGATGACGACAGAGTGGACAGCGGTAATGGCGGAGGAGGCGACACCGAAGAAGACACCAACAAGCGAGATGGGTGTGCCGTCGAGGAAGACGCCGATGAAGAAACCCATGGTGACGACGGCGCAGCAAAGGAGGATACGCAGGGAAGGGCGTGCATGCAGGAAGATGAACGATGTGCAGACGGTGAACGGAAGCACAAGCCCGCGGGCAACCTGGTAGAACGAGGCATCGACGTATTTAAGAGTGTAGTTGCTGAAGCTGGAGGGGTGTTAATGCTCGGCGGGTTGCTTTCAGAGACGAAGTTGGCGCACCTTAGACCAAAGACGTTCAAGCCAACCATAGGAATGAGACCCTTGCATGTCGCCAGGTCGAATGTCAGCCTGTCTGGCAGCAGGCGCATCGCGTCGGAAATTATGAAGAGGCCCGCCGCAATGGCAAGCTGTGCCCATAGAAAGAATAGAGGTGTTGTGGTCGTATTCAGAACCCATTTGTTACTTTGAGAATGGTAAGCACGGAGAAGGGATGCTTTGCTCGACGACATACGCCATAACCATCTACAGCAGAACTTTATGAGTAAAGCTTGGACAGAGATAACGGACTCAATACTCACCGACAACGCTGCAACGAGGTAGAAGACAACGACGCCCGTCTACACGAGGAGTTTTCAGCCAGCATTCAAAATATTAGGGCATCGAGGAGGCATACGACTAGCAGCTTCGACGCTGGCTTCGCCGGTGGATTTTGGGGTGCCATTTTCTAGGGAAAAGGAGAGACGACCGCCGTTCTGAGTAACCACCTTATACGAAGAAATAAGTGGAGGTGGAGAAGAGGAACCAAGAAGTGGGCGACAGCGAACATTTCGTAAAGAGAAATTCCGTGGGAAAATCCATAATTCAGGGTCAATCTCGCTATCTCTTCTTATCATCATCGAATGGCTTTTCACCCCAACATAATCACTAATCTAAGTCCTGTCAATCCGCTTTCTCTTTGACTCCCACAAATTGCTAGCCATTTCAAATTGGAATTGACTCGCACTGAAGATGCATTACTGTCTTCAAGTTCCCGAATTGGTTTCCAACATCTTCCAATACTGTCGCGCCAACGACGAGGCTGTCTATCGTAGATCTCCGCGATTAAAATCTCTCCCTGCACTTGCCCAGACATGCCAATTTTTTCTGGCTCCTGCCCTTGATGCGCATTGGCACACAATTCCATCCCTCGAGCCACTATTGAATCTACTGCCTCAAGATGTAGTCGAACTGCGTACAGGACGCTATAGTTCAAAGCCCCTTCTTGTGAGTCTTCATTTGTCCAATTTTGCACAAAATACTGACTTCTCTGGACGTTAGTATGTCAAGCCCTCTATTCAAAGGCGCGACTTTTCGCGTTGGATGTACTATTCTCCGCGGGTCAAGGCTATCGACACCAGTTATTATGCACTACCTTTCTCAATACTTGAAATTGACAATAGTGTTTACGACGTTCTGCTATCCGTTAGCGACAGCGGCGACCCTCTTCTACCCAACATCCAGGATATTACTACGGGAATTCGCTTTATCCACACGAGCCTGACCCTGCTCAACCTTCTCTTTAACCAACATGTTCGACGTATAATGGTAATCGACAGTTCGGATGATGAGGCCGATTTCGACGATGAACTACCCTGGGCAGAACTAGCAGCCATTATTAAACATAGAAATGTTGGAGAAGGTGTCATCGACGTCACTATCAACCTTCGCTTCTTTGCTGAAAACACGAGTATCCATTCGCCGCGACCACTTACCCAGCAGATACTCAACTACTCCAGGCTCAGAAAGTTAGACCTCCGGTCGTTCTGGCTTCCCGACGCCGCCATGGTAGCGTAGATTGGTCTCCTTCCGCTCGAGGAGCTTCAAATCAACCTGGAGCGCTTCAGCGACCTCCCATCTTTGCCACCTCCGGATGACCGCCGCCAAGGATACTTCCACGGTTTGAAGCATGCAACCACCTTCGTGAGGAGCCCAGATGCCCTCTTGGACCTCATCGAACAATGGCATGCGACGAAGCTACAAAGCTTGACCATCGACCGCCCTCATCGCTCTTTCGTCTGGAATCTCGAGGACATCTTCAAGTTCCTGGCTGAACACCTGTCATCCGCAACCTTGCAGTCGCTTGTTTTCCGCACTGTGCCGCCCAACACTCTCAATGTTCCATACAACCAAAATACTTCGGATATCTCCTCCAAGACACTTTCGCTCTTATTCCCGTTAAAGAATCTGGTGGAGTTGAACATCAACGTTGGAGGGCGAGTCACTTTGAAGGACACCGACCTTGTCGCCATCGCATCAGCCTGGCCACTGCTGGAGAACTTCGGACTATACGAGAGGGTGTTTAGCGTTTCATCTGATATCTCACCTCGTGGAGTTCTCTCTTTCGTTGCGGCGCTTCCACGTTTACGCGATCTCACACTCCGGTTCAACGCCCTTTCCCACTCTCTATCTATCGAAGGCATTCACACCCTTCGACACTTGCTATGGTTGAACGTATGCACGAGCGATGCAGATAACCCCGATATGATTACCCAATTCATCCGACAGGCGTTTCCTTCGCTGAAGGGGATCGAGTTTGGGTGGGACTACATTGATGGCGACCCCATTGGCGCCACAGGAAACTATTATGCGAGTCCACAAGAGGCCCGTAGAGGGAAGGAGTCTCATGAATGTTGGAAACAAGTTCTAGTTGCTTTAGAACCTTTCGAGGGAATTTTGCTGTTATGAACCTTCGTGTGTTCCCTGCATTATTTTCTTTCGATGCAAAAAGTACTTACGTTCTATTTACAGAGTCCAACGAGCACGAGTGCGATGGGAAACGTGAAAGATGGAGTGTAAATGCCGGACGTTGCAAACTTGTCTATCTGTAATCTATGTCTAATTTTTTTTTGGTTTTTGTTCCATTTATGTTCATCTCTGCAGATCTTTTGTTTTCTCTGCACCAATCTCTCCGAGATAAAGGTGCTTCACCTTCGCGTCACTTTTCCGGTGACAATTGATTCCCACAGGCCCTTATGTCCTGATCCAGCACTTTACAGGTTTTTTGTCTCTAACTTCCGAAAACTCGGACGAAGGTCAGTTCCTGCTCGGCTAGCGCGTGACGTCAACCTCTTCAAGATAAGATAAGTCTGCTTTATCAGCAAGTTTTCTGCGATAAACATATGGCACCATCTTATCTTATCTTCCTCCTTCATCGACATCTTCAACGCCGACGTCGATCCACCTAGGTCTTTCCTGTCCTATTATCAGCTACGGTATGCGAAGTGGCGCCTTCATATTTCCAGCTCCTTCAGCTAAATGCGCGTAGGCTCTGGCACTCCAGTGACAGGGCGAGATGTCGCAATCATGGGTCCGTTTTTGGTATGCGGATTCCCCCGTTAGGAAACGACAGGAGCTTACCTCGGCACAGAGTTCAAGAATGATCGCAGGATGAATGGCACTTCAGTGTTTGGTACCAGGCTGCTCGAATGGCTTCTTTTTGTCTCTTATGGATGCTCACTATGCTCAGTCGCCTATATCCAACAACATAGATTCATTTCGTTGATGTAGAAGTTTATAAATGGTAGAGTCACGTAAGGGAGCGTCAGGTTGAACGTGTTTGTCAAGAATAAGCGGAAGCTAGGACCATTCCACCTCCCTCACAAACCGTCTGGACGCTCGAATATTGAAGCTTGACATTGACGTATATGGGTTGCCGACTTTACAAGTTGAGATTGACCGGGATGCAGCCGAGGGCGACGAGGCCGTCTGCGAAGGTTTGGTCAGGATTGGGGAGACAGGAGAATACAATCGAAGCTAGGAGTATACTGCTCACTGTACGAATTGTTGGAGCAGCAGAAGGGCTGCGAAGTGCTAACGAAAGGCAGCCACATTAGTTGGAATCCGTCAATAGGCAGGGATGAATCTTACCAAGAGCCTCCTCCAACACCGATGACGCTGATGGGGGTACACTTGATACCGACGAGAAGGTCGAGGTCCTCAAGGACAACGCCCACGGCTGCGAGGAGCCCTACGATGGCCGAGTTCTTGGCAGTTCCGGTGCTTTCGCAGCACTGGAGATCCGGAGGGTTGCACTGGCTGGCAGGGGGGTTAGGGGGGTCTGTGGCAGCAGCAAGGGCGGCGGCGATTGCCAGGGTACCTTTAAATACGTTTTGAAAATGACGTCCGTGTTGTGTTTTTCTCCTGTTGTGAGACGAACTGTGGAGTCAAGGAAGTCATGCAGGAGGAATTCGAGAGAGATAATACCACCGTACGCGTCGCGAGGCATCGCGAAGTCGAGCACCTCTGTGTAGTGGAGTGCGAATGGATAGACGAGATAACAAGTAGACGGATAAACTGGTCAACGGACCCTGGGGAGTCGGTGATCGTGAGCCTTTGTCAAGGCTCTTGGAAAGACGGAGCGACATTCTCTAAGAAGGAGAGGCTTTGACAGCATCGCGAATCCGTGTTCTTGATCGGACAAGTTGGTTTTTGAACGCGTGGATAGAGGGACGTTCTGACAGGCTTCCAGTCCGCTCAACCAGTGTGTCAAGACAGAAAATACCTGATGATACACGCAAGAGTGCAAGCACTACGCTCATTGTCAGCAAAAAATCGAGTTGGTGAAAGAATGACTGACTTTTCTGCAGCCGCAGCGCTGGGAGGACGTCGTTCTCTCTCCCCAAACATCACAGCATACACTGTGAGTTGTAAACGAAGCATATCGGAGTCGTTCAATCTAAACCCACCTGGTAGTCCGATGTTCTGCTCTCATGCTCTGTCTAACGTCAATTAGAGTATCAAGGTTCTGGTTGAAAGCTTGTGAGACAGGTGGATTAGGTACCGGACAGTTGGGCTTCGTACCAGCGATTGTACACTTTTCCCAGCGAGGAGTTGCAAATTTGAAGCAATCGTCATGAACTTGAAAACATGAGCGCTGAGCTCCCGACCCCACTCTGATGGTCACGAATTTGCGACTCGAAAATTAATTTTTCGTAGCATCAAAGGAACAGCGCTCAAAGTTCTATCGCTCATCATGATATCGAAGTCTGGCAGAGGGATTGAGCTAGGCGGAAACAAAACGGATGAACGAATGGGCGATGATGGAGCTGATGGAATGACGATACCTCCAACACTCGGTAGAATAGACGCGACAGACAAGGCTCTCCGTAGCCCAATTACCCTTATTCAGGTGGCCTTCACTCCATCGATATTTGGAGCTCAAGTCCCAATCAGCCTCGCAGAAAATCCGCGTCGACAATTGGTCAGTGCTACACTTCGAATGTCAGATTTTGGGTTGGTCTCGTAAGTGTTTAGGCCGTGCTCGGAGTCCAAGGGAGAAGAATCGCTGCTGGGGCATTCGTCAGGAACAGAAGGAAACGCCGGCCCACCGATCCCAAGGTGCAATACCTTGGCACACGGAAAAAGAAGAACCTTGAGGCAAGATTTTCAGGGGATTGGGCAATCAGTATGGAAGGAGAAACTATCCTATGAGAGCCATGACTTGGAATCTTCTCTGATCGGTGACCGTGGTGGTGGTGGCAGCTCTGGCTGTGGTCCAAGACCTGGCGTCCTGGCGTCTGGGGCCTAATGAGACACCATTCTCAGCTAAGCAAGAAAAGGCACATCATTTGACTTGGAAAATGCAACGTGTCTACCTCGTCAAGTTAAACACAAAATATCCAGGGTTCGCCCTCCGTTCGACAGTCAGAATCTGCAACTTGGTTGCCCATATGTCTACTCCGAGCAGCAATTCATGTGAAAGCGAGCGAAAGGTGCAGAAATTCAAGCAAATCGTACTGTAGCTTGTGCCACCAGGGTAACATTTCGCTGGCACATCCGCTGGATCATGAGAGAGGTCCGTTCGTTCTTACTTTGAGACTCTGAAATCATGACCGTACCTTGGTAGAACGGTATTTTCCCCTGAGAACAGGCTAACATAGCGTAGAGGTGAGCAGTTTCGAGAGTTCGCAAACGCCGTTGTCAATAGGCATGAATCCCGCCCGACGCATAGGCCTAGAGATAGGACAGTATACGAACCAAGAGCACAAGAAGGCATTCTAACTCCTATCGCCGAACCATAAAGCGTTTTCAGGAGCCACAGCTGTCAGATAATATCATTGGTTCAGAAGGAGAACTCCCGAGAGGCTGAGGACAGAGGTAGTGCGACAACAATGCATGCTAACTGTGCGAGACAATTTTACTCTAGGGGTGCTGAGATCTTGTATCGAGGCCCCTTGACGTCGAGACTCGAGACTCTGCGCAGCATGCCGAGAAGTGTTTCCAGCTTACAAGATAGATCCGGAATTTACAGAGGAGTTTGACTAGACAGAAGAGCAACCAAATTAATGGCAGAGGAGACGACGAGGAAAAGAGACGAAGATAAGAGGTTTAGGTGGGAGTGATTTCATCAAGCCGGTCTACGGCAGCATAATTGCTACTCCGATACTCCGACCTCTCACGCCCAGAACAACATATCGCCGTATGCTCCCAAACGATGAAGAAACTTTTCTTCCTAGAAGCCTCACTTCTGGGTCAACGTTTGGACGTCTGGACATTGGAGCTAGAAGGGTTCATGCTGTTGAGGTTCTGGTTTCGAGGTTCGTCTCCCTTCTTTTGACCGCTGAGCATCTGGATCTCGGGCATGGTTTTGTCATGACCAGGCTCATATCTCATGTGTTCTCAAGATTTCAGCGCTTCTCAGCCCTCGCTCTTCCTGTTCTGCTCCTTTCTTGTTATCTAGGATGGCCTTGCTTCTATCGGAGGTTTTCCCTCCCATCCAAACTTGCAATATCTTCTATCTCTCGAACATGGGCCATTTGCCATTGATTCAGCACGATTTGCCTAACCAACCCCGCCGAGGACTCAAACAATGGCACCCCGTCCCCTTCTTTCCTTGACTTTGTGTGGTCGACCCGCTTTATTGATTTCAGTCGTGCCGCCTGTTCCCATGTCTCCACTTTGCTATCTTGCATTGTCGGGCGCGATCCATTTCTTTTCATGTCGCCGCACCATTTTTGTGTTCGCGCTGACTTTTTAGTTTTGTTTTCTTCTTTGTCTACCTCATGTTTATCTGCGAGGGCCCTATTCTCACTCACCCGTGGGCTGCTTTACGCCGTCTCGACGATGCCCAACAATTGATAGTGCCCTCGCACACTTCCCACTATTTTTGTTTGTGCAAGGCGTCTGTGATGGACCTGAGGCATGTCAGTGGTGCCAGGTATCTCCTCTAAGGTGGCACCTCAATGCTTTTCCTTTCCTTGATGCTCAGTGTTTCTTTTCTCCCACTTCATGATTCCGTATCTTCTTGTCTTTTCTCCCTCAATCGTCCTTTTATTTTCCATGACAATTATCGGATGGGCCAGTTTGAGGTGGACGGAGCAGGAGCATTTCAAGTTATGATCGATCCCGGCAAAATACCGCCAATTTCCTCAGAGTTTCTGCTCTGTTTTCTGGCTTTTCGACGCTTTCGATTCTGAAGCAGCCAACATATTTCTTATTCTTTTGATGGCCAAACATGTGGATTGTCCGTCGCATCCTCGAATGATAGTGATGAGACCTTTACTTCTCCGTATTGAGAGATCGAAACACTGATTCTATCTCCTTGACACTTTCTGGTATTCTCGTCGTTGCATTTGACCATCTAACTGAGGGACAAAGTCAAGCACAGATTTGTTTCTTACCTCAGTAAAGTTGTACCGACCGCCATGCTCAACTTTTATTCCTCACTATTCCGAACTGAAACAATTCCATACAGTTCCCGAAGGTGCCGCATGCTGGGAGGATCATCTAGCACTTCGACCGACCCAGATTCACCTCTGGCCTCGAACGTCGACAACCCTGGACCGACCTTGCTCATTGGCCTACGCCTAGTTTGACAACCCCCTCGCTGCAATAACAGTAGCCGGTGGCTTTCGCGCAGCTGAAAATTCCGGGGTCAACTGGATCCTTCTTTGTTGAAATAAGCTCGGGAATCCAAATCGAGATAAGATGAGATTTCCGTTTGACCTCGGTGAGCTCTTGAGGCAAACGAATAGTAGCTACGGTACATAGTATCCTACTTATATACTATAGTGTAGTCTACGAAATAAAAGGAGATAAATATAAAATGGAGCCCACAGCTCCAGAGAATGTAGAACCAAAATGATAAGAGAAATGTACCTATGTTGGGTGCATTGCGCACGCTCGCACAGCCTCCCAATATTCTAACATTCTTTCCCCGACGAGAGCTCCTATTCCAGAACATGAAGTGCGACCTAGGGTGCATCAGGACACGTATGGGGTTATAAAAGCCGCAAATTAAGTCAGCGGCACAGTTGTTCGACCCCGTGTACCCAATGCCACCACACTACAGATTCGTGTTCACTGTCGGCGCCATTGAAAGAAATTCTGGATAAACTTACTTGCTGGTATGCACATGGATTCTGGCCGAGCACGAGCGTGACGCAAGTTGCTCCTGTGATGATGAAAGATTTGTGCAGAGATCGTCTTTACTGGGTGTTACTCAGACGGTCGGATTTCCTTTCCCTTATCCAATTCCCTTACCTTGACTTCCTTCCGAGCGAAAGCGTCTTTCTCGGGGACAGATAACTGCGTTTCATGCCTTCAATTGCATGATCGCTCCTGGGAAATAAGCGAACACAGTGCGGCATTTACGTCCCTGGACGAGGTAGCGATTTGCTTCCCTAATGACTTCGAGGTTCTGTCTGTGATCGAGATCCGTCAGTTCTTTGTCTGGCGAGGGAATCGTTAATTTTCCACAGAGATGACATGGTGCCAGGAAGATATAAAACGTCTACAGCTCGACTCAGGAGCACCAATAATCGTTGCGGAAAGAAGCTTTGGCCACACTACTCGAGATACTTAATCCGATTGGAAACCAATTCACTAAAGGTGCACGATAAAAGATTTGTGTTTTATCAGTTGCTTAAAGTACACTTCCATAACTTCATTTTATCCATTGGGCTTCACAGATCTAAACGTCGCAATGATTGTATTAGCATGGGACACAGTAAAGAGCGTGACCGAGAACATACTTCATTATCTTCGTGGTCCTCTCACCTGCTACCTTGTTCTGCCCTAGGCTCAAGCGCTCAAGGACGGCTGACGAGAAGCCAGCTATCCTGATCGACGAGGTGGGGAATATGTGCCGAAGAAATTTTCGGGAATTGCTGGCGGCTGTCCTGACATATCATCCGGCGATAATTCGGGGTGTCTGACTTTCCGTTTGAATGGGCTTCTTGGGCTACTCCGAGTTGCACTTCTGGATCCAGAGTGGTGTGGTCCTTAATCCCGTCCACCCTCGACTTTAACCACGAGCTGATGAACGTCAACGACGATTGCGAGTGTACCTCTAAATATGCCTCGGAACGCGCGAGGGTGCTCATGATGGCAGAAAATCTGTGTTGAAACCCACAGCTGATTGAACGTCATTTGGTCGCGGCTATCGAGGCGACAGTGGTGAGGCACAGAAATAACGAAAGAGGGAGAAGTATCAAAACTAGAACTAAACAAAAAAGCGGGTCAGATAAGCAAACTTCGATTAGAACAGTAATCGAGAAAATTGAACGCACGCAGCGGAGTCGTCGTAGCAAAAGCTGTGAAGAGAATCGGGAATCGGGTCCTTTTAAATTTCTTGTACAAAAACTCGGTGATTATCCTGATAGAAGAGGTTAGGCCCTGGGATCAGCATCGGCGACTATCATCACCAACAAGAAGGACAACAGGCCGGGGACAACTGCGTATAGCAATAATATTGTATTTGCCTAATTCCAGCCCAGCGTCCGATCAGCAAATGGACAGATTCCAGAGAGTTAACCATAACTCACATAGGCCTTCCAACAAAGACCTGATTGGGAAAGCCGACTTCTAAATCTTTGCTCATAGTCGGAGAGTTGAGCTGACAAGAGGGGTATGTCGTCCGTTGGCGTCCAACGCTGAGAGGGCGTGGGATGGCGACTGTGTTTTGATTTCACGCTGGGACGTGCAAAACGGATTCTTTCGGTTTCGGGCATGGAGAGAGCACTGAAGGAACACGCTATAGTGTTAGTGTCCGCAAGCGACACCACGTTTTAACAGGACGAACGTACCTCACCTCAAGATGCGCCGCAGTGGCATATTCAGAGACACGTATACTGGAGGGAGACAGGTATCCTCAGATTCAGTCGGCCTGCACTGCGCACCGAATATCCAATTCGAGGTGAGTCAGTATGAGTGACTTCGAGTCTAATTCACTGTCATCGCAGTAATCAAAAAGAATACGATGGTTACTGAGCGGCGCAAGGTTCGCCGCCCACGGACGTTCGGACTGCGCAGCCACGACGTCGCTGCCCCGTAGTGAGCTAACTGAGTTCACGAAGCATTGGATTCGACAGCAGACCTGAGACAATAGAGTGAACATAACATATTGCCTATGTCCGGTTGACCACTGACCGATGTCGTCGGACAACGCCGATGCTAATGAAGAACCTGCGCCACAATGAGTAGAGTGTTAGCCATATCGGGATATGTCTTTCTTATTGCCAGCGCAGACCTGTGGACGGACTAGTCATATCTCCAACCATCAAAGGGCAAATCCACCTCGTCCGGCCAGTCGTTTTTAATGGGCCAAAGCGGATAGCAGTAGTAGAGGGTATTGAGCGGGACGACCTGAACTGATACCGCTTCTTCAAGTCTCTCCCAAACACCTCCAGGCTGACTTTGCCACGTCTCTGCGTCGTTTTCCAGTATTCGCAAATTGAACGGGTGGCCTGTGTTGACACGATGTTGGGCGAAATTTACATAGGCGTTTAAATTGTTCGTACTCCATCCTGATATCGGAAATCCGAGAGGAAAGTGCCTTGGCTTTGGCCACGACATCGTTGAATTCTCTCCGCAGTTCCGTCTGAAGCGCGAGCAGTCGCTCCAACTTGCGACTCGTGTCCTCTTCGGAGAGATCTTCTGGGTCGTCATCTTGGGGAAAGTTAGGGGGTGATCGGTGGCGCCAAAGCTGGCAATTCCAGCAAGTGCTTACAAGCGAATCGCCAGCGGCTTTATTAGTCTTCGTTGGGGCCTGAGGTAAAGTACGTACCATCCTGTCCGCTGGCATTCAGGTATCTGAGCAAGGGATTCCCGTTGACGAATTTCTGGTGAGGAATTGTGAATTACGCAACCAAGTTATTCGGGTGCTTTGGTGCAAGAGCGCTTACGCGCGCACGGACTAGATGCAAGTTCAAGCGCTAGCATAGTATTCTTTGTGCACCTACACGTTAAAGAGGTACATTCACAGCGGCGGGTCAGCTGAGCAATAGCCGCACGAGCATATATATCCTTCCATAACCCATTTGTCGCCCGACAAGTCGTTGGCGCTCCGTCGCTTCTTCATGTCCACGGTAAGGCAGCTTTTCAAAAAGGCTGCTGTGGCCGGGACGTCCGCGTCTAAAAGCTTCTTGCTAGCTGCTAGATGCTCCTCGATTTCTGTAATCTCCTGCTTTATGTCCTCAATACTGAGGGGCAGCTCCGAAGAGAAAAGGGGCGATACTGTGAGGAGATGATAGATCTAGCAAGAGGTGGCATCGAAATCAAATTCACGTTTTTTCCACGATTACAAAAGGACGGAAGAAGTTGCATCAAAGGCGCTCACCATGCAGCCTCAGAACATCCAGATGTCCGCTTTCCTGTCGACTCCGCTGCCCAAAATAGCCTCTGGTGGAAGGATGTTTCGAGTGGCGTCAAGAGAGATATTTGGCCCCAGCGACTGAGCTACATATCCCATTTATCAATGTTTGGACGAAGCGAGTGGAAAGCAACAAAGCATTACCATGACCTAAACCGCCGAGAATAATCTCGAGATCGCTGATATCCTCGCGAGACGAGTTCCATTCAAGCCCATGCGGAAGCGGCTGCGAGAAGACGACAGGATATATGAGGCCATCGACCGCAACGTTCTTCATCTCGATATTCGTCGATCGAGGCAAGTCTTCCTCCCAGCCGGCTTGAGCAGCCAGGAGTATGTTGTCTGCGGTGATATCTATAAATAGAACACCGAGTTGAGATATTCAGAGAGCCCGGGACGGTATGCGATAGACGCTTGCCCGCATACTGATACTCCCGGAAAACCGGTGTTCAGCGTTTGGACCATGCCGGTATACCTACTACTACTACTACGTAACAAGTAGAAAATATAACTCACTACCGTGAATGATCTTTTCCTTGTGAAGCGAAGCGATGATCTCCAGCGTTTCCGATGCTATCTTCTTTACGACGTGCAGTGGAAGATACCCCCCCTCGGCATTGCTGGAGCGGAGAGATTCCAACGAAGCTCCTTGAGGCAGTAGCACCAGACAAAGATGCTCTCCCCACGAACTTTTCTCCACGAAATGCTGCTGGAGCATAGGGAAGTGGAACGATGACCCCCAGTTGCGCGAACGCTCGAGGATTCCCATCTCCCTTGCGGTGGATGGGTCGGCCGTCGCCTTGTGCGTGAAGATCTTGATAGCAGAATTCCGCTTCTTGATGCCTGGTGTCGCTGTGTGCTCTGCAAGCCATGTAGATGAATGCGTCCCCCACCCGAGCTTGCGGATGATCTTCCAGCGGCCGTTATTCAGGAGCTGTCCAGGCTGTGCGGCAAAGTACCCAACGGGCGAGGCGAGCTGCTCCTCATGGAAAGTGAACATGAGTGCTTGTGAGAGTAACTTGAGAGGAGTATGATCCAGGGATAGCCTAGGGACAGTGCTTAAGCCCTAATACTGGAGGACAGCAATAGAGAAAGAAGTCTCGAATTACACAACGAACTATCCATCATCGTGGGCGCTATTGCAGGTGTCAAGTGACACTGAACAAGTTGGGTCTAGTACTTGAGGTTGGTTCTGATGACGGAACGGTTTGACTTTGAGTGTGGATATGCAGGCCATCGTCACGTTAGCACTCTCCTCTCTTGGATGCTGAGTTGTTTGGTCTTACGCTAACGTTACCGTTGTTCATAGGCATGAATACCACAGCACTGGTTCCAAGCCCCTGTTATGGCTAGATTTTATGAGAAGTCCGGGCAAGGTCATTTCCAGCAAATACGCTGCGCCGGGCTCCACAGGACAGAGCCATCACCACTATGGCGCAGGGAGAACCCTCCCGTCTGAATACACCAACGCCATCAAGGCCAAAGGCGGGAAGATTTAGTACGACACGATCGCAGTTTAGAACGTGTATCGAGGTAGTAGTCATGTAGGTTCCAAGAGCGAGAACGGTTGCGGTGTCGATAGGTGTCCTAGGAAGTTCCAATGTGCCGACGAAGCGGTTCGAACAAGATCTTGTTTCGAGTTTATGGTGATTTATATGCTCTGAGTGAACACCATGCTCGATAGCGGCACGCCAACAAGATTCATAGCGTCCGGAAGAGTTCGTAGTTTACATAGCTACGAATGTTGTTAGTTGACGTTGTGTGCGCACACAGCAAGGCACTCACAAATCGTGAATTAGACCGTCTCATTGAGCCTTAATTTTCTCGATGAATCGTGCGTTCACAGCAACAATGTGGTATCCAACCACGGTAATCATCGCCAGAATCCCCAACGAGTTGGCGAGTGTGAAGAGCGTCTCGTGCGATATCATGGACGCGACCTATAGGCCAAACGCCTGAGCACAGTCAATCGGGCATGAATTCCTTCTGACTCACGATTTTGAGGGCTTCAAACGAATGTGAAGTGAAGGTGAGAGCAAAGCAACGTCGACGCTGTCGTGGAAGGTACAGATTATTTGTTCTTGCTTGTTCCAGAAGGTCATACGGACAAGAACGGATTCCACTCACTCTTCGACGCCATATACACCACTTCCCAACTTTTCCCCAGAACCACTCCTTACTGCCCACTATGAGGCCGACAATTGCAAGGCACAGCGACATGCCCGGAGGTACTTTTCTCCACGCCTCATATAATGAAACTGTGACCTAACGTTGTGTTTTCGCTAGGCAAGGTCTACGTGAGTTGCACAAAGTCTCCACAAATTCGAAACGAGTGTTAATGCGGGTACTTCGCGGAATAGAACCTCTGGTGGGGTGACAAAAGCAGCGTAAGCGGAAGGCAGCGGGGTATCGTCGAATACAGTGCGTCTTGGCTAATCTCCTTTCTTTTCATGTCACTAAACGAACCGACCACCCACCAGCCATCTCCCCGTGGCAGACCAAGGCCGCGCCCCACTGGATACGTTCGTACCTCTTCAATGGATATCGTCGCATCTCCGGAGAGCTGTTCTTCTTCGGCATCCCCATCGCTGTCGGTACGTCCACCTCACTCAAATTCGTCACTCGTGATTGGCTAAAACGAATGTTTTTAGGTTACGGCGTGTACACCTGGGCAAAGAACTACGACGAGTACCAGAACAGCAAGGCTGGACACCTCGCGTCGGGCGGACACCACGAGTAGATTTGCGCACACCGTTAATAGACTATCTTTTTCGTACTTGGACGCCAAAATGAATGATTTGCCCCTGGCCCTCGGCCCTCTGACGCAACTCTCTACCGTGCTCTCCAACACCTCTCCGAAAAACTGTTCCCACTTGGGCGGCTGAAGGATGCCAGGTCGTGCCTCTCTTTTCTCATTGCTTGGAACCTGTAGCTGCCGACAATCAGGACCAGGAAGAACAGCGGCCTGGAGTAATGGCTCTTTGAGGTTAAACGACGTGAATGAAATTCCAGGGCGTTATCCTTTGTCCTTCACGGATTTCAATGATTATAACTACTCACTGCTGGTCATCAAGCTGTTTTGCAAATTTTCTCTGCCACGACCCAAAGACCCCAGTTCTGGGTATAAATCGACACCAAGCAGACACCAAGCCTTGCCACCAGATCACTCGGTCCACAGTTTATTTGTCTCTCTGTGAGTGCCCTTCATTTCCCTTCATTTACAAAACTCTGACCACGCCCGCTGTAATAGGCCATGTTAGCCTTCAGTTACCTCATCACCCTGCTGTCGACCGATTCGGCACCAGCTGCCTCACGGTAGTACGGAATGCACGTCGAATGCTCAGTGTACCCATATATGCTGCTACATCCCTCTCGCACGTCTGGCCATTGTCGGTAGTTGCTAGTTCACTAATTGCTTTCGAAATTCAGAGTGGTGGATGGTGCATAACTCCGGCCCAGTGTGCAGCATCTTAGGGTAGTGAAGATGATCTGAACCACATGGTTCAGGTGTTGCCTGCCGGGTTCTGTTGAAGTGCAATCTGGGGCTCCTGCAGTCAGGAAGAATCATCAGCGGGTAGCGCATCCTCCGACTCTCCCCAATCCCATTAGCGAAGTAAGACTTGTGCAACTGCATCACTTCGATTTGGTCCTAAGCTGTGAAGGAAGGAAGTATACATGACAGCTGTATAAGGTCGCTCGCTCTTCCCATCTTTGAAACCCGCAACTACAGCACCATCTCATGACGCGGCAGTCTAGTGTGTGTTGTTCTGGAAGAAGTTGTACAGAGCAAGCCGATTGCAGTCCAGGAGTAATCGAGGGCAGGGTGTTGGCTCATGATGCTTGCAATCTCGGAGACAAATTGCTGACAAGTGTCGGATAGGGAATCCTAGAATCTGGCGGGATAGATGAGTGTAGCGTCTACGTCGCCAAGTCGTTCATTGTCGAAAGTGTGAGTCTGGGGCGAGTTAAACGAAGATGGAATATGAGGGGTTCTCAGTCTCGATGCAGGGGTGTTCTTCACATCGACGAGCACCTGTGAGGCGATAGACAGAGCGCAGGAGGCAACCCTCGGGTCTATAACGACAAAAGCGGGGACTGGCATTAGGGAAAGAACGATACCACTGAGAAAGCAAGTCGAACGCACCCCACGATGGTAGCAGCACACCTGGCCCGCACGACACTCCGAATCAAACTCGCAATGCGGATACGTCCATGCCATCGCGCACGAAGCCAGAACGAGGGTGGAGAAGAGGTACTTGGTCAGAATCATTAGAGGTCGCTGCGAGATTGTGCAAGGCTGAATTCTATCCGAAAGTCAGTCCCAAGTCAGCTGGTTATTACTTGACGGTCAACAAATTTACACTCACAGAACAGATCCTCGGGACTATTCAAGATTGGAAGTGGTGTACGTTGGGCGACGCGGTGGGAGTCCGGCTCAAGGAGGTTTGCAGGTGGCTGTGGGATGGAGACATGGGCATCGGAAATTCCCGAGTTTCCCGGTCCGTCCGGGCCGCTTAATATCATCAGAGGCAAAATCCTCCGAGATAAATGACAGAATGCCCAATTCGACAGAGTTAACAAAGCTCAGAGCTCAAGTGTTGGCACTAGTGTTCATATATAATATGTATATGAATGCCACCATAACATATCATATGATTCTAAATTTCTAACTGCACCCTCATTGAGCCTTGCGCAGACGAGAAGCGCCAACATTACGCTCCATGGATCCAAGGAAGGAAGGGTTTTTTTGAGAGAAAAGGATCAAACCACACATAGGCACCAGGAGACACGCGTGGGCTATAGTGATGAAAGGGTCGATCTGAGCTAAACTATAGAACGTGACAACATATGTACTTAGAAAGCAAGGACGTTAATTCGAGTACGAGTGGGTCAAGGGATGCTAGCGCGCGACATAAAGTGTTGGGATCACATGCGGCCGTAGAGGCTGAGGAAATTTCAGGCCAGATGTACTCCGTTCAAGTGACCCATTTAAACTTGCTCCATATGCAAGACCTGATATTGTGGCACAAGGCGACGGAGAGACAAATTTGAAGAAAGCATTCAACATGTCATTAGTCCTACGCTGGAAGAATGAAATGCGAGTGGACGGCTTCATGTGTGGCGCACGCAATTCTTATTGCCTAAAATGGTCCAGGCACAAACCAAGTTGTTGCCGAGCCTGACCTAAAGGCACTTAGGATATCCGACTCTCCATCTGTAACCTCATCAAATGCGCAAGATCATTAAACAAGGAGTTGTAAGTATATATGTATATAACAGCAGATCTGCGGATGCATTTAATGATTCCAAGTAACACTGTTCAGTATATAACAAGTCCTTACTGAAGCATGTAAAGATCGCGGGATCTAATCATCATCGTCTTCATCGTCTGATGGCAGCCGTCGTGCTCGCGCGCGAGCAGCTCTCATCGGAATCGGACTTACAGACCGCAACGATTCGCCGTCCTCCTCTGAGTCACCTTCTGCGTCTTCATCGTCGTCGTCTTGGATAACGTGAGGCCTGGTAGTGAGGCGGAGTGGCCGGCGCAGCATGGCCTCGTCATCGTCCTCGCCACCTTCATCGTCATCGTCAGAAATTTCGATGACGGCGTTGCGCCGACGAGCAGGAACTGGACGACGTCTTCGAGGCGGTTGGTCGTGAATCACGACCTGCTCGACAACAACGTCTTCGTCGTCATTGTCTTCATGCAAATCCCCATTGCGAGCGTCCTCAGCCGCCTCGTCGTCGATGAAGCTGCCGCCGTACTGGCTGTCCTCTTCATCCTCCTCTTCGTCGACGTCATGCACCTCCTCTATCCGCGCGATCCCATTGTTACGGTGGTCCGGAGGGGCATCAGGGTTGTTTCGAAACCAATTTCGTACGGCGCCAACGTGTACGTCGAACTCGTCCTCTTCTTCATCCGTAAGCTCGATCGGCTGAGCATGGCCACCCCCAAAGGGACGGTAATGATAGCGAGGATTAAGATCGCCGTCGTCGTCGTCGTCTTCATCGTCGTCGTCGTCATACAGGGGAACGCCCCAGATATGATCTGGCTCTTCCAAATCCAGGTCATAATCCTCCTCATCGTCTTCCTCGTCAAAGTATCGCGCGACTTCGGCCATAAAACCCGGGCCATCGTCATCGTCATCATCGAAGTCGTCGAAGTCGTCGTCGTCATCACCTCGGTCGTGCCCCGGATACGCGCGATGGCACCCCGAACAGACCCCGTCCCAGATCTCGTGGTAGCACTCGATGCACCGATATATTCCGCCGTCCTCGGCGTCGTACCACCCGAGCTGCTCGCGATCGCCGTCGTCTTGCGCGGCCGGCGGCGGTAGCGGATGTATCCCAAAGGGGGCGTGCTGGTGTGCGGGATGGCGCCGGGCACCGCCATTCTGAAAGACGTTCCGCCACGGGTCGGTAATCGCGTTTGCTGGGCCCTCCACCGCGGGTGTGGGTGGTGCAGGTGCAGGCGCAGGCGCAGGTGCGTCGACCAGTCCACTGCGTAGCAACGACGCGACCATGCTCTTAATACCCCAAATCTCCACAGGACGATCGTGCACCGCGGCGCGGCAGACAGGACAGGTCTTCCGGCGGCGAAGGTAGTTGCCTAGACGTGCAGAGGCGCTGTCGAGGATGGTCTCAACGTCATCGCCCTGTCCTTGCTCGGGCGGCGGTGGTCCGTTCGCGCCACCAGCTTCGTTCGGGTTCTGCGATGCCGTAAACCATCGAACCAAACAACCGTAGCAGGTGATGTGGCCACAGGGATTGAGCGCGTACGGTTTGTGGAGGAGGTCCAGGCATATTTGGCAGGTCAGGGCCTGGTGGTGGTGGTTCAGATGAGCTTGGTGTCGATCGAGCAGCTGGATTGGAGAGAAATTGAGCTCAGAGACTGGGGATATTCGGAGATGACGTACCCTGGACTTTTCCTCTAACTGCTCCTTCAAACGCGCAATTTCTAGGGCTTGGTCAAGTGGTTCGGAGGAGATAGCGTGAGATGAGCCGGAACCGGACGCGACAGTTGCTTCTGCATGACTTGGAGGAGCACCCTCTGGTGGTGGAGGTGACCGGCGTGGGGTTGAGTTTTCCCTCGCCTTGTCCTTCCCTTTGTCCGGCGACTGTGTGGTGCAGTGAGCGAGGTGAGTCAGAATACACGAATAACACGCACCCGAGAAGATGATTCAACCTCGCGGTGATCCTCGACCTCCAGTACTGTCCCGACCTCTTCAGTCCGATTCACGCCACCATTGGACGCAACGTGCCTACTTGTCGAGAGTGGCACCGACTGCGAGGTCGACCTAGGTCGCTGCTGGGTCAGGGCATCCCGCGCCTGAGCGACAACTGGTTTTTTCTTTTTCTTCTTTTTCTTCTTCTTTTTGTCTCTTCCATTTACGTTGGGTTGCCCATCGACCTTTAACTTCTTTGCATCGCGTCGTTCTTCCGCAATTTCTGATCCAGGACGTTTCTTTGTAGGATTTGGCTCATTCAACGGGGACACTGCTGCACTAGTGCCGGGTGTTGGCTGTCTTGTCAGAACTGGCATGAGGGGAAGGAACAAAAGTAGGTAAATAGGTTGTTTCTGTAGCCACGGCCTACTATAAGCAGATATTGATCACACGGTCACGTTTCCCGGACCGGCGGAGCCGGCCCGTCGTCTCCGAATGACCTGTCACTTCCCTAGTACTACCCTCATCTTCACAACCCCACGCAGAACAGCCCTACTTACCTCTAGCAAATAACCGATTAGCGCCAAACCCTATATCTTCGTCCAATTCTGGCTTGCTAAGTTTCCAATCCCGATGACGAAGACCTGCCTAAACTATGCGGGAATCCGAACTTCTGTCGAACTTGCCGGAATCGAAGCAGAATACTACGGCGTTTCGGAATCTGAAATCGAAGGAGAACGACACATAATGGGTTGGATAGCATCAGATGCAGAAAAGGTGATGTACGCTCAGAAGATTTCCACTTCGGATCGATGTCTAACAGGCGTCAGGCTTTTCGTGTTCGTGTTGAAAACGGCCCTTTGGAAGATTTCCTCAGGAAAGTCTTGTTCCTTGATGGAGTCATCGCCCAGCATACGATAAAATTATCGAAAGAACCAAGTACAGTTATCTTCGATCATGTCATGACATCTCACAAAACCAAACGTTCCTTCAAGTTTTCCCCGCTTGATACCACTGGTGAGTGCACAATACGCTTTCAACTTTCGAGCTCGAACAGCCTAATAGATATGCACCTATCTAGATGATGATGCGGTACTTGATTCTTTCACATCTGCCGATCCTGGGTCAAGGGAGATAATTGTCAAGGTCTGCTCTGTGGAGAATCCCATTGCGTATAATTGGACGTCTTCTCCATTCACTTCGAGGCCTGAGATAATGAAGATACATGAAACTCTCGCCAAAGGAAAGATAAATCACCATATAACGTCGGTGCTATTTCATAATGTCGCTGTCACAAGTTTCTGACATCGTGCCACGCCAGCTATGGAGAAGAAACATCAGCTTTCGCCTCAGAAAATAGTGTGCAATTCAAGGCGAAAGCCCACCTCGTTACCTTCGTATTCAAATATCGACCGCTCGGTACATTTTCCTTCGGTTCACTCAGCCGTGCTAATACTTATTCCTCATGATAGCAACGTTACGACGAATGGGCGTCATTCCTCAACCCGGGCCTGTCGCGAGAACCAAGAGGCCTCGGGAGAGGAAACTATCCTGCATTCAGGTGAAGGAAGAAGGCCCACCAGCTGCTGCAATTGGTAATACTTTGAACGAGCGCGAGAAATTCTTGATGGTATGTATGACTACTCTTCAATATCAAGCGCTTACGTGCCCCTTGTTACAGTTAGAACTGGAGTCCCTCCGAAACGAAAACGATCAACTGCGAGCCGAGAATCGGAGGGTTCGCAAGAAGCTGAAGAAAAGCCATAATCCGTCTGCTGACCTTCCGGACGATGTCATGGATTTATCCTGAGTACCCATTTGATAGAACCCTTGTACGTGAGTTGGACTCGACTCACGATCTTCACATCCAGTTTCTAATGTTTATAGGCATAATATTTTTCCTCGACTGGTGTGTACCTCTGCGACCCCTTACATACCTCGATCAATAGCCAAATAACTGTCCCAGATCTCGAACTCTTGAACTTTTGGAGACCAATGCTCCAACATTCGAAAATAGCACACTGTTCGCAACAGCCTTGATCATCACCAAATGTCTGTCAAGGTTCTTTGTATCGAGAAACGCGGGTACGCGACTAGGATACGTGTCCGTACAGACCGAAACCTCTCTATACAAATGTTCCTATAAGAGCCTCCTCCAGCAACGTTCTTCCGACAAACCAGTTCCACAACATGTCTGAGACCTCCTGGACCATCCCCAACTTCCAAGGCGACATCATCACCCCTACCCATCCAGAGTACCCTCAGGCTATCGCCCGGTGGGCAGCGAACGCAGAGCGGAGAGCCAAGGTCGTCGCATTCGTCAAGGACGAGCAAGATGTCGTCCGAGCTTTGAAGTACGCCAAAGAGAACCTACTGCCGATCGCGGTCCGGGGCGGCGGCCACAACCCCACTGGGGCGTCGTCCATTGTTGATGGTCTTGTCATCGACCTTTCGCGGTACTTCAGCGGTGTCAGAGCCGACCCAGAGAAGAAGCTTGTGTACGTTGGCGGTGGCGCTGTTTGGGGGAGCGTCGACGAGGAATGTATCAAGCACGGACTTGCAGGTGTGGCGGGAACTGTCAGTCATGTGTGTTGTTTCGTCTATTTTTTCCTGGACGTGATGTTGATGTGCAACTTTTTTTGAGCTAGACTGGAGTTGCAGGGTGCGTTTAATGATGGTTAAAACTCAAAAGACATGTTTTCTCACCTTTGTGTAATGCTACTTCTTCTCTAGGCTTGCCCTCGGGGGCGGCTATGGCTGGCTGACAGCAGCCTACAGCGTCGTCTCGGACAATATCGTCCAGGTACGCAATCCAGTAAAACTTTTGGCACTTCATTGATACCTTTTCCGTCCCAGGTGACACTCGTCACCGCTGCAGGCGAGGTCCTCACCGTCAACGAAAGCGAGAATGCCGATCTCTACTTTGCCATCCGTGGCGGTGGAGGAAACCTTGGGGTCGTCACCGAATTCGTGTTCAGGATCTACCCACAACGCAAAACAGTGTATACTGGAACGATCTATTATCCTGCATTGGCGGGAGAGAAGCTCATCAAGGCGACGCAGGAGTGGCTCTCTCGCAGAACGGAGAAGGAGAGCGTGTGTCTATTCGTCGCCATTGGGCGTCATGGTGAAGTGGGTATATTTTCTGTTATCCACGATGGAGCGGGGGATGTTGACGTTACGTTGCCTTAGCCAATTTTTGTTGTGATGCCCTTCTATAACGGCTCCGAAGCGGAGGGTAGAAAGTGCTTCAAGGGGTTGCTTGATGCTGGTAAGTGCTCTGCATCGTGTCTTCGGTGATCCTTCGTCGATATCAGAATACAGGACCATTCAAGGATGCGTCGAAAGAAATGCCATACGAAAACCTCAACACTCTTATTGTGAGTGATTTCTCGACCCTAGTATCCTGCAACCCTTCCAATTATTCCCCATTTTTTAGAACCCAATGGCCGACCATGGCCATGGCCAGTACATGAAAGGGGTCATGATTCAGGAGTTTCATCAATCGACCGTTACAAAAATACACCAACGGCTTGCCGAAATGTACGCTGAGAGCGCCGGCGCCTTCAGAATGTCAGTGCTGTACCAGCTTTTCGCGCACGACAAGGTCGACGCCATCCCCCAAGAGACAACCGCGTTCCGCAGAGAGAAGGGAATCACCAACGCCTTGGTCCTCTTCGACTGGGACCACGATCCGCAGAACGATAGGACGGACCAGGCACGCAAGTATGTCCATGAGCTGTGCGAACTCGCTCTGGAAGGCCAGCCCGGTGAAACGAAGCAAGGGGAAAAGATAGGCTATAGCAACTACGGTACGTCATGCTGTCCTTGATTATGGAACTTTCCTAGATCCTCTTACACTTATCCCCCAATAGACCCTGATGCCGCGGTAACGTCGACCGTGGCCGTTGATAAGGCCAAAGCCGTCTTCGGAGCCAACTATCCTCGCCTTCAGGCCATCAAGAAGCTTTATGATCCTGAAAATATCTTTAACAAGTGGTTCCCTATTGTACCCCTTTGATAGTAAATCATTATGTGTTTACAGACAGGCATTCGTGGCTATGATCGTTATATGTAGAAGTCCCCTACAATAAGCGCCCGTATAGGAAGACGAGCAACGGTTGCGAGGCTTCCTCGTTCGCGTATTCGGGTGTAATGCGATAATTGAGTAGTTTTCCTGCATGACTTTTGGGGACCTCTTTTGAGAATAAAATATGACCCCGATGACGCATTACCCCTTTTAAGTTCTTGTGGGCGACTCGGCTGGAGGATTCCCGGCTAGAAGGGCCGGAAGAGAAATATGGGCATTGGGGACCTCAGTAAGCACTACCGCCGTGTTGAAAAGACCTCGAAATTCGATTTCAAGCCTCGCAGTCGCATATAGAGTAACCTAGCATGGAATAGCACCCCGAGTGTGTCCGTGCAGTCCACATAGCCTCTCTTGGCAGATGACAAACAACCTGGAGGCTTTACGCGTGACACTTGACAAAAACCACCAATCTGACTGCGAGGCCGGAATGGCTGCATTGTTCGTCGACTTCGTGCTCGCATTCAGGATAGGTTCGCTACTATCGAAGACCGCTCCGTCATTCAACCCGCAAGATAGCGACTTTGCTTACACGGACCAACAGCTGGGACACTGATACTCGCTCACGGCGGCCTGTGGTATAAAATGGCACCAGCTGTCCTCTGAATCTTCTCACCGCAAGCCTCGGCCACCCTTACCCATGCATCAAACGCAGAAAGCCCTCCTTCTCGATAGGAAATTCGGCAACTTCGTCGTTGGCGATACCGAGAAGTACAAGCCTGGTCCGGGGGAGATCCTGATCAAAGTCCACTCGGTAGCGCTGAACCCGGCGGACTGGAAGATACAGAAATCTGGCCTTTTCATCGAAGAGTTTCCTGCGATACTGGGGATTGACATTGCTGGAGAAGTCGTGGAACTAGGCACGGGTGTCACGGAACACAAGCTAAGCGATCGAGTGTAAGTTAGGACGGCCTTCAATTGTTTTGGATTCCGTGTACAGTAGAAGCGACTGCTGATTCTGTGATATTATTAAAGGTCCTGCCAAAGTCAATGGGAGAAAGACAAGGCAGGCTTTCAGCAGCATGCTGTTTCTTTGGCGGTGACGGCAGCGAAGGTAAGCATCTAGATACTCTCCGCTGTTTCATTTCCTATTGATCTTTTTATGTGTAGATCCCTCCCAATATCTCCTACGACGAGGCCGCAACGTTGCCTATTGCTGTTTCAACCGCTTACCTTGGGTTATACAACCAGAAACCGCACGGCGCCGGTTTCTCTCCGCCCCTCTCGTCAGCCGACGAAGGGAAATATGCCGGGGTACCCATCATCGTGCTCGGCGGAGCCAGCTCCGTTGGTCAGCTAGCGATCCAGTTTGCGCGTCTGTCAGGCTTTTCCCCTATCATAACCACAGCCTCCCTCAAGCATACCGATTTCCTGAAGTCGCTCGGAGCGACATACGTTTTTGATCGTAACCTCTCGTTTGACACGCTCCGGACTGAGGTGGGGCTACCGGTGGAAAGCCAGTGAAAATTGTTTATGACTCGGTCGCCCTTGAGGCCACACAGACAATAGGTTTGGACCTGGTCGCCCCTGATGGAACGCTTGTAATTGTTCTTAATCCGGAGGTGAAGTCGAAGGACGGAAAGCTGGTCGTCCCTTTTCTTGCAGGGCTGAGGATGCCGCAGAACCTCGAGCTGTTGGAGACGTTATATCACGAGAAGATCACTGGGTTCTTGGAACGAGGGCTGATCAAGATCCTTTGACTCTGACTTGGAGTGTCTGAACAACGGCTGATTCATCCTAGCCCATGAGACTCGAGGTTCTTCCTAACGGGCTCGCAGGGATTCCTGATGGTTTGCAGAGAATTGGAGCTGATCAAGTTTCAGGAATTAAGCTCGTCGCCCATCCACACGACACTGTTTGATATTCTGGAGTTATTCTATGTCTGAACGGGTTGGTTTCACTCGGCGAGGAATGTGGATTTAGGCTGCCCTGGATTTTAATTATACCTCTCCATTGAAGCTGCCGTTTCGGAGCTGGCACTCATTTGAGAACCGGCCTGCCAAAGACGGTCGCCCCAAAAAGTCGTCCCCAAGTTCCAGATGTGAGCGCATATTTCCCAGAAGAAAGCGGTATCTGAAAAGTCACAAATATATAAGCTTGAGAGAGGTTGATCGCAAGGTCGGACCCGGGGCTTGGGCATGCTTGCGGCGCGACTGGGAGTGGTGTACAACAGGATTACAATTACCACCAATGCAAACTGGATTTTGAACCACTGGTGGACTGAGCTGTCTGTTTGTGGTGTTAACTTGACTTCGGGCGTATGGAAGATATTGTGACTGCTGCTTGAGGCTTGAGCAGCTTTTTGGATCCACCAGCTGGACCGGGCCGGAGTCCGGACGGGCGTGTATGGCACGTGGCAGTTCGGGGTTAAATTTTCAAACTTGATTAATTAATGATTCTTGAGCTTGAACTTCTCTGACAACCTTTCGACGGTCCCACGGCGCTCCAAGCTTCAATTTTCACTACTACCCTTCCGCCAAGTCGTGCCTTTCTCGTCAAAGCAGGGATGCCAAAAATAAGAAGGGACACTGAACGGGTATATACCTTCTACGACACAGCACTGTGTCGCATCTCGAGTCGGGAAGGTGAGATACGACACAGTGTCGAGTCATGTTTACGGAAGTTATCCGTAATTAATTTTTGAGAGGAAATATATATATATTTCCGATACTCCTCAACGCCCTGCCACAGGAGGCATCGTGCATGCTGCAGGGGGTACACGCCATAGGAGGCCGCTGTCCACCAAGAAAAAGGGCCAGGAGGGGGGGATCCAGTCATCGTGCATTTCTTCCCCAAACCACCACCATGGCCCCGAAATCCGCGACCTCAGACCTATCGTCCAGCGATTTCCTCGATTCCGTGCCCGCTCGTTTGCTCAATGAGTTCCGTGATCACGTACGTTTCGGTGCTTCCGTCAGCGCCAATACTAATGTCCGGCCAACCAACCAGGTTTTTCACCCGCGTGGATCCAAGCGCACCCTGACACCTTTCTGAACACCGACTGGGTCAACATGGGCCATTTGCAGCAGTGGCTCGACGATCATGCACATGGAAAACGCGTTAAACAGGAGGAAAACGCCGCCAGCACCGCGTTTGACGCGTCGAAATCTCTCGACAACACCCCTAAGTCGAAGCCAGAGCCGTTTGACATCGAACTGACGCGCCCAGACACCGCTGGCGACATCAAAATACGCGACATCCAACGTGACAGAAATCCTCGACTCAGATGAGGAAGGCGAGGCGGGTACCACAGTGGAGGAAAGTGAGATGGAGGTAGACGACGAGCGGCGATGGCTCTCGGACGCGTGGCATGCTTCAACACCGTCTATCTCGCAACGCCCGCCATTGGACCACTGTGGCCGAAAAAGTCCGCGAAACGAACATCCGAACGAATGTCGAATCCGACGTCAACTCGAACCTGGATGAGTGGGAATGTTTGGTGCAGGAAGTCGATCTAATCTCAAGCATCGGATGGCCGCTGGTGAGTATTCTCACGGCGCACTCAACCCACAATACTTCTTAGACAACCTTCCACCGGTCAATGGCTGGGATAGCCCTATTCTGAAGAACTTCTTGAAAAATCACCCCGGAGACGTAGATATGAACTAGAGGAGTTCGTATTGAGTCCTTAGAGTAGAGTACAATCTTATAATACAACAGAGAGTTAGCTAAGGTGTTGGCAGATAATCACGTAGATAAGATTGCGGCCGAAGATGCGACACCACTGTGTCGCATCTTCGGCTTCTGTGTCGACGCTTAGACGCCTTTGAGGCGAGATGCGACACAGTGTTGTGTCGTTTTTGGACCATCCCGACACTGAACCGGGGCTCATCGAGACGTCGCTGTTGGCTGCCCATGTCGGGAACAAGGGGTTGTCGGCTAGATTGAATGGAGATCTTGAGGGAGCTATAGGTGTCCATACTAGTTCATCGCCGCCTTGACAGGATGCTAAACAAACATTAGCTTCTATATGCTATCAAATCGCCATAGGCTGGAGCACGGAGGCCATTCGATGGTCGCCCTATGCACGCCACCCCTTATCCATACTCACTCGAGAAATTGGCAAAGGGTTGCAGTTAGGCCATTTAAAAAGAAGTCAGAAAAGAGGGGCCCTTCAGCTTGTCCCCCGGCACACAAGAGCTTCGTTCCAAAGCGATGTCAGGATTTCAGACCACCATAACCATCCCAAACTTCAAAGGGGACGTCATAACCTCCGTCCACCCCGAATACCCGAAGGCCATCTCTCGTTGGGCTGCAAACGCGGCGCGCAAGGCCAAGGTCGTCACATTCGTCCAAGACGCTCAAGATGTCATTCAGGCCTTGCAGTACGCCAAAGTGAACGGCTTCCCGATCGCCGTGCGTGGTGGAGGGCACAACCCCTATGGCGCGTCGTCTGTCGAAGGCGGGTTGGTAATCGACCTCTCGCGTCATATGAACAAAGTCCGAGTGGATCCAGCGAAGAAACTTGCGTATGTCGGTGGAGGTGCAGTATGGGAAACCGTGGACAAGGAGTCGATCAAACATGGACTGGCCACCGTCGCGGGTACCGTCAATCATGTGAGTTTCGTTGCATCTCGAGGAACCATTGGGTCTGACCTCGTTCTAGACTGGAGTTGGAGGGTATGGTGATAAATTTATCTCGTCTGCAAGCTGACTTATGAGCCCCCCCATCTAGACTTGCACTCGGAGGTGGCTACGGCTGGCTGAGCTCCACACACGGGCTCGTCATTGACAATATCGTCCAGGTATTTCCTCTCGACTGATACTTGCCCCTAACCTATTCTCATACTGACCTCCAGGCAACCCTCGTCACCGCCTCGGGCTCGGTCCTCACCGTAAACAACGCCGAGAACGCCGACCTCTACTTCGCCATCCGCGGCGGCGGTGGCAACTTCGGCGTTGTTACCGAGTTCGTGCTACAGCTCCATCCGCAACGCACTACTGTGTATGCTGGGCCCATCGTCTATTCCGCTTCCCAGCTCGTCATGGAGGACTTAGCCAGGGCCACGGAGGAGTGGCGGCAGAAGACGGCGGAGAAGGAGTGCATGATGCAACTGGCTACTGTGGCGCCAGATGGGAAGGTCAGTCGTTCTATTGTGGTGTTGTGCTAAGGTGACGCTGATTCACGTTTTTAATACTAGCCTATCATTGTCGTGTTCCCGTTCTACAACGGCACCGAGGCGGCGGGCCGGGACAGCTTCAAAAAGCTACTTGACGTCGGTACGTGCCGCGTATGGCTCCATTGCCGTGTTTCTCGAATTAACCCTCCTACAGGCCCCATTTCTGACACATCGAAGGAAACACCTTATGAAGAGATCAACACCTTCCTCGTAAGTCTTTTTTTCTTCGCTCCTTGGGACTTCATTATGATTCCCGTCCTTAGAACCCGATGGTTACCCCAGGAAAGGGTGGGTACATGAAGGGAGTCGCCATCAGACACCTCCACACGCCCTCCATGCTGAAGGCCCACGAGCGCCTCGTTGAAGTTATGAACAATTCACCATTCAAAATAGGAGGCATCCTGTACGAGTTCTTCGGAAAGAAGGCCAAGAAGGCCACTCCAGAGGAGACCGCGTTCCGAAGGGAGCGGGCCGTGGACAACATGCTCATCCTTTTAACTTGGGATCACGATGATTCCACCGCGAATATGGAGGAGGACGCTCGCAGGGTAGCTGCTGAGTTGGGGGCGATGGTCATGCAGAACCAACTGGGCTTGACTCCTGTGGAGGCTTTGGGATACGGCAACTACGGTGAGTTCGTACATATGCAGAAGAGTTCCTGTCAGGGCTAGGTTGTCTGATGATGACTTTTTTTAGACCCTGATGCCGTAGACATTGACCCCAAGGGTGCCGATAAAGCTCGAATGATGTTTGGCTCGAATTACCCTCGACTTCAAGAGCTAAAGCGGCGCTACGATCCTGATGGGGTCTTCAACCAATGGTTCCCAATCACTCCCGCTTCCGGCGTATAAGACGCGAGTCTCTCCAGCGAAATTTAGATATTTGCCATCAGGTGCAGAAGCTCTGCAAGTGATATGCCGCAAAAAAAAACTAAAATTGTGGACACTCCGTAATCCGTTCAACACCCGCAGTACTTTGCTGCTCGATCTTGCGAGCCCTATGGGCCGTTTTAAGCAATTATTTCCTATTTCAGCCTGCTCTTTTTATCTGCGACCGTTCGCTACAAACACGATGCGGTGTTCTGCATGCCATTTGAAACCTTGCGCCGACTCCAAGTGGTCACTTCAAGATTTACCTTGATCATGGTAGGCGGCAAGGTTATTGTTTTCGAAGAAATTGTAGGGAGAGAGAAATGATAAGAACACTCAGTGCAGAAAAGATCTATATCCCACGGCAAGACACACTGCCAGCAGTGACATAATAAAACAGATTTCTCACACGAACCGACTCGATACCACGACAGAAAGTTGGAAAGGGTATCTAGCCATCAAAGCGAGTTTCAGGATGCAGCACTGTCCAACGTGCAGACGCGCTCCCTTAGGTCCTCGACGAATGCTTCCCCCCCGCACTGTCGACGTTTCTACTATCAGCCACTGGAGCATATCTCTCTGATGGTTTTTGAAGTCCGAGTCGACATCGAGGCTTATTCGTGTGATAACTCGGGCGCTAGTAACGGGCGCTTAAAATAGTCAGCAAATCGGGACCTTTCCGCTTCCGAGGTGCTTGCCCCATTCAGTGCTTTCGAAGCCGCCTCCTGACGTCTCGGATTTTTGTTATAGATAGAAGTGAGGCTAAGGAATTGTCTATCAGTGCGTGCTATACTCTATGTTGTTGAGAAATTTTCAATGAAATCTTTAATTGGGTTGAACAACTGTCTAGGTACCCTATGGCTGTACTCCTACGGGACGGGGAAGATATACGTCACCCCATGACAAGGATAGACGAGAGGGCGAATGAAAAAATGAAGAACCGAGTTCAATCAAAGCACTCCCACAACCTTGTTGCCCGTTCTATTGGCCTTGAAGCACAGCTACCTTCTTTTCCTAGGCAGACCATGGTTCAATTGAAACAATCAGGTCGCCGTTGCCGTATGCAGCGGCCGCTCCTGTTCGTCATGTTAGCTGTAGAGACAATAGCAGCAGAGTTGTGGACTTGCCCTCAACCCTATTGTTGATGTTACAGTTGTTAATGATCCACAACGCGCCAGTCGCTACGTCACGGCTGCAAGGAAAAGGGTCAGCATTAAACAACACTTCGAATTTAAAGCATTCAAGATCCCGTCCTTGCTCACCAGTACGAGGACACGTGTCTGCCAACTATGCTGGACCCCCCGATATGTGCATCTCCAGCGACGCAAAAGTCAATGTTGGTATCAACACCGCAAGCCGTGGTTCCGAGGGCGTTCAGGTAGTTGTAGCACGCTATGGCGTTGTCCCGATTGACGAGGTCTGAGGTTTGACAGAAATCGGTGAAGCGCTTCGAGAGCTGCACGGCGTCGTCTCGCGCCGCAACTGTGGAATCTGTCTGCATTTTAGGTCCGAGTCTAGAGTGAACATTGAATGGACCCACTTATCTTGGGAACCTTTTTGAAGAGGTCGGCGGACGTTAGGCCAAGCGAGGCCAAACTGGGAAGTCCGGGTCCTGGGATGACTTCGACAGCGTTATCTGCGGTCGGAAGAGCTGCGACATTGCTCAAGGACGCGAGAGCGCAGAGCAAGGCGGCAGAGAGCGAGCCTAGTTTAATCATTTTGTTTGCAGATTGTTGTTGAACGTTGACAGCGAGACACAGTAATCTAGGTAGAGAGTGGGTCAGAAATGAGGTGGTAAAATTGAGGAGAGATGCGCACCCCAGTATCTGGAAGATGAAGGGGAATGGCTGAGATATGCTCTGCACAAGCATCTTTTATACTTAAGGAAAATGTGGCGGCCCTGTGTGACATAACAAGTAGAGGATGGCTCCAATCAGCCGCCATGCACGGAGAGGTCATCAGCAACTATGCGATAGAAATATCTCAAGACGCCAGAAGGTGATTAAAAGGAGAAAAAAATGATACTTCTCAGTAGCAACTGAGCATGAGGGACTTTGGCCACGGAATGTGCTGGACCCACGTAGACATGTGTGATAGATGAAATACAAAGTAAATCCAGCCGGGCGGAGTAGCTGGCGTGCAGAAGAGTCGAGAACGTACAGACTTTCACCACAAACAACCGTCTAGGTGAAGTCGTGCAAGTGCGAAGAAAAATGGACTCGCATGGCAGGCAGCTGGCGGTCGTATTTTAGCACCACAACACGATCATAGCGGGACCAACATCCAGGGATTTAGAATAGCCGGACAAGAATAACCATTATGAGACGTTGAGCCGTCTAGCAGTAGTTCGGCTTGCAATGCCTGAGATAGTGGCCAATCGCTGCTCACGGGTGCTCTACGGCATACATGTGGACAGACCACAGTAGCAGAGTTGCCAAGCGAGGTTCTCGGAAGGGTTAAAATTGGAATAGATCTCGGACCGCACCAGAGTGCCAGAAATCACCTCTGCAACGCGATTGAAGTCACTGCACGAGGCATGCGACTAGTTTCTTTCGACCAATCGAAGCGCATGGGTAAATTCCCAGAGAGAACGTGAATTTGAAAGCCTGATGAGACCTCGAATTCGGAACTTCGTCAGACACCTGCAAATAACGCACGCGCAGGCTGTCAGTACAGCGGCCGTCACAAGCACCCATATCTCAAACAGATAGACTTACATGTTCTCCACACTCCAGTGCCTTGAACTTATCGCTTCAAGTACAATCCAATCCGCAAGAAGTATGTTTGGCAGACCCAGTTTGCCGTGCGCCCTTGCCCCGAGTCCGAGCATGATGGAAATAAGAGGCAAGAAACAAGCCGTTGGCACCCAGTGCAAGGTGCCGCAGTATCGGCACAACAATGCGCTCACGTGCTCATCAGGTGATTTCGCGGTTCGCGTTAATTGTGCTTGTTTGTCTGCGATTGAGATAGGAAAGTCGAGAACAACGGCTTAATCCTTCCCAACGACGTCGTAACGATGAATACGAACGCGAACACTTGCGACGAGCGAGTCACATACCGACAAACTCGCTTATCAGTGACGCTCGGTGATGTGCCTACGGTGGGGTGATCGTGCGAATAATGAATGACAAACACACACCCAAAACACCGCAATGAGTGGCTCTGAGGTGCGAGGACAGTTCCGTGGTTGTGCGGCTCTAACCAGTGGGCGCGCGCGACTCGAAGACGGATGGCGAATGCGGGCGCTAAGCGTGGGAACGGGACGAATGAGGCAACGGCGCCTCCGGAATACGAGTGAGAGAGCGAGGAACGGGGGAGGTGAGAGACGGAAAAACGAACTAAATTCTCTATATTGTGTGAGTGTGTAGACATGGATTATATCTATGAAGAAAGAAGAGCCCGGCAAGGAAGATATCTGAGCCGTGGGTGAAGGAAGAAAGAAAAACAGAAAATTTCAGATAAGAATGAAACAGGAATGGAATAGGGGAGAGGCGGCGAGGCGGCAACTGCGTTGATGGGGGAAAAGGCTACCTAACAAGGAAAGGGTGGCGCGCCGAGCGTCTCGGTGAAACGGGAAAGAGAGGGAAAGAGGCGGTGCCGGTCACGGGACGGATGCTTTTGCTGACTGAGGATCTCCGGGTGTGTCGAGGAATCATATGGCACAACGGGAAAGGTGTCGGGGATCGAGGGAACGACGGGAATGTGATGACAAAGGTCGAAAAAAAGGGATTTACCGGGGTCAGGGAGCAGTCCAGCTCATCATCGGGCTGCAAGCTGCCATCTCCGTAGTCTCGTCCAAGTTGTTGGCTGGGAAAGAGACTTTGGTGAAGATCGCGTTGACGTGTTTCGGGTGACCGTGAGTGTGCTTCCGACTTATGAATCTCAACTTCCAATTTTGGAGCCTGTGATAGGCATTTGGGCCTCTCGTCGGGGCTCGATGGCAGATTCAGAAGGGCCACCAGGAGTCGGAATACGTGCGGGAGGCAGGCAGAAGATGCGGTCGAGAGGGTACCAAAACACTCGAGGGAGGATATAAGGTATCCGTGTGGAGAACTACTGCACGATGGGTAGCTTTGTTTGATTTTGACCTACAAGTCGTCTGACCTTTCTCGGCGTCTCACGGGCGCTTAACAACCACCATCCAATCTGGCACTTTCAGACCAGCCGCACGTCCCCGCGCACGCCAGGATCAGCTTCAAATGGCGTCACATGCACGTTACTAGTGTATTCGGGCAGATATGAAAGCATGAACCTCGAATGCCTGTCGTTACAGAACAAGGCCGTTGTACTCGGGCAGCCATCATCCCACACACACCACTGCAAGCACGGAATCGAGGCTCATCGTTTCCCTCTCTCTTCCCCCCTTCACCCACCGACACTATCAGCGTCAACCTCGAACCAACCTCCCTCCTCCCCTCGAGTATAACCGGATCATGAGGTCCTCAAGCCATGGCGCACCGCTTGTCGACGCAAGCCAATCTCTTATGTTCAATCAGTGCCATATAACACAGGTGGATGGACGACCTGTAACGTTGCGGAAAGGTATGCTGCCATTGCACTCTGTCCATCCCGGCGGTTGGATCTAATGGCAATGAACCTGAAGGTTTCAAGATTCTCTGCGCTAACGTCGACGAGACTCTTCTCCACGACTCCATCGATCGTGACGCAGATGAAGTGGCCATCCAGAATTCAAACGCGGAACGTCAAATCATTAACAAGGTTGTGGACTGGGCGGAAAACCCAGCTCACGTTGCTCAAGCCGCCGTGGTCTACAGTCCAGCTCCTCTTGGAGGAACTTCCCCTGCTGCCCGTTTGCTTTCAGAATCATGCCACAAGAATGGGGTCCTCCCTTCGACCACCACTTCGGACAAGAAGGAGGACAACCAAATTCGCCGGCACGTAGTTGCGACAATCGCGTACCAAATCGCGCTCGCGTTGCCCGCTGCTCGCCCCTTCATCGAGGACGCAGTAGAGCATGATCCTGCGATATTTCGACGGTCCTTTCGACCTCAAATCGAGCGGCTGATTCAAGGGCCACTGAGGCAACCAGCCGAAACTCCAATGGCACTTTTCCAGCCATCTTCGTCCATAATCGTAATGGATGGGCTCGACCCAGCGAAAAGTTGGCACCAGCTGCTCCTCAAGCACCTTCACCAGCCCGATCCCAGCCCGCTGGTCCTCCGACCAGTTGTGGTCTTGCACACCCTCGAGGCCGGCAAACACCCATTATTCCTTGACCCCTCGTACTCATCACTGAGGCTGTTCATACCTTCTCCCGAAGTCTCGTCATACCCTCAGCAAAGTTATTTCGGGACGAGTACAGTGATGGTTTACTTTTTTTTCTTTACACCCTGATTCTTGACATTGACCGTGTCATCGTGTCAAGTAAGAAGCGCCATACTGGACAAAAACGGACTTCTGATTTTTTATAAGCCCCGTTTATGAAGCGGTGTCCCTGTAGATCCACATTGCACGTCCAGATATAGTCCCTAGGATTAGCATAGGTGTATATATGAGCAAATAATTATCTGTATAAATTATGTAGCACCACCTACTCACATAAAACTGATTTACGCGAAGGGCCCCTGCACCTTGTGCGTGCGCCTGGGTGCTAAGCGCTAAGAGCTCGAAACACCGCCAGCGACCCGTGCGCGTTTGACGCGCAACACTCGCGAGACGAAGTCGTCCATCTTACATTAATTATAACAATCCATAGCCGATTGGAGAGAGGCAGGGGATTAGGAACGACCGGGCTAGAGCTACAAGTTGCAAAAACATTACACTAGGAGTATATGCAAGTCCTTCACCGCTGTGTTATAACAACGCTACCTACCGATATCCCAGGAAGACCCACGGTCCCTGGTACAGGGTACATTCATACAACGGTAGACTCGAAGCCAGCCTACAGGTGCGCAATTTTTTTTGTTCAAAAAATTACTTCATCAAGATGTCTGGTTGCGAGACTAATACAACGGGAGAAACGGGGAATAATTTCAACAAGCACCCATTTGTAACTTGCTGGGCCCAACAGCCCGAGAGGTGGAGAAATGCTTATGTGTCTTTTCGGAGGCAGCTCAACATCAACGTCCCGGGGAATCGTCTATCTTGTGTCGCGCAAATCCAGCAGTGAGACAGAAGGAGGAAACAGCCTGAACTTTTTTTCGATGTGATGATCAAAACGACCCGTGGCCGATTCATGGCCAACTCTAATGCCGGTGAGCAAAGAGTCTTTGGGCATTGGTTGGATTCGGGTTGAGAGAACAGACCCTAACGGTAAAAGATTCAAGGCGTGCTGGGTGCCTTCTTGGTCCGCACTTTACGGGCGCTTAAAGGTTGTTGGCCGATTCGGACACTCTGAGATTCAATAAATTGTTTAATTGGATCGAATGTCTGTGGTACTACGGATATCCTCCTACATGATAGGGAAGATATCTGTTATTCCATATGGAGAGGGCATATTCAAAATGAAGAACCGGGTTTCAAAGCACTCGTACAACCTTGTTAGCTGTTCTATTGGCAAGCGCAGCTACCTTTTTCTCCTAGGCAGACCATGGCTCAATCGAGACAATCAGGTTTCCGTTGCCGTATGCAGCTGCCGCTCCTGGTCGTCATATTAGCCGCAGCACTCGGCAAAAGACAATAACGGTAGAATTGTGGACTTACCCTCAACCCTGTTGTTGATGTTACAATTGTTAATTATCCACAACGCGCCAGTCGCTACGTCACGGCTGCAATGAAAAGGGACAGCATTAAACGAGAAGTACTTCATTCAAGAGCACGTCAAAGCCCACCAATACGAGGACGCGTGTCCGCCAGCTATGTTAGATCCTCCGATGTGTGCATCTCCAGCGACACAGAAGTCAATGTTAGTATCAACACCGCAAGCCGTGGTTCCAAGGGCGTTGAGATAGTTGTAGCACGCTATGGCGTTGTCCCGATTGACGAGGTTTGTATTTTGACAGAAATCGTCGAAGCGCTTGGAGAGCTGCGGCGCAACTGTGGAATCTGTCTACCTTTTAGTCCCAAGTCTAGGGCAAACATGAATGGACCTACTTATCTCGGGAACCTTTTTGAAAAGGTCGGCGGACGTGAGGCCAAGTGAGACCAAACTGGGTAGTCCAGGACCTGGGATAACTTCGACAGCATTATCTGCGGTCGGAAGTGCGGCGACGTTGCCTAAGGAAGCGAGGACGCAGAGAAAGGCAGCAGTGAGGGAGCCTAGTTTAGCCATTCTGTTGTTGGATTGTCGTTGAGCGTTGAAGGCTAGACGTAGTAATCTAGGCAGAGAGCAGTTCAGAAATGCGACATTAAAAGTGAGCAGAAATGCGTACCCCACTGGTATCTACAAGATGAAAGGGAATGCCTGAGATATGCTCTACTCGAGCGTCTTTTATAAGGAAAATGTGGCGGCCCATAGGCGGAGGATAAGAATCAAGTCGTCGGCAACACTGCGGTAAAAATATCTCGAGGCGGCAGAAAGTAACTGAAAGAAGAAGACAACATTCATACCTGCGGCAGCTGAGCATGAGGGTATTTGAGGATGAAATGTACATACCTGAGCACGGCGTTGACGAATAAAATGCATGTTCAACCGGACAGATTAGCTAGTGCTAGCCATGAGTGCTAGTACACAGAGGAGGGAAACAGAACGCAGTTTCAACACAAGCAACCTAGGTAGAGTCGGTGTAAAGATAAAGCAGGAGAGAAATAGAATCGCACGGAAGGCGTCCAGAGATCTTATTTTTAGCACTACAATGACGATCAGAGTGGGACCGGCGTCCAGAGATTTAAAATAGCAGCGTAGACATAACGTCATGAGATGATGAGGAGAAAGGCAACAATTCGGCTTGAGATGCCTGAGACAGTATCCAATAGCTGCTTGCAGGGGCTCCAAGTCGTACATGTGGACAGACCCAAGCATCAGACTCGGAGGCGTTGAAACCAGAATATGTGATCTTCTCTCTGGTCCAGCGAGGTCCTCGGAGGGGCTCAACTTGTACCGGATCTCAGACCGTACCAGAGCGTGAAAAACCAGGTCTGCAGCATTCTGGAGGTTACTGGATGGATGATGAGTCTATCGAAGCGCGCACGGGGAGATTTTTAAGAGAACGTGGATTTGAAAGTCCTGGAACTTCGTCAGATTCGCACAAATAGTGTGCGCGCAGGCGGCCAGAGCAGCCTTCACAAGCACCCCTTCCTTGAACAGATAGACTTTCATGTTCTGCACACTCCCGTGTCTTGAACTTCTCTGTTTAACTTGAAGTACGATCCGATCCGCAAGAACATTATTTGCCAGACCCAGTTGACGTCGCCCTGAGCCCGAGTATGATGGAAAAAGAGGCAAGAAACAAGCCGTTGGTGCCCTAATTTACCAGTACACATAAAGTGCAAAGTTCAAACGTGGACATTCGTGCACAAGGGGTTGAATCAAGTTGTGGGCGCCGGAAAGTTTTTCGATCTCCGTCAATGACCACGTGTTTATCAGGTGATCTCTCGCGTCGCGTTAATTCTCGTTAATTGTGCTTGTTATCCCCCATCGCTGGGCGATCAATTTCCGAGAGATGTCGCCACAGAGGGTCCCTCCTCGCGAGCATTTCTCTCCCTTCCACGATAGTCCGGAACAAGACCCGCGGCGCCGAAACACGATGGCGCGTTTTTGCCACAATCGCAGACCAAATAGCGCTCGCGCTACCTGCCACACGTTCCCTCATCAAAGAGGCGGTCGAACACGATCCTGCAGTATTCCGTAGATCCATCCTCTCTCAAGTCGAGTGGCTAATCCAAGAACCGCTGTGACAAGCAGCCGACACCTCAATGGGGATTTTCGAGCGATCGCCCACCGTACTCGTACTGGATGGATTCGACCGAAGCAAAGACTGGCATCGGCGACTCTTCGAACATCTTCGGCACCACACATCCCATCCGGGACCGTTTCCCATATGGCCATACGACCCCTCGTGGCACTGCACAACCCCGCGGGCAGCAAAAACCAACTATTCCGTTGTTCCTCAAACTCATCATCGGGGCTGTTCGTCTCTCGCCCTGTTCACAGCATCGCAGAGACTGCGGGACGGGCACAACCGCCTCGCTTGCGTTTTTTTTTGGGTGACCCCTGTGCGCGCTTCTGATGTGGGCGCCTGTGAAGGCTGCGCCGCCGAATGCTGACCCACATCTCGGACAGGTTAGCGGGAATGAACTTGCATATTCTCAGAACCCCCGTGGCTTGAATATATCGCTTGACCCTGGCTTCGATGTCAAAACGCGTCCTGAAGGCCCTATACAATGATTAAACTAACGTGTCTGAACTGACTGGAGTAGGAGGAGAAAAAGCATTCAAGCATTCATGCATACTTTAGTCGTACATTTGTTAATTCGAGCGGATTGGCACAGGCAGTGGGCAGGGGTGTAATTGTGACGAGGGGGCTCGTAGGGCGTTTACTTGCTCAGGCATTTGCCTTCTTCAACGCCTGGTGTGCATCTCGAATGCGATGTTCCCAATACCTGTCGGATAGTAAATACGTTAGACTACAGGAAGGAGAGTCACATAGGATCCAACGTACTTCTTTCGGATCGGATCGTACTTATTAGCAAGGCTTGTCCAAATCTGTAGCACGTTCGTTAAATCAAAGTAGGAGATGGAAAAGGGCAGGAAAGCTCACCTCGACAGCAGATTTGACACCATCAGCCCCTCCTTGTATCTCATACGCGTCCGCGAGGAATTCGAGTGCTTCAGCACATGGCAGCTCGGCCCCTTCACCTGGAGGCGGGTTCTCCAGATCGACGATGTCCCGCTGCGCGCTCTCAGATGAGCTCGGCACTACAGCATATGGGCGGACGAACGGCAGCACAGACGCGAACGGCGTCGATGTGTGCTTCAGGATCCCGCGGAGGTAGTTCCACGCCGACGGGTTCGACGGCGCGAGCGAGATGTTCTGCTTGACGAACGTCAGCTCTCTCTTGAACACGCGCTCCCTGTCCCGCTCGCCCTCGCGCACACCGCAGCCCCACACGACGAAGAATCGGTGGTGCCACGCCGAGTTGTTCCGTACGTCCTGCGCGAGCATCGTATCCACAAAGTCGAGTTCGCCCTCCCACAAATCCTCGCTCACGTCCTCGTCGCCCGTGCTATCGACGCTGCCGCCGAAGTAGGCGAGCAGCCACTGGCGGTAGCTCCATGTGTGATAGTTCTTGACGTCGGCATCGAGGCTGCGTGTGATGAACTGGAGTTCACGCTGGGGTTTGCGGGTGAGTGCGACGAGGAGTCGGCGGTGATGCCAGACTTGGTATGTCTTGAGGAAACGGACGGCGAGGATGTCCATGAGCTCGATCTCTGCTACGAGAAGTGGATCCGACGGTGATATGACTCCGGACGGAGAGGAAGCGGTCAGGAGTGCTAGAAGGGTTTCATAACGATACTGCCTGTTGAAATAGATCAGCGAGAGTGAATGAAAATGGCTTTGAATCGTACCAGGCAGAATAATGCGCCGGGTTCTGGCGTATGACACTCTCCGTCAACTCGAGTACACGACGACTCTTCTCTCCTGACTTCGCGATGGCGCGGAAATAGTTCGTAGCATCTTTGTCTGCAAGACAATCAGCATCTTAACCTGCTGCTGCACGAAACCACGCACATTCCTCTGTATAGAAGATGGGAGCTAATGGGCTGATATTTTCGTACTGTTCCAGAGGGACAACATCTGCCCAATCTGGGCGCTCAGAGAAAAGCTCCTCGTCGTCAAAGGAGATGGTGGCCATCCTTGGTCGATTGTTTACGTTGTTCCACTAAGGTGGGAGGGCCAGTGGATTTGCTGTTTTGCTGTTCTTCTGTTGTTCTAAATAGGCTGGGGGCACGTTCTAGGGGAAGGACACGAGTTCGAATCGAGGCGCGATGTGATGCTGGTCTGTTGAAGGCTCGATGCAGAGTAGAGGGTAATGAAATGGGTCTTGCGAAGCTTATTGTCTCGTTCCAACAGACCTGATTATCACCGGTCCGGTATGCCGGGAAGATTGTGCCAATTAGGAACAAATAGTCGGACAGGCGGTCCGCACTCAGAGTCACTGAACCAGGAAGACCTGACCGCTCAGCGCTCAACTTTCAAGACCAACGTTTCCTAAGCATGTAAAATAATGTATTTCGGTGGTTTCCAGCTCTGGTTCGGAGCCGCATACATACAATCGAGGATGGGAAAAAGGTAAGGAATCAGGACAGGTGCCATCGCAAATTATCCCTGAAAAGCGATGCCTGTCTTGGAGGTCTCTGCGAGCCCACCACCTGCGAATCCGGTTCCTGAGAAATGAGATGACTTAGATACAAGGCAAGTGCAGGATTCAGATTGTTAGGTACGCACCTTCCCGTTTAAGCTCGATAACATCCTTCTCCTTCAAGGCAGTATCACAGACGATGCACTGTTTCGCAGGTCGGACGAGGGTGTCTGTACAGGTCTTGCAGGTAACATGTCCGCATGGCTTCGATACTGCAGCGCTGTGAGTATGAGCACTTTCCAAAAGTGTCCAGTGTAGACGTACGGAACAGAAGGACGCTGTTGGACAAGTGTTTCTTGCACGATGGGCACATCGCTTCCGGCTCATCTTTGCTCTTCGCCGGCGCCTCGGCCGTTGTCGAGCTCGACCCCGAGTTGGACGAATACACCGTGAACTTGACAGGCACTAGTGTCTTCAACCTGCTGAGGGGTTAAAGAGAGTCCAATGGTGAGGTAAGGAGGGACATACGCGATTGAATGGGACTCCACACCACCCCGACAGACGGTCGACAACTTCTTCACACCAACATCCACATCGCTCAGGCTTTGCGGGACCCCACTTGAGGTGTACGTCGGAGTGAGTGACGGTAGCCAGAAGTCAGGCAGTTTGTGCTTCAGGGCTTCAGCTTGTTCGCGCTCTATCTGCTTCAAGGCGGCTTCTTCAGCCTCTTGGGCAAACTTTTGAACCGTGTCGGTGGAGAATGAAAAGGGTGTAATTTTGGACGTAGACTCGGAGGCGGCGTCAGACCCGGGCGGCGTTTTTCGCTTGGTTCCGCGAGCTAGATTCGTCGTTGAAGAAGTAGCATCGAATGGGAGAGACGATACTCACGTTCGTCGGTTTTCGACTCTGCTTTACTGCTCGAACTGGCAACGGAACCTCCAGCAAGCCCAAGCTGACCCCTTTCAAACTCCTTCAACACCCTCTCTCTCGCCGCCTCTCGTGCACGAGAACGTTCCTCTTCAGCTTCTTTCTTCAAGGCTTCGAGGCGGTCCTTCTGGCGCTTGATGTCTTTCTTCTGTGTTACTTGAGTTGATACATTTTCAGTCGACCTATGCACATAACCGAAGAGCCACTCACATAGATCCGTGTATACACACTCTTTGCAGAAAAGATGGCCGTCGGTGCAAGCCAATGGCTCGCGAGCACGGTTTAAGCAAAGTGCGCATGCATCAAAACGTCTCATCGATTCATTTCCGAGACGTTGCTAGCGAAATAAAGACGCAAATCAATGCCGGCACGACCAGAACTCGGGATCGAAATGTACCCTCCTCGTTCCATAATCCAACTTCTTGTATTCTGCATAGCTGAAGATTGACGACGCGGTGTTATTCTTGCTATGCTTCGTCATTGTTACCTTCCCTGTGCAATAATTTCCAAATAGCGTTTGTGGTGCCCGTCGGCGTGGAGGGTAATACTTGGTTGAGGTGGAGAACAGCGCGAGTAGCTTGATTGTCCAGGATTGGTCCACCTTCTCGGCCCGAATTACCCGGCCCCGCCACAATTTTCAGACTTGTGAGCTTGAAAGTCGGTTGTCACCTAACCACACATTTCGTTCGCTGGCATATTCCTCGGCCTAGATGACAAGAAAACGGGAAGAATTATTGATGTTCTATATATAGGTGTACCCAAACAATGGCATCGGAAGACCTTGACAATTGTACTCGAAGAATCAACTTTCAAAGTCTGCCATGCAACCAACCCAAAGCTGCTTGCGGGCGGGAGGGACCAAGCACTCCTCCTTTTTTGGTGAGGCGGGACGACAACAAGGCATCACCGATATCCAAGCGCTCTTTGCCCATTCCGGCCATTCGAGCCCAGATGTACAAGCACTTTGTGGCCTATAAATCCGGGCCTTTGGGCGTACGCGCAACGCACCCTGTGGCCCGTGGCTTTATTCGTCCATTTGCCACTACCATCTGTCTCTCTCTACCTCATCCAACATCATGGCGACTAATCTCCAAAGCACCAGACGCACGGCCACCTCCCACAGCTCACTTACTGCGCCAATCTTCGCTCTTCCAGTCGAACTTCTCTTTGTAATATTCTTAGCTGTTGTTAGCGACGACGACGACAACGACGACCCCTTCGCTGACAAGGAACGGCCCAGAGAATGGCGCGACCTTGTTTCCGTCTCTCGAGTTTGCCAGCATTGGCGATCCGTCACCCTTCAAGGCGCTTCCGACCTCTGGGGGATGGTACTGGGTTTATGCTTGAGCAGCGGAGAAACTAGCACTAGAAGGAACAATCTCGTCATGGACGAGCTTCTGCGCCGGACCGACAACGCGCCATTGTCAATCAAAATCTCCCTTCCTTTCGAGAACAGAGACCCGCTCTTGCTCTCTCGTCCTGCATGGAGGAACACGCTCCAGAACGCCTCCCGGTTCCGTGCCTTTCACTTCAGCTTCAACTCTCCGATAAAAATCGAGCCTCTCATCGCGGATTTCTTCACAAGGCCAGCCCCTCTTCTCGAAGAATTTTCATGGAAGGTCGGTCCTACGTATACCCACCTTCTCCGTCACTTGCCACAAGAACCGCTGTTCGCCGGGGACGCGCCTAATCTGCGCCGTGTGACGATAGACGGTGCTCGCTTTTCGCTGGAGATGTTCAGTGGGCTCAATCTGACGCATTTGCACGTCACGCGCAACATCACCTACCGAGCCCCCTGCGTCTCTAAATGGATCGAATTACTCAGGGAACAACCAAGCCTAGAAGAGCTCACTCTGAAGCAATGTGTGGTCGACGACGACGACTCTGAAATCACATCGACCAAGGCCCGGCTACCCCGCTTGCGCTCCTTCGTCTTGGCCCAGGCCACTGCTTGCTGTATCCAGCTTTTGGACCGTCTCGAGCTTCCGTCCCTCAACCACCTGGAAGTTGTAGCATCCTCAATTTATCCAAGCGCCCAAATGGATGCCCTAACGGACGTCCTGTCAAAGCATCTCGCAAGCGAGCGATGGGCGCTGAAGCCGTTCTCCCGCTTGACGATGGCGATTGACTCATCCTGGCCATCCGTCCAGATTGACGCCCACGACGCACACAAGACGAAGACCCTCTCTATCTGTTATTGTTGCACCTTCCTCTCAAGCTCCGGGCTGGTGCCCGCTGTGGAGGGAGTCGCGTACGACCCCGACGGTGACGATATCTCTGAGAGAGGAGCCTTTACAGATAGTACGGACGACGAGAACGACCAGACTGCTTTCTGGGTTGACGAGCTGAATGGTGTCACGGATAGGGGAGAGTTGAAGCTGGACGCTGGATATGCAACGCCCGAAGAGGCTCCAGGCGCGGAGATCTTCCGCGACACCATAGCAAACCTTTTCAACAAGATGAGCAATTTTGGGCTCCTCAGCAAATGTACCAATCTTGCTTTGGACATCCGCCGCTCGCCCCCGCAACTCATGCCGTTGATCCGCGACTGTCTTCAGTCCCTCGACGCGGTTAGTGAGGTCGAAATCTCGCTGAGGTCGCCTGTTAACGACGTGATTCGGCTTTTCAACGAATGTCCAGGCTCGGTTCGACAAATACAGCCGAATGCTATTGATGGACATCTCCGGCCGTCAGCGCTAGATGATGCCCCTACTGTGTATTTGAAAGTCGTATAGTGCTCTATAATGCTCCTGATTCTGGTGAACGTCCTGCATAAATTTGACTCGAGCACAGATGCTGTGACAACCCACTCAGATTCGAATTTCCCAGTTGAAACATTAGCCACTTGTAACAACTCTCTACAAATTACCTATATCTAGTTTTGGTTGATTATCCTCCAATAGTTCGGCCCCGTTTCTTATTAAAAAAAAACACCAATTGAATGTCTTTGCTTGAATCTACGTCGGTAGTTAAGCGCCCATGGTGCTAACATTGCCGAGGAAGATTACTATGTGAAGAGTCCGTCCGATGCACGATGCACGCATCAGAGATGCAGGGGAAGGTTCTTTATAACCTCCAGGGACACGCCGACAAGCCTGTTGTATTCAAAGGCGTTTCCCGTTTATACTCAGTGGCAGAAAGAAGAAGGTAAGAGGACAGGTGTCCTTCTACGTACACCCACCTCCGTACGCTGAACCTTTGCCTTCCAAGCTCCTTTCCATTCGCGCAACCATACACCGGGGCCGCTTTACCTTTGAGAACGACCGAACCGCCCTCACTCTACAGCTGACTCGAATGTTCCGCATTCCTCTGTATCTACACTCAATCTCAAAACCGGCGCACGTTGTGCTCGCTATACGCTATCTCGCATATAAGATTCTCTTTCACTGCATACGGCTGATTGTTCTGTTTCCAGGTCTCGTTTTCCCGTCTCGTTACGACGTGGAACATTTCTGGCAACGATCCACACCACCATCTATATATTGCTCGATCGACCTACATGATTTCAGCTTCCTGGGTCCCCCGTGGGCCCCTTCTCGATTTATTTGACTTCAAATTCGAATATCTCACTCTGGACCCTTACTCCTCTGATTCCCCCTTTTCTTGCGCCTCCGAGCCACCCCTAGCGCCTGCTTCTCATGTTCATTCGCGGTGATCCTACACCTCTAGTTTGACACAAAAATTGCCCATTAGAAAAAGGTGCAAGATAATAGCGCCAAGCAAGATCAGATTAGAGCTGTGCACGGGACCCTACATTCCAATTTCAACCCAGCCCTCTTCATCCACACCCTCGTAGCCATGAACGTTCTCGTATACTCAGGCCCCGAAATCCTTCCGATCTCCCTGAAACACACTTTATCAACGCTTAAAAGCCTCCTCCTACCCAATTTCACACTTCAATCCATCACCCAGCGAGCTCTGACAAGCCAGCCATGGCAGGCGTCCTGCGCGCTCTTGGTCGTGCCTCAAAGCCGAGATCCTTTCGTTTCTACAGCCAGCAAGACAATCAAAGCCTTCGTGGAGGCAGGAGGGGCATGTTTGATGCTTGGAGCAGGCGCTTCGGCAACATCGCGCTCTGCGAGGTTCGGACTGGGAGCAAGGGGACTCACTTTCGGGTTGGAGACACAGGAGGAGCCTGCAGAGCCGCTCAGGTTCTACGATAAGTTGAACAATTGCGATATCTCCTGTGACGTGGACAGAGAGGAAAACACTCAGCCAGGTTTGCGATCTGTCAGATCTTGTGGTGAGGGCAAGGTTTACAGCAGTGGTACGGGACGCTTCACTGGCTTCGAAGATCACAAGGGGAAATCAATCCTTGCGAAGTACGAGGACGGCTCTATTGCAGGACTTGCTGTCGACGCTGGGGCCGGGAAGATAGCTCTCTGGACCGCCAGTATCGAGTACCCTTTGACCGAAGAACCTGCCTCCTCGATCCCCACCTCTCAGGACACGACCGCATCCGAGAAGTTACGAAAGGAACTATTGCAAACCTCGCTACTACAGCTGGGCCTGCAATCACCACCTGATGAGGACAACAAGCTCTCCATTTTGCGTCCTCTGCCTCAATTCCTCACCTCCACTCCGAGCAAGCGCACGATCGTATCTCAAATCACGAACGCCATCGCGGCACCGCAGTTGGGGTCGCAGCTCAGCGTATTAAAGGATGCCAACGATGAATTCCTCTTCCATGCCTTGCAAGAAGGCATGGGTCTGATGACAACAGCAAGAGAGGACGCAAAATCATCGAGCGATCCATCAACATGGCAACCCAAGCACATTATCGTCTGTCAAGATGGCGAGCTACCTAGTCGCGAACTGACGCCTCTCTTCGATCTGGCACTATTCTACAGCACTCTCGCTGAGGCACGCAAGCGGGAGGACCTTTTGTCGACGGAGCCCTGGGGAACTGGTGAGGCAGTGCTGTACGGCGAAGCGGTGACGAGCACGCAGACCATGCTGGACAAGTGCGGCGCTCCTCGCTCTTCTCCTCATGCCAAGCTGATCCTGGACCAGGAACCCGGTGCTCCTCAGTCAGCTGCCCACCCCGCTCCTCTCTCTTGCTTCATATCAGCTCGCAGGCAGAGGGAGAGGATCTAATGTCTGGCTCTCGCCCTCTGGCTGTCTTCAGTTCTCCATCCTCCAGCGTGTGTCACTGTCTGGACCCGCGGCTTTCCCTCCAGCGAAGATAGTCTTTGTACAGTACCTCTTCGCACTGGCTGTAGTGGAGGCGTGCCGTGATGAAGCAGTTCTCGGACCCCGTGTGGGTGAGAGGATACGCGTAAAATGGCCGAACGACCTGTACGCGCAGGTGAGTGATGATGGGGAGGTTAGAAAGGTCGGGGGCGTGCTTGTGAATACGAGTTTCTCGGGAGGAAAGGTCGATATTGTGATTGGTAGGCATTCAAATTGGGAGTGTCGATCTAGACTGAGAGCACGTAGGATGCGGCCTGAACGTGCTTAACCAACCGCCGATTACATCGTTGGCACAACTTCATCCTGGTGCGAAAGAGAAGTTGAGCATCGAGAAGACGGCAGCCGTGATCATGGCGAAGTTCGAGTCGATGTGGAATGTCTTCCTCCGGGAATGTTCGTTCGAGCCGCTGCTCGATCTCTATCTGAAGCGGTGGCTACATTCGTAAGTAACATGCTTGCACTTAGTCGAAATCTCACATCTTTTCAGAGACCAAGTCGTCACTTTGACCACGACAACCCCTCATATCAAGGTCCGAATTACGGGCATTACTCTGGATTACGGCCTATTGAGGACGATTCCAGAGAGGACGGGGCTGGGAAGAGGAGCATCGGAAGGAGAGTTCATCGACTTGCAGCCAGATGGAAACAGCTTCGACCTCATGGCGAATCTCATAAAGTTGAAGAGTTGAATAATTGGAGTGTGTTTAATGTCGTGGTGGTACAAATGCAGGAACCTAAGCCAAAAAGAAAGAGAGAAAATAATATCAAAGCACTTCAATCCGTATTCTCTAGAAACCCGACCCCACTTGCCCGGATCTTCCCAAGGATGGCGTCGTACCATCTCTGGATGATGCTCATAGGCACAAGGACCTCCGGGCCAACCCCACCGCCCATGAATCCGCTAAGGTAGTTGAGCAGGTTCTTCACGATACGTTCTGCCAATATCGTCGCGTCTGGGGCGTTGCCGTTGGCCCTGACGAGGGCGACAGAACTTGACTGAAGCGACTGGAGCTGTGCTTGGATCTGGTCGAGGGGTTCGATGGAGATGCCGAGGATCGCTGTTACGTCTTGACCTTGCTGGTCTTGGGAGAAGGTGGAAAAACGATCCTGTGCGGCAGAGGCGGAAGCGACGTTGAACGCCCCTCGGAGGCGGAAGATGGCGGAAGGCTTTTCGTTAGAGATCCTGCGATGATGAACATGTAAGAATGTCAACAGACAGAGTTGCGATAGTGCCACTCACATGCCCAGAAGTTGGAAACCTTTCCCTGGCCAGTAGAAGTGCACTGCCGCCCCAAATCCGTCAGGGAATGGTACTGCAACCCAAGTCATTACGGATTCCCAATGAAAGAAGCGAAGAACGCACCTGTGCCAACAAGGAATACGCAGACGTGGTTGATCGTGCTCGCGTTAGGCAGCTCGAAGTAGGCATGCGTCTCATCGACCTGGACAATATTCGTCTGGAGAAGACGGCCAGCTACGCAGCAACCAAACATCTTGAGGATAGAGACGAGTTTTAGCCGTGGTGACTGAAGAATTGGACGTAAGATCTCAAGGTCGCCTTCTACGTTGAAGGCCGAAAGAGGTCGGTCAGACGCGAAGATGGGAATGAGGGACCGTAGTCGGGGTCGGAGGCGTGAAGTTTAGATGGTGCTGGTCGTCTTGGCTGCGGTCTCGACACTGACAGTTGTGGACAATTCAAGAACATGGTCGAACGTGGTGGAAGTTTCACCTTGGCCAATGACCACCACAATCCTACCACGTCACATCTTCGAAATGCTTCGTCTTCGTTGTAAAGGGAAATGGCTACACGAAGATCGATGATTGCAGAGAAGACGCAGAGTAAAAGTAACCGGCGCACCGTCGCCAAGAGACCTATAAGTCCGACTGCGATTGATTAGCCTTTGTTCCGCAGACAAATCGAAGTTGGAACGCGATTCAGCAAGTCTTTCGCTTGAACTGTACACCCTGATGTTCAAAGATATTCTCAACAATCCTCAGATGACGTCCTTCCTGGCCAGCTGACTACTCCTGCTTCTCATACCCGCATTTCCAGGCGTTCTCAGGTTGCAATTATAAAGGGACAGGCACGGCACTTCCCTGTCTTGTTTCTGAACCACCACCACGCCTGCTATCCAGACTTCAGATTTGCAACTCACCTTATGCTGGGCTTCCTGAACCATCCGCTGACGGCTTTTACATGCGCCTATATCATCTACTACCTGATGAAGTGGTATCGCCTTCGCAAGTTGATGCCTCCCGGACCACTAGGTCTTCCTTTCATAGGCAATAAGCACGAACTCCCAGCTATCAAGCCCTGGAAGAAGTTCGCCGAGCTAAATAAACGATATGGTGAGCTCTTGCCCTATCACCTTTCCCGTACAGCTCAAAAGATCACCTCTTTTAGGACCTGTAACCTCGATCTTCTTGGGAGACACCCCTGTTATCAGTGCGCCCTACCATCCTCATCGTGGTGTGGGCATGTTTCTAATTTTTTCCAATTGCATAAATAGTTTGTGGGACGGCACAACCGGCATGGGATCTCCTGGAGAAGCGGTCCGACATTTATTCGAGTCGCCCGAGATTTGTTGTCGCGTGAGTTTTTCAAGCTCGAGCGAAGATATCTTCAATTAATCAGCGCGTCGAAAGTGGAGAAATTCTCTCGAGTAACCTGCGCGGCCTCATGCTACCGAACAACGAGTCCTGGAGAAAGTGGCGAAAGGTCAGTATTGCCCCTGGTTTCAATACCTTCTCTAAAGCGTCTTTAGGTCCTCCATTCAGGCTTTCACTCAAGGCAGGCGGAGACATATAAGGATATCCAATCTCTCGAGTCGAAAGTTTTGATCAAGCAAATTCTTGACGACCCGAAAGGCTACGAACGGCATATCCAGAGGTATCGATAAAGACCGTTGGTAAAATAGTTCATTTCACCAGCACCCTACGTAGATTCGCCGCAAGTGTAGCTGTCTCCGTCACCTACGGGAAAAGGATCAACAGCGTCGACGAGTGGGTTGTGAAAGAGAATATGGACGCCATGGATTGTATGTCTTCACTCGCAAAATCCAGGAATATTCAATTCTGACACGTTGCGCAGATCTCATCAGGTATTCATCAAAAAAATTCGGTTCATTCTTGTCTCATTGGCTTCTTTGTACTTTCTAGTGTCAAGTAAGTCCCGGTGCATTTTTTTGACTCCGTGCTGAAATATCCTTCGTAAAGCATCCCTGGAAAATACCTAGTCGAATCCTGGCCATGGCTTCTCAAGCTCCCTGTTAGTATCATTCTTCTCTCATCTCTTCGGGCTTCCATTAACTTGAGGGATTCTTCTAGCGGTCACTCCAATGGTTCCGACGAGAGCCAGAAGAACGCAGAAAACGGGACATTCGATTCCTCACGGTCCTCTACGATGAAGTCAAGTCGCGGATGACGAAAGGGACGATCCCCGACTGCCTCACTTCGCAATGTATCACCAACATTAAGCAGTTGGGCATGAGCGATTTGGAGCTCGCGTATGCGGTTTCTAGTCCGTTCGGAGCAGGTATCGAGACGGCAGGTGCATTTCCATCCTCCAATAACACCTGTGCTGAGGTTATTCCCTCAGACCTCTGGCACGAGTACATCGTTTGTTCGTACGTCACCTTCACTCGACAGGTAGTATGCCTTCTGAGTTGCTTCCTCCAGTGGCCATGCTGCATTTCCCGGAGGTCCAGACGAAAGCGCAAGTCGAGCTGGATGCCGTTGTTGGTCAAGATCGCATGCCTGAATACGAAGATCAATCCAGCCTTCCCTACATTCGCGCGGTGATCAATGAAGCCTTGAGGTAACGTTCACTCGTTTTTATAGAACCTAGCTGCCTGATGTAACCTGAAAAAAGGTGGCGACCCGTTGCTATTCTTGGAGGAACTCCTCACGCAAGCACTGTAGACGATGTGTATAACGGGATGTTCATCCCGAAAGGCTCGACCATTTTTGCGAACTTCTAGTGCGTATTCAACCCAGTCCTCGCGGAGTCTATCTCTTATACAAGTATTTATTTCAGCGGCATCATGAGAGACCCAGGTACCCAACAAATATCATTCAGCGATTGGCTCGAATCAATGTTGTTGTCTATCGTGTAGAAATGTTCCCAGAACCCGAGCGTTTCCGACCAGAACGCTTCGTCGAGACCACCAGTCCGCGCCTGCTGCAGTTCGATCTCCCGTTCGGATTCGGCCGCAGATCATGTCCAGGCATACACCTCGCCTTGAACTCTCTCTTTATCAACTTTGCTCGCATGCTGTGGGCCTTCGATATCAAGCCAGCGCTGGATCAAGATGGAAAAGAGATCATGCCGGGTGCGTCTAATCCCTTCAGGTCGCATGGGAATATACATCGACTCATATCAAATGCTTAGATTCCGAGAATTATACCAACGGATTCAACTCTCGCCCCGTAAGCTTCGATTGTCGCTTTATTCCAAGAAGTAGCAAGATCGTAGCTTGTATCGAGGCAGAATACCAACATGCGAAACCTCAGCTGGATCGATGGGAGGAGTGATGCTTTGTCGTACGCCCATCAAAGCAAAGTTCCTGCGCAAATGCATTTTCTCTATATTCACCTCTCTACTCATATAAGTTGTGTTTCTGTCAGATTACGCTCAGGTGAATAGATATTTTGTCTCAGCAAGAGAGAGCCGGCTACTCTGGCCCCTGTTCCGGGCCAAGGGCCACAATTGCGGACACGTGATCCGTCGCGTAAGGACGTCCGAAAATCAGGGGTGGCTCAGGAAACTCTTAAGTCTTGACCACAACCATCTACGTACCCCCTCTGGAGTCTGCGTCATTTCTGGAGGTCTCTTTTCATCACAGGTAAATTAAACCTTTTAGTTTGTTAGCAGCAGCAGAATAATTGAGGGCCCCACTTAGCAGTCTTGAAATGTCGCGAACACCTTCATCGTCGCGACCGTTGATGAGCTGGACTGCTCCCTGACCCCGGTAAATCCCTTTTTTTCGACCTTTGTCATCACATTCCCGTCGTTCCCTCGATCCCCGACACCTTTCCCGTTGTGCCATATGATTCCTCGACACACCCGGAGATCCTCAGTCAGCAAAAGCATCCGTCCCGTGACCGGCACCGCCTCTTTCCCTCTCTTTCCCGTTTCACCGAGACGCTCGGCGCGCCACCCTTTCCTTGTTAGGTAGCCTTTTCCCCCATCAACGCAGTTGCCGCCTCGCCGCCTCTCCCCTATTCCATTCCTGTTTCATTCTTATCTGAAATTTTCTGTTTTTCTTTCTTCCTTCACCCACGGCTCAGATATCTTCCTTGCCGGGCTCTTCTTTCTTCATAGATATAATCCATGTCTACACACTCACACAATATAGAGAATTTAGTTCGTTTTTCCGTCTCTCACCTCCCTCGTTCCTCGCTCTCTCACTCGTATTCCGGAGGCGCCGTTGCCTCATTCGTCCCGTTCCCACGCTTAGCGCCCGCATTCGCCATCCGTCTTCGAGTCGCGCGCGCCCACTGGTTAGAGCCGCACAACCACGGAACTGTCCTCGCACCTCAGAGCCACTCATTGCGGTGTTTTGGGTGTGTGTTTGTCATTCATTATTCGCACGATCACCCCACCGTAGGCACATCACCGTCTGCAACTCGGCCTCGTCGGTCGTGCCCTTCAACTCTACTTGTGGACTATCTCAATTCCAGTGGCAAATGGGGTGTAGATGGCATAGTCCCTTTGCCTGTTATCAAGTCTGAACAACGGCTGCGCAGAGCAAGGAACAGCGTAAAGCGATCGAAGGACAACAATGACGTCCTGGAGTTCATTGGCGACAGGGTCAACAACCTGGCGTGTACGCTGATGGTGGAGAAGGTGAAATTGAGCTCGGAACATCATAAGGTATGTCCTTGCCCTGTACTTATCTTGTCGCTCTATACTAATTCGGTGCTAGGCCGTTGGTCGCGTGCTTTGCAACAACGACACCCTCGGGAGGATCGCCTACCAGCTTGGCATGCACGAGGAGGCGATATTCGGTCATCACGACGAGAAAGAGGTGAAGGCGTGGCTACCAACCACCAAGGTGTCCCCACCGAAAGCACTTGCAGATCTCTTTGAAGCCTACGTTGGAGCAGTCTACGAGGAACAAGGTTGGGAAATTGTCATAAAGTGGTTGACAGCATTCTACAAACCTCTCATTGACTTGGCGACGGAGGATTTCCTCAGCCGCCCTGATCCCACGCGCCCCATACCCGATAGGCCCAGTGAGGAACTGCCTGAGGAGATCGTCATGTATCAAGGCAAACTTTTGGATTACCTCGAGTTCAAGAGAGCTAGTCTTGTTGAGAGTGGCCAGCAGGCTATCAACGCCCTCCCGTCTAGCATACAATTCTTCTTCGGCGCCGACGGAAACCTGATGAACGATGCGGACAGAGCTGAAGTCGCTAATAATCTCATAAATTTTTGGATTTGTAAATCTTTCATGCGCGTGTACCCTCAGCTACTACAGGCGAGCTATAAGGGTGCACATCTGGTCACGGTAGGTTCCTCATTGCCTGTCTGAAGTTCGTATCTTACACAACGTAGTGGATAACCCGTCTGGTTACAAGTGACGAAACTATTGGCTATCTTGGCTATCTTCTGTCGCTTTCTGGTTTCTTCGACCCAGAAGACCCAGACTATCAATCCACTCGTCGCTTCACAATCACTCAAGACATGGCATATCGGAAGAAACTTTCTTCTTCCATGAAGGCCATTGTAGGGTGGTACTACCTCAACGACAGCGCCAGCGCAAAGAAGTGGGGTGAGAAGTGGTTCAAATTCATAGTCCTGCGTGCACACGACATTATCGCTGAAGATCCAAGGTGAGTCGCATTCTCTTGGCGGCATGAACTCTTGCGTTAACTCCTCACTATCCAGCTATAAACTATCGCTTCCAGAAAGCGCGCTTGACACTTACTCCATCCATGCGGCCGCTGTTGCCGCTTCGGAACGGAAATTGCACTACACGCCAATATCCGTCACGGACCTTACTCGTGATCTGGAGAATATCTCGCTTTCCCACAACCGGTGCGAAGAACCTACAGACGAGAGTGAAGAACCCGAGAACATCATCCTTGTCGCTAGGGTCGAAGACAAGAGCTTGAACAAATTCCGACCGCTTCCCAAAGTCTCTCGCAAGCCTAAACGTTCAGAAGCGAGCGAGTTCAACTCGCGGAAGGCTGACACTACAACAGCCTCAGCTTTGATCATCAAGAAAGTGTCTGCACAGGAATCGACAAAGGATTCATTGTTGCATGTCAATGTCGAGAAAAAGCTACAGGTGCCGACAATGTCTACGGAGCAAAGTCTCATCTCGGCGTTCAAAGACATCAAGATCGGCGGGGTGACAGATGACATAAAAGCGCCACCGAAAAAGGCAAATGCGCCACCGAAACTGGTCATCAGCCCAGAGACTGTTTCTCGCCTGGGTCAGGGCCAGTAGGGAGCCTAGTAGCATCTAGAGATGTCATCATTCATTTGTGTTTGTCCATTCATGTCACGAGATGTATCATAATCAGACCGAAATACAATTTACATTGAACGTACTACAAAATAGACGAGATATGACTATACGAATCCTAAGTAAATAGGACATGCAATCACGGAGTCGACAATAGGAGCACATGAGATAGTAAAAACAAGAAGGATATAGCAAACAAGCCACATATAGTACAAGGAGATGTGAAAAATAACGCACACAAAAATTATGAAGCAACCAAAAAAACCCGACGCGGGGCTCAGAGGTAGAACATCGTATTCTTCAACATGTTTCCAACTCCATTGTTCCACAACTGCTCTGCCTCGCGCTTGATGTTCTCCTCATTGCCACTCGCGGCCGACCCAGCGCTGCTGCTGATTCCTTGCAAAAGTTTATGCAAGTAGCAGCGGCCGCGCTCGCACGCGAGGTCGGCGTAGTACGCCGGAGAGACAAGACTGACAGCCTTGGTGGCACGAGCGAACATGTAGCTGACGGCGTTGGTGAGCGTCTGGAGCTCGTCAGCTTTGAAGTTGATCTCGTCGTGCACGACGTAGTAGTGAGTGGGGCGCGTGGTACCCTGAAGACCGCCATGGGCTAGAAAAGTAAGGACTAGAAAAGAAGAGTAGGGGGACGGTTAAGATTTACCTTGCAAGAAGAAGTCGAAATTGTAAACAGCTGTGACACCGCGATCGACGACGGTGCCTGGACGAGGGTTGCCGTTGTTGTCCCCATCTTGCTCCGCTGTGGGATAGAAGCGCGTGTGATGGCGCTTGCCCTATAGAGCGATATGAGTATCCTGTTGTTCATTCAATTAAGGTGGAGGAATAAACATACACAAATGACAATGGTCAATTTGGGCGTGTAAGGCTTCTGCGCGGTGTCGAACTTCCTGAAGGCGAGTTTCATGGCAGGCAGTTCTTCCTCAACAACGGTGTTGAATTGACCCTACAAGACGATTGGTACCCCGAAGTAGAAATCATCGTGTGGAGACTCACCTCGGATACGCCGTCGCGGTAGACGAGGATACGGTCTGGAAGGACCTTGTTCCTTGTCTTGAAGAGAGTGAGGCGCTCCCACATCATCTTCGCCAAGTTCGTGACCATCTACATAGCTTGAATTAGGGCCTCTGCGATCTCGACTTGAACTTCTAAAACAGACCTCTTTCTTGGATTCCTGAATCTCCATGCTAGCGGGGTACTGGGCGAACTCAGGTTCGCAACTGGCCACGACGGCGGCGATCGAAGGTGTGCCCTTGACGCTTCCTGGACCAGGATGCGTGACATCAATGCCAACGAGCATCGTCGGGGATTTCTTGAGCCAGGTCATGTTGCGTGGGTCGAGGGCATGGCTAATTATAGGCGGTTTGGAATAGTTCAATTATTGTGGAAAAACCAAAACTTACTTGACTCCGCCGAGCTTCATATTGAACTTGAGTGCCACATTGGCGAAGTATTGCAGCTGCCCTTTCTCCTTGCGGATCTTGGCAGAATGTACGCAGACGGTGGCTAAACGAAGGAACGTGAGCACTGAGAAAAATCCTCGAACGGGGCGATGACTTACGGATATCAAGGTAACAGTCACAAAGATGCTTTAAACCCGAGTACACGTGCTTGTCCCCGTTCGAGAGGAGGACCAAGACCATTGAAGGCTTTGCGGGGAGGGTCCTCAACGCATTCCTGATCACATCGATGGCTTGCGCCCTCGTGGGGTCGGTGTGGGTCTTCGGCGGTAGCTTCGCAGCGATAATTTTCGGATCGGCCTGTTCAACGCCCATACCACTCTGCCGGCACATCTGGGCGAAGCCTTGGTACGTCTGCTTTAGCCCGGGGTCGGTCGGGCTGGAGAACTCGTCTCGCGAGTTGCCGTCGAGGATGACGAGCACCGCCCACTTCTCGAGGCGGGCACCCTTTGCAAACTTGACGTTGCGAAGGTTCCAGCTCGCCTTTTCGTCGACGGAAGGCGTTCCTTGGCCATACTTGATACCTGGGGGCGGAAGGATGCGTCCTGGGACGACCGTCATTTGGTTCCCGATGCTGACACCGAAGGCGTTTAGCTGTGGGGAGGCGTTGGGACGGAAACCCAGCTGATCGAGGCCGCTTCCGGCGATGCTGGCAGCGTTGATGTTGGGCGGCTTCGCCGCGACAGTGATCATGTTAGCAGTGTGCTCATCTGTGAGCTTTCCGCGGAAAGGCTGGTTTGGAAGGATTTCGCATAGCTCGGGCGGCAAAAGGTTGGCCTTCTGGCCACCAACATCGACGAGCTGCATCTCCGGATGGCGCAAAGTGATCTTGTATTCTGCGGGGGGTTAAGTGATGGGAATAAAAACAACGCCGGCAACTGACTGAGTTTGAAGTATTCCTCAACGGTGACTTCTCGTCCTCCGTACTCGTCCGCCTTGAACTTGTGCTGGCGGGCTGTCAAGTTCGACATTTTCTTGACGGTCTTTTTGTATCCAAGGTGAGTGGTTTTAACTCTGACACCGCGCACAAACGCGGCTGGCCTCGCACCGAAACTGGACGAGGCGAACTCCTGCATGGCGGCGACCAAGCTCCCGGGCTTGTAGAAAGCGGTGGTGCAAACTGGACGTGCGAGCATGAGAGAGACGAAGGGCAGATAACAGAAAAGCACAAACCATTGACGTTGACCATCAGCTGATTGTGCGAAGGCCGAACAGAAGAGTAAAATCCCTTCCAGGCCTCGAGGCCACCTCCCAGATTCACTGGCTGCATGGCGGTAGCAAAGAAGAAACGGTTGCGTCCAACCATCACGCCACCACCTCCAGAACGATTGGGATGAGCGGCAAGAATGACGTTCAGGGCAGAGATCACGGGCATTATGTCGTAGTCACGGTATTGGGGTTGGCCGGCCATGTACCTGAGAATCATTCAAGGTCAAAAACAGAGCAAGGGAAAACAAGAGCTTACTTGACCAAAGCTGAGGTGTCGATGGGTTGGACATAGGTGACTGTCAGGGTGTATTCCTTCCCATTAGGTTGAGGACCAGCCTCATCTTCGTCGTAGAATGGAACCTTGATAGACAGAGGCTGAGGGAGTTGTCTAGCCGCAATCAGCTTCGAGGAGTGGTCATGCGCGACGACGCCAACTAATCCAGCAGCCTGCCAGTCAGGCGACTGTTCTGCAAGCTGGAAAATGCGCCGCTTGACTCTGCGAATAGCGGTGCCCGCCGTCGGGGAAATGGTCACATCGTACTCATGCAAAGGCCCCTTTGGGACTTTGACTGGGAAGAAATTGGCTCGAAGCTTGATCGGCCTTCCTTCAGTCCCGAAGCCAGGCCGGACAGGGATTTCGTTGGGTTTAAGCTTGAGAGTTTGAAGAGATGCCACTAAAGCGTCTTGCGTATTGTCTGTGAGGCGGGCGTCGATATTGGCGGGGCCGCTTTGGAAGATACTGATCAAGAGAGCGATCAACGTTCGCGACAGCAGAGACGCGTTTTGGCTTACCCTCCTTGCTCGCGCGGTCCGCCACCACGCCCGCCACCGAAGCCACCACGAGGTGGTGGGCCACCTCCACGCCCGCCACCGCGACCTCCTCTAATGTCAGGGCTGCCACGACCGCCTGGAGAGCTACCACGGGCTCCACCGCCGCGTCCTCTCTCATAGCCACCTCGATAAGCCATTCCAGGAAAGTTAGTGTGTCGTAAGGCGAGTTTGTGTTCGAGTGTTTGAGCGGTTTCCGCTTTCGTAAATGCAAGCTTTGGAGAAAAGGAGATGTATGAGGGAGATAGGCTAAGTAGTGCTTGTCGAGATGATAATGTTACCTGGGGGAACAAGTTCAACAGAAGGATGAACGATGTTCCCGGAGGGAACAAGTCAAAAGCTGGGCAAGGAACTGGAGAGACACGCGTCCAACCCCTCCCTTTTGTATCCGCCTGTGCCAAACATGGACCAACACACCCTACACAACCCGGCCCCGCAATGTACCCCAACGCATCAAACAAAGCACACTATGAGTCATCCGCTCAGCGCTGGGGATTTACTGCGGTGAAACGATAGATAGACGCTTGGTCTGTTCTCGAGCTTCCATTTCACGAAGGATCTGGTTCTGCACTATCAACAAAAGCGCGTATAGGGTTTCCACGCGCTAAACGGCAGGCTCATTTACTCAGTCCGCAGCCGTAAACGAGGCCACTCACCGGAAGCTCAAGGTTACGCTCTCTCGCCATCCTCACGACTTCACCCAGGATAACCTCTACCTCAATCGGCTGCCCCTTCCGGGCGTCGAGCAGCATGCTGGGGACGTGGTTGCTGTTTGGCTTGGTGTGCAACGCCCGCGTTGATTCCAGAACACTGGTGACAGCAGACGAAGGAAGGCCTTCTGGCGTGTCAGGAAAGCCGAGCGCCCGGCCTGCACACCTGGTGGTTAAAATAAGATCCAAAGCCTCATTGCAGGTTCCATACCAAGGATCAGGAGCTCGTCAAGTGTCGCCTTGATCGCAGGGATCGTGTACGCCGAGATAAGGTCTGCGGTTGCAGGCGATACGTACGGCTGATATGAGACAGAGGAAACTTCGGGTGGTTGACGAAAGATGGCCGGTAGAGTATACCTTGATGCACGGAGTCTTAACTAATCCCAAGGCTGTTCAATGAGAACATACGTACCGAGTTAGGGTTGAAAACGACGAGAAGCCAACGTTCCAGAAGTTCTTCGCAAACTTCATCCGCTGGATTTCGGGGACAATGAGCACCGTGCTCCCTCCTGCCTCCAGTATTTTACCCAAATCATTTAGCAATGCTGTCTCCTGTGGAGAATTTACCGTCGTCGTAAAGTCGTTATGACGATAAGCACCCAACGTCACGCGGTCCTACCAGACGATGAACGACAAAAATGAGGAAAAGTGTCCGTACTCACAAAATCATTATGCTCCACCACATTGGGCGCTTTGAGATTTGTACCGATCCAGACCGCGGTACTGACCAGGCTCGGATCTCCCTTCCCAAGCGTTTTAACCGCATTGTACAGATCGACCTCCACGTTCAGCCCATTCTGCATCAGGACGTACGTAGGCTGCCCAAATCTCTCCGCATAGTCCGCAGAAAGCAAGGGAGAGAGCACTTTTGTGGTTTTTATGACATCGGGTAGCGCCTTGGTCGTCAGCAGGACGAACGAGTATGGTCTATCAGCAGCTTCTAAGACTGATCGGCACACTGAAAGGGATCGCAATCAGCACCGTGTAATCAAAGAATGAGGGGCTACAGACGGCGATCGGGTCGCCAGCCCTTGATATCTCCGTATTTGCGGCTCTCAATATGAAGGCCCTCGTCTGGAATAACGAAGTCAATAAGGGATTTTCCGTTATGGCGCATACCTATATACCTTTCACGATATCATAATTGCTCCTGGCAACTGCGGTTACGCGGGCGAGACCGCTCCTCTTGAGAATATGAGAATCTAACCCGATTTCAATCCATTCGTACGATTGATTAAATACGAAACCACTCACAAATGGTGCCTACTGCACCGAAACCAACAACAAGAACATCCTTAATCGGCACAGTGGACATCTGCGGGCTGGGTATATAGGCGGTACCAGCAGGTTGTGGTAGTTCTGGCCAAGATTATCGGATGATTCGGTGCGCTTCGTGGACATCCACATCGTACTAATACTAATATTGGATTTCGAGGTCATCTGAGCGTTTCTGTGTACGCGTTGTTTAGCATTTCCAAATTCGGCCAAGCATTATTTTTGAAAGAAGCCCTCTCCCCGGTGATACAGATCCGAACCATGCTCCTCACGATTCATGAGGTAAATGACTTGATCGTTGGTTTTCTCAGACTCCTTGGCCAATTTTTTTATATCACGAAAGACATCACCGGCGCCTGGAGAGAACGAGCTTCGATGCCTTTACAAACCACTTTCAAGTTCTGATAGGAGACGACATGCCGTAAGCGAAGGAGTAGAAACCCCTTGTATAACTATGAATCGGAATACCGAAATGTACTACATAGATCGCGAGAGCAATGACAAAACTCCTCAGGCGGATTTTGATATACCTCTAACCACATATCTGTATGAGTTCGGAGCCCAAGGGACAATGACCGTCCCCGTCTACTATCAGAATGTAGCCATCCTAATTATACAATGAAGATGAGTTGATGTTCGTGGCGAGAGAACATGTCACGTACTCCCTTCACGTATGCGTAGGAGCAAAAGGTTTCAAGCCTTTTTTTAGACGGGACTTTATAGCTGTCAGCATGAAATGTTAAATTATGGACGAAATATACCCGACCACTACTCACTAGCACGCCAGGAAATCTTCGCCGCGCTGGGACTCGAAGAAGCGGAAATCCCCGTCGATTTCAAGAGGACATTGATAGCAGGACGTTGGGAACACCTTGCTGTCCTTCTGGGCTGACCGGACAGAAATTCCTGCTGCACCTGATATGAGGAGCGAGGTGAAGAGGGCGAGTGTGGTTTTGACTGCGAGGGACATAGTGAGCGGTGCGGGATGTGTGCCATGGGCCATGGCGCGACTTGATGCTTTTAAGTGCCACTCGAAAATTAGCCTAGAGATTTCACGATGTAAGCAAGAATTTCGGAGGGCGGGATGTACAGTACGTAATGTCCCTTCTGTTTCAATTCTGGAAGTGAAATTTCCTTCCTCTTTAAGCTTCTATTCTAGAGGCCCAATCAACGTTAAAACGGTCTTATTTAGAAGCCGAAACCGGCACCATTCTAATCGAACAACTGCAGGAGGGAACAGAGCAGCACTTCTAAGATCCAATACAGACAGGAAAAGCTCAATCCGCACAAGGGATGAGTCGCAACAGTAGCACCTGCGCTGTTAGAACTGTAGGATCCCACGGAGTTACTGATGAGTTTCATTGGGGGTACCGCCTGGTTTATTTCGAGCGAAGCGAGCATCTATCGGCTCTAGGAGCTGGGGACCCCGACCAACAGCAAACGCAGTACATTTTGCATCGTAGCTCATAATACCCTACGTAATGCCACATACGTATTGTTAGTGAATATGTATATTCAAAAAATTCTGGGACCAGGAGATAAGGAATGCCGTTGTAGCGTCCCAGTTTATTCCCTTAATACAACTTCGATATCCCTCGGATCGGGATGAGTTTGGATGCATTGCACCTCAATTTGATGTAGTCCGTTCGGTCAAAATAGTAGGATATTAGACGAGGCTACGCTAATCGTGCAGGAGATAAGTACACTCCAGAGGATAGCACATATTTATGTAATAATTTCACGATTTAAACCAGGATCCCGATGGATGTGCTACTCTACACGTAAGTACCATTCTGAGATATTTCTCGAAACGAAGTGAATTCAGCTTCCTCTTTAGGAGTGTGGCGTACTACCTTACCTGCCCGGCCCAACCGCTTACGTGGTTGGTTTCCACAACGGAGTTCACTATAAGAGGGCGAACCGCGCCGGAGTACTTGGTGCTACGGCGATTTCGCGGCTTTACTATTCTCAAATCTCAAGGAACGATAGAAATAGTATAGAAATGGATAATCCCACTTAGAAGCTCCTCCGTACAAGGGATGGGTCGCAAAAGTAGCAGCTGGTAGAAGCGTAGGGCAGGCGGGATTATTGATGAGTTTGACGGGGTCGTGTGGTTCACACAAGTCGAGTACACAACAAGTGAATGCACTGAAGTCACGTAAATGGACTTCCTGTGCTTAGAGGGCACATGCAGCAAAACGGCAGCGCAAAGGCCTGAGCTGCTTCTTCGGGTGCTTCTACGGCCGCTACATCGGCTGTGGTAGAGAGTGATAATAGCATCAAGCTCAAGAATGGCGGATGTGAGGGTGGCTTTTGGTGATGTCGAGGATGTCGATGAGTTTCTGCCTCTTCACACATTCGACAGAAGGACTTCCAAATACCATGAGCTTTCCACTGGTCCAAGACCATAGAGTATTGCAGGCCGGCGCCCGCACGCCTACTTCCATGGAATTAGATACTCTGAGATTCAAAGGGAGTCGCGCTCCTTCTCGTCTTCTTCATACGTCCTTCGAACCTGGAGAAGTATATCAGTTGATGTAGGATGATATAACAATGAATGCTGGCATGCCTCTGCATAGAAGTCATCGTCCAACAATACGCGAACTGCAGTCGCGGCAAGAGCCTTAGATACGTCTAGACATGCATAATGTGCTGCAGGCAACGCAGCGGACTCTGCGAAGCCCGGTGTATGGTTTCCACCATCGACGATGGTTGGAATAGCTGAGAAATTATCGCCCATTGAAGGTTAGCTGATAGACAACCGGCTCACCAAATCCTGGATGGAGAGAAGGAAGAGCTACCGAGAGTTAAAGAACTTTGACACGTGTTGATAGTTTGCAGCGCCATTGCTCACCATATGTGATATTTCCCTTCAATTAGTGTTAACGCTCATTAAGACTGGAAAAATCGGGAGACGGAAACTCACGAAATCAGTGGAGGCACTCTTGATTCCCCATTCGTAATCGATGTCTCCGTACTTGTTGAGAACGACGTTGGCAACTTCACCTCCTGAACTGGAGATTAGCCTACTAATTGACTTGGTTAGAGCAGTCGGGACGTGCCTAGCGCAGAGTTTTGGCGAATTTCGGAAAGGCTACCTTCGTTATTGATCTTGACTTCACACCCGGTTGCGAGGCCCGCTGCCCTTAGAATAAAGTTAACGACGGAAACGAGGAGAAAGAAAGAGCATTTACTCGAAACATTTGCTAACACGCTTCGAAGTCTCCTTCACTTCTTTCAACGTCGGGGCGCGAACCAAGCATCTAGAATTCATTGAGAATGGGTTACTCAGCGACAAAGGGGCCAAGCTCACTGGAATTTTGCATAGTCAGGAATGACTAAATAGAAAGGGGCATTAGTCCTCGAAAAACGCGCTGAGCGTGTCTTTTACTATTTATAGCCCAATTCTTTCCTTGTTCAAAAATCCCGTGGATACGATGTGTAGGCCGAATTTGCTGACGAAGTGCCGAAATATTATTATACCCTAAGGCAGCCGCGTCCAGTGCATTTTTGCCTTCCCAGGGAGAAAGGGCTGCATGAGCGCTAACAGAGACGGCTGGTCAGCAACCTGATGAGACAGAATGAAGTGGCGCACGTATGTCCGAAATATTCCACGGATATCATCTCGAGGGCGAGAGATCCACTCAAACTTACAGAGCCTACAGGTCCTGGGGCGGGATGGCACCTGTAAACGTGCTCAGTTCATGTGTAGGATCTCACTGATCCGCTGAACAAACATCAAACAAATGTCCATTCCCTTATAAGCGCCCGCGTCTAGTAGGAGAACCTTTCCGCGCCCTCCTTCCTCGGCTGCCGAATAGAGTAGATACACAGATTAAATTTAGCAGAATATATGTCAGAAATCGATCAACGAACCGGGTGTGCCCAACAGAACGATTTTGCCGGAAATATCGTGTTTCTCCAGGGCTGTTTTTAGAGCACACGCCACAGCGACCCCTGCAGACTCTGATGTGTGAATATGTGCTACGGAGGAGGAGAATCCAGACGACACAGACCGGATATTCCTATGAGGTTATGGCCGCAGGCGTGGCCAATACTCGGGAGGGCGTCCATCTGCATTCCGGGTATAATGAGCCACCAGCATTCTCATGACGGGGGACAGAAACATACCTCTGAGTTAATTCCAATTGTCCGGCCTCCGGAGCCATGGGTATAGGTCGCTTGCCATGCGGTTTCAAGATGAAAGTGCTTGGTGACCTCAAAGCCCTGTTTCGCTATGAACGCCGTATATGCATCATGAGCGTGGCTGGGATGATGCAGCATCAATTCCCGTGTCGTTACTTTTGATCTAGCGACTATCGGGACCTACAACTCCTTGAATCCCAGTTCAGGATGAGCTATAAAGGAAGAGAATGGAAGATAATCAGATCGTGAACCTGCCTATGTAGTGGATCAAGAAATGTCGGAATGCCTGACTTACCATGAATATCAAGACTCAACTCCCTCAGCTCACTGTCTAACTCCTTGATCTTCGCTTCGATCGTTTCGAGAATGTCACATCGGTATATCTCGCTTGAGCCTGGTTGAGCAGGACTGGGGCTGGTGTTGTCATCTGGACGCCATACTTTAGTATTCTTGGTACTGTTCGTTGTAGATTGCGCGAGACACATGTGGATAGAAGACAAGAGGCTTCTCAATGAGGGTCGCAATGCGATGACGCTATGACGAGCCGACGCGTGACCGAACAAAGATACAAATGCGCAGCTGCCGAGTTATACCCGAAATTGCGCTTACAATGCTAATGGCTACAGTTCGTCTTAGGAGACATTATATTGTGCAAAGGTTTGTATTTGATTCCTTGAATGTTTTCCCCGTTCATCGGCGTTTTTCGTCCTCCTTGAAGGTTTCCTGGACCTACAGATATACGCCGAAATCAGTCACAAATCTCGCAATAGACTAGAAAGAGACCTTGGCGAAGAACGAATCATCAGTTAGAACACGGATTCCGGTAGCAGCGAGGGCTTTTGAAACATCGAGACAGGCGTGGTGTGCTCTAATTGTTGCTGCGGCTTGCTCGAAGCCAGGCGTATGGTTACCTCCGTCAAGGATGGTCGGAATGGCTGCCGTGTCGCTCAGTAAAAGACACCAAACGATCGCGGAATACGCACCGAATCCTGGGTGGAGAGACGGAAGGGCGTATGTGACATTGCCCTGCAAGACCGTTAAGGCAAGAAAGCAATTTAGAACGCTTCGACTCACGAAATCCGTCGAGGCACTCTTAATACCCCATTCAAAGTCGATCGCACCATACTTGTTCAAGACGATATTTGCAACTTCTCCACCTAAGCAAAGGATTTAAGGTATAAGACTGAAAGCACCTCTCAAAACGCCTACCAAGGGCCTCGTTTTGGCGCAAATCAAACGTCGAGCCTTGCTCGAGAACGATAGTTACTTCACACCCAGTAGCAAGGGCAGCAGCTCTTCGAAAGGGATCAGATCGCTGCCACAGAATGGGATTATGGTTCTTACTCGAAGCAAGGCGTAACATGCTTGACCGTCGCCTGCATTTCTGATCGTGTCGGAGCTCGGACATAACAGCTAAGGGAAACTGTCAGTCTGGGGACCGATGGAACTCTCACAAGATCCTTACATGAATTTGGCATAATCAGGGATGACTAGGCAGGCGGTCAGTCAATGACATTCGTGAGACACAGTTTGTCGACATACTATTAGGTGCCCAGTCTTTGCCTTCGAAAATGCCGTGGACTCGATGTGTGGGTCTGAGCTGTTGGCGAAGGGCCGATATGTTGTTGTAGCCCAGAACGGCCGCATCAAGGGCGTTCTTTCCTTCCCAGGGTGAGAGGGCAGCATGCGCTCTGGATAGCACCAGTGAGCGACTATGGGCATACGGATTGCTGAAACGACCGACGTGTGACCCTTGTACTCGACAGTAATTCTCTGAAGAGCAAGGCAACTGCTCAAGCTAACTGACCCTATGGGACCAGGGGCTGGATGACACCTATAACCCAGGACTTCAGCATTGTAAAAGGTTCGAATACGAGACAGCCGGGCTCATACATCAGGCAGACATCCATGCTGTCATAACCACCCTTTTCGAGGAGAACGACCTTGCCCGATCCCCCTTCTTCCGCTTTACAATCAGGGAGTAAGTCGGTCTATTACTGACCAAGCTGGCTGATGACCGGACCTGGTGTACCGAGGAGAACAATCTTGCCAGGAATGTCGTGTTTTTCCATTGCGGCTCTCAAGGCTAATGCAACAGCAACACCTATAGTGAATGATTCAGGCTCATGCAAGACAAGAAGAGGATAAACAGGAGGCACCTGACATTCCAATGAGATTGTGTCCACAAGCGTGTCCGATACCCTTAAGTGCATCCATCTATGTCTACAGGTTAATTGGTTGAATCCGTTGGCAGAATGCACTCGTCAGTACCTCTGAATTTACTCCGATAGTCCGTCCGCCTTGTCCATGGGTAAACACTGCTTTCCAGGCCGTTGGCAGGAGATACTGTCTCGTAACTTCGAAGCCATGCTTCACCATCAGTTTAGTGTAGACATCGTGAGCATAGCTAGAGAAGAGGTGAACCATGTCAGACGGGCATATTCCAAGTAGAGCACGAGAGATATTGCGCACAATTCTTGATAACCGAGTTCTGGATGGGCTGGAAGGAGAGGGACCTTGAGATAGATTTTCACAGTAGGCAGGGAATTTGCGCACCATGGATATCCAAGCTCAGTGCCCGTAATTCTGAATCTAATTCTTTGATCCTCTCCTCGATAGTTTCTAGGATGTCGGACCGATAGATCTCACTCGAATTCGGCTTCTTCGGTGTGGGCTGAGCAGTATCATCTGGATGCCAAACTTTATCGTTGGATTTCGAAGTCTCGCTGGTATGATGGTGACACATGCTGGAATTCGAGGACAGCCGGTTGAAGCTCAGCTAGGGCGTGGAAGAGGTGTGAGACAGGAAATAGGATGTGGAGATGCTCTCCCATAGCTGCCGTCCAAATATGTAGCATGTCAAGTGAACGGAGCTTGATTTCCGCCTTGATCAGGACCATCATTTTCCTCTTTCTCCGCGCCGATATACATACTATTTTCCGCAACATCATGTCCAGTGAGGCGGACCTCAAGGCTTTCATAGATCGCCAACGCGTTCTACTCGCGAAAGAACGCGCGGCAGAGATCGAACGAAGCTCTCTACTACTTTCTAACTGTGGCCCTAAGCTACTGGAGCAAAAGGGATTATCGCTGGGAGGACTTGGGATAGCGAGTATAAATATCGGCCTTGGAGGGAAGACGTAAGTCCTCTTTAGCTATTCCTCGAAGGAAAGACCTTGATTTTGTCGAAAGGTAGCTTGGTGGAGCTCGAGCGTCCAACAGCTTATCATTCAACTCCCGTCTTCCCTCCCCACACCTTCCGGTCAGCTTTTTCGCCCATACCGCGCAAATCACTTTGAGCCGACACGATTTCATCGCGTAGACCGGGCGACCTAGCTAGAATTGAGGCCAATGTAACCTCAACGGGGCCCACGAAGAAGCCTAAAATGTCGGTCCCAGCGGAGTCGAAGGGGGCTCAGACAGAAGGGGTTGTCTACAAGGCAGGTTTATGCGTTCAGACGGTTGGGGTGCCCTCCAATCAGCCACACAGGTCTCCGACACACGTATCGTCGTTGCTGTCGATGCCTCAGAATCTAATTCTGAAGACCTTGACCTTCCTGAACGTTGCCGTGTCGTCAAGCTTGCCAACAGTGTTACTTACGACAGGTGAATACATTACGGTGCTGCGCGCTTCCAATTTAATTCAACTGAATGATTAGGATGGACAAGGCTATCGACCGACTAGAAAAGATTGTGCTATCGTCGGTGAGTTTCACATCATTGAACACTCATTCTTGTTCTCATAGCACATAGAACGATGGCAAATCTGTTGGTGAATTGAACAGCTTGATGCAAACTCTACTTGGAATGAAGCCACCGTCGCCGAAAGAATCTATCAAAGACCTCGCATTCTTCGACGAGGCCTTGAACGAAAGCCAGAAGATTGCTGTCAAGTTTTGTCTCGAATCTCCGGAAGTTGCTTGTATTCACGGTCCTCCGGGTATGCGAGCTTTGAATTGCATACCTGGCAACGCTAATAGCATGCAGGAACCGGCAAGACGCACACCCTCATCGAAATTATCCGTCAATTAACCTCGGAAACGCCGACAAACCCAAACCCAAAGCGCGTACTTGTATGCGGAGCCTCCAATCTTTCCGTTGACAACATCCTCGAACGTCTCCTTGCTCTTCCGATCGCGGACAAATCTCAGCGGTTGAAAGTTACCAGAATCGGCCATCCTGCCCGCGTCATGGCACAAGAAAATGTGATCGACTCGACTCTAGAAGTCAAGGCCACAAGAACTGATCAGGTCGGATTTACATGTCCTCCGAAGAATTGCTTGAATTGACGCCATTTCTAAGGCTGCCCTTGCCCGTGATGTTAAGGAAGAATTAGAGACCACTTTGGGAATTTTATCCGGGAAAGGCAAAGGGGCGAAAGGAAAGGCACCAAGAGGGGCAGAGCGGAGGAAATTATGGGATGAGGTGAAGGCTCTTCGAAAAGAATATCGTCAGCGAGAAGGCGGCGTCGTCAAGTCGGTCTTAAAGGAGTCTCAGGTATGCTCAGCCCAATAGTTGTTCATGCCGGTGTGCTGGTGTCTCAATGCTTAGTTAATTTAGGTGGTTCTAGCGACATGCCACTCGTCTGGTGGCAGGCAACTGTTTAACGAAGGGTTCGATGTGGTTATCATCGATGAAGCGACGCAAGCGTTAGAAGCGGTATGATCTTTCCGTTCATGTTGGAGTTCAGTATCTTGAATTTGAACGTAGGTGTGCTGGATTCCCATATTCAAGGCAAGGAAACTCATCCTGGCTGGCGATCCGATGCAACTTCCTCCCACCATTCTCTCCCTTGACGACAAGAAGAAGAGGAGTGCTGGTGCGACGAAGTCGCCTGCTAAAGCCGGGCCGACAGCCAAGAAATCCTCTAAAGCAAAAGCTCCAGCTGCGTCCGTTGCTGCTGATCACTCGACCAACAATTCCGACTCAGAGAGCAGTGGAATGGAAGATGCATTAGCAAATAAGGCAGCTGCTTTGTCCTTGACAAAAGGATCGAAACTCGTCCCGCCAAGAACATTGGAAACGACACTCTTCGATCGACTGGAGGCAATGTACGGAGCTAGCATTAAGAGGATGCTGGAAGTTCAATATCGGTGCGGCCCTCCTTGAGAATTCGACCTGGTGATCAGACCTGATCCTTTTATCTAGTATGCACGATCAAATCTGTACATTTCCTTCCAAGACGCTCTATGGTGGTAAACTTATGTCTCATCCATCTGTCGCCTCGCATCTGCTGTCGGACCTACCCAATGCCCAAGCCACATCAGAAGAAGACGAGACAGACCTGCTGCAGACACCAGTGGTGTTCTTCGATACGGCTGGATGTGAATACTTCGAGCGTCTGGATGGAGACGGCGATGAAGGTAGCCGCTGCAACGAAAACGAAGGGTCGATTGTCAGTAACTGGGTGGATAAATTGACTGCAGCTGGAGTTCTGCCTGGGCAGATCGCCATCATCACTCCGTATGTGGCTGTGTTCCCTCTCTAGATTTCCGCCATTCAACACGCCTCTCTAGTTACCAAGCACAAGTGACATTACTGACTTCGCTCCTTCGCCCGAAATATGGACTGTCACTTGAGATCGGAACTGTCGATGGGATGCAAGGTCGAGAGAAGGAGGCTGTCATTATCTCTCTGGTTCGGAGTAACAACCAAGTACGTTGGGTTTTCTCATGCCTTTAAACAATCCTCATTATCGGCGCAGAGAGACGTCGGGTTTCTCAAAGAAAAGCGAAGGATGAATGGTAAGAGGCATGGTCAAAATCCGTCCCTAACCTAACGGATTTCTAGTTGCTATGACCCGAGCCAAACGACATCTGGTAAGCCAGCTCGCTCAGCCATATCTGTGTTTGCTGATGACCAGGTTTAGTGCATAGTTGGAGACTCGTCTACGGTTTGCCAAGGTAGTGGCTATCTCAAGAAGTGGTTGGCATGGCTAGATGCCAATGCAGATGTCAAATATGCAGGAATGGAGTAGAAAGGTTTCTGGACGCAAAACAGATGTAGATGTACCATTATGACGACAATCTTGTACAGAACGTATCATATCATAAATAAAAGGAGTGGAATGACTGATACCGTTATGCCAACGTGAAATGCTACTACAGGGTAGATGGACAACAGAAAAGAGTAAAAGCAAAAGCCAAAGAGACAAGAGCGGAAAAGAGGAAAGATACAAGTACAATGACTTCTCAGCTTCAGTACTCATCGACGTCCGACAGAGAAGCGTACTCGGACACCGACTGGTCGTCTTCATACTCGTGGACGACGTCCCTCATCGCGTAGCGCATGATTGGCGTGGTGGGTACCAATTTAGGGCCAACGACTTCCATCATCTCCTCGTACAAATCTCCACCACCCCTCATCCTGCCCATCTCCGCCTCAGAAACAGGCACCATGTCCTCCTCGTCATCAATTGGCGGTGGTGGTTCGACTGGAGTGGTGGTACTAGGTCCGCCAACAGCCAACCCTGAATCATTCGGACCCGCTGGCATACCACCAACGACAGTCGTATCTCCACGCTGGTGCAACGATGCTGCTTGAGCCGCTGCCACCAAGCTGCTTCGAATCCGCATCTCCTCGCCGCCGGTCTCCCGAGTGACCGTCTCCGTCCAACGAAGGTCTAGCACACGGCCCTTGACCATCCCGTCGACTGCCCGGACTCCAATCTCGCGGCAGAGATGGAAGTATGGGATATAGGGCGTATCAGGGCGGGCAAGACGGGACATAACTTTCAGGAGTTGCATCGCAGAAAATTCAGGCGGTCCGTTAAAGCCCATCGAGGAGGTGGCGTCGCCCGAGCTGAGCATCGAGCCTCCAGGACCATGCGGTTGTGTGAGAGGAGAGTAGATCTTGAAACCTGCCGGACCCAGGCCTGGATGCAACGTATCAGCCGTGCTGGCGTTGGTGGGTCCTGGAGCACCCGTTTCCGCGCCGCCTTCACCTGCTGCTCCAGCCGTGGGTGATTGCGAGGAATGGATGATGTGTAGGTTAAGGAGGGCATGTGCTTGAAGGAAATGGGAGCTTTGATTGACTATTCATCTGACCGTTAGCGTGTTCTACACTCGATTATATGCGTAGAAAGGCTTACTATCGAGAGTGCCATTCGAGTTCACTAACCGAACACGAGCACATTAGTCCGATAATCGAGAAGTATGAAGCAGAAGGACGGACCATAATCGGTGATGTAATCATGCCAATGAGCAAGCTTCCCACCAAACGCGTCATACAGCACCTCGAAGTTCAATCCGCCGCGAATTCGCTCAGGCACACGAGGAAGCACTCTGTCTCGATAAAACTTCCTCGTTTCCGCTTTAGAGCAATCGCCAATGGTGATGATCTGGAAGTGGATGTAGCTGGTTAGATATGCAAATAATTAGCTTGCGGAAGTTTGCTCACCTTGCAGTGCTGCATCACGTTGAGCTGCCTGAGCCAAGTCTGGTAGAACGGGTCGCTCGTGGCATGGATAACATGGCATAGCCTATCCTGCTTCGTGAGAACCAGTATTGAATCCAATATGCACTTCATCGTTTCCGTAGACTGGATGAGAGCAGGCCTGCAAGTATAGATGAGGACGATAGACAAGTACCATCGAACTAAAGCAGCCAACTTACAATTTATGCGCTTCATCGAAGAAAATGACCTTAATATGAAAGAGTGTTGAGCTAATCAAGCTGCTCGGCGGACAAGGGCTCTGCTTACCGGCATCCTCTTCGGCGGTCTTTCCTTCTGCTTCTGCTTCTCCTTTCCTAGCGACACGCCCCCATTGCCCTGCATCCTCGTCGTTTCCTGGTGTTTCTGACTACCTCTGCTTCTTCCCCAGACCCTAAAACCCCACTTCGATTTGGTCGTTGAGCCCTCACTAGCGTGTTCGACGCGTGTCTTGCTAGAGTTGCCCGAGTCCTGGTGACGCGCGTGACCACTGCCTGATTCTGTCTTGTCGTCAAGCACAGGTTCAAATTCCCAATATTTCAGAAGCGAACTCTGGCGGCACGAAGTTAGCCAGCGTCAAAACAGGACATGTTGAACGTACTTGAAACAATTCCATTAGGCGTGCGATGTCGCTCGTTTTGACGTTTTGCTGCTTATGATCGCCAGCGGTCTCAGAGATCCGGCGTTCAACCGTTAGTCGGTCATGCTAGTAAACGGTTAGAAAAATGTTGGGTGAGGGTTGGAGTGTACCTTGAAGCTCCAAGCCTCTTTTTCAAAGTCATGGTAGCCTTCCATCTTGCTTGCGATTTCTTCGAAGTAGAGCTCCATCTGTTGGCTCAGGCTGGTGTAGAGACTGGCCAGGTCTGCAAACCCAGCAATCCGCAAATCAAAATGGAGGACATGGTACTGCTCTCGCGAGAGGACCTCTCTCAGCAGCGCCGTCTGTTTGCGTGATGTCAGCTCGAAAGTTGCGACAGGAGAACGAGCATACCTTTCCGACCGAGCTGGCGCCAAAGAGGATCGTAAATGAAGGCTCGCCTTCCATGGCACGCTCCACAGCCTGCATTTCGGCCTTGCGAGGCCAAAACCCGGGCAAACGAGAGAACGTGTGCTTGGGGCGAATCTGGGAACGCTCCCTACTCTCACTGATCTCTCGTCGGGCCTCCTCGAGCAGCTTCTTTGACTCCGTCAGCGAGCGGACAGTCCCGGCTGGCTTTTCGACAGTCAGCAAACCGCATCAGTGCCCATATGCGTTGACGTACGTTGGTTAGAACTCCAATAATCTCGCCCATTCCGAAGAAATTGCGCTTCTGAACGTCAATTGAGATGTAGGAAGTTCGTTTGCGAGGAATGTTGCTGCGGAAGAGCCAATGGATAGATGGGATTCGCGAGCGCTGCTGTTCGTGGGTGGGTGGAGGCTTGCGTAGTTTGCCGTGGTTTGGATGCATACGAGATGTCGAGGTAATAAAATACGAAGGTGAGGCGAAAGAAACGCTGCGCGTAGGGTGCACACTTGGATGTTAATAGAATAGCGAAGAAAGTGATAATGGGAGGAGACAGCGAGGGTGAATAACAAGATATGGAGAACAGACACGCGCTAACCGTACATGTGCTGTGCCCGTGTTCCGCGCTTGATGTTTGAGGGCGATCCTGACGTGTAATTCTGGGTGTTGGCCATGATGCCCCCTCTGGATAACGGCCTCGAGGCAACGTTGAGGTTCAACTGCATTGTCCTCGCCACGTGTTCAGAGAACAAGAGCCTATACAGTAAGTTGATGACAGGCGTCCTGGATGCGATGTCGACCTATGGCCTGCATCGAGACGCCAGCGGGCTGAGGATGTGATGTGTGAACGTTTGGGACCCCATGTACAGTTACAGGACTATGACGTACCTGCCCATGTTTGCTCCATTGTTACTTACCCACGACCGCTGAGGCGAACGAATCGAACAAGATAAGACGTTTCTAGAGGCCATTTGCACTGGACTGTCGAGCTCTAGCTCTGTTGCAAACAAGAGATGTTCCATGACCGTATGGTCAACATCGGAGGGTCGAAGTGGGAAAAGTGGCGATCCCGGAGCCAAGGGCTGGTTCCCAAAGGGTACAATTTCAGTTCTGAGGACTCCCGAAATCAATTTGCTTTGGGGCGATGTCGGATGTCGACCTTTTCGCAAGTCAGTCTTGCGTTGCTCGGAAGTGTCGGAGAAGTCCGCGAGGGTCCGGCAAAAGCCGACAATCAAGGGCATGAAAGCCGGAACGCAAGTCGCGTCGGGTATGAAGCTATCGTTCCGCTCTAAATTTTGTTCTGCGCCAGAGCCTCATTGAAATTTCAGCGTATTTATCATTTTCGAGACAGTTATGAGCTCCTCTTCACAGCACTCAACCCCTCAGGCTGAATTACGACATTTTCCTCGTGTCGCTGACAAGCATCCTCTGCATTGCGAATCAATGTCGAGCCCTCGTCCCCCTGACCCACGGTCCTTACATACAAACTTTAGTATGCGACGGTTTTGGCACTTTGTCGGCGGCTGGGAAAAATATTAAAAAGGACTGCTTAGAATAGGCGCCGGCGGCCCGAAAATGCCGAAATACGCATGAGGGCAAATCAGAATGTGGCCGGAAGCCTGCTAAAAAAATTCTTGAGATTTTCCGATAGTGGAATACAACACAGAAAGAGTACTTCTACCTGCGACCATCACCATCTGAGTCAAAAAAAAAAAAAAAAAAAAAAAAAAAAAAAAAAAAAAAGAATCTACAAGTCAAAGAAAAGGCTTCGCCGGCACCGCGCTCTTCCAACATCAGCCCAAAATTTTACCTGACAAATGACTTGAAATCAGAGAACAACTTTTGCCCAGAATGAGAGAAGGTCGGTGAGCACCATTGGTCGATTCTCTGCGAGCCAGTGAGTGAATCCAATAATTGCCGCGTCGTACTTGATTCGACTCAGTATATCATCACCAGTAGGCCCAACCTTCAACACATCGACTTGATGGCCCACTAACGCGAAGAAGAGCTCTGACTCTTCTTTCGGCAGCTTTTTTACAATGTCTCGGCTCAAGAATGGAAAGTACATGTGTCGATACATGTAGGGTAGTGGAGGAAGGATCCCTTTCATTCTGAGGATTGCTTGAGCCGTCATTTGATGAATTTCCGAAGACGTTTGGTTGTATTTCGTTACGTCGTCGGTAGCAAGATGGTAAGCCCTGTAAGCCCTGTCATAGTCTGAATGGAACTCAATGGTTCCATTGGCAATACTATGTCGACCCCAGATCTAGGGAGTAGGGCGGATGACGTCGAAGGATTTGGACCCTTTGGCACAACGCTTTCCGAGAGGAGCCCCAACAAATTCCGGAGCAAGTATTTGCTCTCCCCTGCATAGGGGATCCTGTTTGACTGGAGATGGTGCTCGAGGGTCTTCCTCATTGCGTTTGGCGAAGCAAATGTCACATTGCCGTCATTCGGGAGATGGATAAGGATAATTTGGTTGACAGCGTAGGTCTGTTCCCGGGTGAGTCTCGTGGGTTGAAACGTGAAAACATCTTCCTGTGCGTCCGGCGTCAGACGGTATTTCGATAGTGCTCGAGCTGCTTCTTCCAGGTAACCAGGACTGTCCCTCCACGGAGGACGCTGATAATTTGCATAGGTCGAAGTTGCTACGCTCATGGGAATGTCAATTAAGATGCTGTTTGTATGGGCTTGGGTCTTGATATGGTTGACCATTTCCGGCTCTCGCACTATGTTCTGTCTCAGGACGAGCGCAATCTTGGGGCTGACTACGAAGAGTCGGTGTAACCCAGAAAGGGCGTCAACAGCCCCTTCCCACAGTCCGAAAGAGTTTGAACCAACGACAAATTCTTCGTCTTCTGCAGCTTCCCAAATCCCAAGAAAATTTGCGTCTGCCATCGCTGTATAGTCCACGGCCTGAAAGTTTTCGATATCAGGGTCGACCCTTGTCTTCAGCATTTCAAGCATGCCCGTTGGTCCGCCATATCTCTCCTGGATAGTTTCCCCTGTCCCGATAATTTTGTGGTGAGGGGTATCCAATACGTACTTCAAACCGAACAGCCAGACGTCATCTTTCTTGTGAAGATTATGTTTCCGACGGAGATTCTTCAAATAATCCCTTATCGGCTTATTGTCTGGATCATTCTCGTCAAAATAGCTGCTGACGAGGGAAGTCCGGCGGTAGTGCATGAGGTATGTGAACTTCCGAATTGCTTCCAACTCCCTTCTCTTCATGCGTATCTCCTGCTGACGCGCCTCTATCGCAGAATGGATGTTTCGAATGGTTCGTGCAGCGTCATTCTCGAGTCGAGCGAGCCCCTGCTCAAGGTGATCGACGTTGTCGGCGTTGCGGCCATCCCGATACATGTTGACGATTCCATATACCTTGCCAATCGGGCGGGGCTCGAGAGTCTGGGTCATGACATCGTACATCATGATTGTATCAGTATCCACTCCCGTCTTCCGGGCTTTGTGGAAGTTCTTCTGATGCTCCTTTTTGTTTCTATGGTTGCGTTGGGCGTCAATTACCAACCACGTGTTGAAGTGACGAGACACATTGCGTACCTTGGCCGAATCTGAGCATCTTGAAAGTATCAAAGAATAAATCGAGGGATATAATGCTGATATTGGTCCTTGGGGAGGACATTATCAGAGGATGCAGGCATGACGAGGCAATGCCGGGAAAGTTGCTTGTGGAGGGATGGGACTGTGGGTGTGTTTATGCAGGCCAAGGCAGGCGAGAGAGAAAAGCGGCACGGGGCGATCGATGCTTGCGTGGCCTCAGCACGAGCAGCAGGTGGCAGTCGAGGCGAAAGAGCCTCCCTTCGCCCACACTACCGCCGTTGCTGACACGGCACACATCACCCTGTGTTCACGTGCGCTAGGGCACGCGGCCGACTCGGAAAGTAAGACTAAGTAGGTTTTAGGAGGATGGGGTTGTTGCCTATTTCTGCAACCCGAAGAGCGGGCTAGGGAATCTGGAGAAAGCAAGAGATGTCGGGCGGGTGACAACGACATCAGCAACCTCATTAAGTCGCGGACAGGAACGAGTGGTGACACGCTCACGCTATCATCTATCCAGCGCTAGTGTCACCGATTGAACCTCGAAATATCTACGTGAGTATGAATTTTTGAACGTTGCGAGGAATTTTAGTGAGCTATTTCAGGATTGCAGAGACGCAGTAACTTTAAGTGGTGGGACGAATGAATTCACCAGGTCCGGATGAATCCGGCCCGATTATTCGACCTATTTCCTTTTTCGATGCACTTGGGCGCTTAAAAGTTGTCAGTGAATTCAGACGGTCTAGAACCTCCAGCGTGCGGCGACGGTAATCAAAAATCAAAATGAAACTTGTGACTACTACGAGGATACTTGGGTAAGGCTGTTGTACTCGGGCAGCTGTCATCCCACGCACACCACCGACACCGTGAGGCACTTGCTGCCAGCTCACCTTCTTTCTTTCCTCCCCATCTCATCTCGGTGCGTTGGCCTTGCGACCAGCGGCGGTCGTGCAACCCCGCGCAACATACATACCTCTGTGTACTGTTTAAATAGAGTATATCTCACAATATCAGGTTCTCTCTCTATACTTGCCCTTCAACATTGCAGTGGAAATCATAGTGCTTGTGTTTGGAATTTTGACTACGCAAAACTTTTCTAAGTCCAGCCAGGCCATAGTTCGAGACGAAGAACTGGTTCGTAAATTTAAGGTATGCCTTTTTTATCACGTGCAGAGGGCCAACTTCTGTAGGCACTGTTCTGGTCAATCCACCTTTCTTTCGAGTTATTCTTAAGTACTCGTCGCACGGCAGCCTCCCTGCCTCCTCGTTTAATATTATGGCGTTCCAATAATTGCACAAAAAAGTAGGCCCTGAAACTTATTTGAAATATGTACCTTGCCAAAACTGCATTTACACACACGGGACGCTTGGCCCAGTCGAGCCTGCTCCTCAGGATAGCCATTCGTCGTCTTGATAGCACCTCTCCTCACGCTCTGTCCAAAACTGGCACTCAGCTGCCATCTCATCTTGGTGTACGGCGTTGCCCTTCCTCCGGATCCCAAGGATGACCCAAGCCATCGACGCTCGATTCACACCCGCGAAGGCTCCGCTTAGCATTCGCACACTACATCTAGTCGATCATGCATACCAGCCGCTCCAATCAACCTTGAAGCTTCGAAGCTTGACGGTGCGAACGCTTCTGGGCTAACGTGAACGTTCAGACGATAAGTTCTCACCTCGTCTACGAACGTTGATATGAATGCCGATCACTGCTCTTGCACGTTCTGTCCGAAGAGACCATGCATTCTTTCCTCCCTCCGTTCAATCATAATGCCCGCCCATCCATGTTGATGTAGCCCCATCATCCATATCCACTAATCATCCATCGGAGGCCCAACATTCAACGCCCGGACCAACGGCAATCTCAGTACCCAGAAGACACGGTGCATACTCTAGTACGCTCCTCTCTAGAGAAAGAAGATCGATCCACATCCAAACTAGTCAAATCTGCAGATTAAGATATTCGTACATTGTTTGGCGCTTATGCACGGCAAACAAACATGAACACAGATCTACGGGGACCCAAGTTGAAACTGGCAAGGTAAGGTAAGGTCAAAGTCGAAAGGGCACGGGGCAAGGCAAATGCAAACGCCAACGCAAAAAGGAGGAGGAGACAACTTGAAGGAAGGAAGATAATATATGCATGGACATGGTGGACCAGGATACGATACGCGTGGATATGAGATATAATACCAATAAATGTACTCGGACGGTGGATAATGTTAAAGATATCGATGTTGGATGGATGCAGGTGTGGATGGTTGGCTGGGATCGATGCGATGCATATGTGGATGGGATGAGATGAGGATGGGACGAGATGGAGATGAGGATGATAAGAGAGAGGGACAATGATGACAGAAAAGAGAAACGACAGTGTCTAAAGATCGAGCGTCTAAATTTAATGAGTGTATGGGACGGTGTAGGCGGTAATACACACACATATGGCGAGAGATGACAGACAGACAGACAGACAAATGGGTCGTAAACACGATACATATTCCCCGGTAGGTGTCGACAGAATCGACGTGTGGAGCGGGCCAGTCCACGGCGAAGAGGCAGGCTCGCTCGCTTCAGCCCACCCTGACCTTCCGCCTCCCCTCCCGCTCCCGCTCCCTTACCTCCACCCGCGCGTACAACGCCCCACCTAAGAGGGTGAGCGCGATACCGAGCCCGTTCGCAGGCGTGATCGTCAGGTCGAACAGGCCGACCGCGCACAGGATCGTGAGGACTTGCTTGACGTTGGCTGTGCGAAGAGGGGTGAGTTGGGTTTATCGGAACGAAGGAGGAGGGGAGGGGATGGGGAGGAGGAAGGGGATGGGGATGGGGGAAAGGAGGAAGGAACAAGGAGAGGAAAGGGAAGAAAAAAGAAAAAAAGACACTCACCAGCAACGCTCATACCCAGCGGCCCAACCCGCCTATTCGCATGGAAGCTCACCACGTTCAGGAAGAACGCCATCACGCCGTTAAGCAACAACCACCTCCTCCCTACCACCGCCTCTCCTGTGCCCCCTATCCCCCCTATCCCCGGACCCCCACCCACACCAGAGGAGAACAGCGCATACCGCACCCGGCCCAGCTCCCCACTCACCTGCGCGAGCAGCGTCGTCTGTATGAACGCCAGGGGCGAGAGGAGGTACAGGAGGTGCAGGGGGCTGAGCGTGAGTTTGGGCAGCGTGGGGAGCGTCAGCTGCCGTGCCCACCCGGTGCTTCCAGTCGACCAGTGAGGGTAGGATTGGGCGTACGCAGCAGCCTGGGACATCGGCACGCTGCCCCTCGTCCATCCCGTCGGGGCGGGCGGGGCGGAGTAAGTGTGAGGGGCGTAGGGATACGGCGCAGGCAGCGGCTTCGCCCCATACCCGTATCCATACCCGTACCCGTACCCGTACCCGCCATACGTAGGCGACGACCCCGGCGAGGGCGGGAAGAGCGCGTTCACGCGGTGCACGGCCAGTGCGAGGAGGGCGCGCAGTCTTTCCTTCACGCTGAGGTTCACGTTTAGGGGTGGGGGT